AGCGGGTCCGAGATCGCCAGCCGTGCTCGCTTGTACGCTAGATCTAGACTCGTTAAGAAGGCTTCAGCCACCTCTGGATCCCGGGTCCGATACGCAGCAAGCCGGAGCTTGATCGGATTGGTTATATCGTTCGGATTCAGCGTGAACCAGATTGCCGGAATACCATCCCGAATGATGAGGGACTGGATCTTGCGCCGCATGCTTAAACGACTCTCCCTCGACATCGGCTGGCGATATCCATACAGCGATAGGCTCCTTAAGAGCCTATTAACGTCCTCGTCGCTCGTCGTTCGCGAGACCTCTAATTCGCCCTTGGCACGCTCTAGCCGCTCCGCGTTCAGCGAACGTACGATACACTCGACTGCGGGGAAATCTTTCCTTGCGACACTCGCCATACTGGCACGGCGATTCCTTGACCGGACGCCTACATTAAAAACAAGAAAGGGAAAGATGTGGTATAACGCGAATCGACCACCGTGACGCTAGAGGACTAGTTTAGCCCACGTCTCGAGGCTCATGTTCCGTGATATAATAAGGCCCCTCAGCCGATCAGCCGCTTCGATGCCTACGTCCCTCGCCCCAGCGACGTCCTGGATGCTCTTATCCGCCTGAAGTGGGCCCCCACGACCGAGAGGGAACAGCGTTGGGAACGTCTTTGCGAAAAACCGTGCATCGAACGGATCGGCAAAGTCCTCGCCCCGGTTTACCACGATATACGGCTCGGCACCGTTCCAACGCCGCACCTCTGCCGTCCCACCCCGTCGTTTATTACCCGGATCCTGTTGGCCTAGTGCGTCACGAACGTACTGTAACTTCTCCCCGTTCGCGATATCCGGTCCCTTATCTAGTGCGAATATGCCAGATGAACTGGTTTCATGAACGGGGACTGCAGCATCGCCAAGGACCCTATCCCTATCCCTATCGGTAGCATCGCCCTGTTCCATTTCTTCTGTTACCTCCTGGCTAGTCTCGATATCGTCCCCCTGACCTAACGTAGCCAGCACTTCTCGAATATCTACTGCTTCTCCCTCGTCTAGGCCACGCTCCGTAGACGGGACTACCTGCCCGGTTCGTGCCTTCTCCTGCGCCGACGGCTCGTCCCGTCTTAACCGCTCATATACTCGAGATGGTACCCCGTGTAAGGGCGCATCCCAGCTGTCCAATTCCGCCACGTCGATCTCGATGTGCCTATATAGCGGATTATGCCGCTTTAGCTACACTAGTGCTTTCTCTACCACCCGACGCCGAACCGATAGAAGGACCGATAGATCGCTTGGTACTGGCTTCTCCGACCCCTGCCAGGACATATGAATCTCGTCGACTACCTTCAGGAGCGGATGCGGGAGGACGTTGGCCACCAGCTCCTGCACGTTATTTGGGAAGACGGTGATATGCCCCTTAACATGCCTTCTATACCTTACTCCTTGCCTCGGACCATTAGGGATACTATACTAGGCGATGAAGCCGTAGCACGAATTCAGCGCGATAAGCTTCTCCTCGATCGGCGTCAGATCCTTCAATTCACCGGGGAACATATGCTCGTACCCGAGTCGGTCGTGTAACTGGGCGGCTAGAGATAGACTACCTTTCTCTAAGTGCTTCAGACAGGAACCACACCCGTCAATGCTCTTCCCGATAGGGAAACACTTGATACATTGAAAAGGTGAATCTTGACGCTTCTCAATAGGACTACCGATCCACCGCTGCCATGCTACTTCCTGTAGCTCGATCCGACCGTACTTGCCATAACAAAACATGCAAGTGAGTATCGGCAACGTGTTCACATCATGGAACGCTTCATAGAACTCCTGGACGGTATTAACCTTGCTCCTGGTTGGGATCGGCGCACACCACGCCTGGTTATAAGAGAGCTGCTCTTTCTCGGCAAATTCGTTATCTAATCCACGCATAACGCCGTCGAGCTCTCTCCTTTGCTCCTCTTCACTCCACTCCGAACGGTCCGCTCTTCGGACGCGTTTGGAGGGCGTCTTACGAGAAATGGCCGACCCGGACCTCCTCCGTCCCAAATGGGATCGGTTCGCTACGACCGCAGGGCTGATCTCGCTCGAACCGTGCTTAGTACTACCAGCTACCTCGCCGGACGACGTCGCCCTCGGCATCGCACTCGGCGTCTGAGTCCGCCGGCGGCGGGATCTCCCATCTATTCTGGCCTGCTCGTCTTCTCTCTCGAATTCTTCAGCAATGTCCACTGACGTCCGAAGACCTAGGCCTGCGAGCACTGATCCATCCCGGTTCGGATTTCGACCTTCTTAACCGTCTTCGAACTCCCGCTCCATCGTGTTAAGGACACTAGCAGGTGTCCGCAACTCTATACCCGCCTGCGCCATGCGCTCCCGATATAATGCGCTCTAACGACGGAACCGGTCGGATGAACTCCCCTCGCCTTGACAGTGGCCCTCCATAACGGATTCGAATCAATTGAAGTACCGGCTTATCTAGATTCGTAACTCCTGTCGCGATATACAGGCTATCCTCTTAAAACTCGAACTAATCAGTCGACCGAACAGTATCCCTTATCCCGTCCTGGCTCTGTAGACTACTTACGATCCCAATCCCTCCCCCACTCCACCACCGTTCAACCGCAGACACGATCGCCCCCTAAGTCCTGGATCCCTTCACCTTGAACGCTACGAAACTTGGTCAACCAGCCTATCAATCTACGACTTCCAACTTTCCCCCATCATACCAGTCCGAACTCGTATTCTCATCTATCTTCTACGACTCATCTTCCGCGAAATTCGCTCCCCGTGACACGGCAACGTGCATGACATATCACCAACCCGCGCTCCGCGCTCTATTGTGTAACCTGTCTTATAGAATCTATTCCAATATTACGTCAACTTCTCTTTCTTTCTCCCGTCCTTTCCCCTCTTTCCCTCTCTTCCCTCTTCATTAATTGATCAGCCGACCCCTCTTTGCCTTTTATTTCCCTCATAACATCAGATAAAGTGGGAATTCCATCCCCACCTCGTGCTCCTCTCGACCGCCATATCAATCAACTCTTACCTCGATACTACGACCGTTAGATCACCCCTGATATCCCTCCCCTAACTGTGTTTACCCAATATGTCTCGACTACCCTCACTCTCGAATATCATTCATATTCGTGATTTTATTAATACCGTTACGAATAACCCGACTCGACAAGGCTCATCTAACTACGTTGAGATCTAAACCGACTTTAATATCTTCGAGGAAGACGGCTTCTACTATTCGGATGTCGTCGTCAAGCCTATTCGGGCGCGGATTCGTGCCTATCTGACCCAAGAGCAGCGGGAACTGTTTATCCCTGACGCTTTCTTCTACGCAGACGGTCGCTTTTCTACTACCTTATCTGCAGATAATACTTTGGAGATAAACGTCCAGGCACTCAGTCTGATAAGGCTCGTCTACCTACACTCGCATTATGACTCGACTAAACCGGTCTAGACATCCGGGTGACGTTTCGAACTTCGACGAGTACCGCCAACGTTTGCCAGACCAATGGTGTCCAATGGTAACCATCGTTGGCTCCGTGTCGTCTCGCAACAACGACAACTCCCTAGACCCTGCCCACGCTCGCCGCTTCGTGATTGACACTTCCGTCTATAACGCCTCTAACGCCGCACCGGTTCCATATTCTATGGCCTGCTTCTTAGAGGATTCTAAACGTTGGGCAAAGGTGAAGATCCCTCAAGCAGGAACATTCATCACCCTTACCGCAAAGGTGGTGGGTCGTACGACTAACACGAACCTTCTGGCCCTCCGAATCCTGGATCTGGCCTATTTACCAAAACTTGCGTCCGCCGGACTCACGACGACCCCGACCACTCCCTCACCGTCGAAACGACCAAGTCGTTGGGAGGGCCGGCCCACTCCATCGACCCCTTCGAAAAGATCGCGCCTTACGGGGCCGGTCGATGAAATACCAACGCCATCGGACTCGAGCCTACATGACCTCTATCCACCGCACCCAGACGGCACCGCAGACTCGCAATCTACTCCTACTTCTCCCTCTACTACGGCACACCCCGAAGGCTCCTCGAATATACCGGCTCTACCATCGAACTTCAACAGCGGATCTCGGCCACATCGTAACCGTTATCCTCCTAAAAAATTGAGGTAGCTGACTAGACCAAAAACATCGAGCGTACGCAACACAGAAGCGATCATAAGACAAAAATTAGGAGGATTTGGTAATGAACATAGTGCACGAATCCCTTTTCTCTTTCATTAGCATTCGAGTAGTAACAGTCCTATAGATACTAAATTGATCGACCTAGTTAGAGCTCTGACATACGTATCAAATTTAGTTCTCTGTTTCCCCAGAACACCAATAGAATAACAACCCTTTTGTGATGCTTATGTGATTATAATTCGACCCCTTTTTTAAAAGGACGTTCGAAAATTGTAAACTCTAGCTTCGTTCCTCCAGGCTCTCTTTCAGCGAACCCGCTTGCGGGTTCGCATCCCTTGTTATTATAAAGGCAACCTTCCTGCCCCAAATCATCACGAGCGACGCTAGCACGTGATCTCTGCCTCATTCAGGGGACAAGCCACAGGCCTGGAACCGTAACAGTCTTACCCTAGAAAATACAGGTAAATCCGGAGTGTTTTATAGGTTATTTAACGACGAGACTGAGTGTTAGTACATATTCCGTACATCAGCTGGAATTTGAAAGTCGATGGTCCCGGTTCAATGATTTCATCGCGTCTAGGTCTCCTGAACCTATTCTAAATTTAGCACCTTCGACTCCACGTCCAACGAGCCGCCTTGTGTTTAAGGAATTCAAGCTCTCCCAGGCATTTCTCTAATTAACACTAACTAGTTAGGAACGCGGAAGTTTTAGATCGAAAGGAACATCCATGCCAAGGCAGATTTGAGCTTACTACGTACGTACGTTACAGAATCATACCCCAGGTTTTGTGCACTGCTTCCTCCTGCGCCTGCACCTCCTGAAGCTCCTTCTCCTCTCGCTCCATCTCGACAACCGAGATTTCTTCAAATCCGATCCGTTGGAGGATCTTCCAAGTTAAGTACCGGTAGGCAGTGTGGCCCGTAACCATATCGCTGACGTCCACGTTCTCGACCCCTTTCACGCCTTGGATCGCTTGCAGCCCAGCGATGCCGAATTGGATAGAGCTTCTCCTGTAGAGGAAGGCAAGGGTGTAGTCATTGTCAGAATAGACGTTGACCAGCCTGCCGGCAACCATAGCCCTCATTTTTCTCCAGTCTGCAGTCACTGGGCGTAGGTGCTCCCAACAAAGACGACGGACTCGACCAACCCGAAGGAGCATACAGTTCACCTCCCTCTCAGATGTGAGATGAACTTTCCTTCTTACACTACCTTCAACCTTGAACCAGCAGTAGTTCATCAAGATGTTGTTTAGTTCGTCTGAGAGCGGGCCGACCTGCAGCCTGCGTCATAGTAGATTAGGAATGGTGGTGGAGAAGAAGTCACATGAACATTAAGTCACGTGGTTTACGTTCGCAAACCCCTTCAAGCCAATCAGAGGGCAAAGAAGGATATTGATTCGACCACTTAAGTAACTCGTTACGCTCGTGATAAAGACCCTTGGTCCCTGTTCTTTTTCCCTTTCCTCTCATTGGTCGGCTCTCCCCAGGATTCAATCTTCAAAAGTTTCGAGTTCGACACGCGATGAACAGTCTGAACATTTCCACCACGCTCAACTTCCGGCTTACAATTGCGGACGGCAAAGATGCGGGCAAATCGTCTCGCTAGAGTATCAAATGATGCTCTGCGGGCATTTAGAACGCCAGCTTCACGCCCAAGAATAGAGCTTTGCTCTCAATGGCGCTGTAACAGCACATTTTCATTACCTTCAGTTTCACAGCGGACTGTCCAAAGAACAGGGCAATGGCAGTTGAGGAGACACCAGTCCTCCGAAGCCACCGCGACATTGTAGGCTCTGAATCCTATCTCATCCAAAGTTTACGACGCTAACTTAAAGTGTTGTAGAGCAGAACAGGCCTCGCAGGACCCATCGAGTCTCGGGCTAGATACCATCATCCAAAACCTTGACCCGGCCGAGGCTAAACGTCTCTCGCAATTGCGAAACATTGGAATCGCTGCGCATATCGATAGCGGTAAAACCACCTCCACCGAGCGCGTCCTTTTCTACACCGGCCGCATCGGGGCCATCCACGAGGTTCGAGGCAAGGATGCCGTGGGCGCGAAGATGGATTCCATGGACCTGGAGCGAGAGAAGGGCATCACCATTCAATCGGCCGCGACCTTCTGCGACTGGATCAAGAAGGAAGACGGGGTGGAGAAAAAGTACAACATCAATTTGATCGACACACCGGGGCACATTGACTTCACTATTGAAGTGGAGCGTGCTCTGCGGGTTTTGGACGGGGCGGTCATGATCCTGTGCGCCGTATCGGGTGTGCAATCGCAAACCATCACGGTCGACCGACAAATGCGGCGGTACAACGTGCCTCGGATCACGTTCATCAACAAGATGGACCGGATGGGAGCGAATCCGTTCAAGGCGATTGACCTGATCAATCAGAAACTAAAGCTTCCTGCCGCCGCGTTGCAGGTTCCGATTGGCACCGAAGATGCTTTCAAGGGAGTGGTGGACTTGATTCGGATGAAAGCGATCTATAACGAAGGCGTGGGCGGCATTGACATCGTCGAGACGGATGAAATTCCTCCGGAGGTCCAATCGTTGGCAGAAGAGCGGAGAGCGATGCTTATTGAGACACTTGCCGATGTGGATGATGAGATCGCGGAAATCTTCCTCGACGAAAAAGTCCCGACGCCGGAGCAAATGAAAGCCGCCGTAAGACGCGCGACCATCGCGCTCAAGTTCACTCCCGTCTTGATGGGTTCGGCATTGGCCGACAAATCGGTCCAACCGATGCTTGACGCGGTCTGCGATTACCTTCCGAATCCGTCAGAGGTGGAAAATCTGGCGCTCGATCGGGCCCAGAACGAAGCCCAGGTCAAGTTGCTCCCGTACAATTCCGAGGGCTTCGTCGGCTTGGCGTTCAAGTTGGAAGAGAGCAATTTCGGTCAATTGACGTACATTCGCGTTTACCAAGGCTCACTCCGCAAAGGGATGAACGTTTTCAACGCTCGCTCGGGTAAGAAGGTCAAGGTTCCACGCATCGTTCGGATGCACTCCAACGAAATGGAGGACGTGCAAGAGGTCGGCGCCGGAGAGATCTGCGCCGTGTTTGGAATCGACTGCGCGTCGGGCGACACGTTCACCGACGGTACTCTTGCATACACCATGGTAAGTGACGCCTCGTGCTGCAGCTTCCCGATGTGATGTCTAACTGCTCATTGTAGACGTCCATGTTCGTTCCGGAACCGGTCATTTCGCTATCCATCAAACCGAAGCACTCCAAAGACGGGACCAATTTCAGCAAAGCCATCAATCGTTTCCAGCGCGAAGATCCGACCTTCCGCGTCCACGTCGACGCCGAGTCGCAAGAAACCATCATCTCCGGCATGGGTGAGCTGCATCTTGAGATCTACGTGGAGCGCATGAGGCGCGAGTACAAAGTCGAATGCACCACGGGCCAGCCGCAAGTCGCCTACCGCGAAACCATCACCGCCTACACCCCGTTCGACCACCTCCTGAAAAAGCAAACCGGTGGCGCGGGAGACTACGCCCGCGTGATCGGCTGGATGGAGCAGAACCCCGGCGAGAAGGAGAACCACTTCGAGAGCCAGATCACCGGCGGCACGATCAGCGAGAAGTTCCTCTTCGCGTGCGAGAAGGGATTCAAGGAGTCCTGCGAGAAGGGCCCGCTGATCGGCCACCGCGTGCTCGGCGCCAGCATGGTGATCAACGACGGCGCCACGCACATGACCGACTCGTCCGAGCACGCCTTCCAGAACGCCACGAAGCAAGCGTTCCGCAAGGCGTTCGTTGCGGCAAAGCCGCAGGTGCTGGAACCCATCATGAAGACCGAGGTGACCGCGCCCACCGAGTTCCAGGGCTCCGTGGTCGCGCTCCTCAACAAGCGCAACGCCGTCATCGCAGACACGGAGACCGGCGTCGACGACTTCACCGTGCTGTGCGACTGCAGTCTGAACGCGATGTTCGGGTTCAGCTCCCAGCTGCGCGCGGCCACACAGGGGAAGGGCGAGTTTTCCATGGAGTTCAGTCACTATGCGCCGGCGCCGCCGCAGTTGCAGCGGGAGTTGGTGGAGAAGTATCAGAAATCTCAGACGGAGAAGAAGAAGTAGGGGGCGGTGGGGTCTGCGTTGGAGCGATCTTGTACATTGCATGTAAGCTAAATATGGGCGTGCACACCGCACAGGGAAACTTTGGATGTATAAGTAGGTACCAAGGCATCGTATGGTTGTAGAAATCGGCAATGGCGCATTGTAAATCATGAAAGGGACTCCGCTCTCGAATTCAATTTGATTGCACTGTTTCCGCTGAATGTACCTGATCTTTTATATGAGTTGAGCTATGTTCTCGTCTGGACGTGGCGAAAATGATCAACTACGAATCGTGCCTTCAACAGGATTCATTAACATTGACCTGTGCCATTCGCAGAGAATGGAAACCAAACCGTCCGCTACATAAGTCCATCATAATGTCTCGTCACCATCCTATGCTTGCGAAGGGATATTTTATCCGAAAGATCAAATCCTCCCTCCTCCCGCTCATTCGTGATAGCCCTCCATGGTAAGCGATCGAGAACTCCTCCGTTTCATAGGTCTCTCATTCGCTTCGGGATAGGCCTGTGGCCTCTTCCTCCCTACCGCGGTGGAATGCGTCGAGCGCCCATCGTTGTCGATGCCTGGAATCCCCGAGCCGTTGGAGAGTAGCGCAGCGAGCTCCATATCCTCACCCGTCGTCATACCATGCGCAACATCTTCCAGTTTCTTGATAGCCTCGTTCATGGTGTGGCGCCTCTTGTCATCTACCCCTTGACGACGGCAGATCATCCTTTCCAAAGTCTGGTCGCGTTCGGCAAGGCGGTGCTTGAGGGTCTCCAGCTCCTTGGCTTCGCGCGCCTTTTCGTCCTGGAACACTTGGATCTGGCTGGTGTGGTGCTGGATCTCACGGTTAGCGGAATCGATGGTACTCTGGAGGTTCTGCCGCATCTGATCCCAGGATTGTGCCGCGTCTAGGAGCCGGTCCTGCAGTTGGAGGTATTCCGATGCTTGCTCGCTGATGTGCTCTTCTCGGCCCCTGACCGTTCGCGCGAGCTCCTGGTTTTGCTTCTCGATTTCCCGCAGCCGCATGTTAAGGGATTCGATGGTCTGTTCCAACTCGGCAATCCGGCCCCTACTCTTCTGAGCATTGACTGCATCGATGCGAGTCTGTTCGGTAAGCGCTTCCTGCACGTCTTTCAACTGTTGATCTTTTCGCATAAGCGACTCTCGAAAATCACGCGCGAGCGAGTCCGAAGCACCCTGAAGATGGCCCATTTTACGCTCATTGGCTTCCATCTCTGCGTTTTTGCTCTTCAAGGCATCCTTGAGGATGGAAATTTCCGAGTCCTTGGTCGTTACCTGTTCGCCCCTTTTTCTCTCGGCCTCGTGAGCCTGACGCATCTTTGCAATAAGGATTTCCTCGGTCGCCGACGCTCGCTTCTGCGCATCGGCAACGCGGTCGATCTGCTTTTCGATTTGGGCTTTGAGGTCATCTTCCGCATGAGACGCGGTGATGTGGGCGGATTCGGCATCGCGTAGCTGCGAGGCAGTCGCTTCCATCCCCTTTCGCAGGGACGCCATATCATTTCGCATGGATTCCATCTCTTCCTCCAGCTCGCGCCTCTTTTGTTCGGCCTTCTCTGCCTGCTCGAAGGCATCCTCTTTGGCGAGGTCTGCAATCTTTCGATCCTGGTCTAAGAGTCGGATCTCATATTGAAGTTCGCATTTCTCGTCCGCAGCTCTCTGAAAATCCTGATTGAGCTCTACAACCAGGTTCTCCAGCTCCTGGACCTTGGTGTTGAGATCGGAGGCCTGCTGTTCCAGGTCAGAATTTGATTGCTGGAGAGATTCCACAAGAGTCCGCTGTCCGTCAAGCCTACTCTCATGCACATCTTGTTGGGACTGGACGAGGTTTTCGAGCACCTTGATCTCAGTCCGATAAGAATTGGCGCAGTGGGTGAGACGTGACCTGGTATCTTCGGAATCAGCCAGCTCTTGTGCCAATGTTTTTGCGTATTCCTTCCACTCCGTGATCTTCCTGGTGCGTTCGTCCAGTGTGCGATCGCATATGGCCTGGGTGTTTTCCAGAGCTATCCGTCTCTTCCCCTCTGCGTGCACTTGACTGGACAGCGCATCGATACGTTGATCGCTTTCATGCGCCAGAGCAGTGAGGTGTGAGATCTGCACTTTGGCCGCTTCCAGCAAATCCAGTCCATGATCTTGTGCATCGTCTAACTTTTCAGCCAGGTTCTTGCATCGTCTCGGGCCATCTGCTGCTAATGATTGTTCGCACGCAAGGGAGAAAGCAGTCGATGAGCCGTCGAGAGGGGTCGGGGTTCCTGGTGTTGGGGTTCCTGGGGTCGGAGTTCCTGGGGCCGGTTCAAATATCGATTCAAGATCCATGTCGTCTCCATCTTCTGATCGGGATTCAGCGAGACACACCGTTTCACGAAGCAGCTCCACTTCTCGCTCAAGCTCACGGATCCTATCTTCCTCATCCCCAATATTGATCCCGCGTTGTCTCTGAAGTTCCAGTTCCAGTTGCAGTTCCTCAATCATGCCTTCTCTCTCGCGAAGCTTTTCGCGGGTTTCGTTGAGATCGTTTTGTCGTCCACGTGCGCGGCTCTCAACATTATTCTGTTCTTCTGAGAGGTGAGATCGGCGTAGCCATCTCCGGGTTCTGTTTGACAACCGCTGTTCCAGTGGACTGAATTGGATGGTGGTCGAAAGGTGGGGACCCGTATTTGGCCTTTGGTTCGAGCTTGTGGGTGTGAGAGGATGTCCATTTCGTGTAGTTTGGAGCGGTATAAGCGATGTCCGGCGAACGGACGGAGTGAGCCCAGTTGCAGCGGAGGTAGGAGTTGGAGGAAGTTCAGCGGTAGCCATAGAGAATTCGGCTTTCTTCTCGCTGGTATCTTGTTCTGAGTCTCTCATGTGGACATTGTCACTCAGCGGAGTGCGCTCCATGATGCTGGGTCCTTTCAACGGAGCGAAGCATTCAATGTTGGACTGATAACTATTGTGGCTATTATTGGTATGGATCGCTTGGAAGTATTCGATGCACGGATTGTGTGCTTACCTGACTTTAGCCTAAGGGTAGATTTATGCAAAAGTCACGTACAGATCAGTCAACCTGTACCTGACAGGTTGACGCGGAGGGGTCCTAGTTGAGACTTGAGGTGAGTACGTCTCAGAGACGGTCACAATTAAACCTGGCCAGTCAGAAAACGAGAAAGGAAACAGCTGACTGAAGCGGAATAATAAGATACGTGTAGTAAATCTTGCAGCGAGGTGGCAGATCTGCTTTGTTGTGAGTCGGCGGTACGTTGGTTTCAGAAGTGGTTGCAAACGCGTCGACGTGTAGGGGGTTCTTACTTTTCCCCGCCAGACACCATCGTTATCAGATCCCCCCGTGCTAATAAAGATGCCCACAACAGATACAATACCAAGTTAAGCCGTCTCCCTAGAGTCTAGACACCATCATCATACATGTATGCACCTTGAATTCGCCTATAATTACAGCACACTTGGTGTTGACACGAAGCTGACGCGCTGCACGTGACCGACAACCTCAATATATGGCGATGAAGTATCGGCTTATGAACTGTCTTGCTAGCCGTGAAATATAGTGAGTATTCTGAATTATTAAAGATCGAATGCCTCAAATGACAGACACCATGATAATGAATACTATGAAGGCCGGTACAGTGTAAGTGTAAAGTTTCCAGTTGGGCCAGCCAGGCCATACATAGAAGTCGACAGGATGGCTTGGATCCTGGAACAGCCGAACTGTACCCGAACGATATCGGCCAGATGGTGACATGGTGTTTTAGCTGCGCCAAGGGGAATTTTTCCCCATTCACGCAATTCCCATCCCATCTCTTTCAGGCGGCATAAGGAGATATGGTTTTAAAAACACTTCGAATCGGTGAGCAATTAGCAAAAGTATTCATAAATGTTCCCATTGGCTTACAATTCCCCCCACAGGCCTAATCCCCGGCGATGGCATCGGCAGGGAGGTCATACCAGCCGCACGCCGAGTCCTGGAGGCGTTGCCGGCATCGCTGAAGCTCAAGTTCGAGTTCACCCACTTGGATGCCGGTTTCGAGACCTTCCAGAAGACTGGAGCGGCTCTGCCTGACCGGACGGTCGAAGTGTTGAAGAAAGAATGCGATGGAGCCATGTTCGGCGCTGTCAGGCAAGCTATCCTATCCACGCGCCTTCCGGTCCAAAGATTCTAACTCCAAAGTAGTTCACCAAGCGTCAAGACTGCAGGATACTCGTCTCCGATTGTCGCTCTGCGGAAGCGTATGAACCTCCATGCCAATGTCCGCCCAGTCAAATCCACCCTCTCCCGATCCGCCACGACTGCGCACCTTAAGCCCATCGATCTCGTCATCGTCCGCGAAAACACCGAAGATCTCTATGTCAAGGAGGAGAGGACCTATGATACTCCGGATGGGCCGGTTGCCGAAGCCATCAAACGGATATCAACCAAAGCGAGCCGAAAGATCGCGACAACCGCCGGGGAGATCGCATTGCGACGACAGAGAATCCGTGATTCCACCGGGGTGAAACCCAATGAAGGGCAGACCGCACCGCGTGTGACCATCACCCACAAGAGCAACGTGCTGAGCCAAAGCGACGGACTCTTCCGAGAATGCGCGCAGGCAGTGCTGAAGCAGGACCAGTTCAAGAGCCTCATTGTCGACGAACAGATTGTGGACTCGATGGTCTACAAGCTGTTCCAGGTGCCCGAATCCTACGATGTCATCGTTGCACCGAATCTGTACGGTGACATCCTCTCCGATGGGGCGGCGGCGCTGGTTGGGAGCTTGGGTCTGGTGCCCTCGGCGAATGTCGGAAGCGACTTCGTCATCGGCGAGCCGTGTCACGGTTCGGCACCGGATATTGAAGGGAAAGGGATCGCCAATCCCATTGCTAGCATCCGAAGCGCTGCTTTGTTGTTGGAGTTCCTTGGGGAAGAGCAGGCGGCTGCGGCGGTGCACCAGGCCGTCGACGCATGTCTGGAAGAAGGCCTCATCATCACTCCCGACCTTGGAGGGAAGAGCAGCACGGAAGAGGTGCTGTTGGACGTTTTGAAGAGGATGTAAATAAGACGATTATTCAAAGTATCTTGCCTTGTGGCAGGTCTTGTTGGACATCTGAGCGACCAAGATACATGTGACCGGAAACACGGGATGCTGACACTAGAAACAGGGTTCCCTCCGGACCAACAGCCTATTGTCACGGTTTCTACGGAATATTCGTTGTTCTTCTGCAGTTCATTTTTCATCTGTTTTTGCAAACGTCAAGACTCAAGATAGGACTGGTGGTGGAGTCCTAAGGGTCCGGAATTTGCATGGGACAGAATTAGTCCCTTCGACGTCATTCCACCCTCTCATCCAAAACGAACCTCGCCGTTCCTCACCAGCAAGGGCCATACATGACCGCGTTCGCGCGTCACCTACCTTCCCGACTTTCGCCTCAATGTTTGAACTTCCTAGTCGCGGCGAATTCACCTAAAGTCTCTACTATTTTTATTTTGAGTTGATCTTGCAAATTCCTAGATCTCGTTCAAGTCTCGTATCCCTCGTTTTTCTTCCTCCCCAGCCCCAGCTTGTCATCTCCACCATTTCGTTCCTCCGGCCCCTTGCTAGGACTCCAGGTGAAAAAGACCTCATCCTCATAGCACATCATGGCTCAACCTATCCACAGCTCGATGACCGACCCGCATAGCTGGCTGCTACAGGTCACCATCGGGCAAAACTACGACAGCTCAACCCACGAAGTCGTCACCGTCAACCGCGATGAACCATATCATGTGTCGACCGACGACCTCGAAGCCGATGTTTATGTCCGAATACGTGACTTCAGAGGTGCCATCTCTCTTCGGGAATCCCACGAGTACTTTTAGGTTGATTATATGTACAGGACTCCCCGAAGATTCACCAAAATCTTCCTCCTACTTCTCTCATCCCAATCACAAGAACGATCGCTATTCAATATCGTTGTCGTTTCGTCCCAAATGGCCGATAAACGGAAGCGATCTTGTCTGGGGTAATGATTTCGACCACCCTGTCCGTGATATGCTCCCCCCAGGATTCAGCTACGCTTTTAAATTTGTTAAATGGTGGCTCGACCCGGGTTTAGAAGGCAATCCATATGCCGACGAGCCCTGGCTTTATGGGCCGATTCTATCGAGCATGAACGCAATCTGGGTGGGGGATAAAGTGGGTGAATCAAGAGAAAAGGATCAGACGGAAACACAGGATCAGCATCATGCGAATGGGCATGGAAGTCCTAGCGTTCGGAATTCGGCCGATGGAGCGGAAAATCAACAAAATTCCGCGAACAGCCTCGACGCAGATCTAAACATTGAGGAAACATTCGATGGCTTCGTCCCCATCGAAGGCGCTAGCCAGTCAGGTCGGAGCATCCGAGAGGACCACAGTATTCCCTCCGATCCCTCTGCCCGACGGAAACACTTCCTCGACCCCGAACGTCGTTCCTCATTTGTCTTCGAACCCGATCGCGAATACCGCTGCGATTTCCACAACGAATTCCTCGACTTCTCCGACTTCTCCCTCAAGCTGCCGGGATTCTCGCTGAATGTCATCCGACATCTTGGCAGGCACCTGAAGCGAGACCACACGCTGCGATACGTGCTGAAGGACAAAGGACGGAACAAAGAGTTGCTCGTTGTGCTTTTCACCTTGATCCCGGCCGATGGGAGTGAATTTGCTGAGTGGGTGGACGATGTCGAGTCCACGTCAGTAAAAGGTTCGGATGAGGATAAAGATGACAAAGACGAGGACAAAGACGAGGATAGCGTAGATGAAGGTGTCGATTGATTTGTACAAACGAGCATGTACCATTGTCAGCATGCGAATACCCTTAGCGAAACGGAAATCTGCATTATCGTGCTTCACCTGCGGGAGCATCGGTACAGAGACTAGCGAAATTGCCTTCCGGTTTTTGCAGCTGCCAGCTCTGGAAACTTTCAGAGCAAAGCCTCCTTACAGGTCTTGGCGTAAATTATACGCATCGATTCTTGGTGATCGGTACTCCGCAGTATTGTTCCAGCCGCTACCTAAATGTTTTCCAAATCGGTGCTTTACAAATTGCATCACGTGAACAAGAATGATCTTCATGCGTCGAGCAATTCAGCAAAGCGGCTTGGTTGTCTTACAAGGCTGGCGTCAATCATGCACCACCTCTCCCTAGCCTTATCCGCATTTCCCAGTCTACAGTCGCGTCCCCATCATGTTTCATTTGCTTCTTGACAAGAAATGATGTTTGAGTCTATCGAAAAACTCATTTGGTGGAACACTTCCCGGTTCAAGCAAAAACCATGCGTCTATTGAAGCGCAGTGGCAGTGGCCAGTGGGGGACTGAGCCTGACAAAGGACCTGGTTGACGACGATATCCCTCAAAAATACGCCATATTCTCGCATACATGGATACGTGATGAGGAGGTCACATCCGAAGACTTTACAAAAGGGATGGGAAAGCACAAAGATGGGTATAAGAAGATCGAGTTCTGTGGAGAGCAGACCGTTCGCGATGGCTTGGAGTACTTCTGGGTGGACACCTGCTGCATCGACAAGTCAAACAACACCGAGCTATCGAAGGCCATCAACTCTATATTTCGGTGGTATCGCAATGCGACACGATGCTATGTCTATCTGTCGGATGTTTTGGGACCAGTCTCTGGCGCAAACAACTCGGAGTGGGAGATGGAGGCGGAGATGCACGAAGCTCTGCGTAAAGTGCGTCAGGATCAGGAGAACCATAACCCCCTTGACAAAGCAACGAACCCCTTTAATAAAATCTTCCTTGCCTATGAGACCATGTGGCGAGTGGTTTTGCACGGTTTTCTGGAGGTCAAGTTTCGCAATGCCCCGGACCAACCCATCTGGCTCCAAAGTTTGGAGAGCATCTGCCAACAGGGTATGACACCGTCGAGAAAGTGGCAAAAGCTCGGATTGTGAACATCTCATGCGTCCATATTACTTGACTGTATAATATTCATGCAGGAAGAATTAAAAAAATCGATATAGACTTAGCGTTTGCCGAGTCCATTCTAGGCCGAGCAGGCAAAGCCCTCATCCAATCTTTGCCCCTAATCTGCATCATTCGTGGGAAACATTTCAGATGCAGCTGCGATGTTCTGCTATCTTCCAAATCCTGGCCCTGCGGTGCTGGCAGGCCGTAGTGTTTGACAATATCTTCACGGGGTCTCTCCTTCGGATGTAAACAAAGGATCCCAACCTTCATAGCGCACCTTGATCTCCAAATAGGTAGCCGCCAAAGACATACCCGAACGTCACAGTGGGTATAATCCCCCAAGCTTGGATGTTGGAGCCAAAGCATCATAGACTCGACGGCTCATGGTAGTATGGAATATCCATGACCATCAGCTATCCATAAGAATAATGTGATGAGACCAATCATCCCGTTCGTGGTATATCGACAACATCCAAGCTGTGCCAAGCCATGGGATAATAGGATCGGATTTTAGATCGGGTATATGATCTGTCCACCATGCTTCGTAGAGTCGTTTGGCGGCACTTGGTGGCGACTGAGTCGAGTGTGATGATCCTCCAGCGATGAAAGGGTTGGAAATGATCCTGGGATGAAAGGATTGAAATGATCCCTCGTCATGGGAGAAAGGTAGCGGTTCTGCGGGCATTTGTGTCCATTTTTTCCATGCAGTGCTTATCCATTCCAACCAAATCTTCGCCATGCTTGTCTTGCAAGTGGGTTTCCGGCCCAGCCCATTTGACCGTCGTATGCTCTAGCCGCAACAGCCTGGTCCTCCCAGTACTGCCACTCTTGATGCCAACGCCCTGACCAGTGCTGAATATCATCGACGGTTCCGTCGATGCCCCGATTCCACACATATACGCCAGCTACTGCGACTGTAAAATAGATCGCAAGCCGGAAGAAAAACAAAACCCAAGATACCAGAGTTCGACGAAGCATGTCCAGGATTTTGAGGGAGAGGAATACGACGACGAGAAGTAGCGCGATCGAGGCAAGGTCGGGTTTCGCTATAACGGGTTCGATCAAGGCCATCAGCGCGTCTTTTAGATAGAAGACGACGGAGGTTCCGCGACTCATGATGCGTGGGCTATACTGGTGGAATATGTAGTTCGACCACTCTGATTGCTGTCAGTTACTGGCTCAATTGGTGTCGCTGATGAGATGCGAAAGTTACCAACCTTGGACGAGATCCATGGTATGTGATATGAGTGTATTCTCCAGTATGTAAGTCCCCTCAATGTGTTGAAGACCGAGATCAGTCATGCACGTCACACAGGTGAAAGGAACATCAGTGTCTCTGAAGCTCCAGTCAAGACCTGACAGCCAATATGTCCTAATTAGCAAGGACAATCCAATCTCCCCAGAAAGCCTAATTAGTGTTTACGGTACATATGTAACAAGTAGTTAAGTAGGTATCTTAAACCACCGGAAGCAACTCATGTCCTTGATGTCGGAGTGTTATGCAGTGGGGAGAGATTACTAGTTTAGAGTACCGTTTGTTCCTTGATGATCTGCATCTGGACTCTGGAGTAATGATAGTGTAGGTCACGTGCCCTAACATTGCGACCTTACCATTTTGTTTTCCACCTGTTTCCAACAACAACCAGGTATGGGTAAGCAAAGGACTTAAAACAGGTGGATCTCAGATGAGCAGAGCAATCCGAATATAAAAAATCTCTCTAAGCGAGTCTGATGTGTTGTCATATCCTGGTTTACTCGATGCGCTGATGCCTTTTCAATGTGTAATGCTGGGTACAGCCTACATATACAGCTATGGTGGTCAATGATCATCACGCCACCACAAGACTGTGTTCAGCATTGAGGTTGTGGACAGACTAATAAGCCATCACAAGTATACTTTTGACAAAGCCAAGCAAACTGCTATCATAACTTTCAAGTCACGTCACTTAAAACCAAGGATATGCTTACCATCTTTGCTCCCGATCAACCGAACATGGGCAAGGGGAAGTCGCCAGTGTCCCGGCGGAGGAGAGCGACCCAAGAACGCCTAGCCCTTGGAAAACATCATGCCACAAATTGGATAGTAAGGTAGATCGTGACAGGGCTGTAGGAGATTAGTATCGAGATGTGAAAACTTAAGGTGTTGGGATGTTCGAGTTAACTATATAAAGCGATGGCTGCCGTGCTGTGTCTCCGTGATGACAAGCAACAAGACGACAGGAAATATACATCATACTATATTACACTAACACAATATGAAGCCGTTAAAAGTTCTGAACGTGTTCGCCAGAAGTCGAACGCCTCCGTTAGATGAAGGAGATCCAATATCCATCCCTTCAAAGGACGAGAAAGGCAACAATCATGATCCACTGCCAGATCCAGACGTGGGATTAAACGTTGAGGAAAGGGCACAATTGGTATTCCAACTTGAATCTGCAATTCTTATGCCTGAGCTGACTGAAACCATCATAGGACAAGAAACTTGTTCGAAAACTCGACTGGAAATTAATCCCATGGGTATATCTCTCCCTGTTCTACTGGCGCAGTGTCTAACCACTATAGCTTTCTTTATTATATCTCATCTCCTTCCTGGACAGAGCGAACATCGGCAACGCCCGGATATATGGCCTGGAGGAAGACCTGGGGATGTCTGATACCCAATACAGCATCGCCCTGACCGTCTTCTTCATCAGCTATTCCGTGTTCGAGCCGGCCACGAACGTCATGCTCAAGCAATTCCGTCCCCGAATCTTCATCCCGGCGATCATGGTCGTCTGGGCCATCATCATGACGTGCATGGGGCTGGTCCAGAACTACGGTGGCCTGCTCGCCGCGCGGTTCCTGCTTGGAATGGCGGAGGCGGGCTTGTTTCCGGGGGTCAACTATTACCTATCCTGCTGGTACAAACGATCCGAGTTCGGCGTTCGCGCGGCGATCTTCTTCTCCGCGGCCGCGTTTGCGGGTTCATTCGGGGGATTGCTGGCCGCCGCAATCGCACAGATGGATGGCGTGGGAGGGAAGCCGGGGTGGGCGTGGATTTTCATCCTCGAGGTTTGTTAATCTGCCGATTTCCGACCGCGTGCACTGACATGATCAGGGTCTTGCATCGATTTGTTTTGGGATCGCATCCTACTGGATGGTTCAAGATTTCCCAAGCGACGCCACGTTTCTCGACGAGAAAGAGAAGCTACGGGTCCTCCGCCGACTGAGAGCAGATAAGCAAGCCAGCTCAAAGCATGAGAAGTACCACAACACTTTCGCGAAGCAGGCGCTGTCGGATTGGAAAACCTACCTGTTCATGATCATCTACGGCGGCAGCGCGGGCAGCCTCTATGCATATTCGCTCTTCCTGCCCACGATCATCAAAGAGATGGGCTACACGTCCACGAAAGCGAACTTGCTGTCCGTCCCACCGTACGCAGCGGCGGCCGTCCTGACCATCCTGGTGGGCTGGCACGCCGACAAGACGAACAAGCGAGCCCGTGCCAACACCGCCATCCCCCTCCTTGCCGTCATCGGGTTTGCCATGCTTCTTGGCTCCGATAACGCCGGCGTCAAGTACACGGGGACGTATTTGGCGGCGCTGGGCATCTATCCCACCATCTCGAACACGATCACGTGGGCAAGCAACAATGTCGAGGGAGTTTTCAAACGTGGCATCGTCCTAGGCATGGTAATCGGGTGAGTTCACGCTATAAAACTGAGTGAAGAACCACTGACATATGGAAATAGTTGGGGGAATTTGAACGGAATCGTGGCGAGCAACATCTACAAAGCGCAGGATGGGCCGCGCTTTATCGTCGGCCATTCGGTCGTCCTAGCCTACATCGTCGTGTTCCTCTTTGGTGGCAGTGTTGTCACGGCTGTTTCTCTCACCACTGAAAACAAGAAACGACGGAATGGGCAGAGGGACCATTGGGTGGAGGGTAAGAGCCCGGATGAAGTAGAGCAGCGTGGAGATAAGAGGTAAGACCTTTCCCAAACACCCGCAACTAGAGGCTGACGGAGTTAGACCGGATTTCATTTATGTTGTGTAAAGTACACTTTTACCTAGTTAGTGGTAGCTGGGTGTAGATATCATGGGTTCTTCGATTTGATTCCCGGTACTTGGGTTAGACATTTTAGTGACGGGCACTATATGGCCTGAGATCTAATGGTAGTTATAGATAATAGTATTAGCTGATATATAGACAGTGCGTTAAGACATGGTAGTCTATAATTTTAACAGAAATGATTTTATTATACTCTTTTGATGCCTTGTGGAAACACTGTGTTTCAGAACGTAGCTTGTATCAAGGTCCTACGGTCCCATAGGAGTTTCGCTCCTTGGATTGTTTCGATGCTCCTTACAACTAGATCAAAGGCGCAAACTATAGGTGATGATGGAGTCGAGGCTCTTGAGCTTCTAGTTCGTGGTGGGATTTCAGTCTCTGGTCTACCTGAAGAACAGGACTGATGCGTGCTTAGATTGCAGGTATTCTCTTTCAATGCTTTACTCTGGTCAAATATCAGTCGAGACTTAGTCTGCATGACGCCAACTCGAAGAAAACGGTATGAAGAGAACGCTTTTAATATTTGAACGGGATGGCGACGCCGTCCAAGAAACCGATCATCGATGACGATTCATAATTAGCCGGCCGAGCCAACGTGCCAGGTCCGCCCGTATTCCATCTGCATTATCCAATCTCCGCAGCCGTCAGAATCGCGGGATCGAAATCCGCGCCGCGCGCAGGTCAAATGACTCTCAAGAAAATCCGAAAGATATGGTACATCAAGACATCAAGGTATGGACTCCATGCGCGAAAAAAAAGACAATGACTCCCGCCGTTTTGAAACGCCGAACAACCCCCGTGTGAACCAATCGAACCCGGCCGTGGGCGCGCGGTCTGACGTTTCCAGAACATCATGACAGCCGCCCGGAACTTTTGGACGGATTCCCAATGCGGCCCTATCGTGCATGCAGACACGGAGTCTACTGCTCCGCATGGGTCCGAAGCCAACCTTTGAGGAGAACCAAAAAGGACGCCGATACTCGGGCGTGAATAGAAAGCGCAACATCCACGCGCATTCAAAATCTCCCTGTGGTACCGAGCCGGCCGACCAGATCCCGCAACCCGGCACGGATCCACCACTCGTCATCGATATCTTCGCGCTGCGCCAACCGCGCCAGCACGCTCTGCACCTCCTCCAAGTCCGGGTCCATGAGATCTTCCGGCGCCGCGAATTCTGGATCCGCTCGCATCCCGTCGATGACGTCCTGCTCAGTCACGACGTGGGGGCGCTGTCGGCGCCGCGCGCGGTCGCGATCCATCGCGTGGCTGCGGCGGACGGTGCGTGGGGAGAGGGGGCGCTGGGCAGGGGGGAGGTAGTGGAGAGCGTCGGTGTGGGCGGGCATCGGGGAGCGGGAGCCGGGGAGGATGCGGGGTGGGCGGGAATGGAACCCATATGCGTCGGGCGCGAAGTGGATCCGTTCGGGGCCATCGGTTGGGTCTTGCGCGTGGGGTATGAGGCCGACATGGGGCTCGCGGCGCGTGCGTAGGTTGTGTGGGGCGTCGAACGCAACGGTATCGAGCGGATGAAGACGGGGGGGAGCGGTTGGGGCTCGGGGTGGCATGGACGAGGGTTGAGATCGAAGGGGGTCAAGAGGTGCGGTGGATTGATCGCGGAAACTAGGATTTCCGCTCGGGAGGGGATTGGTATCTCCATCGATATCCGTATCTTGATCGCAATCGGATACAGAATCGGTGGTGTAGTGCCGAACCCTATAGGACGGAACAGGGGGAGGTTGACGACGATCGGATCGTCGCGAGTGCTCCGGGAGTGGCTCTTCATCCTCCGAGGACTGGTTAAAAGGCACGGTCAAATGGGTTTGCGAAGAACGAGCCGAGTACGAGGTGCTGTTCGAGCGGGAATTCGACTGCGACCGAGAATCCGACCCTTCGCGTGGGTTTGATTCCGGGCGGGCTCCTGAAAAAGATGCGGTTGCGACGGCAGTGGTGAAGGATGAACCTGCACTGGGAGGATGAGGATCCGGAGTGATGGTCGTTAGCATCGTTTCCCAGCTGTCCTCGTCTGGAGGGAGGCTTCGCTCGCGGTCACCCAATCCATCAACACGAGCTCTGCTCGAGTTTCCTGGGACCTGGGTTTCCTCACGACCCGACGGATCCGCAAGGTCATTGACGGAGCGTCCACTCATGCGGCGCAAGGGTGGAAAGTCATCGGGGTACCCGAACGGCGTCGAGCGCGACGTCGACGTTTGGCTATCTTGACCGGAAATTTCAGCGGGAGGGAGGCTAGCAACGTGCAGTCGTTGACGCGCATCTAATCTGCTCTCGGCCAACTGCCTGTATGTATCACGATCCTGCGCGTCGCCGAAGGAGACGGCGGTTGACCGGAGCAGCTGGGCCAGGTTGGCGCCGGAGGAATGTTGGAAATTTTGGAGCTCGTCCAAGGACGTCCATGCCGAACGAGGATCGTACGGTCGACGAGATCTCTCGGTCGCGGAACCAGAGATGGTGCCTGAGGCGACGTGCACGCGTCGATGAGGGGCAGCACGCGATACCTGGGGTGAACGACGTCGGCGAATGGGGGATCGTTGTGCGACAGACGCATCGGCTCTTGCTTTGGCGGTGTCAACCGGCACAGGAGCTTTCCATACTCTAAAGACGCGATATGACGGTCAGTGGGGATCCCTCAATTGACGCAACGCATGATTTTGGACTTCGTTTTGGACTTCATTGTGATGCGCACGGTCTTGCGACGGGGCTGGAGGAACAATGTCGGGGTAAACATGAACCATGACTTACGGGAGACCCATGATGGCGCGTGGGGTTCCGAACGAGACTGCGCGGGTGTGAAAAGACAACGAGAAGAAAGTATTGAGGAGAGGAGAGGAAATCACAAGAATATGAAAAGATAGCGGCCGAGAGATATTGACGCGAGAGAAGGGGAAGCAGATGGAGGATGGAAAGGCGGATTTAGGCCGGGCTGCGGCTCTCTGGTGATGTGATGATGTGTGGAGGGTGGAGTTTCTGGGGGTTTTGCGCGAGGCTGAGACGAGGAGGAGGACGGGGGGAAGGTAGGGAGGGAGGTGGTGAATTGGTGGTGAATTGGGGGGAGGAAAAAGAAGCGCGAAAGGCGGAGGGGGCTGGTTCTCAGGCGATGAGGCGATGAGGCGATAAGTGAGGTGTGCACCACAGTTTTTTGCGTTTCAATACAACTTATCCTCATCGATGATTGGACCCCTTGTCTTAGTATTGTAATGTATCGCAGCGTAAGGAATATGAAATTCAGCCACAACGGCAGCCCAGGCCCCTGGTCGACCCTGGGAGATGGTAGTCTGGGCAGTCTCGGCTGCGCGTCTATCCGCCAATCGCTCCACCTGAGTCATGTTCATCAAAACATCGCAGCAGATCCTGCGTCAAGCTGCGAGCCAGCATAGGCAGTTGCATCAAGAAAACATATCAGATCTCATTCAAGCTCTCTCACTCCTATAACCTGCTACAAGGAGGCAACCATGGGTTTGGAATGTTGAGTCAATGGCGATAATGACGCGTTCTCAAGGTTTACAATTCTCTGTTTCCTTTACCCCGACATGATCGACTTAGGTCTATCCCGGATTACCCGACTTCTGGAGCCTCTCCTGTCATCAAAGCTATCATGGCATGCCGTTCACATTGCCGGGACTAATGGCAAGGGGTCGATCGCTGCATATGTCTCGACCATGCTTCGCCATGCCAACGTTCGTGTGGGGAAATTCACCTCCCCTCATCTCATTGATCGCTGGGACTGCATCGCGATCAATGGCAGGCCGGTCAGCGAGGGCTTGTTTCGATCGGTCGAGGATCTGGTCATAGCGAGGAATCGACAGGACGAGATCCACGCAAGCGAGTTTGAGGTTCTCACTGCAACGGCTTTTGAGCTCTTCTCCCGCGAGCGAGTCCAAATCGGCGTCATCGAATGTGGGATGGGAGGCGCCAGGGATGCCACGAATGTGCTTCGTCCCGAGCATGTGGCCGTCAGTGTCGTCGCCAAGATAGGACTCGATCATCAGTCGTACTTAGGCAACACGATTGACGAGATTGCGAAAGAAAAGGCCGGGATCCTCAAGCGAGGGGTTCCGTTTGTACTTGACTTTTCGAATCCGTCGAGTGTCCTCCAGGTCATCCGCAACGTCGGTCGCGATGTTGGAGCTCGGGATGCGGACGGCATAAGCACACCGCATCCGCCATGGGATCTGGACTTCCAAACCTATCTCGAGCAATCTCGACTTCCTGTGCACCAGCAGCAGAACCTTCGATGTGCATACGAGGCCGTGAAATGCATCTGGCCGATGCTCGGCCTTGGACCGATTCACGGACCAGATCTGCTTCGTGTGTCGAGGTCGCTGTATATGCCAGGACGACTTCAGAAAGAGGACATCTCGTCAATCACGGGCAAGCACACGTTCGCGCTTGTGGACGGCGCTCACAACTCACAGTCAGCCGATGCCTTGGCAGACCATGTAGACTCCAACATCCGAACCAGTGACGGAACCTCGGACCTGCGCCCAGTCACCTGGATATTGGCCTTCTCCCAAGGCAAGTCCATTGCGACCATATTGAACCGACTGGTTCGTTCTAGAGATCGCATCATCGCTGTGGAGTTCGGTCCTGTGGATGGCATGCCTTGGGTCCAACCCGTTCGACCCGAAGATCTGGTTCACGAAGTCGTGGAGTTGCATCCGGATGTTCATACGACGCTGTGCAGCCGAGATCTGAAGCGTGCCATGATGCTTGCCAGCGATCAAGCGGACTTGCCAATCGTTATTGCAGGCAGTTTGTATCTCGTTGCTGACATTATGAGACTGCTGAAAGCTGAAGATCCGAATCATCCTCTGAACGCAGCGGATGAGTCTGCTTAATTATACCCTATTCTCTCTGCGATATGGGAGCAGGTGCGGGTAGACGTCGCGAGGAGTGCAGAAAAGAAGTCTAGAGAAAGTCTCGATCCTCTTTCATTCCAGGACTTACTTGCTTCGGGATATCTTGTCGCTCCCTATTCATAGCGACTAAGAAGTTAGCTTATCCCAAAGTTTAGCTTCAATACAGCAAGTCTATAGTCCGCGGTTCAATCGTCAAGCGATTTTTATGTTAGGCTGTGCATATTCTCTCACGCACTTCTCCGGCTGTTCCTCTTGTGTTTCAAGTGTGGTCTATCATGGCCTGACGCAATTGGTGGATTTCCCAACTTGGACTGTGCAGTTCTAGTCAATATGCAACTTTAAAATTCCCAGAACGGGGGAAAGCTTATGATTGGATTAATCTATTTTCATGTCCAGATGATCTGTTCTGGTCGCCGTTATTGCTCTCTCCACGGAAATCACACGTCTGTCAATTTCCTTGCAATCAAATACACTCAAACCAGTTCGCTTTCAGCAGAACACTGCACATCAAAGGTGATTCTCACCACTATGACCCTCCTGCTTCAAAGGTTTCCGTGCTGGTAACGTAACTCCATTGTATATGCTCAATATGTCCCTGATTTATTTCCTGGGGTAGATGCCCATTTATGCCAAACTGCTCGGATCCCTCCAGGCCTTGTCGATAGAGGGAAAATGTGGAATCTGTTAGTAATTAAAATGCCTGCTAGAAGCATCTCTTCCAGACCAAATAAAGTATTTCTCTTTCCCTCCGAGTCAAGATGAACGTTGCGAAGTCTCATCATCACGGAACCTGCTGTCGGATGCCGCGTCGCGACCTTGCTGTCCACGATGATCCTCCCTTTTACCGCACTGTTCTTCGTCGTTAACGCCCTGGGAGTCCTGGGCCAGAAACCGTTCTTGGAAAAGGCAGGGGACCGGCAATGGCGCATTGGGAACAACCTGTGGAGCATTGTTCAAGGTCGAGACACTGCTACCAAGTTGCAGTTCAAAGGCCGTGACCTCGTTTCTGGGACGAAGGGCCACTATCTGAGCATTGGCGAGTATGGGAACAGTGGTCGGATTACCCGTTTCTGATATGTTATAGATGGCAAAACGTCGTTGCAATGGACGTCAGCCGATATTGTCCAGCGTGGGTCCGACTTCATAGATATCCGGTTCAATAGCAACGAAGGAGAGGTACGCCTTTCTTCCCTCTGAATTATTCGAGCATGACATAATCCTCCTCGGACAGATGCACTGGGTGATCAAGGACAACGAACCGGGCGCCCACCAATACTTCGTCAATAAACGGCTACCGCGCATCGGGGAGTTTCGCTCCATCTTACGCCTCGATCCAGGCCTCTTCCCGAAGGGCCGCACCAGCGTGAAGGATGGTAACCTCCCGAGCTTGTCGGATATCAAGAAGAGTACCAAGACGCAAGACGAGACATGGAAAAAGTCGGACGGATCGTACATTACTAAGTACGATTGGAGCGATAATGTGAGGTCGATGGACTTCTATGGAGTCTACGGGGGGAGCTTTGGAGCATGGTATATGCATGCAGGGCGAGACTACTTCAATGGCAATCACCTCAAGCAAGAGTTGATGGTAAGTTTCCGTCACTCCTAACTCGTTCCAATATTCCTTCCACATTAGGACGATCCGTTCTGACCTGGCTCTTCAGGTCCATCGTGAAACAAACTCCGGAGATGCGGTCATGCTGAACATGATCCACGGCACTCATTTCCAAGCCTCGTCCGCCGATGAGCCTCCGTCGGGTAAGATGTGGGGACCGTGGTTCCTGTATTTCAACGGCGGATCCGTTGCCGATGCCAAATCCCGCTACGAAAGCGAAGTCAAGCAATGGCCATACTCATGGGTGACCGACGCCGCATACAAGTCTCGAGGGGTTGTGTCCGGGGATTTGACCCTTCAAGATGGTCGTCCTGCAGCCGGCGCCGCCGTGTTCCTGGGAGATAACAATCCAACCAAAACCGATATGGACATGGGGACTACCTACTACTACACCGCCTATGCGGATGCGGAGGGGCAGTTCTCGATCCCCAATGTGCGGTCTGGTACCTACGGCCTTCGTGCATGGGCAAACGGCGGAAACATCAGTGACGTTCTCACGACCTTTTCGAAGAACGGCGTCACGGTAACGGCGGGACAGACCAACGCTTTAGGCGCGTTGCAATGGCCTCTTCCCGGCCGCCAAAAGGTGTTCCAAGTCGGTGAATATGACCGCAAATCCACAGGATTTGGCCCTGCCGACCGGCCAATGTTTCAAGCCGGGCTCATCGATCGATGTCCTGCATCCCTCACGTATACCGTGGGGCGTTCAAGCCCTGCGGATTGGTGTTTCGGGATGTATAAACGAGGAACGTGGACAATCGCGTTCACGCTTGACGATCCACCGCCGGCAGGTAAACAGGCGATCCTCACGGTGAGCTTGGCTGGTTATTCAGGCATGTCGTGCGGTGTAACGGTGAACAAAAAAACGAATATTGGAAGCTTCCGGTCGTCTAATCCAGCGAGCGACCCAGGCACCTACCGAAGCGCAACTGTTAATGGGGAGTGGAGGCTGTGGGAGTATAAGTTCAGCGGCAGTGCGTTGCAAAAAGGAGCGAACACCGTTGAGTTTACTGTCAATGAAGAGCAGCAGTGGAGGGGGATACTTTGGGATACTGTCGTGCTGGAATTCGCTTAGTCAATACGACGAATATGTTTCAGTGAAATTGAATTTGAGAGTCTCCATGTAACGAAACAAACTCGTCGACAATGGGTACTTGCCAAGCAAACTCCCAAGAATATCGCCGTTCGCATCGCTCCAACGCCCATACACATCCTATACTAATAGACCAAGCGAGATCACCCAGCAACGATCAACCATCCACCTTTTCTGCGCTCTCAGCAACCTCAGCAGCCGTTTCCGCGGGTTCCGTTTGCTCCAGGGCAGATTTATCAACGTCGACTTCCGTGGACGGGACTGCCGCATCGTCGCTGAGCTCCTCGACCAGCGCCTTCACGATGTCCACGGTCTTCGCCGGACCTCCTTCTTCGAGTACCAACACCTTTCCGGCCTTGTCGACCGCGAAGACACCCCGTTTGGTCCCTTTTGGCGATTTCATCAAACCAAGAGACTTGATCAGATCAAACCCGGGGTCACACAGGAGCGGGTAGGGAAGCTTCTGTTTGGTCGCAAAGGTGGTGTTTGCCTTTGTGGAGTCCCCGGAAAGGCCATATATCTTGAGGCCGGTGGCCGTAAGGGGCGTATATGAGTCGCGGAAGAGGCAAACTTGATTTGTGCCTGATACATGTCAACACCGCACGCAAGAGTTTCGCTACCGCCAGCGTACCGCCTAAGGCAAAAACACGGAATGGTGCATGATCAGTTTAGGACCGTCATTGCGAGGGACGAGACCAAGGTTGTGACTCACATCCAGGAGTACTGGCCCTCGGATAAGTGAAGATGACCACACCGGACCCCGAATCCTCTACCAGGCTCTTCAACGTCACCACTTTCCCCTCGTGTGTGGTGACTTTCCCACCAAACGTCGCGAGGTCGATGACATCGCCTACCTTTGGAGCGCTTGCGGACGTGGACGTTCCATTGGCCTTGGCGCCTGCTGGTTTGGTCGACAGTTTCTCCTGGACGACTTCCTTGACCTTTGCGACCTTGGATGAAACCCTTGGACCGGACTTCTTCTTCGCGGGTGGGTCGGGTGCAGGGGCAGCGGGCGCCTTTCGCTTCCGGAGCTCGACAACCATGTTTAGGATGCAATGACAGGAAATGATATGAAGACTGAAAACGGAGAACCTTGGAAATTCACGGCGAGGAATGGACGTAGCAAAGGGTAAGCGCTTCGGAATTGGGTGGCTGGGGTTGATGAGGAGAAGCAGGATGGAGTGAAGACGACAAGTCGATCATGGAGGTGCAGTGAGGAGCGGAACAATCAACAAACCAATGGTTCCTATCTTGAGCGGGCGTGGCCCTGACCTGGGAATCGGAGCTAATTAGCGGGCTGGCGCAACGTTAGACGTGCTTACAGCTTAACGGGCGGTCCTGGTACGGCGTAATTTGCATCCCTTGGTGCCATCAATCGCGACTTTTGTCGCCGTCTTGGTGAAACTCCTGGACGTGGACAAGGATGAAGATCTAGCCACACCGTTCCACGTGACCAGTATCAACACTTCAACAGAACTTTGACATGTCACTCAAACGAAATACAAGTTCCTAGGCGATAATCAGGAAAGTAATGTATCTCGAGGGTAGCAACGGCGTTGGACAGAGTCAATTCTAAATCTTGCCTCTCAATTTCCCGTAGTCATCCCTTCAGCCCATAAGTCTGCTCCCTGCCAGCGAGACTCAAATATATCGTCGAGCAAACATTAATATTACATGATACTTCGCCGTTCCCTTTTGAGGTACAAGCATATCAGCAGACAACGTATAGATTCCCGGAATTATATTCTATTGTTTGGGGATGATCAGGCTGATACGGTAATGAGCAGAAATCGCAGGATCTGTCCTTCCAAGGCTCCATTTCATTGCGTCACGCGCCATGGCATCGACTGTAGCCGTACCGAACGGCGACAATGAGGCCGTTACTCCATTGAGATATGTCGATGTTGGTTCGCATCCGTTTATCCGTTTCTATTCCTGCCATGTCTAATTCCTTCACAGATCGGTATCAATTTGAGCGACCCAGTTTTCAGGGGGGTCTATCACGGGAAAAAGTGTCATGAAGATGACCTAGAGGACGTCGTGGAACGAGCTATTCGGGTCGGTTGCACCAAATTCATGGTCACAGGTTCTGATCTCGAAGAATCTCAAAGAGCCATCGAAGTTGCGCAAGAGTACCGTTCGTTTTGATTTTCCAATTTGATATGAACGATACTGACTGAGGTATAGCTGGGCATTGCTATGCAACGGTTGGCGTACACCCATGCTCCTGTCTCCAATTCGACAAACATGCACAAGGTCCAGATGCATATCTGTCGGAGCTGCGAGAATTAGCAGTCAAAGAGTCTCAGGCGGGGCATGTAGTCGCCTTCGGAGAAATCGGTCTTGACTATGACCGGTTATACCTCTGTCCAAAAGAGGAGCAACTCAAATACTTCGAGATCCAGCTGGACCTGGCCGTTGAGCTCCAATTGCCACTCTTCCTTCACAGCCGAGCGGCGGCAGAGGACTTTGAACGTCTGCTTAAGCCACGGCTAGAAAAGCTTCCAAAGGGAGGTCTTGTGCACTCGTTCACCGGGACTCTAGAAGAAATGCAAAGAGCGGTCAATCTCGGTCTTGACGTCGGGGTTAATGGATGTAGTTTAAAAACCGAGGAGAATCTGGAGGTGGTAAAGCAGATTCCGCTGGAAAGACTGCAGATTGAAACCGACGGACCATGGGTATTTATGCCGTAGTCGTCGAAGGATACGGAATGGCTAACCAATCCAATAGTGTGAGATGCGACCATCGCATGCATCAGCAGTGCTTCTGAAAGACGCGCCTGTATTGCCCAAGTCGGTAAAGAAGGAGAAGTGGGTTAAAGGGGCAATGATCAAGGGACGCAATGAACCAGTCAGCATTCCGCGTGTCGCGCTGGCCATTGCGAAAATAAAAGGGATATCCGTTGAGGAGGTTTGCAAAGTGTAAGTGAATGCCGCGACGATACAAGATCTCATGCTAATCTAGGGCATCGTACTCCGTAGATCATCGGCCAACTCGATTCGAATGTTTGGATTAGGACAGTCGTAACATAGTCAACGTTATTCGAGTCCAAAACTAGCGGATGGTACCGCTCGCCGCATTCTGCTCGAGGCTTCAAGCTGCACTATGGATATAGCATAGATATTGTGTCACGAATAAAACCTGTTTATTCAAAGACCCGATGTAAATCCAAAGGATGGTTACCTAGTGGAACATGCTTGTCATTCATTTCATGTCCTACTATGTAGACTAGAGGTGGGGGTTATCGCATAAACTTGGAACAAAACTTCAATGTTCTCCATCCGAAATATTGTTCCTAGATCGTAGTTACTCGCAAATTACAGGCTTACGAGTTACGTACCACAGATGATCACCAGGCCCAGATTCCAGAGACCAGAACGATCGGATCCAAAACGCGTCAACGGAAGCGGATCGAGGGCCAATCGGCGGAGGATTTGGAGATGGGGAATCCGTTGCTCCTCCACAGTAAACGCCACCATAACACCCGTTGCCCCCGACAACGCGCCCCGCAATAACGCAAAACAGAGCGACACCCGCACCATTCTAGGTGTAATTCCGGATAATCCGATTGTTGTGGATGCTATTCAGATAAGGTTCGCTCATCCGGAGTGGTCCCCGAGCGGCTTGTATTCAGATCAACTGCCTAGCGTGATTTGCTGCGGCCAGAAAACCGACCGTCGTCTGGCGAAACGAGCTGCATACCTGGAATTGTGATTGCGCATTCTCTTCTTCGACTTTCTTCGCATCTAGGACATTTCACCAACACATTAGCCCTCAAGTTCTTATTTCGGTTCTATCCATCATTCATTGTGAAATTATTTGTTTTCTCTCTTTCTCTCCCCAGCTCCGTGGACCGCATGATGCGGCGAGTCAACTGGAGTCGCACACCCCCACAGTGCACTACCAAACTCCCGTCATAGGGCGACAAGATGAGACGACACGGCCCATTCGGCTGTTCTTTCATACTGATTGCGCTGGTGTCCTTGGCTGGAGCCCGCCAGCTACCGTACAATCCAGCCAAAATTCTTCGACCTCCTCAGCGAGAGGAGCTCGCATATGTGTTCCGTCCCTCTTCAGACGGGGAGCAGTTCGAGTTCACCTCAATCGACTTAACCTCGAACATTCAATCTTCAGACCTCCGAGAATCCGTGCTATACTCAACGTTGCCATTTCTCACCAGCCGACATGACGGCTTCACAACGGCAATGGGAGAGGACGGGGAGATCACAGTTGTGTCAGGAAATTGTCTCTCTCCAACTGGGCCGCAAATCTGGAAGTTTTCCCCGGACGAGAACTCAAGAGAAGGGAACGGCACATGGATAAAGCAATCTCTCACGACGCATAATCTAGATCCAGTGGCAGGCGTAGCACCAGTCCCCTACTACCTAGCGTCGGGGATAAGTTTCACGTCATTACTAGGCGAGGCCACTGGAACGGACGACACCTCGACGACTTATATCTTTGGCGGGATGTGCTCCAAATCCGAGTCGACCGAAATATCAACGTGGCAGTCTGATGCGACATACAGCAATACCATGTTCAAGATCGATCGAGAGGCCGACGCTTCCAGGCTCGCAATTAGCGCCTCGAGCAGTCGAGGTCCTCCCATTGCGGAAGCTGGATTCAGCATGACAAGTCTTTTACCTACGTTCTCTAATAACTCTGATGGATCGAGCAACCAGCAACGAGACTACGTTCTCGTCGGTGGCCATACAGCATCAGCTTTCATCAACATGAGCCAAGTGGCGCTTTTCTCTTTGCCGCAGGAAACATGGACGTTTCTTCCAGTCTCACAGTCTACAGCTGGCCGAACCGACTTGGCACTCAAAAGAGACATAGAGGAAGTCGAACCTCGAAGCGGCCACACGGCTATTTTGTCAACAGACGGAACCAAAATTATCGTCTTCGGAGGATGGATTGGCGACATAGATACTCCAGCCGCACCTCCGCTAGTGGTGCTGACGCTGGGAGAAGGTTATGGTGGTAAAGGTCGGTGGACATGGAGTATACCAATTGCTCCTAGCCCGCTACCGGGGTCAATAAGCATCTATGGACACGGCGCTGCCTTACTTCCAGGCGATATTATGATGGTTCTCGGTGGCTACCGGATTGGAGAGTCAATCCAACAACGGATCCGAGCAAGACAGCGCCAGGCGAGCGAAATCAATACGAAGGCCTTCTTCTTCAACGTCTCTTCCTCTACCTGGCTCGAAGAATACACACCACCAGAGAGCTGGAGCTCGGCTGCCCAGCACAACGGACCTCTCTCCTCAACGTCTCAAAAGGCGGGACTTGGCGCGGGTCTCGGAATTGGCGGTGCCATTGTCCTTGGACTCGCCGTCTTCTACCTGTTCTTCACGAAACACCTGAGACGTCGACGCGAAACGCAAGAACGCGAGGTCGAAGAACTTGAGAAGGCCGCCCACCGAGACCATATGCGCGAAATGTCATGGCGAGGTCCTCCGGGACACACGGCAGTGGATACTCTCGACGGCGCTTACGATCCATTTTTGTATGGAGACCACGTTGAGAGTCCGTACGATGTCCTTCAAACACGGCGACCGTTCACTGTTCAAGACGCGGAACGGACGGGTCTCTTGTTGGATGTACCCAGCCCAACCCGAGGGTTGCGGCGGAGCCTGGCGAGACGCTCCCACCCACAAGGTGTGGGCAAACATGTTTCACGACATTCAGGCCACATCCATCCAATTGAGGAGAGAGAGGAGGAAGAATCTCTCGCAAGCAACGAGCATGACGTCCAACCCGGAGAATGGACGGCGAGTGGTGAAATGAGTGAAATCAAAACACTTCACCGTCCTCAGCCAAATGTCAGGACGGGTTTGACACCGCTCGGATTTCATCCTGTCCCAACAGACTCGGATATAAGAGCGGCAGGTGCAGATGGAGATTTGGACCACATCCCTCGGTCGCCAGCAGAAGAGCGCAAACACGAAGTCCAGTCTTGGGCCGAGGAGTGGGAGCGCGCAGCTTCGTCAATAATAGGGCCTAGTCAAAATGGGCCACCATCGTCCTCCAACTCTCGACATGCTGGTCGGACCTCGCCCACTAAATCCGATCGAACATCGTCCACTCTCTCCGCCAAATCTTGGGTTTCCAATTTATCAACAAACGATGACCAGAACCACTCCTCGTCCAACACCACCATCACCGGAGCCGTTGCAACCCTTTCGCGAACTCTCTCGGCTCGAATCAACTCCGTCCTGGTCAATCCGTTCGCCACCCCTGAGCCGAGTCCTACACGGGATGGTGGGTTCGGACTTCCAGAATCGAAGCGTCCTCAAAGAAACAGTCAGGGTGCTACCAGCTTATTAGGGGACCGCTCTTCACAACCGAGTCCGACCAAAACCCTTGAAAGCTCTGCCGCTGGTGGCGACCCTTCAGATGGAAGTGAACGTGGCTCAAGTGCTGGTAAAGGTGCGGCAGGAGATGCCGAATCATTTTCCACAGCAAAGACATCATTTGCCAAACTGCAGTCGGAGGGGGAGGCGTTGCTCGGCGGACCGCGAGCCGCTGGAACGCGATCAACGAAAACGGTCGCAGGACGCCATCCTGAATCATCTGTCGAGTCTGGCTCCAAGATCCACCCGGAGGAAGAAGGCTCCCCTGAACGAGCCGGGTTTTGGTCCGGTAGCGTCCGACGAGTCCTAGGAACCAAGGGTGCGGCCGCTCCAAGCAGGAAGAGCGGCTCGACCATTTCCGCTGTCAAATTACGCCGGGCCCGTCGCAAATCGCTGGTTGATGGTGGCGCGGGTCCTGAGATGCGGGAGCAGAACCATGGACTTTCTACGGCGATGGGAACGCCCCGACGTGCCGTGTCGGATGCTGGATTCTGGCGTACGCGGAAAGGCGCGAAAGATTGGGATTGGGATGATGACGAGCCAAGTCTGTCAGCCGCTTTTGGTGGAAGACGGAGCGGAGATGATTGGGGAGCACCGGACGATAGTGAGCCGGCTAGGAATCAGAAGCCGGCGCCGAATGAACCCGACGCCGGGGAACATAAAGGGAGGGAGGAGGATTGGGATGTCGAAGCGGCAGTCGAGAACCGCGTTGTACAGGTCATGTTCTCGGTGCCCAGGACGAGATTGCGGGTCGTGAACGCGGACGCAGATGAACAGCGGAGCTTGATGAGCGTTGAGGACGACAGCAACCCTCGACATCCGGGTCTAGAGAAGGGTAAAGGGAAGGAACTGGACTGTTGATGTGGATGTTCGTCGCATATAGGGCTTTTATATTTGGATCTTTGCGCTGGCGCTGGTCAGACGGCGGTCACGCCTGGGTTTGGGTTATGGTTCGAATGGGCGGAACGTTACGATAACATGGCTATAATCGAGAAGTATCTGTATTTGTAAATCTCGTCTTCTAGCTGAGCGGTTTCATGAAGATCCCTTCATGGCCGAAGATCTGATATATAACGGATCGAGCGGCCGTTGTGTGCGACATCCATTGGCGACATAAACGCCAATTTACGACCTTCCATTCTCGTGCAACTATTCATCATCTTCAGCGCTCTGCTCGCCACCATCCCCAGGCCAATTGTCATCGTGTTCGTCTAACAATCGTGCTAATGCATTGTAATCGCCTGGGGAAACATCGACGTTTCGGTTTGAAGAGTTCATATATCCAGGTTCGTTGTCCGCTGGCGGTAACGGGTCACCCATCCCTCCTAGGTTGTCCCGGTATTGTTCCGGAATCAATTTAAGAAGCCTTGCATCTTCTTCCAGTATGACAAGTCGCGAAATATTTTCAGGCACAACCATGGGTTCCCCTCCAGTAATGTCAGACCAATTGCGCGGAGTTAGGTCATCTCGAGTCAATCCATCCGCCACTGAGCTGAGCAACGATTTCACCTCGGGACTTGCCCATAGGTCTTTACTGTTCGAGACATAATGGGCAGTCAGCAGTTCGTCGTAGGTGGTATTAGGCAGAGCCCCCCATACTGCCATTGGGACGGGCGAAATGTCCTGCTCTTTAATCAGGGCATGCGCAATGAACGGCCACAGTTTAATGGCATCGGAGAGTGACTTTCGGGCTGCGTCAACATCGCCCAGGCCCATCTGAGCCAAAGCTCGGCTGTATCTGATGTGCGGATACTTCCACCAGCCTGTGTCTTCCAAATGATCATGTGTGGACATGTCCAAGAGTGCGGAATATTGTTTTGCTCTCAATGCATGCTGGTCGATGGTCATGAGCATTGCATACGGATCATCAGAAGGATCGAGCATTAGAAGCAGCTTTGCCCACTCATAAATAGTTCGATAAACCCCACGCATCCGCAGGTTCTTCATATACATGACGGCCGTCAAATAGAATTGACGGTTTTCCTGAAACCGGAAAGGGAGGCGGGCCTGCCCTTTTGAGGCTGCGTTTGGGAACGAAGAGTTGAGCGCCCGACCGAACGTGAAGAGTGCCCGTTGGAGGAGTTTTCCGGCAAGTGTAAAGTCTCTGCCGTGAGCAACAATGAGAGAGGCTTGAAGAATGGTTGAAATATGCGTTGGATTGAATCTCAGCAGCATGAGGATTCGTTCAGGGTCCATGCTTGACACACAGTCCTCGAATTGGAGCTGGACATCTCGATATGCGGGAGCATGGACAAATCGATATCGTACAGTGCCATCGTCTGTTTCGGGAAGGACTTCCATTGCGAGGCCGGTAGAAACTCCAGGAGGAGCGGTTTCATTCGGCTGGAGCTGGACAAGAAATGTTTTTCGCCGTGCCTCGTTCAAAGGCGTGTTACGCCGCTGCCCACGTTGGACCTGTTGCATCAACCGGCGCTGCCTTCGACCTGCCTGAGCAGCGGGATCCAGCTCATCGTCATTTGCCTCATTTGTGTCCAGGGCAGCCCGTCCAAACAGCCGACGAACCTCGTTCTCGATGTGTAAATGGTCCGAGTTGATGGACAAGACGCTGAAGTCCTGCGACTTCCGTCTGTGGTGCTTGCTGCCACCATCGGCCGCCGGAGGTATTGATAAATCTCTCAAAGCCACGTCAATCTCATCCAGTCCATTCAAGTTGGTCTCTTTCGCCACTTCCTTGGCTTGTTTTCTCTTCTCTCGGGCTTTATTTTTCTTCTTTCCCTTCTTGGAGGATTTTGTCGGAGGCATATCCTCTAGCTCCTTTACTTCAGGGCTTCCATCCCCTTCTTCAAGATCGGCACCCGCTTCTTCCTCATTCTCTGACTCCGGTTGGTCGAGGAGTGCGAACAAGCTCGATTTCGGACCACCCCGGGAGCTTTGTGCCTTGGAAATTGACTCTTCGTCGCTCGCATTGCCATTGACCTCGCGCTCACGCTGAGCACGTCGCAGAGCCCGCGAAGACATGATTTGCGAGCAACTTGAACTTCGGCCCAACCCCCCTTTCTCCAAAGCCACTGTTCCGGAAAAGAGTTCGTGGAGGCGCGCAGAATGACTAGAGCGAGCAAGGCGAAACAAATAGAACAATATTATACACCGTCGAGACGTAAAAGAGTTTGCCTTCGAAGGATTGCCGGCCTGACATGAATTCGTAGCCCCAACTTTAAGTGATTGGAGGGACAAGAGGTGACTAACATTACAGGCGATGAGCCACACTAATATGTCCTAGCCCAAAGCATTTGCCACCTACCTCAGTGGAAGTGTGTGCAAGTTGAATGCAAGGTCTTAAGGAACGAAGACCTTGCTGGTTTATATCCATGATGGTTCCTGTATGGTTATTGGTTCCTAACTCCCGGGTGACTGGCGACCGCATTGTGGTCACAAAAAAATTGCTGGTTGTTGGTGCCTGACAAGGCATCAATATTCCCGATCCATTCCCTTAATAGTGTAGCCTGATTGGTGATTCAAATACCACAGTGGAGCCGGGATTGTAACAATACACTCATGTTAGGTAAGGGCATGGCACTCCGAGCATTTAGATTACATACTAGAAAGTCTGGCATATCCTCTTAATGTACCTGATGAAAAGATCTTATAGATCAGCTATAAGCCATTCGTGTACCAGCATCACACTTTCACCTCCTAGTATGCGAAGGAAGTCTATTCCCACCACACTCAGACCATTTCAATGCCTCCTTGCTCCATCGAATCGCCTCCACAAGCCGTGTACTTGACCGGCCCCAGAGCTGTAGACAGATACGATTGCACTGCTCGTTCCAGAAGCAATCGCAGATGCGGTAGAGGAGCCAGGTATGCCCCCTGAGGGAGGGCCACCAGGACCGCCAGAACCACCAGGACCGTCAGGACCACCAGGACCGCCACCCATACCCGAATTGGGATTCTCGTGGCCACCATCCTCGGCCAGATAAGATGCCCAAGATGCAGAGGAGCTATGATTGGCGGATGTATCGATCCCGATTTCGATCCAACCCAATAAGCCAGCCGTGATATCATCAGCATCAAGATAAATGTACTGCATGAAAGGATCGTTGTTGTTGTCGGCCTGAGATTGAGCAATCATATCCTCATCATTCGTAGTCCTCGGCGCATCGTTCGTGCTGTACGGGCTGGTTGCCTCTACCGCATCGATGAGGGTTTCCTCAAAGAACAGTTGACCGATATGCGAGAACTCTCCTCCACTGAAGGAGCCGTTCGGAAGCAAAGTTGTGCCAGTGTGGACTGCTAGGTGCTCGTGCGTAGCTCGTCCCTGGTAATGGCCGGGAAATAGGGTGTCAAACTCGACGACCCCATCTGACGAAGATTGTTGGAGGCCCCGAAGGAAAGTTTCATTGAGAGTACCTTCACTGGTAACTCCCGAATATGTCCCGGTTGCATTGCACTAGTGAACTGTCAGCTTCAGCGCATACTTAAAATTGTTGGTCTCCTTACACTCCAGATGTCTACCAGAAGATCTTCGACGGGCTTGCAGGTATTGACATCGATGAACTGCATTTCCAAATGCAGTGGAACTCCTGCCCGTCCATCTGTAAGGTCTTGCCTGACCAGCTCACCGAGGACATAGTAGGGACCAATGGTCACCTCGGGGGCCAAAATACAAGATGTATTGGCAGAGAAGATGGAAGATGGATCACTGTAGTTGATGGATCCCGTAGCGTTGTGGTCGACTTCCTCAAACGCTTGGAGAGACGCAAGGTCTCGTCTATGCAATACTGGAGCTGTCGGTCCAAACAATTAGCATCGTTTTATCTTTCTCCTTCGACCTGTTGACGATTGGGCAGTGCCTTACCGTTGATAGACCGCGCTCCCTGCAAAGACTGAGCAGTAGCAAGCCTGCGTGACAATGCACGCTCTCTTAACGCTCGCGCGGAGGGATTATTGGAACATTTCTCCAATAATTTGGTGGACCGACTGGCAAAGGTCTGGAGGTGCTTGACCTCGCGGCGAATTGCGGCGTGGTTATGTTCTTCCCCTGGATGGGCTTGGCCAGTCGGCAGAACGGCGAGAAGCCCTAGGAGGGCTAAAGACAGAGATTTAACCACTACCATCTTGAACGAACGATGGACGTGGACGATGGACTCAACAGTAAAATATAAAAGACAAGACTGGAGACAACTTCAATCAACTGGGCGACTTATAGGTACTATGGGTAGACGGCGATCTCTTATATAAATCTCCTCGTCTGCCGACCTATCCATGTGGGGAAACGATTGCTCTTGACTTGTCCCTCCTGGGCTCCTAAGGGGCAACGGCTCCAAACTGGCGGCGAGGGGATAAACCATCCATTCTTACTCCAGGAGATGGACCCACTCTACATTAGCGCGATGGTCAAGATATCAAGGTTTTCTCTTCGCCCTTTATGATCCGCTGTGATGACGATCCGGACCTGGACTTGTTAGTTTACCGGAACCCGGACGCATAAAGGGACGCGGAGGCAAGACGCGAATTCGATAGCCCACTCCATCTCGAGCCAGAGCTCGTTGGCTAAGGTTCGGTTTCAAATCTGCGTCTCTTGATTGGTGTATAGTACACCAGGCACTTTGGACAACAAGCCTTGGGTGCCGTTGTTTCACGTGGTACGTTGCAACTTGTAAGGTTCCCTCGGCTAGAGTATACATATTATACAAAATATAAACTGGGGAGTGGGAAGCCAGGCGCAGCTGGGACAAGCTTTTTCGGACGTACCGTAGTCTTCGTAAGTGGGTCCGATATGCTGAAGTAGTAGTTCACGAACTTCGAAGACTAATAGTTACTTTCAACGATCGGGCAACCGGTGGAGCGAAGAGTGAAACCGTGACGTGGCCTCGTTACTACGGTCCGCGCCCGACTATTCTGGCTGCATGTGTAAACCGTGAGGGGTGACGCGGCCAAACAGGCGCAAGATGAAGCGCCATGATGCGAAACAATTGCTCTTCAATTCGTCGCTTCAGAGTTCAAACGCTTTGCCAAGAGAAGCTAGTCTCGGCTTAATTCATGTTTCCCCAAAACGCAAATGCTTGGTTTCCTCCTCCGTTAACTTTGAGAGCTACAATAGGAATCTGGAACACCATATTCCGTACTCCCTCTCAACTAGTTTTATCAGTCCGAGCTTCTATGAAACGATATGCGAATAGTGCGCGTCTCTGGACCACTGGTTAATATGAAGTGCTCGGATGTGCTTTCATCCGATCCAGACCAGTTCTACTCGTGATACCGTACACACCGGGGGCGTGATATCGCCAGAGTCGGTGAAGAGCAAGAGAATGCTACGGCCTTTGCGATCCATATTATTGAAAATAGTGCCTGTTTCGAAAGAAGGAGAAAGAGCGGAAATTGGGGCTCAAAATCGTCCGCACCGTCCGCCACTCATCTCCTGGCTCCTGCCGGCTATCAAAGAGCCCAGTTTTCTGGATCCTTGCTTACATAAGTTATGCCATGACGACATTTCACTAAGTCCCCTCAGGGGGTCAGAATTGTCATCTGTCCCCCAGAGCCATGCGGTCCATGGTACGACCTTCCAACCAACCAAATTGAAGATCGAAACCCCCGAGCGAAAATGGATTCAAAACCAGGATACATAAGAACCTCCTCTACCAACCTACTCTCCAGCAATGATATGATGAGCCGGCCCCTCGAAGGCCAGCTGGGCATTGTGACCGGTGCCTCGCGGGGCATTGGTGCCGCCATATCAGCAAATCTGGCTGCCAAAGGCTGCAATCTCGTTCTGAACTTCACGTCGGATGCGTCGGCGCTGCGGACCGGCGATCTGGCCAAACGGCTCTCCGACGAGCATGGCATCCAAGCATTGCCGGTACAGGCGGATATGGGATCGGTGGGCGGACCGAAGCATATCGTCAGCATCGCCAAGAACCATTTCTCGCATCCGAAAACGGGGAAGTTCACGATTCATGTCATCGTCAACAATGCCGGTGTGTCCAAGAACCTGTCCATCGAGGAATGCACGGCAGAGGACTTTGCTTGGCAGTACAGCGTCAACGTTCAAGGACCGTTGCTCTTGATACAAGCAGCGCTTCCCTACTTGCCGACAGATCGTTCGGGGCGGATTATCAACGTGTCATCCGTCAGTTCGACGCTTGGCTACATTGGACAGAGCGTCTACGGAGGTACCAAGGCTGCACTAGAGTCAATGACGCGAACGTGGTCCCGCGAACTGGCTGAGCGTGCAACGGTCAACGCCATCAATCCCGGCCCGGTAGCCACAGAGATGTACGGAAGCACGAGCAAGGACTTCCAGGCGAGGAATCGGCCGTTCATCGAGAATGCGCCCTTAGCACGGGCGAGAGAAGGAATCGATGATCCGGAGACCGTGCAGAGAGCGACGCAAGATGGTGGACGAGCGGCGTACGATTGGGAGATTGCGGGGGTTGTAGGGATGCTTTGCTCGAAAGAGTCGGCTTGGTGCACGGGGAGCGTGATCTGTGCGAATGGAGGGATGAAGTTCGGCTTCTGAGTTGCGAGGAGGAAAGTCAAGATCCCCATTGTATAGTTCTCATCCGAAACTAGAAGGACAGTCTAGGAATCATGAATGGAGTTCGTAAGATAGCATCGCAATAGAACCCTGATCGCCAGTTCGACCACCTGTTCCCAGTTGTGTATGGCCAACATATTCCCCTAAACGCCGAGCTATGCCGAATTCTATGCAAAAGTTAAGTCCAGGTAGACTGTAGTTCGGCAAACCGGATCTGCCGAGACGCAGCAATCTATTGTTCAAAATGAACCATGCCCCAGGGGCAAAAATATGACAGACCGAACCCAGCCTACATCTTTATTGTCCCGAGTCCGCGCGCTTTTTCCCACTCTTTCCCGAGCCGGATGGCTTAGGCATCTTCTCATACGCGTTTGGACTTGGCCTCCGCCTTGATCGTCTCGGTGGTGGGTGTTGATGTGCCTCGTCGTGGTGGGATCCTTCGCCCTCTTCCTCACCCCCCTGGTGGTGGTGGTGCTCCTCGTCATGTCTCCGTGGGCGGTAGCCTCTGCCGCGTCCGGCCGGCCTGGCCGTGCTATTATCCGGTTCCGAATCCGAGTCGCTGGAGGAGGAATCCGACGTATCTTCAGACGACGACTCGCCGACTTCTCGAGGTTTGTGATATATGCAGCATACTGTTGAAAAGGGTCAATATCGTGGACCTAAGGGGGAACTTTTCTAACCACCTTTGGAGGATTTCTTGCCCATTCCCTCGTTGTCTACCACGTCTTCTGCCCATTGTATGTGTCTACTCTCTCGCTGAGCCGGAGATCCATCCACAGCTCGTAATCGTAACGTCCTTAAAGGAAGGGCGGGTGTGTGAGTGGATGTGGTGGTGGTGGTGGTGGTGGTGGTGGTGGCGGTCGTCCTAGAGGATGTTGTTCGGGGAACTTGTTGAGGTGCAGAGGGTGGCATTGTTGCCAGCGCGGACTCGTCGCCTCCGGACGATGGAGTACTAGCCCAAGAAATTCTAGAGACAAAGGGATTTCTCGCGGAGGAGAGATAGAGAATCGGTTTTCAGTATCGCAAGGTCGTCAGAACTCGGGTCCGAGGCGAATGAAACAGATGTAGGTCGGAGGTCTTATGATTGGAAGCGGGCGTACGGAAATTTCGGGATGACAGCGTGGACGTGTAGACCAAGCGCAACGGTTTTATGGGAGATAGGTGATGTGTTTCTTTATGGTGTAGGATGGATGTTCAAGTGGCGTCATGCAGTAAGAATGGAAGCGGAACTACTTGGAGGGATGGACTACAAAAGGTCCAGGCCTGCCAAGGTGGGGTGATATCATTTCACCGCTCCGTACCACCTAGACGTCTCTCCGTCACATAACTGTACACTCTACCTATATTACCCCTAACCCCTAACGCAGAACACATATACTTCATAAAAACGGAATGCTAGATCCGTATGCACACTTCCTGCGGCTTCTGCACGTCAGAGGTATGCCTGGATAGAAAGATGGACGTCGACATTCTATGGTCTCTACAGCAGCCTTACACTCACACGTATTCCACGCTTTATCTCCCATACAGGTATTGTTGCCGCAGAAGTTGTGGACTCGATTCATCGAATTACAATCTCTATATCGATCCCTTCCTCGACGATGCAAGGGATTCATGAATCCTGAGAAACATGACGCCTCTTTTCGCAATCAAGTCGAGTGAGCGCATCCAGCTATTGTGTAAACAAGCCATGCCAACGCCAGATCTGGTACATCTCAGCAATGACACCAATTATTGTTGCTCATATTCCTTCGCATGAACCCAGACCGCTCAAAATTATTCCTATTGACCCCCAGACGCCATAGATGACGAACGGTCGGCGTATTCTTTCAAACAATCGCTCCCCAACTATGACAAGCTCGAGACCAGGCATCCAGACATTCAAAGTCCCGGAGGTGGCTTCTCCGACGCCGGCGAATTGTGAGCGGTGCTGGGTCTCCGTGACCGATTCGACCCCTCCTGCGCCTCTCGTTCCAAGAAGTCGGACCACAGCTCCGCCAAACTTTCCTTGCTGGGCGAATGCGTGCCCTGGAGGGATGCGTCGGTGAGGGATGGGATACTCGACGTCCGTCGGAACGGGGACATGGGGACCCGGAGGGTGGAGTTCGATGCACCGGGTCGGGAAAGACCGGCTCGCTCCCGTTGTTCTGAGACGCTCCGTCAGTAGAGCACATATGTATAGAGATATTCCACTTACCATCATCCCAGCAAAGAATAGCTGCTGTCAACTGAAGAACTTGGAACTTCTTGGGGTCCGATCGATCGAGGGCGAGGAACTGTAGAAAATGATTGGTAACAAGTTGTCTTCATCATGTTAGAGATCCAGATCGTATCAACAATATATCGACCACGTACCTATCCACCATGTCTTCCGGCTTCCGCTGCTTAAGGAACCGGAGGGCTTTCGTCAAATGGTCGTTCAAGATCACTGCCTCATGGCGAAGCTTGCCGATCAAGAGATTCTTTTCCTTTACTTCCTTCTCGAACGGAGTGGCACGTTCGAGCTCTTTGGTCGTCCGGTCCAACTCCTGCTTCGCCACCTTGGCTTCCTCTTCCGCCAATTCGTGCTGCTTGCGCAACGCTCCCAGTTGGGTTTCCGATTGTTCAACCATTTCACGCAACTCCTTCTTCCGGGCTACACGACATCAGTTTCGTTCTGGCAATCTCCGCGATGTGACAAACCTTCTTGTATGTCTTTCAATGCTCGTTGGAGACTCTCGACGGTTTGAGACTGGCTATCTCGGTCGGCTGCTGCCCTATCATACGCCTCCCTTTGAGTGCCGAGTTGCTCCTCGAGCTCTCCCACTCGATCGGCGAGGCTTTCTTTTTTAGATCGTTCCTCCGTCGCTAATATTTCCCAGTCGAGCATGGCTTGTCTGGCCGTCTCGAACTCCTCCCGAGCATATGCCTCCCGGCTGATCAACTCGTCGCGTTCCTTGATCCAATTCTGCTGCGAGAGGCTCGCGCGGTTTCGGAGGTCGGCGATCTCTTCGGACTGGCGTTTATTATCATTCGAAGCCGTCTGAAGGTCCTCGCGGAATCCATCGGCCGAACTCTCCAGTTCCTCGTTCCTCTCTTCCAACTCCTTGATCTTCTCTTGAGCCTGGGCCAGTTCTTCCTGTATGATCTGTAAGCAACTTCATGACAGAACGCATATATTCTCACATACCGCATCGCCTTTCAGTCGCTCCGTGAGCTGCGAACGGATCGTATTCACTTTGCCCAACAATTTCTGATATTGCGACTCGGCATGCTCCCGAGCCGACTGAGACTCCTCAAGTTCTTCTCGGATACCACCGAGATCTTCTTCGTGTTTCTTGTGTATCGACTCCAATGATTCGCGCAAATCAGCCACCATCGCCTTCAGATCGTCTCGTTCCCTCGCCATTGCTTCCAGACGGCTCTCGGTATCGTCTTCCCCCGACTCCGTTGCTTTGGTGGTATGGGTATGGAGTCCATTGCTGAGTTCGGTGGGAATTACCGTATCGGAAGGCTGTACGGGATCTCCACTCGGTGGCAATTTTTCTTCGCTGTCTCCGTTCACGTCTATTGGAGTGTCCTGCGCCGAGACGTTAATACCATAGCCTATGTGGAAATTGTATTGTTCATACAGCAGGGGAACCCGGCGGCCCCGTATCCTCATCATCTGGCTCTAAAAATTCCGGCGCTTTATTCGCGTGTCCATCGATCGCGGCATTATCCTGGTTCCCTGGCTTCGGACCTCCTCCCTTCTTCTTCTTGTTTTTCTTCTTGGATTTGGGGTTTGGGCCTGCATCGGAGCAAGTCAATTGAGCAGTTCGGATTCGAAGCGGCACGTATACCGTCCGTCAACAAAGAGGAATGTAATAGACGTACCAGTCGATTGGACCGGGTCGGACATAGTTTTGGTCGACATGCCCAGTTCGATTCCGAGAGCGGGTATCGAGAATGGTGATGCGATGCTATTGATCGGCCGTTGAGGAATGGCAACAATAAACTGCAAAAGGCGTGGTCTCCCGTGGTAGGTCGAGATATGATTCCATGTCAGACCGGGCGACAATAATGTATGAACGTATGAGGGTAAGCAACAGTCCTCAGTGCCTGTCTGAGTCTCTCCCTCTCATGCTACACTCACTGAGCTCAGGTTGCAGTTGGTGTCACTCCAAATAGAAGTCGATGGCGGTCGGCGTGGATCTTGAAACGTCAAGTGAACAGGGGGGTTGCATGCTCTGATTGGTCATTCGTTCGCGTTCCACATGGGCGCCACCTGCAGCCACACTTTCCTTCCTGTCATCTGAATCACGTGAATATTGTGTTTAATATTTGACACCTCAGGCATAAAATAGGAGATTCCCCACACATCACGTGTATCCCCAACCACACTGTGCCTATTTCTTCGCGCTCCGATCCTTTTTTCTTTCCAATCTTTACATATTATACCAGTCTCTGTATCTTAAGGATGTTTTGGATATTAATAGACCATTCTTATCGTTATGAGACTCAGAGTGATCAAACCCTTTCTAATCCTGCTGTCTTTACGACTACTTAGTCGCGCGAGGCAGCAGATTTCGCTTTGGGCTGACATTTCATGCTTCACAATTCTCTATCGTGTGCCCATCCTTAGTCAAGGCGATTTCCGAGAAAGCCTGCCATTGGGAACGCGTTCATCCCTTTCCGTCAGCTGAGTGGCTTTTTGGCCCTGGAGCATGTTGAAGATTTGATGGTTTTGCCGTAAATTGCCACCCAGGCACGTCGAATTTCGTCACGACTCTGCTGCGCAAGACGGCCTGAACCCCTTTAACAGACCTGTCTTTATTTTCGCGTGATGATTCACATAATGGCTTCGGAGTCCTAGCCGTGGCAATTTTTGCCAAGTAGTGTCTCAGGAGCTCATTGCTGTGACTCGGCCAGAATGTCTGCATCTTAACTTCGCTCTTCGCGGCGAGCAGTGCTGTCGTATTGTGCAGTGTCATGGAGAAACTGGATATGGTTTACATCCTGCAAATAGCAGTTGAGAGCTCAACTACTCCTGTCTTTAATTTGCTACGGTGCCAATCCTGCTCTTCTCGGCCCATCGCCAGTCTAACATCGAACATAAATGTAATCGGGTTGCCAAAGGATCATATTCTATTGGGTAGTTTCGTTCATGCATTGTTCGTCCCAATATGAGTGGATCTACAATAACACGATTCAGCAAGTTCGATGTAAATCCTGCCCCAATTCAGATTCCGAGGCAGTTCTGGTTCTCTCAAATCTCTTCAACCGTTAACGGACTCCGTCCTCGTCCAGCTCTTCCAAACTGCTTGTCGCTGGTAACCGGGCTCCAGCCATTCCCCCAGCACCGAGCGGCAAGATATGCCTTGGTATGCTTTGATATGTCTTAATATGCCTTCGCAGATCCTATAACATGAATCACAGCCTATATGGGGGACCTTGCTAGGCTACGGATCAGAAGGACCTCGTCCGAGTAAGCGTTGAGGGCTTCTGCCCGCAAAGAACAACCCATCTTCGCTGCTCGCCCATCGCTTCTCGTGTGCGTCACTAATAGAATCCAAGTCGCCCTCGTGGATATGGCCATAGTCGAAGACAATCGAGCCATTTACTGCCAATACATGCCGCTCGTATAACGTCTCTGCAGGCTCGGAAATGATGGAATCGTCATGACTAGCTGGAGGTTTCGCACGATCAATCATCAACTGCATGTCGTTCAACCAGGGAACGCTGGCAGGATGTGTGCTACCGGCAGTGAATCGTAGTTGGTGTTCTGTAGCACCGTTGCTGAAGGATCGTGATTCAGCTGGGTCCGAACGATAGGATGCTGAGCCATTCTGTCTCGAGTATAGAACTGTTCTGGGGAAATTCCCGTATCCCATGACTTCTTTTGATGCCTCAGGAACTAAAGATCGTGCTCCGTTCGAAAAGATACCGTGTCCGGAAATGGATACATGCTTTGTACGGTCCAATTTCGCTTGGATGGTGAGACTTCCGCTTCCCTGATCAACGTGGTAATCGGAGTCTACCCAAAGTGGGTAAGAAAACGAGCGTGAATAGCCGTTAGATGACTTCTCGTACCCCCAGCTGATCTGCTTTGTGATTTGAGCGCAACCATGATCGGAAAAATTGCCAGTGGTCGAAAAATGGAGCGACTGCTCCCAGGATGCGATCCGCTCGCCTTCTGATGTGGAGATGGTTGCTGCACTTGAGATATATCGGTGGACTTCGACATGATAATCAAGGGTAGTGTTTGTCCCGTTCGAGTCTTTTCCCAGTTTAGATGATACCGACATCTGGGGAGAACGTTGGAATATCCTCGGAGACATTCCTGTTGTTATCGAGCCCTCGACATCCAGCCACAAGAAGATCTTTCCGGAGAGGACCCAGTATGATCCGAGTTTGTCGGTAATGGTCGCTGTTCCATTGCCATCGTCCGAGATCCCTATGACTTTGAGTCCAAAATCGTGCGGTTGTCCGTCGCACAGTGTTCCAAGCCAAGGAGTGATATCAATCTCATCTTCTTGCAAGTCAAATGCATCAATACCGACAATCGGCCTCCAAAAACCTGGTGCGATGCCTCCTGTGAATATGATAGGGAATGGAGACGATACGCCTGCTAAGACACCGTCAATCTGTAGCTGCAGTTCACGGAATGGGGAGCTGCCGTATAAACGGCCCACGTCCGGAAAGGTCCCCGTATTTGAATCGAGTGTATTGGCCCACCAGAACTCTTCTTCCATTTGGCCGACCGCAGATATTGAGAATATTGCTTTCTTAATATTCCTTGGCAACGTCAAAGAGCTGGTAACATTGAAGTCATCTGCATGGAGTGAGCCGGGATTTTTCCAGGTCGCTCCCTTCCCAGAAACGGGAATGATAACATCTGCAGGAGGGTCCACGTTCGCACGATTGTAGAAGATGGCGGCAAGAGTCGTATTGAAAGTCCCGGTATATGTCTCATCCACGAGGTTCCCCAAGTCGAAGGTAAGGGTCTGGGGCTGTTTGAACAAGGATAGGTAGGGCGTCATATCTTTCATGTAAGTCCATAGGATGCCTGCCTGCGTCGGTTCCGCTGTGGACGTTCGAAATATTTCAGTATTCCCGAAATACGCCGCTCCCAGTCGATCAAACTGCCGTCCAGCCGATGTGACGGTTAAGTTGAACGCCACGGCATTATATTCGCAGTCAGGTGGCTGATATATGCCTATAGCACCTCTGGTATCAGCGTTGGGCCAACCACAGGAATAACATCAGTGTCATTAGTAGACGAGAGAAAATTCCAGGCGCACGAAACTTGAGACGTTCCGGAGGTCCGGACATTGAGAAACTCCAAAACTTACCGACAAATGGATGACCATAGCTAAAAGCGAAAGTGTGCGTCATAAGCACCGCAGTGCAATCACATTCGCCCGGCAACACCATAGGTGGGTTTACTTGGAAACATAAGAGCCATGTTGCGGACAGAAACTGCTGTACAAATCCTGGCATATAACGCATCATCGCGATAACGGAGGAAGTCGACCTGCTGGATTGACGTATGAAGCCCCAAGTTTTCAAGCTCGTCTCTAGTGCGCGTCGGTATCTCGGGACGAGGAAGATCCGATACAGAGCCAAATAAGGCCCCGTTGGTCAGGGGGCTCGGTTTTCTTCTCCAAGAATGGGTTCGGTTCGATGCTGGATCCAATATACTTATTGTCTCCCGCACCCCACTCTTGATTATATTGTTCCTCGACGTCGAAGTCGTTCAAGGAGAGTATTAGGCAGGTCGATGCAGGAGCAAGAGTAAACCCTGGTGTAAGCATTCGAAAAGAATAGCTTTTGCTGGGCTTTGGATTATGCCAAGATACGAGCACTCATATTGAAATGAGCTTGAGTGAATATAATGGTCCGAGAGCCTGGATGAAAGTCAGAATTAAACGTTGCCGAAGTGCGAAACTAGGCCGCAGTTGACCTTGACAGTGAAGGAAACCCCAAGGATGCTCAATCGGATCCCTCGTACTGATCCCAAAAGCGTTGGATGGCCCTTCGGGCCACAACAGAACTAGCAAAACGAGCGCGGAAGAAGTTAAACAAGGCGAACTCGTCCTTAGAGAGAACGTAAGAGTCTGGCGCAGCTTGAACACGGCTCCAAACTTGACCGAGATGTCGCTCAAGGTATTCGCCGATTGAAGGATCGACGGAACTTTCACAATTCCGAGCCACCTCAAGAGCTCGTTGGATTGTGAGATAGCTGTTAAGCTGATTGACGTCTGGGGGACAGTTACCACCCATGATGGATAAAGACATTCGGGAGACGTTGATAGAAACACAGGGTTACAGTTGACAAATTGTGGTTATGCGGTGAAGGGAAATAATGGAGACTAGACAGAGCATCGGAACGCAAAGAAGAACATTGACAGCCAGTCGAAATGGGATACCGGTAGGTTATGTACCCTTAGCTTGAAGCGCCATCACCAACAATCCATGCTTAATGAATCATTCTAAAATCAAGGATGTAACATGAATTTCTCTTACCTGGGAAGCGAGGACTGCGGATGGAGGGAACGGTGTTTCCTCGGTCTCTATTTCCAAACCCAAAGAGTAGAGAAGTCCCAAACCAGTTGTTGAGCCCGAAAATCACCACCTTGGGCGCCTTGTCGTCCAATTCCAAGAAAGCACCGTGCAAGGGTATCCTCCTAGGGGAGGGGGAATGGTGAATAATGCCGGATCAGTGATACAGGGCACAGGATATCATGCACCTGCGATGAGGGGAGGACGGGAGCTTGGGCACTAGACCAGTCTCCCTGGTTCGAACGAGTGGAGAGGATGATGTCTTCGAAGCACTTTGGAGTCTACCAGGCGCGGGGATGCGTGCCCCAGAAACGTGGGAGAATGAGGTGATGGAGCAGGGTGTCATATACAACACACAGCTGTGACCACTGTCACCCTGCTTGGACCACTTTAGTAGACAAGGAAATTTGACAACGAGCGCAAGTGGAGAAATACAGAACCGTGTCCAAACTAATACAGTCGAATGGATCAGGTCCTGAAGTCGACAGCAAAGAAATCCCAGAATAACTGGGCGTCGGTTAGAGGACAGACGACAGACGGATAGGGAAACGAGACCCCTAAGACATCTAGGGCACTTAGGATTATTTCTGGCGCCGAGCAAGGCACTGTTGCCGTTGAGTATATCACTGGCGGAGCGTAACTCAATCGGTATTCATGTCGCCCAGGACATGAAGTCGATTGTATATTGAGTTTCGCGGAATAGAACAGAGAAGCTCGAATCACTTCTGGGCCTTGCGCAGGTGGATCGCCTAGATTCTCAAACCCGATGAGCGGCTTAACGCGCTCGGGATATTAGACCACAGTAGACAGGGGTGTGAGGCTAAGAAATCACGTTCGACCGTCGTAGCTTATATTCCTCGAAATGCAGGTCCAGAGCTCCCCTGCCGTAATACAGTAATAGGTGGCGTTTCGTGCGGAGTAGAGGCGGTCAATCAGATGAATCTCTCCGATGGAATTGGATGACGGTATTAGGATACGGTGAAGGAAGAGCCAAGGAAGTTGTTATTGGTAGCAGGGTGCTGTAGATTGGAAAATGAAGCTCAATGTCGACCAGCAGCTGGGAGCTGAGATGGGAATGCCGCCGGGAATAGCACAAATCGCCTGTATATCCCTGAAGGCAACAACTGCGCTAGGCAAGAGATTAACATCCGAAGCAGAAGACTCGAGAAACTAAAAAGCCTAAGAAATGTCTCAAGATCAGAGCCAGGCCGCTTGAGAACCTTCACAGTGGACAGCGAGGTGCTAAGAGATGGGATGTGAAGGTGAAGCAGGTTGCCTGTGCTTGATTTCAAGGAATAGAGCGTTGACATGGATGAGGGATGATGTTACAGGTGCCATAACCCAACGCATTCTTACGGTCAACGATACAGCGTACGGTACGGAGTAACTACTGATTGTATCAGAACTCTATCAGATTGGCGATTGGAAGGAAATTCATATATTTTCATAACTTGACCAGGTCTCAGGCGTAGCCGAAAGTCCCCCCTCCTTTGCGAATCTACCTATCAGATAAACTATCCTTGTGAGAATCCACGGTCCCCTTGCTCCCTCGGACACTCAGAAAAGCGGCAGACATGCCTGGTCCTGGCATGAGCCTCTCAAGTGGAGGTCGAGATATCCAGGAACCGACCCTTGGACAGTGAAGGGCATGCAGGTATGTGTTGCGTACGTACCTAACTAATGTGGTATCGATCACTTGCTTCGGCAAACTGCTTCGGCTGTATACTGGTTTCGTTGAACAAGACGAACTGCCGGCCTTCAACCTTGCCATGGTTCTCGGTTAACGAGGAACGGTACGCTCCGCAAACGCAAACCGTGTCGGGTCAACGCAGTTGACTACACGTCCGCTTCCTTATCGGTCTAGCAGCCGCTACAGTGGAGGTAGTTCGCACAATTTACGACCCCCCACGACTACTTTAGATGTGAGACGCTGGCGCTTGGTGACCAAAGAACGAGAAACGATGGCCAGGTTGTGATCCTTCCTGTTCTCCGCGCAATCAACCGGCCATTAAGAGGGATAACTAACGGCCGACAGGCTATCCAACGCCATCGTCAAGTCCAAACCAACCCGGTCAATCGCGGCCGATGAACTTGTATCAGAACTTGAATGTGGCGCTTGATCGACCACGCCTCACGCGCAGAATGGTGTGCCTGCAGTGGACAGATAATCATTACTTTATATTTATGACGTTCACAGAGCTTGGTCAATTTAGTCAAAGCTTCAGTTTCCTTCTATCAAAGTCAGACTTCACTACGAGCCTTTAACTTGAGCCTGAGTTCTTCACAAACAATGGTCTCACCAGTCATCATCGAGTCAATCCGAGTCATGACACAGTGACAGTCCGGGAAAGCAAGCTAAATGTCGCAATCCGCTCTATTTTCCCGTCAAGCTTGTCAATCTTGCAATTGTCAAGGAATCCTCGTTTATCGATCGGGCGCGATTTGCGGGGCCTGTGAAGATGCATACATATTACATTTTTTATTATTTATTAGGGCTCGCAAGTCGCGAATCGCAATGGCCTCATACCCACAAAAGCTGCAAATGTCGCCATGCAGTTCTAAGGTCTTAGCTCGACACGCAGGCCTCCGCCACGCGCCACGCGAAGCGTTGATCTGTGATCACCGACAGCCAGCGGGTGACAGGGGAGCATGCATACAGGCGGGTGCAAAGTACTCGACAACACGCTTGATACGCAGAACTCGCTGCTGAAGCCACTTGCAATCCGGGACCAGAAGGAACAAACCGTTCTGACTGACGCGTGTGGTAGGGGTTGCTCAGAGGGGTATGTTAAGAAAAGGCATATAGGCAATCTTTGATCAATATCAGTTATGTCGAATCTTCCCATGCCTGTCCCACATTCATCTACCGCTTCATAGCCCCCGGATATCCTTCACTTCCGTCTTTGGCTTCAATATCCGGAGTCACGATTAACCAGGATGTCGGTTCTTGTTCGATCCAGCGCATGTCCCTATTTGCAAGGGTCCTTGCAAGTACGGTACGGTGTGCGCTTCTATCTCAAGTCGTGACGTTTGATAGTCATCCAAAAGCTAGGGAGATGGCTCAGTACTACCTAGAGCCCTAACCAAGTTCCCCAAATATGAAAATTCCCTTCACTTAAGTACTGATTCGTCAGAAAAAGATCATAGGAGAGGTCGTTGATGAGAGTACCGCCTTGGCAGGCAACCAGTATAGCTGCATTTTGACAAGAATCTGGCGACTAGGTGAATGGATATGGGGATCCGGGGTCGTAGCATAACCGATTTTAGGCCCCTCGAGGCCTTGAAAGGGGGAAAGACCAACGATGAGCCGATAGCAACACACGACTGACTGTTGTGTAACGTATTGGCTTACAACGTTCCGAACTTCTCATGAGGGGTTGAGCGGAACTAGTTGCTGATCTAGGTCTGCGTCCCAATTAGAAGCAGCCTGGATAACCGCATTTAATTGAAGGGGTGACAGAAGTTGGCAACGCAACAGCTCGTGTCAGAGCCTCCTGCACTGGTTTCTCATCCTCTAGTTCTTATGTGCTCCCTTTTGCACATATATACCAGCATACCCTTCCGAGACGTGCATAGATTCATCACCCCGCTTCATATCTGTGAGTGTGATAAGTCAATGTTGCTCTTTGATTCATGGATGCTGCTACACTGAAGACTCGCTTACAGGATGCATGAACACTATCGATCCACCGGCTCTAGACCAGCCCCATTGGCTGACCCATCGACTCGCTTTTCAAGCTTTCTCCTCAGATTGCACTTTTCGGCCAGTCCTCTCGGCAGGTAATGATCCCAAATTTGGGTATTTAGCTACATTGAGAAAGGGCCGTCATAACGCCGAGTACCTGCAAGTCCAGGTCGATGTACATGTGCTTCCGAGTCGAAATACCGCTCCAGTGGATCCATAGATTGAGTTCCTCGTACTCCTGGTGGCCAGTGCGACATTGCCAAAATACCGGTACCAGATCCATGCTTGACTGCCTGCTTCTTCCTGTGTAACCAATGCTGCCTTTTAATGAGGATTGAAGACATGCTTCAGAACACAACTATCGATAAAGGTGGAGCCATAGCATCAATTTTATGGTCCAGTTGGGTACTCTATTGTGCCCTTGCGCAGGAAGGGACGCACTCCGGTCTAATCAGTGATCGTAGATTACGTTTCCCAAATCCATTTACTAAGGAAGCAGTAAGGAAAGGTGGTAGCTTGGAGGGATATGGCGTATCCTTAGTCCCGAGATTGGCCTTGCCAGACTCATATAAAATACAATTCTAGTCCGCAGTGGTCGATATCTGACGCTGGTTGGGGGCTATGTTTACAGGAGAACGCTGCTCAATGTTCGGAAAACATGAAAGACTCGACTGGTTCATAAAGACTGACTCGAAAAATGAATCTTGTAAATCGCAGGAAACCGCATTATGATGGTGCACAACCCGCCAGCAGTAGAGAGAGGTGACCGGAATTTGAATCGTTTAGAATCCAGTCGGGTTTAGGAAGGATGGACACATCTAACGGATATCAATCCGACCAGTGGAAGATCATTTGTTAAATTACCTATTCGACCTCTCGTGAACAACCTTACAAACCACTCGAATCAAGCTAAACGCACCGAACTTAACATATCTCCTCTCAACTCTCTTTCCTACCTTCGATTATTCAGATATTAAATCCACCGCTAGATCCAAAAGCCACCATATCTCGTGAAAGCAAAATTAGAACTGTGCCACCACTCCCATAAGGGCAGCGAAGAGTCCCCCAGCAGCCGGTACAGTAATGGCACCGGCGGCACCGGTGCTGCTGGAATCCGCAGCAGATGCGGAAGCCGAAGAGGGCCGGGAAGTGGGTTTTCTCGCCGACGTTTCGGCTCCGGACTCCACCGTGGACTCGACCGTGGACTTGGCGGTGGTTGCAGTGGCCTTGGTAGGCTTAATGCTGGAGGTCAAGGCATTTAAGGAGGATTGACTATCATCGGATCATATGTGAACACCAGGCCGGGAAGAATTCAGAGTGGAAGGGTGTGACTTACCCGTCGGCAGCGTTGCAGTAGGAAACCTTCTGTGATTCGGCTCCGGAGCGGTTCGGGTCACCGGGACAGGAGTCGTAGCAGCTGTGATTGGAGAAACGCGTCAGTATACACCATTGAGATGCTGAAATGGCTGCATCCTCCGGCAACAGTATGCGTCATGGGACATATCGACCACCAACCCCCAAGGTACCGGACTCCAGGCTGTAATAATAGAAAACTTACGTCAAAACGACGGTATAGGCATCACATAGGCAGCGCCAGTCCTGGACTGTGCAGGCTGAGACCTGGAGCCCGGTGGTGGACTTGCAGGCTTCAACAATACTGTAACGGTGCGTGTTAGCTTCAGAGTTCGCCAGGAACGCGTCACTAGAATGGGCAATGAGCTCACTTCTGTGCGGCACAGGATGATGATTGCTGAGGCCCTGCAGCAGACCCAGTGGCAGTCTGGGCGGCAGCGTAGCCAAAAGTAGCGGCAAGGGTAAAGACGACGGAGAAACGCATCTTGGGTGGTTTACTGAGAAATGGTGAAAGGTATTAAGGCGTATACTTTGGTAAACAAAGGCCAAACGAGAGAGTCCGAATAAAATACCCCGAAGCGACTGATGGGGTATCCAATCAATTAGCGGTGGGGAATATCAAATTTGATACTGCGGACTTGTAGAGAGAAAAGGAAGGGAAGATGGGGATATCAGGACTCAGGAGATCAAAGAACGGACGTAACGACTGAAGAGGCATTTGAGGACTCGGGAAGAAAAGAATGAAGCATTAAACAAGGGGGTCACAGACACCTGCCCATTACGTACCAGCAGGTAATTCGGTATTGTTATTGATACGACGTTTCGAAGGCCCAGACACGACCGCGCCATCGAAATGTGGAAGCCGGAAGCCAGGGGTCAGAGCCAGAATATGTCTCTGTCACGGCACCACCGTAACACCAGACTGTGGTAGTAATATCTTGATGGTACGAGTATTAGCACTATTAGCATTGTTGTTAGCAATCCTATCACGGATTATGCAAGATTGATGCATCTGGCCGGTTGGTCCTCTGGTGAAGGTGAATGTGCAACATTGTCGTTGTTACGTTGGAGATTCGACTTTTGATGCTTGAATTTGCAACTCAGGTGGCGGCGTCCCAGTTCCCGCTCGTCATACCAGAGTGCCAGGGGCTATATGGCAGTGTCATACTAAATTGGGTTTCGTGTCGATGTTGGCTTCTCCAATTATACATTCCCGCCCTGAAGCCATAGTCGATTCTGGACTCGGGCAAATGAGCGAATCACTTCATTCGAAGTGAGGAAATTGCTCCAGGCTCCCTCCGTCGAGCCGGACGTGTCACAAGTGCCACCCGGTTTCGCCGTACTACCATGGTCGAGACGACGATATGCAATGATATCGTCAATTCGTCCTATCGAGCTTCGTACTATGGACTCCTGGACGTTGGTCCCCAAGGGATTCTAGTTCATCCGAAGTATGCGCTGACTATTCAATGACAAACGCGGTTGTGTAGTCCAGCTCTGCGCCAGTTCGACCTCAGCGAGAGCACTATTGTGGTACAAGAAGCGTCAAGTTTGTGAAATGATTTCGACAGGGTTAACGGTCAACAAACTGTGAACGACAACAATAGATTTGGCACATCTGGTAATAATAACTGACTTGCAAGAAGGAGGCAGGAATGCTGCACGCTGCATGCATAGGTTGATTGATAGAGAAGGTGACGGATACAATGTTTCTCACGTAATTCGGTTCGAAGTCGCTCTCCGAGTCCACTCTCCAACGGTTGCCAACTCTTTTCATTTGCGCCGAAGCAGCCTCCAATTTTCCTTTAAGTTTGCGATGCCTGGCCTAGTTCCTTGGCCGCGGTCAACATTCGTTCTCTTGTGAGCATGACCAGATCATCAACGTCGTGCTCAGTCATCCCGGAGGTTGGAATCGGATCGAGCACTATCGGAGGTTCATTGGTTTGGTTCATCTGTTCGATAGCTGTTGGGATACACTCACCTTTCAAAACGACTCGGCCCCTCTTGAATATTGTCCGGTCCTTGTCGAGCAGGTTCGAATAGTTCTGAATCACCACCGGCACGATCGGCACTTGGGCCTGGATAGCGAGGTGAAAGGCGCCCTTCTTAAACGGAAGCATTCCTGGCTCTTGCATATATGACCGTTGTCCTTCGCAGAAGAGATATGCGCTCGTTCCTTGTTGCCGTATCTGCTCCCCTGCAGCCCGGAAGGATCTCAGTGTCTTTGCGGGGTTCTTCCGATCGATGAAGAGTGCATCGTGAAGCACAAGATTCCATCCAAGCAACGGTACAGTCTTCAGCTCTGCTTTGACGGTGATGGTGCAATACTTGGGAAAGCCACAGCTGAGTATATAGATGTCGAACTCGGTCAGGTGGTTCGCAACAAAGACTCTCCCCTCTCCTTTGCCGCGCCGCAGTTGTTCAACTCTTCCAGACTTGACCACAGCAATGCCGGTGACTGTTCGAACCAAGGTTTCAAACAAAATTCCACTGAAGTACAGGCTAAGACCCGACAGCCCAAGGTGACTTAGCACGACCGAAATAAATCCAGAGATGAACAACGTGATCATCAGTACCAAGCCACCGATGACGAGTTTCGTATAGTATTCAACAATATCAGGTAGGAAGCTCAAAAAGGTTGGCGTTGAATATATGAGGAGAAGGGGTATCGCAATTCTTCGAGTTGATAGGGAAATGAGATGGAATAGGTAAAGATTGAGTGATAGGTTAGCCATGGTTGAAATATTCGTTTTCCGATTGAATGATCGTGATTTAGCCAACGACTGGAGGATGCTGATACCGAGGGAATTCAACTTTATGAATATGCAGTAGATAGTGAGTTTGGAATGAATCTCGATATGTGGCCCAGCAAAGTAATGTACGTACGGTCCAACCATTTGTAATGACGGAGTATCTAGTTAGTACCGTGGTCGAAGCCTAGAGCAGTCGCAGTCTGGATGCGTGGTAGGAGTTGGAGCACAGTAATCGGAGACTGCCATTCCTGATTCCTACAATCAGTAGTTCTGGAAAGGACACAGGAAATGCACCTCATCTGCTTCCACATACCAATCAGGTCAGATACGATCGACGGGGTGCAAAGAGCTTGTCTTGCTCGAATTACAAGGCGTTAATAAGGTGCATCCCTGATGAATAGCGATACATGATTTTAAATCACGCAATCACGTATCTTGCGCCTCGTCAATCCCATCAGGTAGAATTGAACACTGGCAGGAAGTTGCGTTTTATCATGGCGCCAACGACTTTCGAAACAATGGAAGGTACCAGTGGAAAGTGAGGAGGTCCGAGATGTCGCGAGTGGTCTCTTGCGTGTTAATATGGTGCTGAAAGCTTTGGTACCCATGGTTGGCTTTGGTTGATTCATCACAGTTGCCCATGGACCATAAATTCCGGGAAGTTCTCGAGACTCTGACGCCACACATATCGCCAATAACGACCGGATAGAACGGAGCCTTCAGAAAAGATGGCCATCTCATTCCCCTACAGATATCTGTTGGAGTACATGACAATATCTTAACTCCTCGAAAGCACCACGCAATTCTTCATTGGCCATCATTCATTCCTTCATCACCGTCCCCAGACTCAAGTGGCGGCAACTTCGATCGACCTGGGTTCTCCATCCGCTTCACCAGTATTGATCTTCTTTCCTGTCTTCTTGATTGTTTTGAGGACGGTGTCGTAGGTGAGAGTGTCGTCCACCGTGGTTACATCGGCAGTCTGGTTCTCGAGGGAAACGTTGTACTCTTTGACGCCTACAAAGTTCCAAACGTTAGCAGATTCCCTTGATCTAAGGCTTCTGAAGCCAGCCGCCACGGGTTCATACCATCAAGCCTTTTCAAGACTCTGTCAATGGCGCCGGAGCAACCACCGCAGGTCATGACAACGTTGAACTTGTAGACGTGTTCGGACATGGTGCCGACTTAGTGATTGGGAGTCTGGGTGTAAAAGTCTCCTTTGAGGGGATTGTTGTAGGTCACAAGGGTCGGCGTGCTTAAGTGGAGGATGAAAGTGGATTGGAACGTAGCGTGGAGAGCGAGAATGGAGGAAGTGGCTCAGCGGCCGTCTTATGCGTAGATATAGCTGGGGTTACGGAATGCGGGAATGTAGCCAAGCCTTGCCTCGGTCCTAAAACTATTATTACGGACGTACTGGTATCGGATGGTGAAATAATTAATCTAAGAAGAGAATGGGATTGCGTGATGAGGCATGTTTGGCCCCTTAATCTTAGCAGGTGCGTCGAGCCAGCGACTCTTTCGTTGCGTAATGGTGTGAAGAGAAAAGGTGTCGTGTGAAGCTGAATATGAGCATGTTACAAATCCATTCAACTTGCTCCTCATCTTGAGGCTTGAACCCTGATATTTGTTGGATTCATTGATTGATCACCCAGCCTCCCGCCACAGCGCAGACTTAGTTCGCAGTTGTATCCGGGGATCGCTGCAAGGATAGTACCTAGTCATTGGGCGACTGGCACGCAAGTGAACGTAGATGCAACGTGTTTCAAGGCTCTAAATTAAATTCATAACTACTCGATATTGTTCTCGGTGCCCATCAATACTGCTTCGTTTGAAGTATCACCTGCTCAGGATACGATAAGGGCCCTTGGTCCCCGCTACTCCATGTCCAAGCAATCCCCACAGCGCTGGTACATCATCAAGATGGAGCACAAGTCGGGTATTCGGCATCCCAATACCTGTATCTGTACAGTATGTCGATATATACCTGGCCCAGATTCTGGTATGTACGTATATCAAGATGATTAAGGAACAGTTGAGACTCGAGAGACGCATCACGGGATGTGGTGAACGAGCAGAGCAAGATGATGTCACTCTTCATAGTTTGTTTACATAAGGTATTTGATGCCTTGCCGACTCAGGCATGATGTCACATTATGTGCCTAGCCTACGCCGCACGTGGTTGGCCAGTCTACCTGAGTTGGCTCTAATATTCACTGATTTAGGTGTCGTCCCCATGCCGACGCACGTGCGGACCTGCGGGGCATCACAGGAGGACATTTGAAATAAGGCCACAAGGCCCAATAAGGCACCTAGCTAGACCCAGACGTCACTCCCTCGAATTGTTTTGAAGCAGATGGAGCAGTTAGTCCAGTCCAAGCTCACACATGTACCGACACTGGCCAGTATCTCCGCATATTTTATGTGTATAACGGTCTTCATTGTGTATAGTCTCTGCCCTGGAATATGTACCTATAGTTTGCGAGACAATCTTCCTTCAAGCCCCTCCCTGAGATCGAAGGAACATTGAACTGCTACCGAAGCATCGTGTGAACGTCCGCCCGTCCCATCGACAATAGCGCTGCAACAATGGCTTCGTAAGAACCATGAAGCTCAAATATATATTGCTATATTTCTAACGATATATAGCAATATCCTCGCTGTCCCTTTTCGCCGCACCCATTCCGTCTCACTCTCCGATGCGATCAAAGAATACATCTCCTCCAAATATGATCAGCACCCCGATATGTTCAAGCAGGATCTCGAGACGATCGATTATCTTCGAACGGCGGCGGTACAGGCGATTGATCCCCATATCACCGGGATCAAGAAACTGCAGTCATACGCTGCTCAGCTCATTTGGTTGGGCGGGAAGTTTCCAATAGACGTATGAGACAGAGAACGTTGGGTGCAGATCCTCGCTGACGGTACCATTCAGATCGGCGTGGACTTTTCATGGTATCCCGCCCTGGGTTACAATCTCCAACGGCCTGGTTTGTCTTCCTCAGATCGGAGTTTGCTGCTTGCCAACTGACGATCTTCCAGTTTCGCAGAATAATGTCAGGTTCGAACTGGCGAACGTCCTTTTTAATCTCGCCGCCATGTATTCGCAGTTGGCTGTATCGCTCAATCGAACCACGTCCGACGGACTCAAGACCGCATGCAACTACTTCTGCCTCTCAGCAGGAGTCCTCTCCTACCTTCGCACTGACATCATCCCCGACATGCGAGCCTCACCCCCTGACGACATGGACACCTCGACGTTGGAGTGCGTGGAACAATTGATGCTTGCCCAAGCTCAGGAATGCTTTTGGCAGAAGGCCGTCAAGGATGGGCTCAAAGACGCGTCCATTGCGAAGTTGGCTGCGAAGGTGTCGGACTTGTATTCCGATGCTGTAGAGTGTGGCGTCAAGTCTGACACTATAAGCAGCGAATGGATCCATCATATGAATGCGAAGCATCATCATTTTGCTGCTGCTGCTCAATATCGCGCTGCGTGCGACTGCTTGGAAAAGCGCAAGTACGGTGAAGAAGTCGCAAGACTCATCGATGCTGTCAGTTGCGTCAACGAGGCTCTGAAAGAAGCCCGTTACGTAAATAAGACAGTGCTGGGGGACCTGAATGGCATAAAAAACCGGGTACAAGAGGACCTGAAGAGGGCCGAGAAAGATAACAACATGATATATCTACGTGAGTGTCTTTTAAGTACTCCCCACTCATCTCATTGACATGAAAACAGTGCCGGTGCCTCCAAAGAGCGAGCTTAAAACCCTTGACCGGGCGACCATGGTGTCCTCAAAGGTGCCAAAGGAGATATTCGAAGCCACATCTATGCTGGGAGAGAACAGCGACCTTGGTCATCCCTTGTTCAGCAAGCTTGTCCCTTACTCGGTTCATGTTGCTGCGAGTATATATGCAGACCGAAGGGACCGGTTGGTGAACCACGACATCGTGGACCAATTAGAAGATATGACAAATGCGATTCATCGGTATGTAGGATTTCTCTAACATCGATGTTCGCGGCTTACTCGATAATCAGCGAGCTGAGTTCCTTAAACCTACCGGGCTCCCTCCAGGCGTTGGAAAAACCGCTTGGTCTGCCTTCAACTCTGCTCTCGCATGCCGAAGAGATTCGGCAGCAAGACGGCGTGGTTCGACTACGGAGATCCATTGCTGAGACCGAGAAGCTAAGACATGGTGACCGGGCAGTATTCCAAGAAGGCGTGGATCTGCTCCGTGGCGAGATCGAGGAAGATGAGAGGGCTCGGCAAAAGCATGGCACAGTTCGATGGACACGACCAACGTCAGAACTTGCCGTCCCTAAGCTTTACGGGCAAATACAAGAGATCGATGGATACTTCTCGGCGGCAAATAGTAGCGATACCCTCATCACGTCGAAGTTGAAGGAGAACGAACGTTTACTGAATCTGCTGAGCGGAACTGATTATGACTTGGAGAAATTCGTACCGAGCAGTCGAAGGGTCGTCATGACACCGGCAGTCGAGCGAGAGTCCAGCAATCTTCGTGCATGCTTAAACGATTTGACCCGCTTGGAAAGCAGAAGGAGACGAAAGATCGAAGGGCTCCGTTCAAAGGCCAAACAGGACGATATAAGTGGGTTCCGCCTGATATATGATGATAATCGGACACTAATTCATATAGACACCGACCTCCTCCGTGAAACTGCACGTTTGGAGCGTGAATACCCGATGCAGAAGATCGAAGCCGTCCAATTCGAAGGCCTCTTCGAGAAACGACTTCGCTTATACGATTCTGACAAAGCCGCAGTCGAGACTGAACGCGAGGAGCAGGATGGCCTCCTGAAGAACCTACATGCGACGAACCAAGCCTTTGTCAATGCGAGACGAGGGGAAAACTCGACCAAGACGCGAGAAGATGCATTGCAAAGCCTTGAGAATGCGTTTTACAAATACAAGGAGATCATATCGAACCTCCATGCGGCCCGAAAATTCTATAACGATCTCGCCAAGATTGTAACTAGGTTTCGAGACGACTGCAAAAACTTTGCATATCAAAGACGAATGGAAGCGTCAGAAGTGGAAGGGTATGTCAGCGTTGTCTCAGTACCTTTTATCAGCAGCACAGCAGCTAACGGTTACAGCGATCTGGCCAATGCCATGTCCGGCATAAACCTACAACAAGCTGCCAATTTGCAAAACGAACGGCTAGCCGAGGCGCAGGCTCCTTCGTACCGCCAGCGACCACCGACCGAGAATCAGATTCCAGCACCACAGCCCACCCGGACGACCCTGATCCCGACGCCAGGCGTCTGGACGCCTGAGATGCCGATACGATTCGGGCAAAATAGCAGTACGTCAGGAAATACGAAGGATGGAAGATGGGATCCTGCTCAGGGGGTGAAGTTTTCATAGGGCGTCGAAGATTGAAGGACAAATCTAACTGGACGCATGTACGAGGGGCGATGGTTGAGCGAAAGCCGGTCCGAACTCCGAGAGCAAGCCTCTTGAATCAATTGAATTCTCCTCGGCAAGATATCAATTCCTGAGTGCCTTCATTCTTGAGACACTCGACGACCTCGTCGCAATATTTAGATCTTGGAATAACAGATTCGGTAAGGTGGAAAGGACCAATGTACAGTTCCTGCCCTTCATCTCTATGCATATCCACATCACCTCTCACTGACCGATCCTCTGCTTGAACTATTGGGTCCACATGTTCGACTGCATTATTGAGGGAACCGGCGCATTTATCAGTGTAATCCATCCACGAATGAACCTTCTTGGGACCGCCCATGCCTTTGCCGATATCCGTTCTCCGGGTTGCAACAGTCGTTGACCTTCATTAGTTTTGAACGCTTCAGCGTTACCAGGCCTGCGTCGCGGTGGATTGGTGGCTGATCATTCTGAAGGTCAATGACTCCATTGGCAGCGACCCTGACCGCTCGTATAAACGGTACAATGGAAACTAAATGTAACCCCTAACGCCTATGGTGCCTTCAAATCAGTGCAGTCCAGGGGTATAAACGCGTCCCCTCGTCGCCCTCGAACGCTCATTGAGGCTTAAGCGAAAGAAAATCCCTCAATTCGGTGTTGGTGGAAATGAAAATCAAATGATTATACTTCGTGCTCCACTGCGGAATGGCCGTCGGGTGCAAGACGACGTTACGCCGGATTGACTTGGATTGGAATATCGCCCAACCAGCAAACCAGGCAACGAGTTCATCCGTATCAGTCACCTGCTGTTCAGTTCTTGGCTCGGTTAGACGCTGCTTCCCTCCATTGTTCCTCCGGGGTAAAGGGACTCCCACAAAACAACAATCAGGATGGTGGATATCGTGTGGTGGTTGCTTCTCATGGTCCGGGTCATATTCAATCTGCAATTCTCGGATGCGCTTGATGAGCTCGTTCATGCTTGACTTTGGTTAGGGAGCCGATGGCTTAGATACTCAAGCGGAGACTTACTTCGAGGGGTCTCTCGTCGCGGTGCGGCTATGCTGGATTAGCCAGGGAATGACACCAGCTCGAAAAACGAGTTTCGGCACGGAATACTGCGCGGCTTCTATCCTTGCAGCCCGGGTTTCTTTCTGCGCGGCTTCTTTCTGTGCAGCTCCTTTCAACGCAGCCGCTATTTCCGCATCCTCTTTCTCTTCGACTGCACGTTTATATTTCCACACCCTCTTGTGCTTGTCGTGGATTGAATTGATCATGAGAAGCGCCTGTTCCGGGTCCGCCGTGAGCATTTCATCTGTCATCAACATTGACTGGCCTTTCTTGAACAGCCGATGGATACCCTGATATCGGATCATAGGGCTTGCGCCGAATTGCCAGATATTGAAGCTTCTCTTAAGAAAATCCCGGAAGTCGGGTATCGCACCGACTTGCCCGACGTATTCCGCTTGGATCTGGTCGATTCAGCATGAGAAACGGCCGGCCTGTGTTCAATACTCACGATGATGACACCGCTTCTGTAGTGATTGGAAAACCATCGCCAAGATCCGGGCCTCGCAAGGCTATAAACTTCAAGGTCAAGAGAATGAAGAGCGCTGATCACAGGTTCAAATTCCTTTTCATTCTGCGGGTGCATAAAGAGGAAAATCACTCGGTTTAGCCCCGTCCCAACCGGCCACTCCAGAAGACGTTTCAGGGGAAACTTGAACTGCTCGGTGAAAGTGCGGAGGTTGAAGAGCGTGTCGCCTTTTGTTTGCGGTCGCTTGATAGAAGGGCTCGTAGGCGGAGCCGGTGCTGTCAACAAAGTTTGGATAGTTGGCCATTCAGCTTGGAGTGCGGCGGCCTTGGAGCTCGAGAAGTCGGATTGCTCATTAGACATCCAGTCATGGGGCTGGATGCCATTCAAGAAGGAGTTTGAACTAGTATCTTCAATAAGCCACATGCCAGTCTAAAATATGCAACACGCCCTCTTACAAGTACTCCTTCTGGAGTTTTACAGCCTGTTCCACAGCATTCGCTGCGTTTTCGGGTCTCGCAAGCTCTGAGTCGGCATGGTCGATATATGGCATATCACTTTTGAAACAGCATGAGTATAAAGATATAGGTAGTCGAGCACCAATAACTCACCAAACATCGTTGTCAACTAGTGCCTGGATAATACAAGTAAGCTTTAGTGCCGCGGAAGGTTAGAAACTAGAAACTCACAGCATCAAAGAGGACACGAGTCGGAGCAGGTATGTCCTGGCCAGGATCTGCCATGCAGGCAACTTAAGAGCTTCTATAATAGGCGGTGATTACGATCTTACTTCAGCCTCTAAAGAGTGCTACTCATTGAATGTTGAGTGCTGGGGATGGGTGAGGGCGATGGGTGTGGGTTAGGTGTAGGTGTTGAGAAGTATATAGATTGGGGAGAAGGGTGAGGGAAGATGAACTTATCACATCATAATGTATGGTATCCAAGAAAGCTAATCAAGTGACATTTTCATTCATACATCATCTTCTGTTCACATGAATATGTGATTACAGTATCTTACATGGTTTCGTCGCCTAAGCTGTCTCATTACGTGTATTCTAGACATCATCAGGATGACGAGCCCTTTCGGGTCGATCGAGAACTCAGATGTATCTTTCCAAGCGACGATATCTGCTTGCCGCCAACCTTTTGCACCTGCGCCACCGCGTCGCCCAAAAGGACCCGAATTGCGCCTTCTAGCCGCTTGTCCTTTCGTTGTCGCATCCATATCAAGACAATCCACAGGATCGCCAGATCAAACACCATGTGCTTGACCACTGCCCAAAAACCCCGCCACACCCAGCGAAGCACCCGTTGGTGCTTCGACACTCCGAAAACTCTTCTCGATTCTAGCTGCTCGCGCAATGCTGCCACTTCTGCCGTTAACCGGACCAACGCTTGCTCCACTCGCCGTCGCCATTTCTTGTCTCCAGGGTCGAGGTTGGGCCGTGGTGGTCGAGGCGATTCCCCTTCGGGGGACCTTCGATCCTCATCTTCTTCTTTTTCTCGTGTGGTGTAGTTGTACTGTGAATCCGGCGCATCGACAAATTCATCGCCATCGTCCAAGTCGTCCTCCAACTCTTGCGACACCGGACTGACAACTCGCATCGCTTGCCTATCTCTCCGTTCGTCCTGCGTTCTATACCCTCCCATCAGCTCCGGCGAATTCAGCGACGGATAGGAAGGCGGGTTTTGGAGGCCGGTTGGCAACCCGAGGGTTTGTAGGGGCGAGGAGGATGAGGAGGACGGGACGTTCGATTTGACCTGGTCCCAGACGAATTCGAGCTCCGCCACCAGTTCTCGGGTATCGTCGCTGGGGTCGGCGAACTTGTGAAGGGCTTCGATCAAAGTCGATATGTACCGTCGTTTCGCCTCGGTTCGCGAAAGGCTGCTCTGTGATTTCCATGCTTCCCTTGGATCGTGTTAACGCGGCTCGCGGCAATGGCAATTCGCGGGGCTGTGGCTGCCCTACCATTTTTCCCTTGCGCGCTGGGCTTCCTCCGTTTTTCCTTCGGGTCGATCCATGATCCCGTCCACGTCCCCTTCTAGAGTATCATCAGTAACCTAGCTTCATGCAGTGGTGCTTAGGACGGCCGATGCGTACCCATTGCTTGCTTATAAAGTCCATAGAGCCTCAATCGCGTGGCAACCGGCGGTTTCCCCCCCCCCGTGTGGACTTTATTAACGGTATTAAGAGCATAACTAAATACCCTATCTTTTCGTAAACAAAATTATCTCAGTCAGTCGTCAGATCTAGGCGTTGGAGGGGATAGCTATGCTCGCGTGCTTCTACTACTTACCTACGGAGTCGGACATGATAACATCAAGATAGAAGATCGCTTATGAGTGGCTGCGCTCTGCGGGGCAACACACTCTGGCAGCAAAGCAAGAGATCCCTTGAAATCCAAAAACGATGGCATAGATATCGATGATTTTCGAAAAAGTTGAATACTCATCATGCCGCGACTGGCGACCTGGAGTATCGGCTTTCACGGGTGATACCCCAAGATTACCGCGGTTCTTCGACCCTGGTCAGTTGGACCCTGAGCCGCGTTGGCAGTGGATGACCATCCGCCACCGACCGATATGATTAAGATTGTATTCAAGGCGAACTCGCCTTAGAAACTAATCAAGTATGGTACGTAAAGAGTACATACATCATAGTTCGGAGATTTGCCATGCGGACATGCACGACCCCCCGGATGCGAACACCGAGGAAATCAGCGATGCAAGAGGACAAGACTAGGTGGAGCCTTAAGAGTCTTGACTAAAGCACACACATATAGACGTTATACTGCCTTGTTCGGGAATCAAGATGGGTCGGCGCATATATCCGTTCATTGTTACAGTGTTGATGACTTGGAGTTTAGGATATTCGTTCCGGTTTTAGCCTTAAATGTACAAGAAATTGGTGCATGAGCCACACTCTCGGTGATTAGAAAGAAACCCAGGGGCCTGCTTTACGCATCGGGCTGAGAATTAAAGGATATATGTGTCGGTATCGACATGAGAAACAGGTCAATCCAAGAAGATACAACCATTAACGAAAGCTTTCACTCGGTATCGGCACCCCCATTCGCAAGTCGTGAGGACCGTCGGCCCCGCTCCATATCTTTCGGGCTTGTGGCTCGCGAGCTGTCTTCATCACCGCTTTCGGGACTTGACTGCCGAGTATCGTTAAGCGTCCGACGACTCCGCGCCATCTATATGAACGCCGGTTAGTGGTTGACGCTTCTAAATCAATCGACGGGACTTACCCATGACCTCACTCCGCCGATCAACCCCAGGCTATAGCCCGCTGCGAAATCCGAAGAATTGGTCGACGGGGTTCCGGTCGGAGACTTCGGAATGTCCAGGTGGCTCAAATGAGCCACAGCAGAGGCCGATGGAACGTTCGACAGCCTCGGAGAAAGGTTTGGCTCGTCCCTACTCGACCGAGCCGGGCTTGCTGGCCTGCTGCCGTTGGCTTGCCACATCTGTCGCAACTCCTTCCCCAGTTCCTGTCCGGTGGTGGTCCAGTTGGTTCGGATGTTGTCGCGCAACTCGGCCACGGTACGCTTGATATCGAGCTCATTTTTCTTCAACCAGGAGACGTTGAGCTCCTGTCGGGACGTTCCTCGCTTGAGTTGCCGGGTAATGTATTGATCATAGTCGCGAATAATCCTGTAACAGTTTTAATGAGAGGCCGGTCAACCAGCACGGGAAGACATACTTTGAAATGATGCCAGTCGTAGATACGCCCTCGGTTCTTTGAGTGACCAGGAATTTCCCTTGTTCCTTAATCGGGGAGTAGATGTCGTCCCCTTCGTCCGCACCATAGGGAATATCGTCGTGGGCAACGTAGTCAATTTGATATTTCTCGATGAACTCGGGAGTATCGGTGATGATCCATGGGCAGTCTTCCACGACCTCGTCCACCCACTTGCAGTGCCGGACACTCTCCGCCCTCTCCTTCCCTGACAGGACGGTGAGACCTTTTCTTCGATGGGTTTCCTTGTCACCCGTGACACCGACAATGAGGTATACGTCCGGGAAAGCCTGCTTCGCCTGTTGCAATTGTCTCATATGCCTAGTCCCAGTTAGCAGTTACCTCCCAGCCGGTGGAAAGCATTGCATACCCCAAGTGGAAGAGGTCGAACACGCCATCCGCGTACACGCGGACCGGACGCCCTTCAGGCGGAGGATTGGTATGATATCCTTTCGGATCGACCAGTCCCGCGCGTGGGGGCTCCTCCATCCTCATTTTCCCCCTTTCACCCCCTTCACCATGTTCGAGGGCTTCTTCGACATCGAGGTCGCTGTCCGTGGAATCCGCTCGTCCGTTGGCTGGTCGCGAGCGTTTCGCCGCCGGCTCGGGCGACTTACTTCCCGAAGAGTCCTCGTTTTGAGACGTGGATTCTCGGGCATCGTCGCCGGACGCATCGTTCAATGGTGACCGGGTAGTGTCGAGGGTAAGATCGGTCGAGGAGCCGTTTGGCGTACGCTTTCGCTTCGGAGGCATGGTGAGGTGTGCGAAGGCTGTGGTGGGGTTGGTTCCAGAGCCCGTGAGGAACTATATCAGTAGGGAGATGGACGGTGAGGTTTACTCGACCGAAGTCCTGAGACGGGGTGCGAATCTCGAGATGAAATGCGGATTGCGGAAGGCTTGCTCAGAGGAACGATGGAAATTTTATGGGGACGCAACAGCATATATAGATGAATTGCTAGGTGGTGTTACCTGGCGGGTGTTAGGGAGAGGGGAACACACAGGTGAGAAGCCGAAATGATGGACAGTATTAAAGTACTTCGGTATGATCAATGATCGCATCGCCGACGTATTAATTCCCCTTGTCCAAAGTTCTGTAGCTTTCGTTGAATCTTTGAATTCAGGGCAGGCCAGCTCTCGTCATGGATGCCTCGTCGCCTCAGGCATGAAATACTACTGTCCATAATATCTGATTGGCGATTAATTACAGACTGAATCTGAGGACCTGTGAAATTGCCGTCGAAAAGGCCGGTTTATGACGCTGTTTTTGGCAGCATTTCCACATGACCTGGTCATGAAAATCAACCCTTCTCCTCCCCAAACACCCCGTAATGCCAAGTGCACGTGACTTTGTCTATCAGTTTCGTGAGTTTCATGAAAGTCACTGAATTTAGAAACAGGAGATGCGAACCCGCAAGCGGGTTTCACTGAAAGAGAGCCTGGAGGAACGAAGCTAGAGTTTGCAGTTTTCGAATCTCCCCCCCAAAAATAAGAGCTCGAATTATATTCAATAGAAGCATCACAAAAGGATTGAAATTCCGTTAGTGTTCTGGGGTTGGCTTTATGGTAGTACGGAAGGCTAGTTTAGTGATTGGTTGCTCCGCTGAACTCAAATTCGATCAAGTATCAATATCGTTTAGTCTACAAGGTCTGCAAATACTTATTCCATTCAAGCTAAACTAAAGAAGAAGAGGAGAGGAGGAAATCTCTCTCTATTATACGGGAGATGAACCTTTCCTCTACTTCGTGAACACGTCTATCAACACGTCTATTAACACCTAACTGCCTCCTGATAATCCTCTCACCACATCTAGCCTCATCCACACATATATCGGGCACAGATCACAGGCCTCGGACCATAACAAGTGATACGATATTCGTCGGGTAGGGAAAAGAGTCAGTACTAATAGCAAAAGTAAAGTAATGAGTAGATCCTTTACAATGGCTGGAGGGCTTTTTTGTCAGTAAGGTATAGTTTAGTTTGAATATCTCTGCGACCTACGTCTTGAAGCGCTCGAGTTCATTCGCCATATTCTACGAGATCTTGTCACGATTGAAGGACAAGCCGTACCAGAAGAGACTGAATATATTCATCAATTGTCTTTCCACTACAGCCTGTAGGTCACAGCGACCTCGGAAGCGGCGGCAGCCAATATCAATGGGGTCACCATCCATTTCACTTACAGGTTCTTCAAAGATATAACTCGGTCGGCGGGTCGGTATGCGGATCTAGAGAGCTTTACGCCGAACAATTTAACCAGCCTCCGCATCGATAGACGAAGCCAGGCCGAGTGGCAGGAAAAGGTCCGACTTATCATCGATAAGATTAATATACTGGGTACTTAGACGCAGTACGTAGTGAACGAACAGCTGTGCTGACTGCAACGGAGTATAGACGACTTTGGCAGGATCCCGATTATTGTCTTCTGCGGGGATTTCTACCAATTTCGTCCGGAACAGAGGCGGTCGATCCTTGTCCCTAGCCATGCTACTGTATAGACCGACGATACATCGTTCCGAGCAGAGTAAAGGCACTAGCACGATAAGGCGCACGCGCTGTAGAATAAGTTTAACACGGTCGTGATGCTCGACGAATAGGTCCCGTACGGCTAGAGACCCACGACTCCAGCAACTCCTCAGGCGGATCCGGCACAGCGTTCAAGATCAGTCCGATATGGATTTCCTGAACCAGACGTGCTACTAGGAAGGTCGACGTATCCTATAGGAGTCTAGCATCACGGTTATTACGCTGCTGAATCGGAACCGCTGGAATCTGAACGTCGAAGCTATGCTATCCTTCCAACGCCAAAGGCAAGGCGTGCTTCGGATTTTCATGTCCAAGCATAAGTAGAAAGATGGCCAGCCTATAGAGGAAGAGGCCCTAATACTGTTAAGTTAGGGAGACGACAGCGCCGTCCTCGTCCCCGCCATCTTCATGTTCGTCCCGGGGATGTCCATAGCTTTAAATTAAAACACCCACTAAGGCCTGAAGCTGGTCAATGGCGCCCGCTACACGGCGTTAGACGTCGTCCTCGACCAGACACCCCCCGGGCATCGCGTTAACGCCGATACCATACTCCACCTCGGGCCTCCGGCCGGGATCGTGCTGGCGTCCGAGACGACGAGAGACTGCGACTTCGTCAGCATGCCAGCCGGCACCGTCCTCCTGGCGCCCGTCAGCATCAAAATCGACTGCTAAAGACAGCGGCCGTGGCAGATGCACGACGTTAGCTAGCGAGGATTACCGTTCGCAGCGGCGTTCGCCTGCACGGATTACAAGGTGCAAGGAAAGACGTTGGGCCGAGTGGTGCTGGAACTTCGCGGTGCGAGGACGATAAAAATCGATAGGATTATGCTCCTGTCTCGAGCGCGGGAAAGGGACATTATTGTTATGGTCCCAAGCCTGTGGCCTGGGCACTTGAGTATGGCTGAAGCCACAGGGACGTGGCTAAGTGGATAGCACAAAGGAGATAGGCACAAAGGAGATAGGAACAAAGGAGGTATCTTCTATATCTCGCGCGCAGAGGCGTTGGGAGGTTTCTTCCTTCTCTCTCTTCAGTTTAGATTAATGGAACTTGGTAATCGTAGACCTTGCGCATCCAAACCGTGTCAGCCTTGTCGATCGTTGTTACAGATGGTGACGCTTCTTTCTCACAGCTATATAGTCCGGCTCGTTTCACCCTCTCCATGCTGTAGATTGTTGATGTCCAGTCGCTCGTTGCGGGTGACCCGACCAAATATGGCTGCAAGCTCCTTTCGTGACTCGAATAGCGGCCACTAGTAGTCAAGTATTAGTCGCCGTCACTGTTAGATATAAGGGGGATACTCACAAAAAGGATGAGAATCAAACTAATGAACACAAATGTTGCGGCTGCGACACACTGTAGCACGAAGAGGCCTCTTGGGTAGACGACGGCGGTGCCAGCAAGTGGGGCAGGAATAAGGACGACTGAGTAATTTGTAAGCCATAGCTAGGATAAATGTGGAATTGATACTCACGGATGACGAGAAGAAAGAGTCCGGTGATGATGCGGAAATGAGTCTGCGATGCCTCGAGCTTGGCCACTTCTTTGGCATACTGCGCCTCGGTCGCCGTGGTTCGGCCTCCACCTTCCACCGCGTAAAGAGCAGGCTCATATGTCAGATCTTTTGACCCAGCGAAGTGACTCTGGCTATGTTGAGGGACCTTTTCGGTTGACCCGGTCGATTCGGTCGACACGGTCGCTGATTCTGGAACGGCCACGCCACGACCGATGGCTCGGGTGAGCTCAAAATCGAAAGAAGCGGGTTTTATGAGAGACAGCAGTATAGATATGATAGCGCCACTCCCCAAGGCCGACAGCGAACCCGAGAGGATGACCTTGCTGTCGGTCAGGGTCGTGATAGATACTATCCCCTTGGTGGTAACCGCGGTGACCAGCCAAGCCACGAAGCCCATGACCAAACCGCCAAGGACCCCCAGGACGGCGCCGGCCTTGTTCAGTCGGGTCCAGCACATCAACAAGCCGATTGGGAAAACGGCGCCGGAGGTGCAGACGGCCATGAGGTAGAAGAGGAAGTTGAGGTCGAGACCGATGTACGCAAATGCAGTGTCGATGCCAGCGAGGAAGATGGCCCAGCAGATAACCACTTGGAGAAATCAGTCATGAACGAAGGCGGCCGGGGGAGGACTCACCGGCATGGTTGATTCTCATCATCTGGACATTTGTTGCGGACTTGTTCACATACTCACGATAGCTTTGAAGATCAGCAAGGGTTTTCCGAGTGTGGGGTGATGTGCTTACATGTCGTAAGAGAAAATGGTCGACACCGCAACCAGTTGAGCGGACAGCGCGGAAGTCGTTGCCTTAAAATTTTGGTCAGCAAGTGCAACTCAAAGGACATTTCAGACGAACCATGAACGCAATTATGGTATACATGACTGGCCCTGCTTTGCCGAGTATTGTCACGCTTGCAAACGGCCCAGCGAGTCCTCTATAAGATGAAAAGTCAGAATGATGCGGTGGAATGGACATAAGAGGGCACTTACGCGCCAATCTGTGCGAGAGAAAGTCCATTGGGGTAGGTCGGGAAGGCGGGATTCGTTACCAGCGCCCTTGCGGCCAAACCCATCGATGATCCGATACCAAAGGCGACTATACCGCGGCGTGAGTACGTTGTCATGACCTAGTCTCGAGGGACGTACCTGAGAAGAAGAAACAGCCTGCGAAGATGAAGGCCTTGCTGGTCCCGGCCGGTCGAGCCGCGATGCTTCGCTGCCAATATGACCTGGTGTCTGCAGTTAGCCTCTTTCCGAGGACTCGAATTGCGGGCCTTACTGGTCACAAAAGGACAATCCGAAAAAAGACGTGGCCGCCGTGACAGCGTAATCTGTTCCTTTGTCAGTTCAGTCGATGTGGACGGGTGGGCTGGGCCACATACACATGCCGCCTTCACTCCGGAAGGAGAGATAGGACTCATGCCCGTTACCTAGTGCTGGGGCTTCCTATTGCGCGTCAGCCGTCGAATACACCCCTCTAGAGCATTCTGGAAAGTATTCACCTTGGAAGCTTGGAGGAGAAGGTCGTACAGCTTGCCAGGTGACCCAATGACGTCGCCTCGTGTGTAGGTTGCCAAAACGAGAACGAGGAGGCACGAAAAGAGTATGCAGCAGTGGAGATAGTCCGCTCTGTGAGTCCTGGTCAGTATCCGCTGGCATTCACGGAGAATAGACGACATACACGAAGGTGGCTCGAAGACCACCAGTCAGGACTGTTTAGGTGTCAGTGATGGTTAGACTGGGGTGGTTCGTTGCGGACCGTAGACAACGACTACCAGCGGAAGCAGCCAGATGGCAGCGTATTCGCTGATACCCGTCAGACCAGCGATGACTCCAGACCCGCCGATGAGAATCTCGCTGCCCACCACAAAGTTGGCAACGAGGGCGGCGAACATATACGCCAGATGACCAAGAGTGCCGAAGCGGACTTTCGCCACTTGAAGATATCTGCCAACAAGGATGAGTTTGGAACTTGGTATCTCAGAACTGGCCAGGGGCTTACGTTGAGGCGCCGCTGGCGTTTACCTTGATCTTTGAGGAGATAAATGCGAAAGCTGCGATCTCTGCCTCGTTGTCAGTCGTCACCTCTTGAGTCCACTTCAACGGCTCCAAACTATACCGACGAAGCCTCCCATGCCAAACCACCAGGGCACCGAGATGCCATAGAGGTAGGTGAGCGTCCCCGTTTGTAGAAAGACCGCTGCCCACACCCAAGCAGACGTGATACCCACTGACATCCTGCTTGTGCGTCAGTTGCGAGCATCTCGGAAGAAGACAAGTTTTGACATACATTCCCGTCTTGACGGACCTGGAAGCTGAGGAGAACTCCTCCACCTTCCGGGGGTCAAAGCTGGTGTATCGTTTCTGTACCCAAGTGATACCGTTCATGAGTACCGCGAAGAACGCACCGCCGACCAAGACTGCATATGGTCAGATATCTCAACTGCGCACCGGGAGAGAGAAAGCTTACTGGTCGCGTATCCGGCGCTTTGAGGTAGCAGTGACATGGTGTTTGATCGTTTTCCACCACAGACTCATTGCAATTTTGATTCTTTGGCTCGTCTCGGAGCCCCATCCTGTAGATACTCAAAAGTTATATAGATCAAGAAGAGCAATTGCGCGAGAGATTGTCAGCAAGTTGCAATTCTACACTAAGCTCGGCCATCCGAAACACTAATAGAGTTCGAGACGCAGGGACGAAGAGCCACGCGAGCGGAGCGAAAAGCTTAAGCACTTCTGCCGGCGATCCGAGCGCCCCTGCGAAAGGAGTCACCGAGTCAGACGCCTTCAATACCATCACCTCAACTTTTGAACTGGAACTGAACAGTGACCATCGATCCGTTCTACTTCAAGTTTGAACACCGAACTCTATAGGATACCAATCTCATACAGACCATGCCACTTTGGAGGGTGCTTTTCTCTAGATAATTTTTCTTTATTGTCTTCCTTTTTCCAGGATATGTCTTCGTCTTAGGCTATCGCATTGCTAAGGGTAAGACCACAGGCTGTCAGCTTCTTGAAATATAAAACAAGTTGCTGTTCTTGCACAATTTTGTGCAAATTTTGTGCTTAAAGTCAGCATTCTTCTTGGGCTACTGTATCCCGTTGTGGTGCCTCCTGAGGGTCTACTTGTCGACTTTAGATTCCCATCGCTGTAGCATCATAATAACATGATTAAAACTTTTGAGAGCAGCAAGAGCCTTTTGATTGGGGTACTCATTGCAGAGCAACTCCTTTTTGAAGTTGTATATGGTACTAAGTTTGAGTAGGATGGCTCGGACCAATATGTGAGTCCTCCTGTTGTGGAGCCTATGCCCTCTAGCAAAAAGTAGGCCCGCATAGTCAAAATGACGAACCATTCGCCGATACGCACGCCATCATAAGATATGGTACCTGGGCGAGGAGTTGAGCTTCGGCCTGATATCTCTTGCCATCTTCTATACGTCGTGGATATGCCTTGTTGGGCTGTGTTACCCGTGTCTTACCATGTCACAAAACGAGGAGCATGACGAGGTGGTGGACCTGTCCGAGATCCGGTGGAAGATGCTGGTTGCCTGCGATATCTGCAGGCGACGAAAGGCGCGTTATTGGTTGCTTCTCATATGTATGGTCCTGGCGCTGAATCTTTATTCCTTTATAGGTGCGGTGCGACGGTGAGAGACCGTGTTTGAGATGCAGCAAAGGTGGAAAGAAATGTAGCTTCTCGACGCGGTAAGTGGCGACGACACCCGCTGCGTATATATCGACTATGATCTGAATACCAGCGACAGAAGACGAGTCGTGATAAACCCCGAGGACATACGGTGAGCAACGGTTATCTTTACAGTAGTGACCCCCAGCACTGAGGACCGAGACAGGGCCGTGAAGCGGCCTCGAACAACCCCTTTGTCCCCGGATCACTTGTCCTCGAAGCGGTCGATCTCAAACGTCTCGTCGCCGAGACCTGTATCCTCGTCTGAGCCTTCAAGGGTTCCAACGGGGAAGGACAGATTAAAGCCAGATGTAAGCAAGTCCTTCTCCTAATCTCGTTCAGGATCGCTGAAAAACGGAACCAGCGGCGAGAGGCCGCTCCCTCCACGCCAGGCAAAGAGCATCTTCTGCTCATCGACTCGGATGACCAGATCGTCTATTCTGGACCATCGACGGGAATGTCCTTGTTCGCTCGCCTCGGCTTGCTTCACACTGTCGAAGTATCTGAGAGCGACAGGACTGTGACGTCTTTTGCGTCTCACTCTGTAGGCGCCTTGGGCATAACGGGAGCCACCACCTCTTCCAGCGACTACTTAGATCTTTGCCTGCAACATTGCCCGCAGGAACTCATGTTCAAGTTGATAAACTATCATCTGGGCACTCGTCAGTCCCGTCTTATTTCGGTACTTGACTGTCACTGAACAACCTTCTCTTACAGCGATCTTCTTTCCACTACTTCACGCTCCTTCGTTCTTATCTGTAAGGCCACGAATCCATCTAGGCAACAGAGCTGATCGCTTGTGCAGGAATTTGTCGCCGTAACCCAACGCCGCCTTCCATGTACTGCTCAATATGGTGCACTCCTGATGAGCATCTTTGCTGTGACGGCGCGTCTGGTCGAAGGTGCCAGAGCCCTCCTTCCAGCGTCGGAGCGCGACCAAGCTGGCGAGAGGTATTTTGAGCTTGCTCAAGACCTTATCAGAACCAGCAGAAATAAGCTCGACATCCGGCACATTCTCGCTCTTTACCGTTGGTGTGGTCACTGCGTTTCCCATTTCAACTTGGCTGACTCGATGCGTAGACCTTGCATTGTATGCCGAAGGTTGCACCAGTTCTGCGAGTCAGTTATTGCTCTAGACCGGTAAAGGTGTATTGTTGACAAAGTTCACAGGCTCCGTCTCTAGCTTCGTTGCAGAAGCAGTTGGTCTGGCCTTTACCACGGGGCTTCACCGTAGTACGAATGAGTTCAAGATGGACCCGGTGACGCTACAGGTGAGCCCTCCGCCCCCTCGCGAGGCAAGTAAGATGCTAAGCGGCAGGTCCGTACCCGCCTATTTTGGGCCTTATATACGCTAGATACCTCCCTAACCTATTCTCAAGGGCGGCCACCACTCATCAGGTTGTCAGAGTGTAAGTCCGCCGATGTCTCGTGCCGCACCGTGGAGTAGCTGAGTAAAAATAGGCAGCGTCGACCTTCCTGTCATTGTCGACAACGAATACATAAAAAAAACGGAGATTCTTCCCCAGCCCGAGGGAAATCCGCCACTGGCGATGGCCGCAGCTGTCAAGATGATCGAGATATACATCGCCCTCGAACAGGTGCGTTGTGATCCCATGCTATTGGATCTCATACTAAGCTGTGCTGTAGGTGCTGTCTGCAATCAACACCCCATCAAGAACACCTGCCGCGGCCTTTTCTCTGAACGACCCTCCGCTTGACCGCAGCGACCTCCTAAAACGGGCGCAGAAACGACTGGACGAGGTACGTATTTGGCCACGGGGCGAGGAGAAGACTGAGGTTGAGCATTGTTAATGGACTGGTTTGCACAGATTGAACGAGATCTCCCGCCATATTTATCGCAAGTCCTTGTGACAGCCGATCCGGCCTCAAGCTTCTTCTACTCTTGCCGCGTCCGGACGGTCCTCCAATTTGTTCGGACTCTTATTGCCCGTCAAGCCCTCATTGACGAACTAGAGACGAGTCCGATGTCCTCCAAGAAAGAGACTAGCTTCGCCACATCGGAAGCCTGCGGCCTCTCGGTAGACACCGTGAAGACGTATTCACGCTTACGGCACTTGGGCCTTCTTCGCTTTTGCGGGTTCCACGCGATATCCCACGTCATTGCCGCTGCGCATACGCTGATCGCGTGTATGTTGAGGAGCTTCGATCTCGCCTTTGAGCATCGACCTGACCTGCTGACCGCCATTGACATCCTGCTCGTCTTCTCATCTACATTTCCGAACGTCGAGACGGTCGTCCAGCTCCTTTTTCAGTTGTCTCACAGTTTGGATCACAACTATGGTTCGAATAGCAAGAGCGAGGCCATTGCCGTCCGAGTCCTCGCTTCGAAAATGGCGCGGCCCGCTTCGAGAGTCGAGCAGCCTCTCTTGAAGCCAGCATTTTCCTGGCAGTCCTGGAATGGTAATTCTACTCAATGGGTTGATCCTGAACACCCGTCCAAGCACATTGTCGGGACTGGGACGTCTCACGCCTCCTCTAGCTACACTCAACTATCTGTCTCGGACACTGACTTTTCGCCTACTCCTCGGGAGGACACATCGGCCTTCAGCACGACTAATGACGCTTCTGCTTGGCTTTCTCTAATAGCTACGGGGCCAGTCGAACCCGAATGGACATATAATGATTCAGATCATGCGGTGTGGGGGGACAGCTTTTCATTTCTAAACGACGGATTGATTAGCAAATGGTAGGAGCTTCTAATATATCATAACCAATTGCTTCATACTCGTTTTAGCCAATCCACTGTCGTTGTCTAAAAACTCGGAACTTCTTCGTTTCCCATGACCCATGAAAACTCATACTGCCCTTGCAACCCACTACCATGCTACAGCGCAGAATCTCTGACCGAGATACGTATGAACAGTGGGCAGATGTAATAATGGAATTGAACACTCATCGTGCCTTACCGAGACGGTTTCTAGTCGATAAGCTCCCGAATATGCTGCTTCCAGGCCGGCCACGCTCCCCATCGCTCTTCAGCGTCAACTTCCTCTGGTCCTCCTTCGCCAATCAGGCTAAGCAACCTCTCAGCATATTCGAATCTGCACGGATGATCAGCTTGAGCACCACCAAAACCACGGCAGACTTACTCTCCCGGATGGCCGAGAATCAAGGTCGAATGCGAATCTGACTCCTCTTCTAGATGAGGTGTCAGCTCGAGTGGCGTACCCGACCAGTAGGCCGCTATTGCTCGAGCTTGCATCTCGGAAAACGGCCAGGGGATGGCTTCGGCGTGGAGCAGTAAGAATGCGAGTGTGGGATCCGGTAGGTAGAAGATCTGGTGTGCATCGAGATGATGAACGCCTTCTTTCGGGTCAGTGCCGGATGCGTACTTCATTGAGGGGACTCACGGTGCCCGCCTTCCAGAGTAGCCTGACCCACCAAGTTCTTTGGTGGTCGGCGATGCTCTTGAGGGACATACGGGTCCCTCAGCAAGGGTGCTTTATCGAATGGAGAGTCCGACGGGAGGCAGAACTCAAAGCGGAAAAGGAATCCGGTAGCAAATACAATCACCTATGGTTGTCAACTCTGCAGGTAGACTAAGTGCCGCGGGAAAGATCTCACGTCCACGTCATCCAGAATCTCTTCCGAGACAGTGATGATCCTACCAGTACCGGAATCGAGAGAGGGTGGCTCGACGGTCCGTATTGGTGCAACATTCTTGATATATTCGGTCCATCCTTTCTCGCGTTCGGTGTCATACCGAGGCTTGCTTCTGAGAGAACGGTACACTCGGCGTGGTGCCAGGGGCGACTCTTCGACACAAAGCATGCCGAATTCTCGCACAAGATCCGCACCTGCATTGTTAGCGGAGACGACAAGGACGAGAAAGGTTGCTCTCACTCGAGGGTCCGGCGCCCATCACCATCACGGTCTATCCATTTTTCAGCTTGCAGTCGCGGGAAAGATGCGGAGATGGACTTACCTTTCCAGCAAACGCTTTCGCCTGTCGGTACCATCTTGAGTGCAAAATTTCCCCTTTCCAGGCCCACAGGTTGTCAATCCATGGGATGAATGGCCTAGAATCCGATCCGTTCGCGACAACGATATTGTCAAACTCTTCTTCAAAGATCTTTCCCACATCTGGCGACTTGCTGGTCGCAGATGGCGACCACTCTATGAGCCATCTTTTGCTTGAAGCACGATCAGGGGGTGTATGCCGTACCCGAGTGACCACCCGGTTGAGTTTGATGTGACTGGCGTAGGTGGCGGCGTGGTTTTGTTGATACCGATAGATAACGTCATACGTTGGAGACTCTGCTGTGCCTTGGGCATAAGGGTGCGAGCGATATGGCATGATATCCTTGACAAGCCAACAGTGAGCACGAATTTTGCAGAAAGCACTTATTGACACTCACTCGAGGCGTGTTGGCCGTGACGCCAGCATATATAGGGGTTGGAGCCGGCGCTGGCTTACCAGACCGTTCCAGGTCTGTCAGAGCAACGGCATGGCCAGCCTCGTCGAAAGAGATTCGGCATGGTGGCGGCGTTGGGTCAAAGTTCCTGTATAAATCTCCGTCAGCGCAAGGGGTCCCAAGCAAATCATTCGAGTGCGACCCGACTCACCAGAGACCACCTACACTGTCGCGTGCCTCGTACGCCACGACATCGAAACCTTTACGCTTGAACTGCTCAATGGCTCCCAGACCTCTTCATTTCGACATCAGCTCTTGTTTTGTGAATTTCACCAAAGTTGCACTCACGCGGGGCCGCAACCTATGATGAGGACCGAAGGTCGCATTTTGACGGTCATCGCTGGTGGTCGTATCCCAAGTCGGGTTGCTCGCAAACATGGCACTGAAGATATAGCTGGAAGAGCCTCGAGGCATGCACATTATTATCCGATCCACTGCTCCAGGTAAAATCCCGTCCGTCTACTACCACAAGCTCCACAGTTCAGCTTGTCGTGATCGTGAGCTCGGCAGAGCCGAAGCACGCAACTGCCCGCCTGCCCTCGGATCACCGAGATGGCAACGAATTCTTGCGACTGGCAAGGCGCTTTGGCGGCTTGTCCTTTATTGACAATATTGTCATTGGTATTTATGAGATAGCAATTCTCAGAAGCGGCCATTGATGGTTATTTTTCTTTTCTGTGTCTTGAGACGTGACAACTAATTATCGAGGCTAGTAAATGACAACGAAGTTCAGCATGCCAGTACCACTCATTATCCCCCCAACGTCCTCTCTTATCGCTGAGCCCGATGCCATTGTCCTAGACGCGTCGTGGCTTTATGAGCCCGATCCACCAACACGGAACGCTTATGAAGAGTTTCAATCAGGTCCTCGTTTCCCAAACGCGCGATTTTGGGACCTGGACGCGGTGTCTGAGCCTCATCCCGATGGGTACGCCCTGATGCTCCCTTCACCAGAACGATTCGCCGCGTTTGCAGGCAAGTACGGAGTCACGAAGGATTCGCATGTCATCGTGTACGACGGCGAAGGCCTCTTCGCCGCTCCCCGGACAGCATGGACGTTCAAGGTCGGTTACCTGCGACCAAGAACATGAGAGCTCACTGACCTGTTGACTGGATGGAACAGGTTTATGGGCACGAGAAGGTGTCAGTGATTAATGGTGGCCTACCGCGCGCGAAGAAGGAGGGTGTCAAGCTCGAGACCGGGCCGCCAAAACCCGTCGAAGTACGTCAGCCTGCACCACTTTGAGGCTCGGCTAAAGGATCGATGTGCACAGGAGACCAAATATCCCGTCCCAACCGTGGACCACAATGCTGTTGTCCGTAAGTGTTGCGTATCATATGTATGGACCGGACTGACCACCATGTAGAGTTCGACGAGGTGTTAAGGCTCACCCACCGAGCGTCACCCTCAGCCGACAGCACTTTGCTGATAGATGCGAGGCCTGTGTCATCCTACCAGGACGGCCACATACCCACGTCTCTCCTTCTGGATTTTCCCTCCTCCTTGCTTCAGGACCCAGCCAATTTCACGTATCTCCGAAGCCCCGGAGACCTGAAGGAGTACATAGCCGAACAGCTTGGTCAAGACAAGTTGGATCAGATCCTCTCTCGCGAAGTGACAGTCGTCAACAGTGAGTTCGAGCATTTCAAAGAATTGTATCATTGAGCACGAGTGCTGACAAGGGTGACTAGCTTGCGGAGGTGGCCTCTCGGCGGCGATAAACTGGTTGTCTCTCATGTCCCTTGGAGTAGATTCTCGACTCTATGACGAAGTGAGCAACTTTTGTCCAATTTCGTTGCGATATAAACTGATCGATTCCTGTAGGCTTGGGGTGGCTATTCCGCCCGGCAGGGTACTCCTACAGTATCAGGCCCAAGTCCTTTGTAGAGCTCACAGCTCCTGCATCAAGCGTCATCCACAGTCTGCGCCTCCCAGATTCCAGTCACAATAGGCTTCCCATCCCTCTCTTCCACCTTTACGATCGTCGTCGCGCTCTGCTTAAGTTCCTTCCCATCTTCCTTCCCCTTGGTCACGTAAGCCGTCCATTGCCCAACAACACCTGTAGAGCCGGAGTCGTTTCTAGTCACAATGTTGAGGTCTTTGATCTTGACAATAGCTGCGGTGAAGGCGGAGCGAAATTGGGTGGTAATAAGTGTGACAAATTCGGAACTAGTCAGGGGAGTGCCGTTGATCTAGATAGACAGATGACCTGAGCATAGGCGCAGGTGACGCAACGGAAAGGAAGCAACGTACATTAATGTTGGCATCTGCGGCAAGCTCAGTGGCTAGCACTGACGCTGCAAGGATATCGTCGGCCTGGAAGAGGGTGCGGGTGAAGAAGGAGTCAACAAAGTCGGCGACTGCGGGTCGAGACATCTCTCAAGGTAGTGGACGGTGGCTATCGCTGTTGCAAGCAATGACAAAGATTGATGTTGTTTAACCCGTAACGTGTGTACGTAGGGCGATAAAGCCATTTAAGCCGATTGCTATTCTTGCGTGATTCTGTGAAATTAGCCCGATGCAATGGTGGCTACTGGTCAAGTTCGGATGGCCGAAGTCGTACGTAATGTCAAAGACCGATGGTACAACAAGGCCGAATGACAGCTCGAGGGATGGTAGGTCCATAGTACCTGGAGCCGACCGTGGGCGAGGACCTTCTCTACCCTAGCTATCGGAGGCTGATCGCCGTCCTCCTCGCCTTCGCATGTGACGACAATATAGTCTCCAACACGGACCTCTCTCCCATCACCTGGAGTTCGGGTTAGTAGGAGAATCGACCGAAGGGCTTCGATAATCACACTTACAATGAACCCGGCCAGTAGCTGCTTTTCGACGGCCACTGTTCGCGCTTACCTGTAAGGTTGCTTTTAGAAGCCGAGACGATGTCATTGTCATCGTCGCTGGAAACGATCGGTAGCTTTCCTTTCCCCAAAGATCCGGGAACGTCAGCGACAGAGAGCGGTTCAGGCGCAGACCGAGTTATGCTGGCTAGCCCGTCGTCATCATCACGACGTGGCATGTACGCAGCGCAGAGGCTGTCACTTAACTCTGTCGTGGGGCTGCGTGCGCAGAAGTCATCGCCGGATTGCTCTGCCCCGTCTTCTATGTCTGGCACGATCAGTCCCGGCCAAGGACCGCCAGTAGCGCCCAGCCCACTACCATCTCTAATATTTTCGTGTCTAGGAGCGCGATCGCCATCTAGGCTTCCGTTTCCTTTGTGTTCCTGATGCGCTGGGCTTGCTGCCCGTCGAATGCGATCGGGACGGTCTGCAGCAATCGCCCCTCGAGACATCCTAAAGAGTTCTTGGGGGGTGGGGGAGTCATCTCCATCGCTGCTGCTGGTCTCGACGCCTTCAGTATGACCGCTGGCCCCTCGAGCCGCTTGATCACTGTTCTGCGCAGAAGCGGGAGCTGCCGCCAATAAACCTTCTTCTGTTAGCACTACCAACCGATTACTCTTAATGGACCGATGAACTCACCATGGCCCCGGATTGGGCTACCTGTAGCCGGCCGGCGCGCTGAGCAATCGTCTTCGCCACTGTCGCCTTCGGTAAGGCCTATAATTTCCACGCTACCCAGGCGGACTCAACGGCTCTCCGTAGGGTGCCGACCTTGCTTATAAGCTGTTGAGATCTGCGGAAGATCGGAAGCCATAGGAGCGTCGTTCCGCAGAGGTTGGTAAGGGACGAAAATAGTCATGGGAGAGATTGCCATAGATAGGGCAAAGTGCAGAGATGGGCTACGGTAGAGGTTTGTAGGAGGAGCGGGGGAATTGAATTAAGGATTTCATGGGAGCAGGAATGGCGGCCCTTAAGCATCCGGCACCGGTGCGGTGCAAGATCCTCCTCACCCGCCCTCTCATCGCCATGGATCAACCGATCCGCTGCTTGCATGCGCAACCCCAGCATCTACCACTGATTTTGCCTCGCCGCTCTTGTTGTCAGTCCGCAATTTGCAAGAGTGTGTGTATTCTGCATCCAAGGCATGAATATGCACTCCTGTCTTTCTTAGTGTGCCGTCAGGGATATTAGGGGTTATCCTAAAATAACGGGAGGTGAAGAGGCGGTGGGTTAACGTTAACAAGTTCTGCTTAAGCAGCTTTCATTTCCTTTCACTTTTCTATCCACGATCAGTAAGGGTTCAGATGTGATATGCGACGACACTATCGCTTCCATCCACACAGTCAAAGTTTGAAGAAAAAGTGATCCGCGGTTCCAAAAACCTATCGTCGCTGGATTTGAGATCGTATGTACCACCCTTAACCAGAAGATAAAGGGGAGGCTGCGTCTGTGGGAGCGCAAGGCCGTGAGGAGAAGGATTGGGGTGGAGGCAATCTCAATGGCCGTGCTAGGACGCTAACCTCGGGCAGTCAGAGAGAGGAACGCAAAGCCTAAAATTGACGCAGGCCAAGGGCTTCGGTCAGTGGTTCGTCACGCGGAGAAGTTCAGCTGGTCATGTCCAGTGAGGATCATGTTAGAATACGACAGCGGAATCCTCCATCCAGCTGAGGGGAAATGCAAAATGACAGGGACGATCGAGACAAGGGGTAAAACTGCTCACCATCGGCATGAAAGGGCCTTTAAGAGGGGAGAACAGTCAGGTCGCATGAATCGAATGAAGGGGGTAGGCGGGGTGGCCGCTGCGAGGAACTATCCGGTGGATCGTCAACGCTCCTCACGCGGGCAGACATAGGTCACAGGGGCGAAAGTGGGCAGAATGGGCCGACAGAAATGAAGGGGGGAGACAAGGAAGGCGGACGGGAAATGAATTGGTGAATGGGAAAAGATGGAGGAGAGCGGGTTGGCGAGAGGGGGGGATAGAGGTATTTATGTTTGAACGTTTTGGGAGGGTTGAAAACGGAAAAGTGCGCTAACCCCGAACCGGCACGCTAATCCAAAAGAGGCAGTCACAGGTCCTCAGATTACATTATTAATAACCACCAATAGTTACAGTATGTTTGTACGGAATAAACGAGACTGGAATCTGGATCAGACCATGGCGACATCACCAGACATCCAGACTATTTATCCAATCAGTCCTGGAAGAGTTGTACATGTATATATTAGGATCCTGGAGCATAACCTTCTATCGATGGTGACAAAGACCGTGCTCAACTACCGTATAAACCTTTCCATACAAACCCTTAACACTCCCCCATCAATGCCCTTCGTTTATGAACACAGGAAGGGATGACAGGATCCCACATCTTTTTCTTGAGAGGGGCCAATGGAATAGCTGAAACCGAAAACACACTAACACACTAACACACTCACAACAGACATTCCCATATGACGGACATGTACGGAGGCGGCATACGGAAAGAACTTTCTTCGATAGGTATAATCTCTCGAAACCACGCCCGCTCAACCCTCAACAGAACCCATGGTCGGCCCCGCATTCCCAGGCACACATCGCCGCCGCATATTCAGATTCGACCTGTGCATTGCAACCAACCCTTGGCACCCAATCCGTTTCCAAATGTCGCGTGATTCGGGTATGTGCAGGATGCTAGTAAATGTCCAGTGACTGACGCTTAAGATGATGCCTCCTTCTTCGTCTCCGTGCTGGATGGCGCGGCGCCAGTCTCCGTCGTCGATGACGGCGCAGATTGGTCTTTCTCGGCTGCCGGAGCGCCAGTGGGAGCAGGGGTGTCTTCTCTCTGTGCTCGGGTCGCGTCCGACTCCTCCGGCAACTCGGTGATCCTCTCAGTCCGATGGATCTGTTCTTCAAGGTCCTTGTCTTCGTCGATGTGGTCGAACATTTCCGAATCGCCCGCTTCGTTGGACAGCTCGGTCCCATCGCCTAGAAGAATGATGCGGCCCCCGAGCGCTCGAGCCAGCTGGCCGAGACCTTGCGAGCGATGGTTTTCCATGTCCATGTCGTAGTCGTCTTGCGCATCCTCGCTCCGGTGATGCATGCCGGGCCCTCGGAGTTCAGCTGTAGGACTCAAGTATTAGTCGCCATCCGTAATGGAACTTCGCGCGGTGGAAAACGGGAGGGACTTGCCATATTCGGGAGGTGCGCAAGGCCCGTCTCCGTTGGCCACTCGCTCGGCAATTTCATTATACCACTCCTCCTTGCTTCGCCCGTTCAGAAGGCCAACGATGACTACCGTCATGTTGTCACAGCCCACGCCGCCAGTGTCGCAGTTGGCAGCAAGGCAATTGTCCATCAGGTTTTCACAGATCACATGGAGCTCCTGCTTGGCCGCAATGCCTCGGCGGACAAATTCAATGACCGCCTGTGAGCTCTGACAGTCCCAGATACCTAAAGTCATCGATTAGCTTCCGCGACACATCGGAGAGCAAAAGGCACTTACCATCACAAGCCACGACTAGAAACTCGTCATCCGCCGAAATGTCATGAACTGTAACATCGGGGAAGGCAGTGACGATTTGCTGCTCAGGTGGTAAATCGGCGCTTTTCTTAAACTCGAAGTCGCCAATAGCCCGCGAGAGAGCCAGATTCCCATTGACTCGCCCAAAATCAACGAATCCGCCGGCTGCGACAATCCTCGCTTTTTCGCCTGTCAAAATGTCAGCCTTGTTCTGTTAACTTTAGGGGTGAAAAATGCCTACCTTCGTTCTGCGGCTTATGATCAAACGATAAGGGCTTTGCCCGCCCTTTTATGCCTAGAACTGACCGTGAATCCCCAGCATTGCCCTAACAGGTTAGAGGATGGCCTGATGCGAAGTGGTGCAGTACATACGACGTAGATCTTATCACTGGATATGATACCAACAGAGGAGGTGCAGCCGGAAACTTCCTCTTCATATTTCGGGTCTGAGTTGTGTTAGCTTGCATTGCCAGTGGAACCATTGGATTCCCATTACCACTCAATATGGCCCGGTCGGTTGCAAGGAAACCATCCTTCAAGGCTTGCTCGATGTCCCCATTACGAAAAGAATTCTGCTTCGCAATGATCCTGTGCAGATTATCCCCGGTGTATATGGCAACCTTATCGCCGCCGTGCCCGTCGTATACACCAAAGTAACTTAAGCGCTGTTTACTCGGCGATAGCTTCTTGTCCTTGGTATCGGCTTTCAGATCCAGCACGCACGCATGCGCATCTTCCATGCTTATACGCCATCCTTGCATGGACGAAAGTCCATATATGACTCGGTCGTCCTGTCCACTGTCCGATTTCTATACACCATGGTCAGAAAATTTTCCATCGTATGGAGAATTGTGAGCGGCCAAGGTAGACAGCACGGTGCTTGCATCGTATTGGATGCTGCACATCGTGCGTGCCCACGGCCGCTGGGTCGCAGTGGACTTACTTTCTCCACCACTGGCTCGGATAGTGTCTGTCCCATGATTCAAATCTTCCACGTCTCGGGAATCAGATACTCTCAGGAGGAGAAGATCGGTCGATGTTGCAACGGCTCCAGAAATCGCATAGGGGTGGGGTGAGATCGGAGGCGGGCGGTCAGGTTGGACGCGGGTTCAGTCCAACGTGCAAAGAGCGAAAGGAATCCGAGTCGAGTGAACTTGCACGGCAGAGGACGATGATGAGCGAGGAGCGGAGGCGGAGTTGAGCGAGGGAATGCCCACTGCAGGAATTGCGCGATATATGGAGAGGGGGCGGAGTTGTCGTGGAGAGAAGGAAAAGGATAAGCGGGAGAAAACAGAACAACGGATCTCAAGGCTCTGGAGCCTAGATGGAGAGTCGAAGTGGCGCTTCGGGAGAACAACTGGGAAATGAGCACTGAGAAGGCTTGGAGGGGGAGTTGGAGAGTCGACTGAGCAAGTGAGTTGCGCGTTGTCGTCGATGTGAAGGCTGCCGAGCAGAGTCTGGCTGGACGCCGTTGGTGGGCTGTGGCGGCCCCAGGCTGCAAGGCTCCAATCTCGCCATTGAGGCCATTATACAAACGTGTAACACGTGAGGTTGATCGTGTATTCTGATATAATTATTTGATATTTTTATACAAAACAGTAACTCTACGCTCTAACATAACTGAACACGATATCAGTCGATAGTCATATATGGCTGGCTTCTAGCAAATTAAGCTGCTGCTTGACACACAAAAGACTGGCTGTTAATAAGTTTGATCTCATCTCTCTGGGCAATAGCCTATGTACCGTACCCGCCACAGGTATGACCCCTACGGGTAAGTTTATAAATTGATTTATTAAGGCAATCTTTGGTTGAGTAGGAACTCTCGGATAGTTTGCCACTATGTCCTTGTATATGGAGGTTCGGATTGAGACTGAATGTATTTTCTATATACCAGTGTCTATATACAACGTAACGGGAAGGGGGAAGGCAACTGATTGACGTTTTACCTTTGAGTCCTCCTCCAGCCTGCGTCTAGATAGAGGAATCAAATGCCGAACCCCAACATCTCAAGCTCGTTCTTCATGCTTCCAGACCTTTGTACATGGCCATCTTCGACCCGTCAACGTTTGGGGGCCTTGACAATCCAGCTACGACCTTCTGGAGTACTACGTACCCCTTTGAATTGACCACATTTTGACCTCTCCGTCATCACCAGTACTGATGAGCACCTCTTCGCCCTCATTTGATCTTCCCCGATCCGCTCGGACCGTCCAGCAAACGTGGTTCACCTCGAAGATATCATGCGCATTCTCGACCTCGGCGACAACCTTCCACTCCCGTGATGTCTCCGTTGGAGGACCTTCCGACCGCACTTCATCTTGATCATGACTGTCTCGCCAAAACTCCTGATACACGACGATCTTACCATCGCTACCAGTGCTGGCGATCAGTCCGGATTTGGGGCTCCAGGCGACGGAATATATGGCTCGCTCGTGCCGTTTCGGGAGGCATGCGTCCTCCAACCATTCTTCGTCGACGTTGTTGGTGCGGATGATGCTTGGGATTCGATCTCGGAGAGGCTTGTCCTCTGCACCGCCTTTGGGAGTCCTCCTCCATATGCGAATCGTTAGGTCATCAGAACATGATGCCAATCTTGGACCAGATTTCTCCAGCTCCTGCAGGTCCTTCTGGCGAGCCGCATCTGGGCCGACGCTGTCTATGAGCGATGGGTTCTTGGGAGGTTCGAAATCGAGACTCCAGACGGTGGCTTGGTGGGCGTCGATGGTGGAAACGCAGATCCAATCATCCACGTCCTCCCGGTAGAGTCGAATCGTGTCATCGTATCCCGCGCTCGCTAAAAGGTCCTCTTCTGGGTGCCAGCGGACGTATTTGATGTCTCCATCATGCTCTTGAAGCACCGCTACGGTCTCGAAGTTATCATCTTCCATCTCTTCCCAGATCCATACGCTCTTATCGCGGCTGCAGGTGGCAAGAAACTGACCACCTGCGCTCCAAGCAACGGACTTGATTTCAGATTCGTGGCCGTCGAGGATCACTGCAAACCGCCAATCGTCGTCTTCATCTTCAGATCGATCGTTTTTGCTTTCCTCGTTGTGAGCCTCGTTCGAGCCGGGATGGTCGTCATGTCTCCAGATCCCAGCACTGGCATCGAATGATCCGGTAGCTAGAACCGACTCGTTTCGCGTTCCCGGCTTCCACGCACACGATCGTATGCTACGCTTGTGACCACCTGTTATTGAGGAGAGCTGTCGGAATGTAGTGAGGGAGAATATTTTGACAGTCTTGTCGGCGGATGCAGTCGCGAGAATTGGTAGCTTTGGGTGAGGTGCCGTCATCCAAGCCCGAGTGTTGAGGGACGGTTGGAAGGATGCGATAGGCTCCAAGGTGGGAACCTCCGAATCTGAATTCATATTGAACTTGCACACGACAATTCGCGAAATCGCGAAGAGGGTGGTGGAGAGTCGAGCAGCGGAGATGACGCCTTATGTCATTTTTCCACACTGGGAAAAAATGGCGATTTCCGTGATTTAAACCACCTAAGACCGATTTTTATATGTAAGTATTACTTCAAGTACCCGTTCACACGACAATCGTTTCCCGCTCCCGTGTTGCTGGTGTAAATGGACGGTTTTGTTCAATTTTGCAGTGGCCAAGGCGGATGATGTCAATCTCTGCCCAGAATCGAGGGAATGTTCAAAACTCCCCGGTGAAGACTCGGACTTTGTGGATGGACTATCACTATCCGTTCTGTTGGGTCTATATGAAGGATCCAAAAAAAAATCTCGATATGATATGCGAGTATTCCGTACTCTGTATCGGATCTGTTTGAGTTGGCTGTGCTATTGATAAGGGACGTGGTTGGCTCAGGGTCTCTGGCTTCTCCAATTCCTAGTCGTATTTATGGAACCCCCAAAGTCGTATGGAAGCATCAACATCCGCGTCGATGATACCGCAGCAAGGTTTTATATCGCATTCTGGAGAAGAGAATTCGGAAGAATTTAGCAAAGATTCGACCGACGAACCCGCACATTATACTGTAAACGATTTAACCCATCCCAGATATGCCAGTTGATGTTAGAGTCTCACCATGCATCGTCCCTCCACAGTCCGCCGGCTCCTGCACTTGGTAAATCGGGTGGCTCAAGCAGACCAGAAGTCCATTCCCTGGACGCAACAGAAAAGCAGACAGTTTCATGTCCAGACCAAGCTCAACACCGATGGCGTGTTTAAAGAGCTTACAGAACAGCGGGTTCTCACTCCATGGATCACGGCGCTTCGAAGCAGGCAGGCTCAAGACGGGAAAGGAGCCGAACCCAGCGAGCCAGGAAAGCCCATGAGACGGACCCTCGAACCCAAAAGGATGTCGGACAGCTATCATAGAGTGGTATGGAATCTTTGAGGGATGCGGTGCGTGTGCGGATGGGTTGACCTTGGTTGTTTAGATTCTTCCGCTGGCAAAGGATCCTTGGCTGTCAGATACGTATCTCAATGCGGACGGTCATATCAGGTGCTTCATGCGTCCCCATGTTAAGGGAAATGCTAACAACTAGTCAGGTTGGGGGCTATATTTATGGATTTGGATGCTCTTTCTGGAGTGATTGCTTACAAGCATACCGGTTGGTCTTCATCACCCGCCCAGTCTTCGACATACGCTTAACGGTTCCGGTATGCAGGGGATTCGGTGACCACCGTCACGGCAGCTTTCGATCGAATAACCATCAAGCACCCGTTGACTGAGATATGTGATCTTGAATTGAGCGGTCAGGTCACGTATGCCACAGGAAGAAGTAGTATGGAGATCTCCCTCCAAGTGGCCAAAGACCCTGGTCCGGATGGAGTAAGGGGCGAAGATGATATTCTACTGAATTGTAACTGTACCATGGTCTCCCTTGACCCCGTCACTCGCAAACCGACCAACATCCATCCTTTGACCATTGAGACGCCGGAGGAGCGACGGTTGTACGAGAGAGGAGAGCAAAATTCCCAGCGCCGACGGGAGCAAGCCAATACATCGTTGGTCAAGTACACCCCCAACGATGAGGAGAGCGACTTGATCCATAATATATGGCAAAAGCATATCGAATTCGATGGCAAGTTGATTGAGTCATCGCCATGACTGGAAACGCCCTGCTAACTTGATCGATAGACCCGAACAATCTGCTGACGAAACCGGGGAACGTGCACTTCATCGAATCAACGCGGATCCAAACGACCCAAATTATGCAGCCTCAGTATCGGAATCGACACAACTTCATGGTATTCGGCGGTTTCCTTCTGAAACAAGCATTCGAGCTGGCCTTTTGCTGTGCGGCCTCCTTTTCGCACCAGCGACCGTCCTTCCTTTCCCTGGACCCTTCGACCTTTGAAAATCCGGTTCCCGTGGGGTCGGTGCTATATCTTTCGGCTCGGGTGGTGTACACCGATCCGCCGCTTGTCCCTGGGGTGGGGGAAGTGGCCGAGCAAGACAGTTCTCGGACTCGGCTACACGTTCGAGTGGATTCCAAGGTCCGCGACGTTGCGCACGGTGCGACCAAGCCGACCGGAACTTTCAATTACACATTTGTCGTGGACAGGGATATCAAGGTCATGCCGAGGACCTACACCGAATTCATGATGTACATCGACGCGAGGCGGCGGCTGAAGAAAGTTGACCGCACGCTTGTTGATATTCGGACCAAGGGCAACGTAACAGAATAGAGCAACATCGTGACCCTATGTACAAAAAAATCATCCGCAATACGTGGACAATCCATGAGCGACACCATGCGATGCAAATGATTTGAAGGAGACCACAACTGACAAAAGCATCTGCGCTTGGCGACCGGGACGGAAGCCCTCATCGCCGTACCATCTAGGCGGCGTGGTTTCCAAATGCAGCCTCCCGTTTCCAACACATAGATATTGACCATTTTAACCCCAGAGACATGCCCGTTGATTCGAGCCTTTCAAACCGCAATCCACATGACGGTCAGCACGACGTCCATGCCCTTTGCCTCACCACCTTCGTATTTGGTGCTCCACATGCCATCCTTCTCGCTGTTCCAGAATGCCGCGGCGGCGCTGTGCATGCCTCGCCGGCCGGCTTTGGAGTGGGCCGCCTCCTGGTCTGGCTCCTGGGTGGTCTCGGATACGAGAGGCGCCGTATGCTGGATGATGGTGCTGTTCACCGCAAACTTGTAGGGAGACGGGCCGTCCTTAACGGAGGTGTCGGAAACCACGGACTCGAGGATCTTATGCTGCCATGGGAAAGGGCGGTTAACTCTGCGCTGGGTTGACAAGGCTGAAAACGGGGGGTTGGCGTACAATGATCCCCTCGTTCCATTTGGCGCATGAGGTATGGTCGTAGGCGGTAGCGGAGGACAGAGCAGCATCGCACGCCTTCATAATGGTCAGTTAGTGGATTGATGAGTTCAGGAGCGACGCACTTGATCTGCGATCTCTTTCAGACGCTGTTCTGGGACGGGCTGAGCAAGTTAGTTAGGTGCAAGATGTAGGAGCGCAGTGGACGAAGCGTACTGGAGCCATTTTATTTTGAGATGAACGTGGACGGGTTCTAAGATATTGTATGGAGCTTTGTGTGTAATTCAATCCAAGCACAGTTTCTTTAGGAGTCTCTTACTTCACTCCAAGATGTCTTACTATCAACATTGAGTGTTGTGATGGAGAGAGCACTTTCGACATCAACAGTTCCTAACGTGCGCCGGATAAAAACACCCAATCGTGCCAATCCAATTCATGTGATCAACAACAACTCTGTATCACGTGCTTTATTGATTACATGTGCAGCTCTTCTCGTCCGCTGGATCATTCCGTCACATTGCTTCATCTTCACCTTGATTCCTCGAGTTGATATCAAGCTATTATCATATGCCGTCCCAAATGCAGTGCCGGTAATTACGGTACCGGCATTATCATGGTTTATGCCTTTTTGGACTTGAATGTTTCTACCACTACTTCAATTGAAAGTGCCAAACGTTAAAGTCCTCAATTGAGTCTTCGTGTCTGTGTCTATCCCCCACAGTAGCATCAGTCTTCAACCCTTCCACCGTCCAATCTGACGGGTGGAGAGAGCAATTGGTTGCCACAACGTCAAGATCACGGGCTTTTCCCTTCCTCTAAACCCCCAAACACGCATATCCTCGACCTCCATCATGTCTAGCCAGCCGCTTCTTCAGCAAGCCGCAGGTAAGCTCCCCCGCAATCACCCATACTGTTCCACCACAACCAATCCCCTCCCACCTTAACTACCGTACTCACTCACCCTACGTTCCAGGCAAGCGCATCGCCCTCCCCACCCGCGTCGAACCCAAAGTCTTCTTCGCCAACGAACGCACCTTCCTCTCATGGCTCAACTTCACCGTCATCCTCGGCGGCCTCGCGGTCGGCTTGCTGAACTTCGGCGACAAGGTGGGCCAGATCAGTGCCGGCCTATTCACGATCGTGGCCATGGCCGCGATGATATACGCCGTCTTCACGTTCCACTGGCGGGCGCGGAGCATCCGGCAGCGGGGACAGAGCGGGTTCGACGATAGATACGGGCCGACGGTGCTGGCGATTGCGCTGCTGGCCGCGGTCATTGTGAACTTTGTGTTGAGGGTGACGAATGCGGGGAAGAAATCTTGATGCGGAAATGCAGCGGTTGTAGAGAATGGTGCCCACGGATTGTTGTAGACTACCAGTCGTGAACGCGGGAGAGGGGATGGTTATCAATCCACCCGGTGGTAGTGTATAAACGTTTCATTCCCACATAATCCATTAGGTTAAATGAAGATCTCCGGGGGTCTGTACTATGTACATTGGAAAATTACAGTTAGATCGACGCTGAGATCATGTCTATTCGCTAGCTCCGGTTGGATTCTTTCTATCATGAATCCAATCAACCTTTACGGCATTTTAAGACCATTGCATGTTATCCATTCGCTATTATGCTGTGCCTTAATGAACCTGCTGAGTCTTAGCCCCTTTCAAAGGGTCTGGTGTGCATGAGCACACATGTATAATATACACCATTGCTTGACGCATGGTCCAAACTTCATTACGCAGGTCATGATGCGCTCCCTTCCATTTCGTTTCCCGAAGAATCCCCCACGTTCACGCTTCAGGTTGCTCCCCTGCAAATTTGTAACAAGCTCAGCTGGCGGACCTTCACGTCTTCCAACGCCATTCTAACCCGACTAGACATAGAGAGAAGACGTATAGTCCTCAATCTCGTCTAGAAGATTGACGGTTTCAGTTTCCTCACATTCTTCTGCTTTCGATCGAAGTGGCACCACGCCACCATGAATTTTCTGGTACCCCAGACCGCCGAGTTCCCAGGTTCCGCAGTTCGAGCAGTGAACCGCCTGATCATTCTCGAGCACGATGGCCTGATTCCCGCACGAGAAGCAGGTGAAGTGGCAGAGGTCACAAGTCTCCGCGACAGGCTTCTCCTCATCGGTGGACTTAAAGCGAGTTGGCCGTTGACATGACGGGCACAGTGCTCGTCGTTGGTCCACGGGGCGGCCCACAGGCGCGGAAAATAAGTTCGTGGGAATCCGGCCTTGAGATCTTCCTGAGTCGCCGATTTCTTGAACGATGTCGGTGAAATCACCACGACGGGATGAGGAGCGAGGAAGTGTGTCCTTCGGAGTTGAGGTAGCGGTTACCCCAGCCTTCAAGTCCCACTGCATCTTTAACTCTTCCTCGAACGTGCAAATCTCCGCCTGCTCCTTCTTCTTCTGCTTTGCCTCATCCCTTTTCCTACGTGGATCATCGTGTCGAGCGAATGGCTGTGCATCATGCAACGTGCGGTCCTCATTCCCAATCTCTAGCACTTGGATGGCGCCCTTGTCTTCTCCGATAAGCAGCTTCGAGAAATCCGGCGAGAACGATCCAGACAAGATGGCGGATTGAAGCTGAATATGATCGCGCACGAAGCCACAATCACGAGATCCGGACTGATAAATGTCCCACGATTTCACCACCCCATCCGACGATCCGCTGAATAGCCGGTGACGATCCCGGCCCCAAGAAAGAAACCGTATACCCGTGTCGGCAAGTTCAAGCGGCTCGTCATCGTCCAACGGGGTGATCGGGAGACCGTGCGACATTGTATGCAGCACTTGGTTTGGGTTTCGAAGATCCCAGACTCGTACTTTCCCATCAGTACTTCCAGCAGCCACGATGCTCTGATCAAAGGGGGAGAAGATCACATCGTTGATGTCGTAAGCCGGCGACTCAAGCTCGATCGCAGAAGAATACCGGGCATTGATATTCATCGGGTATATTCGGACTTCGGTCCTTGTTCCGCGGTTGATGTTCAGTTTATGTCGGTCCGCCACCACAGCTGCTGCAAACTGATTCGAATGAGGACTCCAACCGCACTCAAATACCTTACTCGAGGAAGGCGACACATCGAAAACCTTGGACCCGTGGTCCACGTCCCAGATACAGAGATCCCCGCTCTTCTCAGGCTGCGAATTGGTATCACGTTCTTCACCGAATCCGGCGAGAAGGTAGCCCTGAGTATAGGCGTGCTTGCCCCAATGCAAACAGGTAGGGAATATATGTGCTTCCGGCTTTCCTGCCGCCTTTTTGGACCGTAGTCGTATCGGACTTTCATCCGCACTCGCTTCTGACCGATATTCTGCGTAATTGAAGATAGTGATTGACTTGTCGGAGCGCTTAATTCCGGTGGCAACAAGGTTTGCTTGGCTGACATCCATAACAACCACCTTACGATGAAGATTGCAGGTTATATCCTCTCTCATCTGGCTCTTTCGCACCTTATTCCGTCGCAAGTGGCCGTCGTATCCCGTGGAGTACAGTGAAGAGCCGTCGAGGGAAAAGGCAACCTGAGTGACGGTGGAGTGTAGGCCGGTAGAACGATTTCGGTGACTAGCTAGTTCATGAATCGTCTTGCTGCTAGGCTTCCCCAGAAGCACGTTATACGGCTGGTTATATATAGCATCATTGCCTTCAGACAAACAGGATGCGCCAGCTGCAAACATGTCACCCTGAGGCGACCACGCCACCGATACAACTGATCCGGAGGTACCGGTAAAGGTAAGGGAAGGACCAAGAGAGTCATACACGGTACGTTTCAGGCTTCGGGTAATGGAAGGTGTAGTCTGCCTGATCTCCCTACTCCGCAGTTCTTGGGACGGGGACATCACAGGACGCCTTGTGCCCTGAAGGAGCAAAATTTGGGGGCTTGTCGCCATTCCAGTGCGCGCATCGCGTAGAAAGTCCTGAATGCTAGCAAGACTTCGCCTAAACTGAAGCCGCTCTTGGGCAGAATGAGATATCGCTAGTAACTGAGCTTCTGAGAGGTCCGCGGAGAGCCATAATCGATCACCAGACACGGAAACCGTAGCATCGATGCCGAGAGACCTAATACAGCTATTAAGCTCCGATACTTCGGCTTGTGTAAACCCGATGTGAAGGCCGCTGTCCGTCCACGAGACATCCGAATCTGGAGTCTTTTCCCAGATTGATCCGTTTCGGAGCCTATTGACAAGACTGTTGCGCGTATTCTCGGCGAGGTAAGGCCTAGACGAAAGCCGTTCTACTTGTTGTCTCTTCAGCCGCCTTTCCCATCGCGCTTGGATATTTCCCGCCTTGGTTTGCTCTGTAGCAGAGACCGGAGCAGAGATAATAACCTCATCAAGGTCGTCCAAATCCAGCGGCTTCTCAGCATAGTTTAGCAGTGGCCTTGTGCGTCGAGTCTGCCGTCGTACACCAGGGGCATCGAACGGCATAGAGGCCTGCGACTCTGACTCTGACGCTTCAGATGCAGTGTCGGACGTCGGATCGCTATCGCTTAGCTCCTTTCGTACTGATGCTGGCAGAAGGCTTAATGCAGCCTTTCGAGGCCCGGGGCCGTGGCCAGCGCCCCTCTGAATCCGTGTCGACCATTGAACATTAAGTGTGTTCACTGTACGCCCTAGGATCGCTGCAATGTCCTTCATAGGTGCACCCAGCTTTTCTTTCATAAGCACCAGAACAGCGTGTTGGTCAGGCATGAAATGCGTGCCACTGTGGTCGCGGCCTTTGGTATCATATCGAAATGATCCGCACTGTACTGCAGTCCCGGAAACTATGACCGGAGGCGGCACCAGATCATTTGAGGAGGCGTGGGTGAAGAATCCGTTTGTAGCAGCTCGACCGACAACCGTGCCAGAGGCTTGCATAGGCGTATGCATCAAGGGTTTAAACGTCAATTTAGGCGTGGTTCCCATTGGCAAATGAGTGTGTTGGGTCCGATTCTGCACGGCAGAAACCCTGGCCGGTCGACTTGGCGAAATGACTTCTTTATAACTCTCGCTCGGGGCGCTACGACTCACACTGTTGTCCGGACTCCATAGCTCTTTCTTTGCTAGACTTGCCCGTTTTAGAGTGTGTTCTGCTGTTTGCGTAATTAGATGGGCTTTAGAAGGTACGGGACGTAGTCTCAAATTGCTCGCCGCTGCCTTACTCTTGACAGAGTCATGAGTCTCGGACGGCGGAGCATTCTCTGGCGATTGTAGTCGTAAGTGGCCCCGATACAGCCGCGAACTATCTTCCAGGGCCCTGTCCAGCAGATGCAGACCAATCTTGGGGAATGGCTCTGATCTTCGACAAACGTTTCGCTTCAGTGGCGGGGGTGGCCTGAACGAAGCCGGACCTTCCTCACCTATTCTTCGATTCCGTATTTCGAGACTTGAGGGGTTCAGTGTACCGTTGGACGGGTGTCTAGGGATACGATCATTCCCATCTGTAGCGGTCAAGTTCCTGCCGTTCAGGACTCGCTCAGAGGTTGGGCGGGGATCGAAATCTTTAACATCTTCCGCCTGTGTAGGCGCAGGATCATTCGAAGGACCCCCCACGGGGGATTGCATCAGTCCATTCAAAATAGACGAAAGCGATCCATCATCGACCACTCTTTGCTTCTTCGACGATTGTGAAGCGAGGTCGCCCGGAGCGGCGTGTTTCTGATTCGACTTGAAGCCTTCAAGTAGAGCAGATGCGGTATTTTCACGGTCTTGTGGGTCTAGTTCATCTTCATCTTCATCGAGGGTCAAATCGATGACAACGCGGTTTGATAGACTATGCGACAAGGAAAAGTCAGTTACAAACGCATGCGACTTGGTGGAGAACCCTTGGCTACATACCCACGATTGACCGCCATTGTGACATTCTGGAAGTTACCTTCTAGGAGGTTCACTTGTGATGCTGTCAACATCGGTTCCAGTCCATGTAGTGTCTCGGAGTGGTGGACTGGACCACCGGGGATTGTGTGTGGGAAGGTGCAATGTTGAGGATCACGCAGCGAGGGGAGGTGTGAGGCGTGGAGAGTTGAGTGAGTGGAGGGCGGAGGGTGGTTGTGGGTGGAGAAAGAGAAAATGTTGTTTATAGAGAATTACTAACGGAATGTAGGGAAATATTAATTTGTGATAGTTATGAAATAACAAAGTAATAATAAGTGAAGTCCAAGAGAACGTGAAGCCAACAAGGAGCGGAACGCCGCAGCGGCACGTGAGATGCTGAGAGACGCGTCAATTCGCGTTTGCCGTTTCCCCACGACATCACGGTACTGATAGTCGGAGTTATCACCTACATGCACGGAGTACGGAATATTACATCGGATAGTCCGCTGTGATCTGGTGAAGTGAGAGTGCCCAATATTCACCTCACCAATTCCACCGTAATTGATATGTGAACCAAGCTCTATTCCTCCCTGAAACCCCCTCAATTTCGGCTGGAACCTGTCGCCAATGTGTAAATGGCTAGAAGGACATCGCCATGTCTTCAAGCAATGCGCCAGGTTCATTAGGCAGATCTGAACGCCAAACCCAGCACGCTGCAAACTCCCAGAAGAGAACGGAAAGAAGCCGGAGATACACGCGGGAGACAGTGACCGTTCGAACCAGGAGCCCCGTGAAGATTGTCGACGCGAGGACAGAACCACAGGCACAGAATCGGGGTCAGCCAGATATTGCTCCTGGGACCGCTTCGACTACACCTTCTGCAGCTACTTCAAATGCCTCAGATATAGCGAGAGGTGAGAATATACAACGGCATGCTTATGGTCCGAGGTTGCTGACGAGATATAGTATGGACTCCACAGGCGTCACTTATCACCCATTCCTCGGCGCCGTTGGCATCGAGAATTTCCCATCCTCCGCGTGCCTCTCTAGCTCCTCAAAGCATCCGGCCGAGGCCGCTCAATGAGCTATCGCTGGAGGCTCAAGAGAGAGCCATCCTCGATGACCTTCTATTTGTTTTCATGGGATTTGAGGGCCAGTATATCCAATATGCTGAGTCGTACAATCCTCTGGAGGAAAAAGATCGGCTGACTGGTCCCCTCTTCCGGATATTACCAGGCCTTGATCCAAGTCTACGGGATCTCACCTTATCAATGCTTAAGATAGCTACTCATTACATCGCCATCGAAACCTTCGTCGAGGTCCAGAGCCGAGAAGAGTATGGAATGGTCAATCATGCGCTTTGCGCAGCAGTTCGAAAACTGCTGAAAGACTATCTAACGCTCATCGCACAGCTGGAGCATCAATTGTTTACAAATGCGACGTTCACACTTCACTTGCTCAATTTGCACATCAAACCCACAAGTCACATGCTTTTCCAGCTGTACGCGTTCGGCATTGAAGTGCTTAAGGCCAATTCCATCCTCGAAGACGATTCGGACGATTCTTTGGATGAAACGGAAAATCTGGACGGTATTCTCGAGTCCTTGCGCGAGGGGGCAGGCCAATTACCAGGAAAGAAAACATGTAAAGGAGGAGCGGTCCTCGGACTGATCACCAAGCGATTGGCGGCCATGGCTGGAGATCCGGCCGCAAGAGAACTTCTGACCACTCTCTTGCGGGAATCAAGTCGACCATATATGGCCATGTTGAATGAATGGCTGCATCATGGAGGGATCAAAGACCCACACAACGAGTTCCTGATCAAGGAGCAGAAGAGTATCAGGAGAGAGAAACTAGACCAGGACTATACGGACGAATATTGGGAGAAGCGATACACGATCCGTGAGAGTCTAGTCCCGCCTCAGCTCGAGTCTGTTCGCGACAAAGTGCTCCTCGCTGGCAAGTACCTCAACGTGGTTCGTGAATGCGGTGGGGTCGACGTCAGCAAAGAGTTGAAAGATGTCCCAACCACATTCGATGACCCTCGGTTCCTGGAGAATGTCAGCAATGCCTACGCGTACGCGAATGCGTCGTTGCTGGACTTGTTGTTGAAGACCCATGCTCTGCCGGCTCGGCTGCGTTCGCTGAAGCATTACTTCTTCCTTGATCGATCGGATTTCTTCACGTATTTCTTAGAGCTCAGCACTTCGGAGCTGCGAAAGCCAGCCAAGAATGTCAACGTCGGGAAACTTCAGTCGCTGTTGGACATTGTCCTGCGACAGCCTGGCAGCGTTGCCGCGGAAGACCCTTTCAAGGATGACGTGAAAGTTCAGATGAACGAGATTGGTCTGACCAGTTGGTTGATGAAGATTGTCAACGTCACTGGACTGGACCAAGATGCTGCTACCGGGAGCATTTCGAATTATCTGACACCGGCGACGCTGCCGACATCTGCCGATGACAAGGAGATCACGGGGTTCGATGCTCTCGTCCTTGACTATGCCATGCCATTTCCTCTCTCCCTTGTCGTTAGTCGCGTTACCTTAACCCGCTATCAACTCCTCTTCCGGTACCTACTCTCGTTGCGCCATCTCGAGACTCTACTGGCTGGCAGCTGGGTCGATCATAACAAGTCCATGGCATGGAAGCATCGAAGCTCGAATCCAAAGATCGAGCTTTGGAAGCGTCGAGCGTTCACTTTGCGGGCGCGAATGCTCATTTTCGTCCAACAGCTACTCTATTATTGCACAGCGGAGGTCATTGAGCCGAACTGGCTGGCATTGATGGCTCGGCTGGATGCTGGAAAGGCCGACGATCAGGAGTCATTGGGATCATCGCAGGTGCAGAGGACTGTTGATGAGCTTATGCAGGATCATGTAGACTTCCTAGCAACATGCTTGAAAGAGTGCATGTTGACGAATTCGAAACTCCTGAGGGTACGTTGTCCACCATGCTGTTTCCATCCCACCTCAAAATCGCTCATGGCTGACCATCTGCATGACTCAGATCAACTCGAAGATTCTCTCGACGTGCACGATGTTTGCTAATTACACTGCTTCGCTATCTCGATACCTCATCGCCGCTGATAGCGAGCTTGCCGGCTCAAATTCCGCCAAGCCTTCTGGCCGATCCCACCATCATAGCTCTTCCATCTCCTACGATCCATCAAAGCTCGACAAACTAGTGGACCTTCTTCAAAAATATGAAGAGAACTTCACGAGGCACCTGAGAGTGCTCCTTGATACCCTGAACTACCTTGCCGCCACCGAAACGGTGGTCTTCCTAAGCTTATGCGCCCGACTGAGCACCGCGAATGAAGGACTTGGGAATGAGAGGGATTCGAGGTCATACGCATAGAACCAATCTCCCGAACGGGAGTTTATGTTTTGAAGAATTGGGACCTGACGTGAAATGACTCTGAAACGTGTTCATGTCCGCGTGATGAGACTGGCTGTGGAGTGGGTTGCTCAATGTATACATCATATTCACATAGACCCGTGACCATGCAGATCTTCCGAATGTCCTTCTCTCATCTGCGAGTAAGTCGAGGATCCTGTGTTGGCACGTACGGATTCGAAGGATTCGAAGGTCGTGGGGTTCGTGTGCTATCGCCATACATCGCATGTTGAAGCGGGGTGGTGCCGGCATATGGGGTGGGATTCAGGTCATGAATATGCGCGGACGCTTTGCGCTCAGCATATCTCGTGGCATCCTGAGCGTCTTTCGTCGTACCTGCTATCGTGGTTGTTCGATTCATGTTTGGATCTGTCGTCCCTGCCTGGTTCTTGGCACGCTCTGCAGCAGCTCGATATTTTTGCAGAATGCGATCACTGCAATCAAGGAACCTCTGGTGCCAATAATTAGCAGCAATGAGGTTGCGATTCCAAATTGGAGTATTCGGTGGGAGGTCCGGTATGGCCCCCGCAGGTACTCCAAAGAGTGTTTCTCGTTGGGACGGAACGCGTTGGATATAAAAGCGCATCTTAGAGGCTTGGTCTTCGTTTTCCTGTCCCGAACTTTGGCCTAGGAAATTCCAATTATCCGACATTACCGCGTAAAGAACGATAACGACTGATCTCTCGGTGTCGAAATGGACGCTTCCCATGCTAGTGATATTGATATATCGAGAGAAATAATCGATCCGGCGTGCTGAATCGCGGTCTTGGGGAACGATCACACCACGACCCATTGAACATTGCGGATCGTAAATCAACTCTTCGAATTGTTCGCCGAAGATCCTTTTGGTCGGCTGAAGGCAGAAACTTCCATCGAAGAGTTGAAGCAGTTCGTGGATTTGAGCATCGGATAGCCCTTGCAAGGCGATGCTGTTATCGAAAAGGCCACTGCTACCTTGGTACGGAATCGTGAGACGAGCTTGCATTTGCATATTCGATTCAATGGGCGCCCAGTCCATTGCTGAATTTGACGTGTCCATGGGTTCCGTATCTGACTGTCGAGGTGGCCTAGGATTCTCTAGAGCCTGGACGGAGGGCGGAGTGGGGTGGCTGGGTTCTGCAGAAGTTCTTCGATTAATGTGCTCAGTTACTTGTCGGGCGAGCCATGGTGACGGCGGATCAGGGCGATTGTGATCAGTTTCCCCATGTTCTTGTAGAGCTCGGTACGGCGACGGCGAATCGGGGCGATAGCTATCATATTGATCATATCCTTGTTGAGCTCTATGCGGCGACGGCAGACCAGGGCGATAGCTATCAATGCGTCTTTTCTCGTATGGGTTGGGCCACGACTGTGACCGAGCAGGAGCATGGTGATCAGAATTAGGGGTATATTGACGTAGAGCTTGTCCCTCGGATTCTTTTGGCGGTGGTTTGATAGGTCTGAAAAAGGCTGCTATTGCGTTCGGTTAGAAACTAATGAGCACATATAATACTCTGTAAACCTGACTTACCAGCAAAATTTCCCCGCCGTTTCGCAGGGGGAATTGCCCCATAATCTCGGTACTCGTGGACATACTGGCAACCGGCTTGTTTCTGGCATTTTCCAGTTTCGTACCAGAAATAGCAAGTCAATTCACTTTTCGGAAGCCGCCGGAGATCGCTCTCAGGGACGTCTTTGTACGTGATCGCAGGGACTTCTGTGTAAGTAGCCGCAGGTACGTCTATCTTGGCCGTCTCAGGCTCAACGCGCCGCATCATAAGCTGGGTTTGCTCCATGATTGACTTAGCACCGCATTTATTGAGAATGTACGGCGCCTTTTTTGTCACCGGGGCGATTACAATAGGGCCGAATGGAATCTGGTGACTTCCTGTGTTCCAATGTGCGAATTTACACGTTTCAGCATCGTGTCTGCATGGTGGCTTCCCTGTGAACCAGAAGCCACAAGATATAGGTGGACATCCGCGCTGCCATGTACCAAACTTCCGGAACAACCAAGGGTCTTCCGCCTGGATATGCATCTCGTGGGTACTGACCGGCAACTGTGACACATGGGCATGAATAAAGACGCAGTCGTCACCCTCCCGACAGACACTTTCCTTCCAGTTAGAGCAGATGTAAGGGACAACGTAAATCCCGGTCCTCGGTAATGAGTCGTCCGAGACCTCAAGCACTTCTTCGGATGAAACATAATGCGAAGGTGGTTCTGGTTCGGAACTGCCATTGGCAATCATGGCTTTCGATGCGCTCAGGGGATCCCTGGTGGTTCCCCGGCCGAAGGCATTATCATTGTTGGGAGCTGCTGTAGTGGTTGGATTCCCGGATAGGATGTCGGATTCATACGCAGACGAGGACTTCCGGGTAGCAAATGCACTGCTTCGTCTCCTACCCCGGGGCGGCAGATCTGGTTCGCCTTGTCGCTGCACACCGTCCTCGTTATCTTGAACGAACAAGCTTCGTGACTGTGCCGAAGCGTCACGTTGTGCAGGGGGTTGTCCAAGCTCGAGAATCGCCCTTTGTTGGTCCTCAGTTGGGATTCTCTCGGCCTTTGACGCTTTCCGAATCTTATACGCTTCGGTGATCCACAGGGGGCGTTTCGATTTTTCGGCGCCCTCCATTTCTTTCTCGGTGTCTGCAACGGCTTTCTCGGCGGATGGCCTTTCAGCATCGATACGGTCTTTTAATGTCTGTCTACCACGCTTTCGGGTGGGATTTGCACCAAAAAGACGCGATGTCGATGCTAAGGAATTGTAAGTATGCCGTCTAAGGAGGATTCAAGTCTCGAAAATACAAAGGACCTCTATCTATGCTTGAGTATCTGAAAATCCATAACAGATTCTGCAGTGGGCATTGAGATAAGTTGTGAAATGAAAATAACATGGGGAATTAGAACATATAGCAGAATGTCAACATATCGCGCAGCACTCAAACAACAACAGCATTGACTATGATGGTATCAATAGCACGTGAACACAGTGAGTTCGCGACTTGCAACAACCAGTAACTCATGCTTCGTTCCTTCCCATCAACCGCAATTCGATCTAGTTACAAACCGAAAATACATGGAATAAAAATTTTGACGAATCCTGGAAGAAAGACAACGGTAAAGCGAAACACGTATCAAATGGCCACGTACCTGTCTCTGTGATGGCAGATTTCGGCTCCTGTACATCTGCTGCCGCTTTCCGTTGGGGAGATTGCAGAGATCGATCTTGATCGGAGGGTAGTGGAGCACTCACTACTCTGGTTGTGGTTATTGTAGTCTCAGTCTCAGCCGGGCTTGGTACATTGAGCAACATATCCTCGGAACTTTTGCGCGATGGCGGCTTCGAAACGGCACTGGTAGCGCTCGTCGGTAGCTTGTTCATTTGTGACATCGACGTATCGACAGAAATTTTGGCCTTTGCCACCGGCGTAACCAAAGGAGGGGATGTTTGGGTTGTAGACTGAGACTGACTCGAGAGGCCTTGAAAGAGGTAATCGAGATCATCTGGCATCGTCCTATTGCTCAAAGTTGGCTCGTCCTGGGCAGATGAAGTAATAGTCATCTGAGCTGTGGCAGCTTCCATCGAGAGTTTCTTGGCTTCCTGCAGCATTTGCCCAACATCATCCCCATCTTGGATTGCATCCACCTTTCTCCTCTTCTCTCTAAGCTCGATCATAGGGACATCCGAGTCGTCGCTCTTACGGCGGATTCTCCTCATCTGACCCATAAGAGGCTCGCTCTCGGAACTGATATCACTAAATCTCCGCATCTGCCCCATAAGAGGCTCGTCCACGGCACTGATACCGCTGGATCTCCTCGTCTGTCCCACCGGAGGCTGGCCCTCGGAACTGATACTGCCTGCATAGTGGGGATATTCGAAGTGCCCTTCGCCCTCCTTGCTCTTCTGTGTTCTGGACGATTCGGCCGTGGTACCCTGACCCGAATCGGAGTCCTGTTCCTCATAAGATCTGAGGTGACCTGCTGAGGTGTACGGCCTATGACTGCCTACCGGCAAACCGTACGCGTTCTCCAACTCTAGGAAAAAATCGGCCCAGACCTTCTGTGGGTCCCTCTTCTCCAGAACTTTGAACTCGGCAATGTCGGCTTCGACCTGGTCGAGGTCGAAGGGTTCGTAGATTCCATCTTCCCGAGCGGCCTTCTCGACTTCCCATTCTTTTAGCAAGTCGGCGCATCCAACCATCCCGTCCTGGGGCTCCCAGGTTGCCGCACCCCGAGGCCAATATCGCCATCGGACCAGGTAATGTTCCACGCCATCCACCGTTTTCGCCGAGAGGATCCTCTCGGCTTGGAATAGGTTATCGTCTGCCTCTTTCACGCTCTCGATGAATTCTTTCCTTCGTTCTTCCTCAGAAGCCAAGCTATCCATGGTAGAGACTTATGCAATGAACGATGGCATTCCCTGCATGAAACTGCCAGGCAAAGACTTGTTGAGTAGTATAAACAGGAATCGCGAGAACGTAAAGGAGAGGCAGAGATTCGGAGAACATAGACGACGTTTTCGAATAATGATAGGAAGAAAAGGCAGGACTGATGTTGGGGGATGGGTATCGAAGAGCCCCAACGATTGGATTTCCACCTCTGCCGCTGCCTTGTCGATAGCTGGGTTTATTCGTGTGCAGATACTTGAGTGACTTTCATTATGAATCCGACTAGACTCAAATGATGGCAGAGCGATGTGAAAGGTGCATGAAGATCGCGTAAAGATCGCTAAAGATTAGAAGTGTGGGACGTGAGAACGTATACCAGCTTCTTTTGCGGCACCTGAGACTGGAATCATCCATGGAATTGGTGACATGAGAAAGCATTATATCACATCCTTCAATTCGAATTCTTAGAAGTGTTTAATACAAGTAAACGAAGTTGTGACACGAAAGGGTGAAGTCAAAGAATCGTTGCCGCTCCTTGTTGCCTGGGGTCAGATCCATCCACCACCCAGATGCATTATCCGCACGTGATGATTTACAGGGGCTTCTTGGCATTTGGCAAGCTTAGCTGCACGTGATAGCGGGGCGAGTCATCAGTCACGTGAAAGTGATGCCTGGTTGCCTCAGCACTGTCTCACTTCACTGGCGTCCTCCCTTTCACGATTCCATCCAAATTGAGGCGTTGAGCTCACTCCGCACACGCATCCCCCACAAAAGCCCATGAAACATCTTTCAACGTCCTCATTGTCCATTCGCCCCAAATAATCACTGCCTCCTACAGACACTGCAATCTGATCACTGCATCATTCATTGCCGGTCACTCTCGGAATATTGATTTCCTTCCCTTGTGTCCTCCTGCTGCACCGTGTGTGCCTCACCGACACCTCCCTCGACCCACGACATCGATAGGCAATCATGGCCAACGACGAGTATGATGTATGGCCCCTTGACCCCGACGTTCATCACATACCACCGCTGATATCCTGATGCTCTGCAGTTCCTATTCAAAGGTATGCCACATGAACCTTCGTATCGGTCCGCCTCGCTCCGTCGAATGCTCCCTTGACGCCTGATACGTGGTGCGCTCCGGAATCCGTAGGTTGCTGACGGCGTGTGCCAGTGGTGCTGATCGGCGACTCGGGCGTCGGCAAATCGAACCTGCTCAGTCGCTTTACCCGCAACGAATTCAACCTGGATTCGAAGTCGACCATCGGCGTGGAATTCGCGACCCGCAGCATCCAAGTCGACCAGAAGACCATCAAGGCGCAGATATGGGACACCGCCGGACAAGAGCGATATCGAGCCATCACTTCGGCCTATTACCGCGGTGCCGTCGGGGCCTTGCTCGTGTACGATATTTCCAAGGTACAGACGTATGAGAACGTCACTCGATGGCTGCGAGAGCTGCGCGATCACGCCGACAGCAACATCGTCATCATGCTTGTGGGTAACAAGAGTGATTTGCGGCATCTACGCGCTGTACCGACAGATGATGCAAAGGCCTTTGCGAGTATGTATTCCTGGAATCTTATCGACGAATTCCGCCCTTGAATCATTCAGCCTGAGGTATTCCGCTAACGCCAACGTGTACCTCTAGGTGAAAATAGTCTCTCTTTTATCGAGACCTCCGCTCTCGATGCAAGCAACGTCGAACTCGCATTTCAAAACATTCTCACTGGTGAGTGACATCCTCACTGTCTTAATGCTGCTGCCTGGCCTCTCCGTGCTCTCAACTATGATGGACACGCTAACCGTCGTTCCAGAAATCTACCGGATTGTCTCGAGCAAGGCACTCGACCAAGGCGACGCATCTCAGAACCCCATCGGGGAACGCCACACCGTGCATCTCTCCCCATCGGCGGACAAGGAGGCGAAGAAGCCGAATTGCTGCTAGATGCCGATTCCGCTCGGTTCTTTGATCTGGGGCCCATTGGTCCGGGGTCGATCCTTCGCCATGTTCCGGTGGCTTACTTGTTGCGCTGCGAGATTCGGTCAGGCGCTTGGGATGACGTTAGGTGTCGATGCATGAGTCGTTAACGGTTGGGAAACGAGGGTATAGAATGGATGTGAAGGGTGTTTTTTCGCTGTTCCTGGGATGGGTTACGTCTTCGTTGCGGTTGATGGAACATGGTCCGGTGGCAATCCGGCCTGGTCCACTCCTGGCTGCTGGGGTGGGATTGGAGCTGGAATTGGGATTCGTTCGTCTGCTGCTACGACATGTCGACTGGCAAGGTCCACGCATTCGGAGTTTACAATCAACTGGTAGTCTATGATCCTCGGCCTTCATCAATATGAAACATGTATGTCGTTTCCGATAGCATGGCCAAACTCAACCGCAACAGGTCCTTCAGTTTTAAGAAGCATTTAATACATTTTCCATGCAACGCTGATTCCCGTTGGTCGCTTGTTGGTTATATACAGTTCACGGACGGACGGTACCGAACGCAGCCGGTCCTCGGAGGTGAGCAGTACAAGAAGAGTGATCGGTGGGCAGAAAGGGGTAGCGCTACAATGAAAATAACAAGAAGAATTGGGGATCTGTAATCCAAGGGTATTGAGTTAGACCAACATGAAGGGTGGGTAGAGTCTAGGATTTTGTATATCATGATGGACATTTGCATGATGCTGCAGCGTACCAACAGCAGAGATAGAAACATAAACGCTGAACCGTTCTTTCATCCAGAGTTCATCGTGACGATGAACTCAAGCATTAGATCCGTGAAGGACGTACAAAACAAGCCCATGCAATCGTATCCGAGAAGTTGAAAAGGAAATCATTGGATGTAAAGGCGTGTGCCATCAGACATGAAACATAGTCATCGTGAAGATAGGCGTGAAAGAAGCAAGATAAATAAAACACAAAAAGATCACGCAGCTAACTTCGGAACGAATCCACAAGCCCGCGACAGACCACTTACATTCGTCCGTCCCGCATCCTCGTTCCGACCACGGCCAATGCAATCACGGCACCGATCAGCAACAGCCCGACCACACACATGATACGGTTCAGATTCCGCCACCATCGGGCCTTGAGAAACTGCTTCTCTTCATAAGCGTCTAGCCGAAGTGCGAGCGCTTGCTGGATATCCGCGTCGTAGCTAGGACGGGTGGGCGGAGCATTGGGATCATCAACGCCGACGGTATCCGTCCGCACTTTTGCTTTCCCCGTCTGCTTGCTACGCTTGGGTGCCTTCTCTGCCGTGGTTCCTTCCAAGCCAGCTAGCGCCGCAGCCGGTCCACCGGCCTCGACATCGCTCTCGTCGTACCGAGCGGTAGGCCGCTGCGGCAACGGCAGCAGAGCGCCGACGTACCAGGCCGGCGGGAAGACGAACCCGACGGCGAAGAGGGCGATCTGCCGGCCGACGCCGCCAAACACGGCACGCGGTCCAATCGGCTCGTCGAGACTCGGGGTAACCCAGACGGACATCCGCCCGGCGCTGCGACGGTCACGAGGCAATCGTGGCGAGTTGAGGCTGAGCCCTGGGATTGCTCCCGAGAGATACTGTGGCTGTGGAGGGCGGAGGGAAAGCGCGGTCAGCCGAGCAGTGCGAGACTGACGGGCGGCAAATGATTCGACTGCGGATGGGTCATCGGAAGCGAGACGCGTATCAGTGACCGCGGGGTCGGTGGGCAGGTCGGAGAGGGTTGGAGAGGGTGTGCGCGGAGGCGAAGGCGGGGGAAGCTGCGAACTACGTGCCGACGACATTCGCACGCGCCTGGAAATGATTGAAAATCTTTTAGAGCGTCGAAGCACGGAGCGTCGAGACTGGTCCGGGTGCTCGGGCGTGGGTGATAATCGTGACACGCCAGTAGGGGAGGTCGCGGCGGCACCGCGGAGGTTGGATTGTCGCGGGCGCTTTCGGGGATGGAATAGGGATAACGGAAAGTGAGCGGAGGGACTGGTTGACCGAGCCGAGGCGGAAGTCGTTTGACGGATGATGGAAGTCGACGGGACTGTCTGGGGTGGCGTTGACGTCTCCGGCGGAAAAGAAATCGGGAACGCGACATTGGAATGCGATGATGTGGGTGGTAGCAGGACAGAACCACGATAATATGCCCTGCGAGATGAGAAGGATGGTCGTTAGCTGGACTGAACTCTTATGAGGCTAGTGGAAATAATGTGATAGGTTTGCCCTGACGAACGCCCTTGGCCAACGAGACAAATAACCCTAGCGGCTTCAAAAGCTGCACCTGCATAGGCGAGTGAATCGTTGGACGTTGCCGAACGGGTATATTAAGTCGGCAGATTGCCCGCGCAGTGTTATAGGATTGTGCGGGGATCTCTGCAGGGACAGGCAACATAAAATGAGCGGCCAAGGCTTTTGAATGTCGCAACATGGGGAATAATCCATGCCCCGTTCAGGCAAACAGGGGTTCAAGCGTTGTAATAAGAGAACTGTTTTCATCAACTTACCTTGCCCATGCCGGTAGCGTGCTAGCGATAACGCTCGGTGCGGAGCTTCTCGCCGAGTACGTAGATCCTGACGAAGTCGGCCTCGACAACGTATCAGAATATCTCCTGAAATAACCCGATCGCTGTTGGCGCAGTTGTGGAGACGGAAGATCGGCGACATGGTCATCTTGTTCTTCCGAGTCACGACCGGACGGGACCGTAGACGATGGCGATAAATATTGCGTAGAGAAGAGGGGCGCAGGAGCCGCAACAGATGGCATGGTTGACTCGCTAGCAATTGATCGAAGGCCACCGTTAGATGACTCGCTCTCGGGACGCCCCCACCGCCTCGGGCTAGATGAGCGCTCGCGGTAGAGGCCATCCAAGATATCCCCGCTCTCCCGACCCTCTTCTTTCTCATGAGGTATGGAAAAAGAGTGGGACGGGCGCGACTCTGTCTCGGACGGTATCGTGGAGAGACGAGAGCTCCATTGCGCTCGGGATGGCCCGTCGTTCATTCGTGGGGAAACGCGTGGTGAGACCGTGGACGACGAGGCCCATGAATTGCTCGCTGGAGATTGTCGAACAATTGGGTACTGGATCGGGACTCCGGTCTCGACCGCAAGCCGGATGGCGGAGCGTAAAGGAGTCACAGGACTCGAGGCTGACCGAGGACGATCCGAGTTGCCGGTCGAGGAAGAGTCGGATCTACCTAGCGACTCCGCTGAGTGCTTGACGATGGTTCCTCCACTGTGCTTACTCGACGGCGAAGCCGACTTCGAGCTTCGAGCGCTGAGCGAAGATACCGAGCGTTGGTGCTTGCCGGGTGTAGAATGGACGATAAAGTTCGGCGAGGACGGTGGGGAGGATGAGACCGTGGTATGCGGACCCTCTGGATGACGAATGGTCAAGGCATCCGACGTTGCAGAAGATGCGAGAGAGCTTCCGGATCGCTGTTCGTTCAGTCTTCGGGCGTGATCGATATGCGATGTAGGGGTCGGGGAAGATGATAGTGGATCGGAGGCGACGAGTCTTATGCTAGATGGATTCGCTTCCTGGACGTTACTCAAGACTCCTTCAAGGAAGTCCTCATCACCAGTGGCTAGGGACGACGGGGGAGTAGAGGCCTGGGAGAAGCGACTGGATGAGGGCGTATAGGGAGAACCAGTCGTTCGAAAGGTACCCGCTTCGGAGCTGGTGGAGGTCGATTGACGGTCTGAAGGGGACTTTCGCGGTTTCAGAGGTTGAGGAATCAGGCCGTCGTCCGGACTGCCGGTGGTTACAACATTGGACGCAGAGGTGTCGGCTGAAACTCGCACATCCTTGTCTTCGAAGATGGAATCGGGCGCATTGTGTGGGCGCAAGATGTGGGAAGGGTGGCTCGGGAAGGGGGATTTGAAATATGCGGCGGCGGTATCTTCATCAATTATGCGGATGCTCGGACGGGCCAATTCGTTTGTGCGGGATTGGGAGTGCTCGCGGAGAGGTTGCCGCTTGGGAGATGCTCGCCGGGAATGACTAGGACCGGGAGAGGGACGGCGCAGGGAGCTGGAAGAGGACGATGACATGTTTCAGCGAGCAATAAGCTGGCAGATCGAGGTCTCAAGAGGGATGCAAACAGCATTTAAAGAGCGTGGTGGTGGTATATTAAAAACATGCTTGATCAAATGGCTGATATGAGCAAGAGAACACGAGAGGACGAAAGCCGAGAAATTGAAGCAATGCTGATGAACGAGTGGCGGCTAATGCAGAGGCATAGTGAGGGTCAAAAGAGCGACAGTGCTAAGGGATAAAAATACTCATAACGAAACAAAAAGGAAGGACAAGATAAGGTAGAAATGAAGGACAGTGTTGCAAGTTTGTAGGAGAAGGGGAAAGGGTTGGAAGGTTTCATATGGAGGTGTGTGGGAGAGAGTGAAAGGGAGTTGAGTGGCTGGCACGTGGAAGCCTGAGGCTGTAAGGCAAGAACCCCCAATAATGGACGACGAATTGAATAGGGACTAGGGAGGGAACAGTGTACAGTCAGCAACCAGAAGCGACTCAAGCGAGAAAGAGAGATAGCAATTAATGACCTAAGTACAACCTGGGCAATAATAATACGTCAAGCCAGCCAGTGAAAGTTGCAGCTGGCATACAGAATAATAAATATTCATTTTCCTGCAGCAGCCCTGCAGAAGTCCTAGCTGTCCTGCACAGGTCATGCACGTTCCTGCAAAGGAAAGGGATTCCAAAGTGGATCATCCTATCCTTCCTGGATCGTAAAGTAGAATGGAAACGAAAGGGGAATGCAGATTACACGTGTATCAGTGGTCAATATTAAGTGATTAATATGGACTGCGTCCCTCATCCAGCGTTGGAATCTTGGAGGCCAATCGACCAATTCATCGGGGCAAGATGGAGGAATGGAGGTCAGGATGAGGGAGGTGGAGTTACAGTATGAAGCGATCACTGGAGGAATGGATTGGACCCCATTAGCTCCCTTGTCCACGAATGATAAATGCGGAAATAATAATAATTCTCCCCTCTGTCACCCTCTAATATTCCTAATATTCTTCCCTACCGTCATTCCTATTGTATTCCTGAATCTTTCTCGTGTTCTTTGTCCTTCATACACCGCCAATCCATCGTCCCATTTCCACGTGCTTTGTTCTCCTGAAGTCCTGATATTCTTTCTCGGATCTCCATATTTCTTCGGGGTTCTGACTTCTGTATTTCTCACCCATCTAGTCCCCGTGGCGCTAATGGACGTGTTCAACCGTCTCAAGGATTCCTACACCAAAGAACCGCGTGAGTGCTTCCCTCCACTACAGAGTCCAGCTGTTCGTTCGGTTGGCTTGTCGCGTTCGCTGCTGAAACGCGTCCACCTCAACAGCGTCAAAACCGCCCGCATTATCTGCAAACGCCGTGGTAGCATTGTCGGTACGACTGACCTCTCGTTGATTCCATAACCTCCATACCAGTCGTCTGAATCCTGATATTGTGCTCTTTCGGCTGGTTCGCGGCTTCCCCTGCATTTGTAGTCATCCCACTTTGCATCCAACTCTCCAAGTCTGTGCCTTTCTCCGTCTCGCATCCGCCATGGGCTTGACTTTTCCAAATGTTTGACGTTTGACGTTTGATGTCATCGCACGATCCATGTCGTATGTGCTCTGTGGAATGCGGCTCTCCCAACCCTACACTTACCAGACCTGAACCAGCACACGATCTGCAGTCTCCATGAAATACGAATGAATAATCCGCATTCCACAGTCCACTATGCTACGGTACACATTCCACTATCATGAAGTCTTGTCCAAACAAACCTCAGTCTTCAAGGATCCTGGGATGACCTTTCCGTTTGCGAGTCCTTCTTGAAATTCCCATTCAAACCCCTATTCCCCAGATGCGCCCAATATGCCACCTACTAACCCAGCATGTCTGGTGGCCCTGCAGGTAACATATGTCTTGCTCTTTGTCGTTCCGTTCTATCTCGATAAGAACACTCGACCCTCGGCGACCCTGACTCGCGATGCCCCGTCCGTCATCCGCGCCAGACTACGCGCGGTGAGCATTGCCTCCGTCACCACCGTCGTGATCACCCTCTACATCCTATCGGTGTACGGAAAGTATGGTTTCGGGGAGTCCCTCCATCACCTGGGTCTCTGGCCAGTAGGCCTTCACGACATCGCCAAGGTACTACTACTATGCATGATCCTCTTCGTCGGCCCTCTCTTCGAGAGCTATTATGTCGAATCTTCCTGGCGAGAGTTGATCTCCGGCTCCGCATGGCGCGATCGCATGGACAGCCTGATTTGGTGGCGGAATATCGTCGTGGTAAGCGTAGCTGAACCCTCGTTTTTTACTCCTTCCTATTCTCACACCAATAAAGGCTCCCCTTCTTGAAGAAGCGGTGTTCCGCTCCTCCATCGTCCCTCTCCACCTCCTCACCTACGCCACCGTGTCTGACATGCACAACCCCCCGAACTATGCCAACGTCATCTACATCACCCCCCTGTACTTCGGCATCGCGCACATCCACCATTTCTACGAATTTCGCCTCACCCATCCGCGCGTCCCGCTCATCGCTGCCGTCCTCCGATCGGTCATTCAGATGGCCTACACCACGCTGTTCGGCATGTTCGCCGTGTTCATCTTGCTACGGACTGGGAGTTTCTGGGCGTGCTGCGCCGCGCATGCGTTCTGCAATTCCATGAGATTCCCGCGCTTGTGGGGGAGAGTGACTGTGGAAGTCCCTATGGTGGAAGTCCCGACCGCGGCTGGGCCGGATGTTTTCGAAGGGATGTTGAACGCTGACGCTGAGGGAGCTGGGAGGAAGAATGAGGATGGTGATGGCGGTAGGAAGCGAACAGAGTCGGCGAACGGGCCGAGCGGAGGAAATGTCGGATCTGCCACTCAGGAGACGCTCTATACTGTCGTGTATTACTCATTGCTCGTCGTTGGTGCGGTGGGATTCTACAAGATGCTGTATCCATTGACGGGCAGCAGTAATGCCCTTGTGGCATTGTGAACGATCAAACCCCTTTTCAAGATAACTCCTCATGTTACATACCGTGGTATATGCTCTCCGGCTCTCTTATCTGGACTATCTTATTCCTGTGGGGCTGGTTCGTTTTCATGACCAAGACCCAACCCTTTTCAGGAGTCTACAGAATTGAAAATCGATAATTAAAAAGATGAAAAATATTCTACTATTTGGATACCCATCGCTTTTGTATCGAAATTTAGAAAATTCTCTTCGTTCTGTATCCCGTAAGTGACCGTAACCAGTGTAAGGAAATCAGTGCATACAACTTTCCCGGGTATTGGATTTCCCCACTCAATTTCTATCCAGCGAACCGGGACTTGACAGTTGATGATGACCACTCTGCCGACTGCTATCCATTCCTCCTTGCAAGTTCCAAACCTTCCATTGTCTTTTTATATATGCCTGTAACTGTTTGTTAATTCGCACGACAAGCGTGTTCATAAAATCTTCTGTATAGAGTCAATGGTTTAATGCGACGATAGCCAAATTGCCTGGAGTACTTTGGTTTCTTTACTGACCTTCAAATACGTCAACGCATCATGGGGAAAATATTTACATCAGACGAAGGTCTGTCTTGTCCCTATCGTATCCCTATTCTGATGAACTCCATTGACACGACCCTAGTATCGAAACATAAGACCCAAGACAGTTGCTATGTGATATTGTATGGCGTCGTATACGATGTGACGTCGTTTCTCCCCTCCCACCCCGGAGGCGCCACGGCGATCCTGAATTTTGCCGGGCAAGATGCCACGGAAGAATTCGACCCGATCCATCCACCGGGAACATTAGAAGAGGCGCTTCCACCATCTGCCAAACTCGGCACCATCGATACGTCCACGCTTCCCGCGAAACTGGCCGAACCATCAGCTCCTACTCCGCCATCAGCTCCATCCTCCCAACCCCGGAACGTCTGGTCCCCCGAGTCCGTCTCCGATTGCCTCTCCCTCACCGATATCGAGACCCTCGCCACCAAGCGCCTCTCCTCCCGCGCCTGGTCATATTACTACTCCGCTGCCGACGACCTGCTCAGCAAGTCTCTCAACCAACTCGCCTACCAACGCATCCTCCTCCGCCCACGCGTCTTTCTCGACGTCACCCGCTGCTCCCTCCGCACCCACCTCCTCGGCCGCCTCCCCGTCCAACTCCCCATCTTCGTGTGTCCCGCCGCGATGGCCCGTCTAGCGCACCCGGCCGGCGAGCACGGGATCGCGCAGGCATGTGCACGGTTCGGCGCCGCGCAGATCATCTCGAACAACGCGTCGCTCAGCCCCGAGCAGATCGTCGACGGCGCGCCCGCGGAGCAGGTGTTCGGGTGGCAGCTGTACGTGCAGACCGACCGGCGGAAGAGCGAGGCGATGCTGGCGCGGATGGCGAAATTGAAGAACGTACGATTCGTCGTGCTAACGTTGGATGCGCCGGTGCCGGGGAAGAGGGAGCATGATGAGCGGAGACAAGGGCCAGCGACGGCGTTGAAAGGGGCGACGGAGAGGATCAGAGAGGAGAATCCTGATGTTGCATCGTCAGGCCCGAAAGGCGGGGAAACCACCGCGGATGGGGTGTCCAATGTTGAAGGCGGCAACGCCGAAGGTGGGGTGGGAAAGACGCTCTTTGCAGGGACGGCGGCCGATCTGACCTGGAGGACGACGCTGCCATGGCTCGCGGGTCACACCGACCTTCCAATCGTCCTGAAAGGGATCCAGACGCACGAAGATGCATATCTAGCCGCGAACCACGGGCCCCAGGTGAAGGCGATCGCTCTGAGCAACCACGGCGGCAGGGCGATGGACACGGCACCACCCGCGGTGCACACGCTGATGGAGATTCGCAAATACTGCCCGGAGGTGTTTGATAAAGTGGACGTGTGGGTGGACGGCGGCATCAAAAGAGGGACCGATGTGGTGAAGGCATTGGCGTTGGGTGCGAAAGCGGTCGGGATTGGTAGATCTCCCTTGTACGGGCTAGGAGCGGGTGGGGTAGAGGGGGTTGAAAAGGTGCTCGAGAGTAAGTTCACACCTTCATAGTGGAAGACAGAGTACCCTGAAACTAATGGATGTGCGCAGTTCTTCAATCGGAGACACAAACGGCAATGAGGCTACTAGGGGTCGAGACGGTTGACCAATTGGGACCCCAACATGTAAGTGTCGAGTTGAGATATTCTCAACCAAAGATGCGTCTCTTGCTAACTATACTAAAGATCAACACTCGTGCATTGGAGATGGAAATCTACGACGGACCACCCAATCTCGAAAACAGCTATGGTATGTGGCGACGTCTGGGGTGCCGTCCACGGTTGTGATGCGAAGGAAGTATAAATACTTGTACATATTTTAGATGGCATGTAGCCGGGATGGTAAGGATGATACCCCGCAAAGATATAAATTCGTTTAGCCCTCCTGACGTTTTGGATTGTCTTCTCACTTTGATACCATGATCGGGGCCAAAAGGAATTGATGGACGTTCACCATTAGCAACCCTCCACCCTACCTACCTAAACGGAGAATCGCAATTATGGTCTTAAATGAAAAGTAGTGCAAGACATAGCTCAAAGGAGGCAACCCGAGGCGAAAGGAAGGGAGAATTGTAGTCATGGGATAGGATATTGACGGTCGCCCAGAACTTCGAAGGCCAGCTGCTCAGTAAGCCGAGCAGGATGAGTTGGAACTTGGAAGAATATGTAGGCCCAGTAGGCTATCCAAACGGGAAATCCGGGTATTCGGGACGTGCCGTACAAGAAGCCTTATTAGCTATTATGTACTCATTTATAGGGAGGTAGTACGGAATTACAGACAAATAACTGACATTTCCGGATCAGGAGACCTGGAGAGACTGAGACGTTGTAGATGAACTTTCTTTCTTAATTGGATGGAACGAAATGGACGAAAAAGTCACGTGCGGGCATCTCTCGCATCCGGTCTCTCGCGTCCGACGAAAAGCCGAAATACAACTGTAGGACGTCGCCGCCTCGCGCGTGTGAAAGCGGAAGGGCGGAATGAGGATCAGTTGCCGCACGATGACGATGCCGCTCTCTCTCCAGTCTTTACGCAAAGTCGAACCACCACGGGGACTGTTCTACCGTCAAACGCCAAACATATTACATAAATACACAAAAATTCCCGATGAATGAGCTTTTAAGAATTAAATATACCCAGTAGAGAATTCAAGAGTTTTTTCTTCCCCTCCTCTTCCTGTTCTCCTGCTACTTGACCACTTGACCACTTCTATATCTTGCCAGTCCATCAATCATTCAGACTTTGTTTGTCGGTCCGTATTACAAGACAACCCACCTCGCATCCTCTCCGAAACTTTCCAATCTGCCAGAAAAAGAGCCTCTCGCCGTCTGGGAGCCGATTACATCATGAAGTTCCGATCTCCAGAAGTAGAAGCTGCCCTTCAAAAGTCCGTTGCCGGCATTCCTTCGTCTCAACGTCTCCATACTAACTCCCACGTAGGGAAACCATCCGTGGCCTCGCTTACGGTGGTATCACCGGTCTTGGACTCGGCTGGGCCGCCGTTCTCACCGCTTCCCGCCGCTACCAGCTCATCCGGGGCCTGACCATTCCCATGAAATGCTTCCTCGTCAGCTCCTCCGGGACCTTCGGCGCCATCATCCTGGCCGACCGCCTCACCCGCAGCTTTGAAGCCAGCCTGAACCCGAACCAATACCAAAGCGACAAGAAAGGCGAGCTGGCGCGGCAGACGCGCGCAGCGCAGACGTGGGGCGAGCGCACGAAAGACTATATGGCCGAGCATCGATATCCCATCGTCTTCGGCAGCTGGGTTGCATCCATGGGCATCGCGTTGGGGATAGTCGGCCGGAGTCCGTACCTGTCCACATCGCAGAAGCTCGTGCAGGCGCGTGTGTATGCGCAGGGGTTGACCGTTGCCGTGCTGTTGGCGAGCTTCGGTTTGGAGGCGTCAGATGCCACGCAAGGGAAGGGTCGATGGGGGTGGCAGACGGTGAAGGTGATGGAGGACGGCAAGGTGGTGGAGAAGCGGGTGCACAAGGAGCGGTATGAGGGGGAGGACCGGTGGATGGATATGGTGGAAACCGAGCAACGGAGGGAGAAGGCGGAGGAGGAGGAGCGGAAGCGATTGCAGAAGGCCTCATGAGTTGGGATTGAAGGATTTAAAGCAGTGCCAATGTGAGATGCATGGCAAGGCGTTTGGCGTACGATTGGGTTTCTTTTGGCATAGACACCGGCATTGAACCGGCTTTAGGAAGGAGGCGATATTCGTCCCGCTGTACAGTATGGGACCTGTAATAACAGTTGCACAGGTGCACTGCACAATACCAATCACTCACTCATGCAGATGTTTACGTGTTCCCAATTCCATGCAAGGGGATACCATCCTCAATGGCAATTGAAAGAAGTTGGTGTCGCTCGTTGTATCACAACCTGGTCCTAATTTGACCCTTTGAAGGGATACACTGTACCTCTCTACCGGTAAGTACGGTATTCATCAAACCCGAAGCCAGCTGATACCAATAGGATAGGTAATATTACCTAAGGTACTTAAGTACCTAGTTCTGGACTTCAAATAGATGGGTTGGAGACTTGGTCGATTTACCATCCCGTCCCGTACCATACCGCCGTACCTGTGGTAGAGAAACCCTTAACTCCGGCTAACTCCCGAACCGAGCCGACATGACTGAACGCTCGGAAGTTCGACATATCCACCTCCTTGTCATCACCCACCATATATTTCGTAAGAATTAACAGAAGATCTTGAATAGGGAATGCCTGGCCTTGTACATACGATATTGCGCCATTGGTTTTTTGGAAACCCCCTCCCTTTTTGAGGTAGTCTCAAAGATGACGATACCGATCCCGCGCCTCCTCTCCCTCCTCCTCGACCTTCACTCCCAGCCCCATGAACATGTCGACAATCCCCCGACCACCCAAAAGCGAGCCTCCGTCGCTATTATCCTCCGCATACGTCCGACCTACTCCCACCCACCCCCCTCATCATCCAGTATCCCTTCCCCCGGTTCCCCCGACGCCGAATCCAACCCATCGGCCGCAACCGCTCGAGACCGCCTCTCCAACTTCTTCGCGCAAGATTGGGTCCGCCACGGATGCCCGGAGGTCCTCTTCATCAAGCGCACGTCGCGAAAGGGTGATCCCTGGGGAGGTCACATCGCGCTGCCGGGGGGGCGACGCGATCCTGAGGATGCCGACGACCTCGCGGCTGCAATCCGGGAAACGGAAGAAGAGGTGGGGTTGACATTGGTTCCCTGGAGGGAGGGCGAACAGGGCGGCCGAGGAGGTGCGAACTGTATCACGGTTGGCGGGTTGTCTCAACGGGTGATCACGAGCGATTGGGGAAAGCGAGCGTATGGGATTAAATTCACCCTTCGAGAGACCTTGATCTAACTGTCCTATCCAGCCTCATGGTCCTGTGCCCCTACATATTCCTACTCACGACGCCTGAAACCCCATCCCTTCGACTTCAGCCCACTGAAGTCCATTCGACGCATTGGGTGTCGCTGGAAAATCTAGCCGACCCGCAGAACCGGACTGTCTGGCGACAGGACGCCTCCGCCCAGTATCTCGGTCGTTCAACGTATTTGCGAATCGCGGCACATTCTCTGCTCGGCGATATGCTCTTTGCTGCCATCCGACTCGTGCCGTCCGAGAGCGTTTGGTGTCCTGACAGCCATGCGCTGTATCCCCCCACCCTCACTTCCTCATCGCTGTTAAGCAAGATCCACCTCCCCGGTCTAGATCGGGACCCTCCGCCCTCGCCAACGAATACGCCGCTACTTCTCTGGGGACTCACGCTTGGCATCGTTGCCGACATGCTCGATCTACAACCCTTACCCTCCGAACCGACCAGCCAGCAAGAGTCTCAACCCCTCCGCTTCTTCGTCTGGCCGACCTTCTCCGCCCCTGACATCCGCCTCGCCATCTTTCTGATCTCCTATCGGTTCCGCGCCGCGAGGAAGGAAACCGTGGAAGGACGCGTTGGGTCGGGAGTGGACGACTCCACGAATTCTCGACGTCGAGGGGTGGAGGGGGTTGTCGATGCGGACACTACGGCGGTGAAGGGTGGGTTGGGGGACAGGAGTGATATCTGGCTCGGCGAGCTGCCGAACCGATACAAGGCGGGCAATCGGTCCATGATGTTTATGGACATGATGGCGGGTTACCATCATTTCCTGCGTTCCGGCGTCTATATCGCGCTGACTGGGAGGGTCGCGCTAGCAATCGTGCTTTCGGTCTTCTTTTACAAGCGTACAAAGCGGCTCAGTGGGTAAGGAGCATCAGTGATGAACATATGATGCCCTAAGGATGTCTGGATGCGAATTCGATAAATACATGTATGTAGTAGGTATAGACGGAATCTAGTTCTGGTATATTGAACGACTCGTTACCCGCCCAGACGCCAAAGCCCGACCCCGTTCATAAATCGCTATACATCCCCAGGGCCTGATCATCTTCGCCTCCAAACACATCGTACAACCGATCCAGTCCGGCAAAATGCTGCGCAATTCGCATTCCACGCAACCGCCGCTCCTCGATCTTCTCCCACGTCCACTCCCCCGCCTCCTGACTAAACGGAAACAGACTCTCCTCCAACATATCCGCATCCGTCGGCGCGGACGTCGGCGCGCCATCCAGCTCCGCCGGCGTCGTCGTCTCTGTCGCCAGCGCGCCGGGCGTCAGCAGTTGCCGGTTCGCGAGCGTCGGCAGCTGGTTCGCAGGCGGCGCGGTGGGAGGTTTCGGCGGCAGGAGATCGGAGCGCTGCAGCACCAGTTCGGGGGGGACGGTCAATCGGCCCTTCTTGACCACATACTTGGCGATGGAGCTCGCGTAGATCGTCTTCTTCAACTTTGCCCGGTGCGCGTCCCGCTCCGCCGGCGACATCTCCTCCCGTCGCTTCCGCGCCGCGCCCCCGCTTTTGGGGACGCGCCGGTTCCGCCACGGCTGGAAGATCCACCCGCCCTGGTCGGCGATCTCTTCCGACCATGCGCCGGCTTTCACGAAGTGCGAGACGATGTACAGCCATTTCCGGTCCCAGCTCACTAGCCGCGTCCAGATCTCCACGCGCGCGAGCGGCGGGATCTCCCGGTGGAAGAGGCACGCGACTCCACCCATGGCCATGTTGAAATTGCCCGCTGGGATCTCCTTGGGCGTCTCCGGTGGGGTCGTGTGCATCGACGGCGTGTCCGCTCCATTGATCGCGGCCCCGTTCAACTTGGTGTCGCCGGGGACGTCATCGACGGCCTTCTCGGGGAGGCCTTGGTCGCGACGCTGCCGGTTGTGTTCCCGAATCTCGCGGTGGTACGTGCTCAGGCCGCGGATGCTCTTGCGCATTAAAGCGATTGCTAGGTGGGTGCGGGCGATGTCGAGGTCGGTGAAGTAGGTGCTGTTGGATTTGTGGATGTTGTAATCGCATTCGGTGAGGGGGGTGCGGGTGGTGCTGATGATGGGCGCGAAGAGGGATCCGGGGGGGGCGTCGGCGGACTGGGCGTATAGTTGGCGGAAAAGCGAGTAGAAGAAGCGGGACTGGAGGAAGAGTTAGTATCGCGAGCTGATATTCGATGAATTCGAGGATCAGATGCTCTTGCACCGGATGGACATACATGCCAGACCCATGGGAGATTCTTAAAATTGACGATGGCGAGGATCAGTGCAATAATGCGCCAGGGGCTTCCGAGGGCTTTCACATTGAGCCATTTCGATATCGTTCCCAATATCGTCGCCCGGGCAGACGGTACAGACAGGACGGCCATGATCGCGATCAAGAGTCCTGTCACGACGGCCGTCGGAGCGAGAAGACGAGATGCCCGTCGTCGGGCATTTAAATGTGAAGCCATTGTTCCCCACGTCTTGACCGCTGTCACAAGTCACGACGCTACGTACCACAGCACCGTGCAAGGCACCATTCACAAGCTGATCAGCCTGTGTTCCCTTTTGGTGGCCCGGTATTAGTATTCGTTCGATTCGTCCGGGTCACTAAGTCCTTGGTTCGGCTCGTTTGACCCACTCGATCCCTAAAATCGATCGGGAATTCCTCCAATTATGCAAATGTGCACACGGGTTATCAGTATGACTGTATGAGGCACCATCCCCGGCTTTGGGGGAGTTGGCCCCAAGATATTCAATCATTCATCATCTATGACCCGTCGGAAATGGGGGGTAGTGAATAATGGTTTGTTAACCGAAGTGGAGAAGGGGCCGAAACACTTGATACCATCTGACATCGAGACTAATCTCCATCTTGTACGCGGATTAGGGACGGAATGGAACCAAAGCATTTCCACCTGCCCGGTCCGACTTCATGCTCTGGCCTCTGAAGCATGAAGGAATCCCGTATTCGATTATCAGCAGTTGAAACAATCGCGCCGAGGCTACGGAGCCGGATCCCATAGGGAATCCATGCTCCGATGTCAGTCGCATGTGAAGACCGATGTGGACGACGTGCTCCGTATTTTAGTCATATTTATGAAGAATCTCTGTTTCTATGCTAGCTGGTCCTAGGCAAGGATCTATACTACGCGTGTCGCGTATAATACATAGTTAAGGTATTAGCTACCTTGTTAGTTTGATAGAGTTTAAGGTAAGATTGATCTTTGACGTTATGAATGTGGGTTGATCGGAGGTTGTTTTTGCGACAGACCAATCCACTCTAACAGTGATGGAACCACCTTGCGGTTGATACTTGATTTTCTCGACCTGTTGCTAGCCAAATCGTCCAAGTCCACAAGACTTCATCATCCAGGCGAAAGGTTGATTCAAGGTGTCCGCTCCTAGGACTGAGTCTGTTCCTCACTCATCCATCCACCCCACCTTTTCCCTCTGCCTTCTTTCCCCCGCTGGTCACGATCACCACACCAACTCTTGCAGCCAGTGCTTCACGGATTGCGCAGGCTAGACATGTCGAATGGGTGTTTGCTACCACAGCATGCGCGCCGACGGATGCACACCACGCGCGGGCGAACACCTCGTTGTCTGATACGCCGAGGGCTTCGATGACGGTCACAGGTGCGGTCGACGTCACCGGCTGCGATGCAGTCCGTGCGTATGGGTCGGAGTGAGTGCGTCGATGAGGCGGAGAGTGACCGAGCGTGAGGGTGGGCATGTCGTGCGGTTGGAGATCCCAGGACGCGGCCGATGGATGCTTGTCGAGAGTAAGCAAGTCGCCGTCTGGCTTGATTGCGCGGTAGGCGTAGCTTCGTAAAAGAGCTGGATCGGACAATATATCAGTATAGTAATAGATTGGTAAGACTCGAAGAACACTCACGATGGGGACCTCCATAGCACGGATACGCCGCGATAAAATCTACATCATACTTTAATTTCAGTGGCCGACTGTTTCCCATGATGGCAAACAAAATCGTCGCATCGAACGTTAACGGTGCATCCGCTCCGAGCTTCGCTCGATTGACATCTTGTTTACGGATCGGTTCAAAGGCCAGCTTCTCCACGCGAATCCCATCGGAGACGTCCTCGAAATCCGGAAGTAACACGTCATAATTTTTGACCGCATAGCCTTCCTGAGATGGTCCCAGAGGGTGCGTGCGTCGCACCATGGAGTCCAAATCCGACGTGGTGAGCCTCCGCTGCAGCTCGGCCGGCACAGGTGCTTGTCGAACCTGCACGCATTCGGTCCGCTTGAGGTCCGGGCTAAAGTTGCACGGGCCGATCCAGCCGGCAATGGTGTTGACACCCCGAAGTGCCCCAAGCACTCTACCCACCACGCACGAGTGGCTCCAGTAGGTGACCGCGCGGTATTGAAACCCGGAAAAGGGCCGCATATGCGTCAGGTACTTCAACGCCTCTCCGGTCGCCCGATCGCAGTCAATGAGGCTGTTCATGAGGAGCCAGGGGAGAGTCACCCCGGGGAGGACGACGCCGGTGAACCACGCCATGGCGTCGGCGGACCGATCCTCGACAGGCTTCTCGGCCGTATCGGTTTCCGATAGGATGTATTGCACTTCACCAATGTTGGGCCATTTGAGAACGTTCGCGAAGCGAAGGAGCGCTTCCTTTTGCCGCTTCTTACTGTGGAGTTCGAAGCTAAAGGTGCTTTGGGAGGAAGAAATCTGTTCGCGTTTGATCCCGACGTTTTCCAGCCAGCGTTGGGCAACGGCAAGATCCCACGCGATCTTAGGGGGAAGCTGCATCAGAAGCTGGCGCTTGGATTTGTCTGTATGTCCCTGAGTGTGGATACGAAGATAAAGCTCCGAGGAGAGGAGCAGTTGATGAAAAAAGTGGTGTTTCCGAACTGGATCCATGCTATCAAAAAACTTTGCAACGACTTGATTCTTCAGTTGGCTGTAATCAACCCAGTCGACGTGACTCAGGATCGTAATCAAGTCAATGATCTGCGTGTGCATGTCTTTGTGCGGTTCGGACCGCTTGTCTGGATCGTGAATCAATGTCCCGTAGAGATATGAGTATAACTTCTCCGGATCCTGCCCCTCTAGTTAGAGCGGGAAATGAGTTCACGGAGAAGTTGAACTGACCTCCTCCAACCCAAGCTCTAGCTTTGTTAGCCGGTCCAAGATCGAAATCAGTTTCATTTTCTTCGGCTTGACTGGTCCCTGCACTTTCACAGTCGGATTCGTGCAACCATAGCCGCTAACATAGTAGTTTAAGGTCGTGGTTCCCGGGTACTTCCCGAAACAATATGTCATACATGGCTGCTCGAGGGACATCCAGGGGAAAGCACTATCATCCGGCCCGGTCACCGTCAAAGAGATATCTCTGAAAGCGTCCGCATTCGTTTCGGCGCGGTCAGTTCGCTGGTAGTGCTCCGACTCCATGACAGCAAAGAACCGGCGGCTTCCCGGTGGTGCGTTCGGAATCTCGTCATAGTACCCCTTGAATGTGGAGGCCCCATTGCAAATGAGATCATCGGCATCTCGAGGAGACAGTATTGAGTCGTAGCCATAGCCAGGGGGTGGCCATGAGCCCGCCAAGACCTCCTGAGGTGGTGGAGTGGGTGGACGGGAAGCGGGACCAAGACGGGTGGGTGGACTCAGCGGAAGCGAGCTTCGGCGGGGTGATGCCAGAACGTTGCGGTAATCTCGACCGCTCGAAGACGGTCGAGACGCGGTTGTTGTAGGGTAACCATCATAATCGACGGCTCCATGGGGGATAGGAGTGGTAAATGATCGGTAAATATGGTTGGACTGCTCCATGATAGGCGACCATTAGAAAAGTCCTGTTGTTGTTTTGAATCGCATTGAGGGCGGAAACAAGCACAGGATAAACGCAAGAAGAGATGCACAGTTCACAACAACGGCCCAACCCCACCTTGACTTTGACACATGCTACTGTATGACTGAAATTCACCTACCGCAAGAGGTCCGGGTGGCTGAACATATCGCACTGGATGAGGGACCCAACGCGGATCAAAATCGCGTCGAGGACGCCAAAGTCCAAGATCGCCGCTCATGTCCTTGAAAACGCATGCCTCAGATGTTCCCAAATCAGGCCAACCTATTCTGTCCCGGGCATATCATGGGATTACTCCACAGCTCCTCTCCAGAGGAAGTCGCGGAGATTATGAAGTCGTGAGATATCAGATCGTGGAGTGTAGAAAGCCCCCGCTTTGGATGGCGTTCTGGACGTGGAGAGAGCCGGTGTGCGTCACCAAATCTGGATAATTCAGGTCAGTAACCAGCTGAGCCTATAACATTTGTAAATGGCGTTTCAGTGTTTAACTGAGCCTAAAACTGGAAATGAAGTGAACCATCTGTATTGTTTGAGGTTGTTGCGATGCTTTATTCCAGGCTACAGTGGGGTACAAACCCAAAATCGGCTTTACAGCCTGAGGCACCCAATTCATTGTTTACGTTCAATTCTTGGCAGTATGTGCTGTCAACAACTCAATTAACTGTTCTCGAAGTAGAGAACCTAGAGGGCCCCCCAGTACCGGCCGTCTCGGCCACGTGGATTTGGATAGGGTGAATGAGATCAGAGCATATTCAACGACACCATACATGATACAATGTAGATTAGTCAGCTAGTTCCCCACATGGGCCGACCGAAGCTGGCCCGACGGGCGCAGGAATCAATCAATCAATCAATCAACAACTCAATTAACTAAACGAACTAAGGTCAGAACAGAAGAGAAGAGTAGGATACACTGGTGGTCCCCTCTCCTGGGATTTACCATCACATATTTGTATGGTAGACACATGGAATTTTCATAATGGTTGTATTGCTCAGTATTGAGTTCCACCCAATCCAATCACCCTAGGTATCATATATGGGCATGAAAATATGCTAGAATGCTATCCAAATGAACCCCCCGATAAAGGGGCTCATACCGTAGGCGCAAATGGCCCCGCGTTCCCATGCATTCGTGATCGCGTCTCGTATGTCCTTTGCCGCCGCATCATGTGGCGTCATGCTACTCGTTCCTTGCCATCTCAGGCAGATTCTCTCCCGACATAACTGTGATAGTGCAAGTGGCGTGCCGGTGGCAAGGACCAAGGCATTACGAAGCCGTATGGTAGATATACCATGCTGCTAACAACCCGGAATCGATATTTCCTTCATTTACTTGATCTTTCTCGGCCCGAATCATGAGGTTGCTGCTGGCCGACTGAAATGGATGATCCCGTTTCGCTCGAAGCACTCAACCCTTCCAGGACGTAGCCGTCCGCCCGATCCACCAAGCTGCGGTAATAATCCACGAGGACTTCGGGTTTGGGTACGATCTTCCAGTCCAACCGCTCCAAGAGGTCCAGCTCAAGCAAAGCAAGCTCCTTAATGCTCACGCCTCCCACCCGGGCGTACGTGCTGTTGGTCCAGAACGTGTCGGACAGACCTTTGGATGCAACGGTGGCCGCAGTGATGAGAAATCGGTGGACCGTGAGTGAGGAGATGGTGAAGCCGGGAAAGAGGGAGCAAAGGCGGTCGATGTAGTAGACCATGGCGAGAACCAGAGGAGGCGAAAGGGTGGCGTGGATGATTAGGCGAAACAGGTAGTCGGAGACGGATATGCCAGGAGGTGCTCTAAAACATCCGTCAGTTCTGCGCTCAACCAAACCTCGCGTTGTGAGAGCCGGTCGAACATAGGCAACCATGAACTCACCGTGAATGAAACCTTGTCAACATGCCATCCTTCAAGGGGATGGAGTCATTCAGTCTGACCAGTTCCATCAACATCTCCGCCACGAGCTTCCCCAGGTCTTGCATGGACGCAGTTTCGTACCGGCGAGGCATCGTCTTGGCGTCTTGCGCTGCCGGTCGGGCTCGTTTCGATTCGGGGACATCTTGATCTTCCGGATCCTCGAATGTACTCGTCGATGCTTGCAATGTCCTTGCTGGTGTTTCCACGGGGACTCCTGCAACAACACGAGGATCGGATTCCACCACATGCCCCGGTGGCCGTTCACCAGACCGTGGCTGTTCATTCTCACTGCTGTTTGTGAGCCCGGTACCAATACCCTGCGGCGCCTCTGACGGGCTGGCCCGCGAGGGTGGCACCTTTGGCAGATCCGTGGTGATGGATCCTCGACTGCTATGCGAGGATTGCTCTTCCTCTCGAGATATATCGTCCTTTCGGCGCTTCCCCGTGGTTGATGTCCTGCTCACAGCGCTGCTGGACCTATGGGGAGGCGGAATTACGGAAGGGATAGAGGCGCTAGGACTGGGATCGGCCGCTGTAGCCGTAGAGCGAATTGGGACTTGAGATGTGGAAATGGGTTCAGTGGCTGGAAGTGAGCGCCTATGGGCGGTTGGGGGGAGTCCTTCGGGGGTGTATTGCGTTCCTACGTCGACCCTTGAGCCTGGATCAGAAGTGCGGGTGGTATTAGATATATGGGTTTGAAGTCGCGGAGACGTGGTGCTCGTGATGGGTATGGAGTCCCGAGAAAGCAATGTAGGAGAGTCGTTTGTCCACACACGGGGTGAGTATGGGGAGGATGTATCGGTTTGCGTAGTGCGGTAAGAGTTTCTGCTAGAATTACGGCGAAGGGTGGTGGGTGGGTGGGGTGGATGGGTTGGCGATGGACTGGACGTTAGCATCCTGGGAAGGCGCGGTATAAATTTTTCGAGGCACGCCTAAGAGGATGCCAGTCGTCGATCGGTAAGGTTGCGGTTTCTGCTGGTATAACTCCGGCTTCCGTGGCAAGTGAAAAGAGTGAATATGATAGTATTCCGCAGGAACGAGAGTCTTGCTAGGCTAAGGAACCAATGCCGCTCGGTAATGCCGTATCTTCCTGTCCCTCCGCAGTCTGAAAGCCGTTAAAGATCAACCAGAGCGCCTGCGTGTCGGCGGGCATAGTATATCGGCAGGAAGGAGGAGGGTATGGAGGAGAAGATTGGCGTTTGCAGCGTGGTCGCAGACGACGATGCGCGGAGTCGTGAAGACTGATGCAGTATATTCTAGAGAGTTGAACAAGCGAGAAGAGGCAGCGAGGTCACTATCAGATAGGACTGGATATAGATATAGATCGTTTGAATACCCTTGCCCCCAGAAGGGTATCGAGAGAGCAGGCATGAACAATGGGACGCGGTGGTACAGTGGAAGGAGGGGAAGGTCAGGCTGAGAAAAGGTGGAGGTGAAGGTGGTGGTGGTGGTTATGGAGACTTGGTCAGGGAAAATCGCGACATGGCAATTGAGATTTCCGGCCTTTGTTGGTCGATCCGAGCCACAAGGCCGCAGCACGGCAATGGATTGGTTCAATCTTCAATCGTCATACTTAGCTAATCCCCTTGGCTCCCTTTCCATTCCCTTGGATTCACAGAATGGTTCCCATGCAATGGCTCCTCTCATATCGGCTATCCGAATTCTGGTATCGTGGCAGTGCATCAGTCACCCATCGGACTTCCGCTATTACTATTCACTAGTGTACATACCCATATCTCCGGAGTACGGACAGGTCTGATAATGCTGATCATCACGACTCTATTGATTAATGTACTATACTAGGTAGACTTGGCTGGAGAAGAAATAAGAACCCAGATCGATTGCCGGAGACTTTCAAGTTTTGCTTATGCATATAAATTCTTATTTCCAAGGAATCTATGTACTACGGATCGACAGAACTGCAGCCCTTATCGATCTTGAATCGGCACTATATACAGGAACCAGGAATGTGTGGAGCAACCAGATCCGTGTATTGTCACCTCCTCAGCTGCCAAAGACAAAGAAAGAAGTAAGGACCTGTCGCCAATCTGTATTACCACAATAGGAAGCCAATCCATATTAACGCCCCAAAGAAAGTTGCGAATCGAATCAGTTGAAAGCAATCGCATACACAAGGACTTGCCCGCAGACACAACACCCCTAAGACAGGTCGCCAATACCAAGGCTGAGGGATTCCGACTTTCCGGTACAATCGTCGGGTGGCTGCCACACCCACGTTTAGCTCTGACTCACTTCGGGTATATATGGTACAACTGAGGGCCAATGTTCTTTGTCCGCAGCAGCAACAAACGGCGCATGCGACAGGCGCTTATCTTTCGTCAAATCACAAATCTCGAAGGGTTGCGCGCTGGCTGACCCAGTCTTTTCGCCTCGAATAGAGCCATTCCGATCCAAAACTCCGGTCGCTATCCAAAAGCATTCAATCGTCTATTTCGATCTCCGGCCACCTCTTACGGTTGGTTAGGATTCTGGGGCACTGGCGCATACATCTCGTGCACTGCCGAGGCCGGTTCATTGGGTGGGTCTCGCGTCGGCTTATTATCCCTATGGGTGGAGAAGAGAATGTTAGTTTGGCTCGTTCCTGGAGTAGAGCGATATGGACTTACTGTCCCGACACTGGGTTTTGGTAGACACCTCCGAAGTCCGCGAAGGTATCCCGATGGCTGTTTCGTGGGCTCCCTACATCTGCCTCCTGCATGTAGCCAGGAGGAGGTGGAGAACTCACCCCGCTGTGGCGGAGTGAGTCCGCTTGGATGGGGACGAAGATGGTCCCGCCAGACTGGAACGCCTGCGGCTCCGCTACACCACCGGGAGGGTGATATGTCGGATTGACGGTCGCAGAGCTCCGTGTCAGGGTATCTCGGAGAGATTTATTCCGGGCGACCAGCCACCAAAGCAACACTACGAGGACTACGGCCATAACGGAGCCTATAACGATGCCCGCAATGGCGCCACCTGAGAGTTTACTACCACCCGATGATCCAGAGCCGTTCGCGCCCGACGCGGAAGTCGATCCTGGACCCGCACTTCCAGTCGAAGTCGGTCCGCTCTCGGGTGGGAACGGCTCCCCTGGTTGAAGCATATATGCTGCCTGTGCCGCTTCGTTCTTTTGAGTTCCCAAGACATCCGGAGAGTTCGGATTGATGACCCCAACCATCTGATAGTTAATACAGGACCCAGGTGCCGTGCAATAGAAGAAAATCGGTTCGGTATCGTTGATTTGGATCGAATATTCCGGTGGCTATCACGTATTAGCTGACGCACGGTGGATTCAGAAAGACGGACTTACACTGGACAAGATCTTGTCAACCGGGCGGAAACCGGAAAAGAACATTCCGTTTTCGTCATCGTGGAACTTCTCCCACCCAACGCATGGGTGGTTATATCTACAACGCGTCAATGGTGATGCCATGGGCAATCGACGGGAAGACTCACTCCGCTCGAGCAACCGAGTGATTGGCCGGGAAGAACTGAAACAAAACAGTATCGCCGGCGGCTGCTTCGATGGAATCCGGCGTGAACTTGTGGTCGGCCTTGCCAACACTAATGATGTGAGTCGCCTTTCCCGGATTCGCGCTTCCGGTGCGTGACGCTGTGTTTGATGAAGATTGACGGGAAGCCGAAGTAGCGGAAGGCTTTCCAGTAACGAAATTCACCGTTGAACCCGTTGGAATTGCGTTATCGTTCGGTGCTTGTGGCATAGCCAAGACGACTGAGCCGACTGTTGCAAAGCCCCCGAGAAGCTGAGGGAAAGATAGAAACTTCATGGCGACTCCAAAACGAAGGAAATGGTAATAGATCGGACGGATTGAAGATAGTGCTTCGTATACTATAACATTGCTCGACAAATAGACAGATGAAAAGTTGAGGAGTGATTATTGTCGAAGGTGTTAAGATCAGGACAGAAGAAACCAACACGTTCTCCTCAAAGTAAGCAGCTGTGGGGGCTGGGGATACAAAAGAATAAAATCGGCACCCCGAGGACTGGCATCAGCGGGTCGGGAAACATGGCGTTATCTACTTGCAGCGGCCAGCGAGGCGATGCCCCCCTGTCATCCATGGCTGAGGCTGGCCGATGAAAAGGCTCCAAGCCTGAAGTCAAGCCATGATCCATCAGTGCTGGGCCAAGGAGCATCGTGGGATTTTTGAACGGGTCCGAGCCGTGAGCAGTCAAGGGTGAATGGATGATGGCCGGGACCTGGGTACATGTACTAATAGAGTCTAATACCAAGTACGGAATATGGTGTCCATTATGGAGCGAGAAATATTACTACGTATGCACTGCGCTGTTAAAACTTAAAAGTCTCTTCTGTATTAGTTTCATTCCGTCACATTATACTACATAGTACTTACCTGCACCTGTAAAGAAGATCCTATCCCGATCCCGTAGGTGAGTAATGAATTCAGCGCTGTCCCAGCTCCAGAGAGTCCAGAGTCGAGAGATCTGCATAGAGACAAGGATACACCCCAACCCTTCCACCGACGGCAGGACTCAGGCATGTGTATCCCGTACAGTTTGGTGCCAGAAGTCTTGAGGACTTGAGCCTTATGCATCATACTATGTCGTAATTGCATCCATTTGTAAGGGAATGTGGCCGATCCCGTCGAAGGTTGCTAGCCTTGCTGCAATCAAACTGCAAACGGACATGGCAATTCATCTGCTCATGCAGGTGGGTTGCCCTTACTGAGCAGAACATCAAATCACGGCCGGGGAAGAAATTGGTGGCTTCGTGAAGGGCTTCGTTGCTGTTGCGGGATTGTTGGAGGTTGAAACCCATTGGGAGAGGGAAAGTCAACTTCTGATGTTTTCGCCTTTCGGTACTTGAACGAGGCTAAAAACCCTAAAAATATGCTGACGGCCCAGCTCTTCTGCTAATTGCTGACGGATGCAGCCGGCCTTGTCCAATCTTCCATGTCGATCGGTCCAGCGGTCAAATCAGACATGCCTGAAGCCAATAATGCCATGCCTTCCCCATGGATACCTTTCTAGCTCTCACGGTCGCTGAATGCTAAGACTTGGGAGCTGAAGCCAAGCGTGAGTGTTTAATTCAAAGTTCCTTGATGTCAGCAATGCCACTCAGCACCAATTTATGCCACCATACCCCCTGGCAAGTGACAACTGAGGAAGATTCGACCTTTTGTCTGCGATCATTTCTCATTATGGTATTGAGACATTACTCATTAGCCATTTGGTATATAGGTCTAGCAATTAATCCCAAGGGTGAAAGTTATGCTTGTAGAAATCCGAATCGTCCCTCTGAGCTCAGCACTAATAGATGCTCTATCTAATACACCCTGGCGGGGACCCCGAGCTCCGCCCCTAGAGGGCTGGAACCCGCCGTCCATGAGTCCATCAGTCTATGGATTCAATTTTCAATTCCCACTCCAGAGTGGAGCGATCAGCAGTGTAACTGTATGAACTGTGAACTGTGAGGCGGGAAGCCACTGTGAGCTGTGTGACATCGTGCTATCGCTAAGAAGTACGAAGTAAGCAGCCGTGGATCTCGGGAACCGATTTCTGGAAATAAGCCAGAAATAAGTACGGAAACTAGGGTTCTTGCATAACAGGATCCGCTGCTCGCCATGCGGTTCTACCAGCCACCCGACGCAACGGAAAATAATGGTAGAAATATTCTGTACGAGGCCTCGCTAAGATATCGATTGGGTAGGCTTAGAGGACCTGCTCGGCATCCTTGCAACATACAGAATTTATATATTCCGGGCTCTAGCATCTACAGTAGTACCTAACGTGAAGTCACCGCCTCCAAAGAATCCCGCGCCGCCGACTCCTCTAGACCCTCAAACATCATCGCCTCCTTACTAACCGAAGGGTACAACTTCTACCCACCAATTCTAAGCTGCTTCTAGTTCCAAACTACTTTCATAGCATATAAAGCTTGAGACTTGGGAGGATACCGTTTTCCTTTGTTGGCCGGGAACAGAACGGGATATAAGGTGTAGTGAATGCTGCGAATAAACTCAAACATAGGTCACTGAGACTTAATATGGCGGCAAGCAGAGCAGGCCATGCCCGTAAATGAGACATCTCGTAGTAGCAGCCCCTCTGGCATTTCATGACCAGCTTCACACGCGGACTGCATCCCCATGAGTATTGAATCGATACGGTAAGAAGAGTGAAGACAGACAGTGCAAGGGTATCATTGACTGAAAGGCAAACGTTTGATCAGTCAATCCGTTTTCCTCATATCCTCCGGACCCGGTTCACACCAGTACGCCATGATGAAAACCGTAAATACTCCTGAAATCGCCAATATCGCCATGCAATTCCCGATTGCTGTCGTTCCCATAGAACACATTTTACACCATCCGGTCACGTCATTGCTCATTCCTTCATAGGATCGCGTCCAGGATCGTTTCCCTCAGTTGCTCGATCTTGGTGATCGACTTCTTCAATTCCACGTATCTCTCTTTCCAAACCTTCTCATCAACCTCATGATCTTGACCACTGCCGCCGTTCAAAGCTGCATCCGTATCCTCCGCTTGGGATAGAACGAGATCGCGCATACCGAACTCCCCGTCCGCGCAGCCCATCGTCGCTCTCCACGATACGTCCCAAATCTCTCGGACTTCTCGGGGAGGAATCATGGCATATTCTTCTTCGTCGTCGATCGGGCTCTCGAAGCCGTCATCATCGAACCGGAATCGTCGGACCTCCACTCGTTTCAGTGCAGCTCCCGAGTTTGGAAAGGTCACTCCGGCGCCATCAAATCGGGCCGTGGACAGATCAAATTTATCGCTGAGACCAAGCCATGATGCCGCCCGAATTACATCGGTACGCTGAACAGACTCCCCGTTGTCGGGGCCATCTTCGCGGAGGGTACGTTGGATGCCCATTTTACTCAACATCTCCTCCGCAAGTGCTTTCGCTTCCGTGCTCTTCAATCGCTTCCTCCCGTTGCTCAGGCCCGACACGACGGCACGAAGAAGATCGGCCGAAAGGGCGCGTAACAGCAGACGTCGACAATTGACCACCTGCGGTTCCCGTGCGTCGGCCTCGGACCCGGTTGCACGAGAAGGGGGGTCGAGAGATATGTCCCGCGCATCACCCGCGGCAGGGATGCTGCCGGGTGTGATTCCATTGTTCGATTTGCTACTCGTCTCTCCGTTCAATATAACTGCGGGTGCCACAAGATGAACCGGCCCACCGGTATGTTTGGGGACCTGAAGCTGCAGTCGTTCACGCGGACGTTCGGAACGCGTCGTGGGTGTCGCATTGGCCGAATTTTCCGCCACTGCCGACTGTGGTGTTGGGTCCGGATCCGGACTAACGAAAGTATTATCCCCCAGAGCATCGGTAGATTTCGAAGATCGATCGGGTACGGTAAACGTATTTCGGACTTGTTCGGCCGGCGAACTCTCTCTCTGCCTCGGGTTCGCAGGGAAAGTACCAAACTGACCATTTTGCACGGCACGATTCGGAGGCCGACCCCTAAACCTCCCATTTGCCCCGGATCCCGTCGACCAGGCGGAGGAGACATTGGGATGGTGGGCTCTCTTTGGGCGCCGTTTCATGGACGGGGTCATGGCAGATCGGGGTTCTTCGAAATCTGGCTGTGGAACGGGTGGATCCATGGCAGACATAGGATGAGGCGTTATTGCGTCCTGCGCGTTGACCCGCCATTTGTAGGTTTGTGTGACAGATGCAGCCGACTGCGATGTCGGTGCGGGAAGCAGATGAGCAGGAACCAGGGCGGATCCAGGACCCCACGGATTGGCACTATTGATATATCCATCATCCGGGTGCGCGCTGAATGGAATAGCACTCGTTGGAAAATCGGCCTGGTCAAATGCGGTTGAATTCTGGAAGTCTAACGAGGTATCCAAATGGACCCGCTTCGGTGGTGGTGCGGATAACTTTTCGGCATCATCATCATGTTCACCAATTTTTCTCCTTCCTTTCTTCGGTCTCAGTCGGGGATCGAGAGCTCGCAGTGCCGTGTCATCCTCTAAAGGAACCCCATCCCGAGACTCCGGGAGGGACTCATTCGCGGGGGGGAGTTTGGTGAAATATTCATGCGGCTTCCCATGTAGATATCCGAAGAATGCATCCACATGCAATGCACGCATCCACCGTTTCAAACGGACCGAATATTGTTGAACTTTTTGTGAACTCTGTCCTTCTTTCGGCTTCTCCACACCCAACTCTTGCACCAGCTCCGTCCATGTCTTGATGTCCTTTCGATCCAATTTCCCAATCAATTCGAATAACGTCCACGTATTAAAGGCCTTGCCCTCATTCTCCGGAAGTTTTCGAAACCGCTCCCTTAACATGGACGTATCGGTAGAGAGGGGAAAGGAAGGGTTGCAGTAGAAGATGAACCCGACAAAAGCGTCTTCAATGCTGTTCTCGGTGACGCCTCGGGAAGGTAGCGATCGATCACTTGGTCTGAATAATGGAGATGGAATCTTCGGACGGTTCGGCGACAACATCGCGCTCGAGTACTGCGGGGGCGTTGACAAGGGTGGGGTCCTCGGAGGGCCGATGGAGACCTCGTTGAAAAAAGGTTGTGGCATAAGGTGAGGATCGATACTCACGCTTGAATCCGACAGGAAATGCGGAGATGAGGACGGTCTCATCTGTCTCCCTGCCGCTCCCATCTGGTCAAGTTCCAGTCTATGTTCGTCCGGAGGAATGCCATGATGTCGAAATTGCGGTTGAACATAGTTTTGAGAACTCCCAGTCGACGCACCATTATGGAAATGGGTTTGGTGCTGCGAGATTCGAATGGTATGATCTGCGTTGACTGAGTCGCTGAAATCCATAGAGACTTTCCGGCGCGAGAGATGCGTAATGTAGCAGCGTCCAGTTCGGCATCGAAAGGCAACGCTGGTTTGGAACTTAAGATTTAAACCTTCAATAGGCTGACAAAGGCCTTAGGTTATAATGGATCTATTCAAGTTGTATAATCATCTCGACTTCTTGAACGAGTTTGTAAGTGCGCGCAGATACCGGACGGAAGAGAACTGGGTGCCCAATATAAGCCAAGGATACATAGCATCCAGGTTCACGAACGATGTAGTCGGATGATTATACAGTAAGGTGGAATGATGCGGTAATAACAACGCTGGACTTTATGAATATGACTAGGACTGAACTCGATGAAGTCCCCAGCCAGGCGTCTGGAGTTGCCTTCGGAGTTTAGAATTCAGATGAAGCAGAGGTGTCGTCAGGAACTCAGGTCGGTCTGAGTTCTGACGGTCTGAGGTCAGGGCCGGGGGTCCGGGGAAGCACCAGCCATATCGCAGGGGTCGATGTGGCGCCGATGGGGCTAGTGCTTCTATTCTTAGAATCGTCTGTCTGACCCTTTCGTTCTATGCATGATGAAGTTAAGAGTCTTCAAACTGTTTACGGAGTACTATCATTTCCATTTCGACGCGGGGATAGCACGCGAAGAAACCGCGTGAATGTCACACCACTATTGGAAGGACCAGTGGCGAGGGTGTGTTGTTCCATTGAGCTATCGTCTAGACACCAGATACAATGGAAACCATCCTCCGCTATCCATGCCCTGACTCCTGCATTCCACTAGAAAGTCGGCCGAGTGTGGTTTGTGGTTTTCGGATAGGTCTAGGGATAAATAATAACACCGGTAAGTCTATAATAGTACAGGTATATTCCAGAATTCATTCTGTTTCTTTCTTTGAGTTGCCTCTTGAATCGTTGGGCAACCGTACCAAGTTTTAACAAAACGGTCATGCATCGTACAACCAATCGTCCGGCATTATTTTTGAGGATTTTACCAGTCTCTACTATAATGGTTCGGTATAAGACAAATTTATCCATTCGTTTTCCTCAGTTCATCGTCTTTCATATCCCCCATCAAATCGCTTAAACGCCGATGTTGGTCGGATCGCGCTTTCTTCTGTTATAGGACGGCATGTTACTTCTAGATACACATCATCCGAGTATCTCTTCGTCAGCATCATGGCCCCAATTTCGCGACTGATGCCATCAGTTCTAGTTGCTGCTTGGCAAGCCACAGGATCTCAATCCATACGATCAACGGCACTCAACCACCGCTCAATCTTACTGGCCACCACTTGAACGAATCTGCAATTACCGCAGAGAGTTCAATGGTTGCGAAGGCTATCAACAATGACAATGATACTCCCCTCACTCGGCTTCATCATCTGGACGCTTTGACTCTTCAGGGAATCGCTAATCCAATCAACCCGAACAGAAGACCTGAAAATTCCCACATGAACACCGCAAACGACGAAAGGGTAAGGAATCCTTTGAACCCTACGATACCATTGAACCATCGATGGCGGACTTCACATGCGGATGGAGAAGTTTCTGGGGCGAAGAAGTTCGGACTCAGACAGGGCGATTGTCTCAGCAGCGAGATCACCACCGAAGAAACCGAGAAGGCCATCGAATACTACTGCAAAAAAGGTATCAAGGTAACCGGAAATGACCAAAACTGGTCCGAAAGGTCGCGAGCGAGGCTTCAAGCACGGCAATATTTTCCTCACGGGCGGAGCGTTCATGCATATATCGCAAGCATTCTGATGGACTCGGGAACCGATTACTACGTGGATCAGGAGACGTGCGAAACCCAATTCGGGAAATTGGTCGATAGGTGTGCGGGACAAGGGCATGGAGTTGGCATGATGCGGCAGTGGCTTCCCGCCGAGGAAGGCCGGTGGATAGGGTTCGGTATCAAAGCGAAGGTCGACGGCATGCCGTGGCATCGAAACCATGAGTATTCCAAGTATGTGAAACCTGGGATGTCGCGTGAGCCGGGTCTAGAAGTGCAGTGGATGGGATCGGACTAGAGATGATCACTTGCAATTCGGTTGACATGTATTTATTCCACCATGTCCTGTATCTACATGACTGTTGTCTCAGCGCCCCAATCAGTTTTGAAACATTCCAAACCTTGACACTGAACTTATTCCATCCGCTTTGAACCAATTTCGGTATTTCACCCGGTGCCGGCCTATTGCACTAGCCTCCGGGATCTTACTTCGGTTTCACGTCCTCAATATTTTCGTGACGGTTTTCGCAGGCCATGCTTTTTTATGCCGACATGCTCCGACTTCTATTCCTCACGTCGAGTTTATATGACCAAAGAGGCGAATGAGCGAATGGGATGTTGAATGACGAGGGACAGCCTAGTGCCGAGGTTACAGCCAAGGCCGAGATTAGATGCTGCAACTCGCCCTGGATGTCTGGTGAGCTCATCGGGCTCATTACGCTTGAATGTTTTAATAATGGGATTTTATCGCATTCATTCCTCGTGGAACATCTTGGAAATTTGATCTATCATCTCCTTTCTCCCCCGTGTCTACCATATTTCATTTTCTTTCCCTTCGCTCATTTTCTCCATTGAACCTCAGGATTTGTTGAATCTCCACCGTGATACCCCTCCGAAATACCGCACCCTACCAGCCTGATCCCCTGACGTACATCGGCAACCATGTCGAACGTAAACAACGAGAAGAGGACCAACCTGCCAGTTGCGACGCCGAGTACGGCAGCACAACAGAGCGACAATGTTGCTCACGCCCTCGCCGGCGCTGGGGGAGGACTTCTCTCCATGGCCTTGACGTATGTGCCTTCCCGTCAAACCAGCATGTGAAATCCGCCGTATGACCGAATGGTCGCCTGATGCGCGGAACGAGAACAACCACAACTTTCATCCGGATTCCTCTCAACTACCCGAACATGAACCCGATAAAGCATACAGATTCCTCCGGAATACGAGTACCGCGCTAACCAGCCTTCGCCTTTCAGATATCCTCTCATCACGCTCTCCACCCGCGCCCAAGTCGAGTCGAAACGTGCACAAACCGGTACTTTAGACGCTGCGAAGCGCATCGTCCAAAGAGAAGGCCTTGCAGGTCTCTACGCTGGTCTTGATAGCGCCCTGTTTGGAATTAGCGTCACCAACTTCGTGTACTACTACTGTCAGTGCCTCCACCCTCCGCCCGTCGAATGCGCGACTTTCTAACGTTTCGCTATACGCAGGGTACGAATGGACTCGGTCAACTTTCGAGGCTGCTGCCGAAAAGGCTGGCCGGAGCAAAAAGCTTACCACGGTCGAAACCATGATCGCTGGAGCGGTCGCTGGCTCGGCCACCGTGCTCATCACCAACCCCATCTGGGTGGTCAACACCCGGATGACAGCACGCAAGTCCGATGCCGAGGAAGTCCTCCCTGGTGGAGCGGACGGTAAGCCCAAGAGGAAGCCGGGCACCCTCGCGACGTTCGCGGCCATCATCAAGGAAGAAGGATTCAGCAAGCTCTTCGCGGGCGTGCTTCCGGCCTTGGTGCTCGTCATCAACCCGATCCTACAATACACCTTCTTCGAACAGTTGAAGAACACGTTGGAAAAGAAGAGGAGGGTAACACCGACCGACAGCTTCTACCTCGGTGCCCTCGGAAAACTGCTGGCCACCAGCATCACCTACCCTTACATCACGGTCAAGAGCCGAATGCACGTCGCCGGCAAAGACGGCCCGAAGGAAGGCATCTTCAGCAGCCTTAACCGAATCCTGAATGAGGAAGGATGGACCGGACTTTATGGAGGTAGGTGATAATACGGCCTGAGGTTGTTCTGAACTACTGACTGATGCGCTGCAGGCATTGGACCCAAGGTCACCCAGAGCGTGCTCACGGCGGCGCTCCTGTTCGCATTCAAGGATGCTCTGTATAACGTTACCGTCAAAGCCAGGCGATCCATCGCCAAGAAGTAAATCACGAACTTAGTAGGGAAATACGGGACGCTTAGACCGTTCCTCAAGCGGAGCGGCTGATGGATGCGCTACGATACGGCGGAAGGATTAGATGTAAGATGGTGCATTTACATGGAATATCAAGATTATTGACCATCACGGGTGGAGGAGGAAAACGGGACCAAGTCCGCGTACTTGGTGAGGATTTAAGCATCATCACTTGATTGTTCATAAATACCTATATTTCAGCCCCCTGTGAATAGACTTGTACAAGAGAATTAGCCAGCACTCCATTTCATAAACCATATATTCTGTTTTGGTGACGACCCATCCCCGTACTGCAGCCATTTTCACATTTGAGGGTTGTATGGAGACGGGGAGCCATCTAGATTAGAAAAAATCATGGAGATGAAGCATATCCCCTGGGCTTCAAAACTTATTAGTCATATGGTACTTCGACTCCCTCTCTAGATTCTGGGGTTGCACAACAAAGGAAAAATGATATCAATTTCTTAGCCATTGATTAGCTATCTTGGTTGGCAAATTCGATACCTATGACATATGCCTCCAGGGCAGTAGTGAGTAGTTATTGGCATGAATAGAGATCTTAAGTCCACTTTCATTATTTGGGCTATAGCTATGGACTGGAAGTGGTGCATCATGCCCTCCTCAGTCTGTAGTCGGCATGTCAAGACTCAAGGGTATTGGAATTCTGACGAGCGTCAAGCACTTCATCCAAGACAACGAAAGGTTGGAGTAGGGATTGATCTCAACTTCTCAAGCATAGTGGCATAGCAAAGTAGCGAAATAGTTACACGAATTATGCAACTCCAGAGTCCAGAACACAATACTAAGGGCCACAGCATTATCCAGTTACTAGTTTTTCTATCAATGGGAGCAACATAGAGATTTTGGGCGAAGCGAAACCTAGAACCAACAACCATCAAATTTCAGGGGTAGAGAACAGAAGAAGGAAAAGGATCACGTGATTTAAAACAATAGCTCCCAGCTCCTTTCACCTGCCTGCGTGACGGAATCACAGGCTCTGTAATTACCGAGTACATGAATATGTTTTGGCATGGTGAATGATGATTGATTCGACTATCTCTATCCGCTTCGGAGGATGTTGTTCTGCTAATGCTACTGTGCTACCTAAGCTACCGTGTTTCTGTTCCGTAGCATTAATTAATTGTCCACTAGATGCTCATTGAAAAAGAGATACTGCTTCAAATCAACAATAACACACCAAAATTTAATGAAACTCGCTGAGATCACGCTCAAGCTTGGCACGATCAATTCCAAATGAATAAAAAATAAAAATATAACGACACGGGCAGGACTCGAACCTGCGACCCCGAAGGGATATGCTGACTGATCGCTGACTAAGCGCTTCTAGGCATACGCATTAACCGCTCTGCCACCGTGCCATTTGATGAAATAAATTTGAAAATATCGAATAAGTACCAAAAACCAGTCTTGGGGACTGGAGTTAGGGACCGATTATCCGAATATATTGAATGCAATGAATTGTTAGTATTGTGCGCCAACCGCCAAGGCACAAGTAACCCCAGTTCCCCACTGACCATCAGTATTCCCACCTGGCTAAGTAGAAAGCGAAACCTCGATTCATGATCATCCAATCATCACTGCTGTGATGTGGGGGCTGGTCCGCTACTATAGCTCCATGCCTACACTCGCTATACCGACCACCGACTGCCAATATATCACTTCTATTGTTTTGCGTGTGAGAGTCTAGGGGTATGCTTCATACGCATCAAAATTGCCCACTTGGAGCGAATGAACTCCTCCAGCTGTCAATAACTTCGATGCCCGGGAGATATACTCCCTGGCCATCGACTTTCTCACCAAGATTGCCTATCAGGGATTGAAGGGAGTAATGCCACCTCACCTTGGACGCCTTCCTCTGGCCTATACAAACGAGGACTCATATCGACTGAACTGACTAAAACGAAGTATGAAACACTGATTCTGCACGTCCAAGGCTAGAAGGTGTCGGAAGGTGATCTGGGGGTATACTTTAACATCCAGTATCATTCTTTCAGTCATCGCCAGTTACATACCGTACTTCCCAGCCTCATGATCCCATCCAACCACTGTGTCGCAATCACTTTGTCAACGCCAGTTGGCCAATCATCGTACAGGAATGCCTTGATCCCGTGTTGAGTGTCTGGTTTGGGACGTTCGTCGGACTGCAGGTATTCTTTTGGCTTTTTCAGTTCTTACTTTCGTTCACTTTTTCTCCCGCTCTCTTCTTTTCTCATTTTCCACTTCACCGAACATCCTTAGTCTTCGCGCTGTATTGAAATTTACCTTATCCTCAAACAGCTTACGAACAATCTGATATCCATTATGGCATCATCTATTCAAACTGGCATGAAGCAGGACGGTGTTCTATCACCTAATCCAGTGAGCCTCCTTGTTCCCACGAAACGAACCGTTGATTCTCGTTCCCTTCCCTCTCCCCGTATTGTATAGGATGAGTCTAGGTCATAGCGTACCGAGCATGGTGAACCATCAGTGTTCCTCTCACAACGCGTCCGCAGCGACGACCGAGAATTGACCGAAAGGTCCGATGAACGAGTCAACGCACCGGCGGATCATGCGATCGACCGAGGTGGCTTAAGTGCCGCTACATCCCAAAAGACCTGCGTGGTCGATGTGAACGAGATGATATTTCTCGAGCAAGCTGCTCGAAATGGAGACGAAGGTTCAGTCTCAAGGAACTGGGATCCTCTTTGTGAGCCAACAATCTCATCTCAAGTCACTCTACCTGGCATTTGACAGTATATAACAATCAAGAAGACGATCAAGAAGAGTAGATGGAAGATCAGGTGCATGCCGGCCCATTTAACGAAGTTGCTGCACTTCAAACACCAGTGAGCATATCTTCGATGACATCGCACCTTTTGGATGCATGACACCTTTAGATGTCACCTTCGCGCATTTTTGGATGCATTGAAATCTCGGTGAAAAGTGATAATTGAGCCTTACTTTCCAGGGAAGTGGTGGTTCGAGGGCTCGAGTCAAAAAATTGTCTTTCTCTTTCAAGTCTTTTGCCCTCGGCCTCCCTCTCTTAATAAGTCCAACTTTCTTTGACATACTATATATCCTCTTTTATGATTATCAGAACATCCTTATTTTCAATACATCTAACTCGACAGTGGCTTGACCACCTCAATCAGGTGTATTACAACAAATAAATCAAATTTCCTTTTGTCACATTGAAATGACTCAGTCAACTGAAAACGATCACACACCGAATTTTTGGAAAACGTGCCTTGGTGACTAAATGATTAAAACAGCTAGGCCTGCCAAATCGGCGGGAGTAAGCCAAATAAACTCTATCTCTACGAACCCTAACTCAAAGGAACACACAGTCGCTAATGAACATGGTTCTCTCTCAGCCCTCACGGAGACTATACGCAAGAAAAGAATGGTGGCTCTTCCAATACTAACCCTCCGGCCACCCTCCCAACACCGCTCACTGCGTGGGCCACTGGAAAGCGACCAGTTGAGGATGTGGCAGAACAAAGCGACCCCAACGTCCAGCAGTCAAATGCAGAGGTTGTTGAAAAGGTGGTCGTCAGCCTGTTGGACGACAGCGATAACGACGAGGAATTCGCTCCCGAAGATTCCGACCTTGAAAAGGTGGTTATCAGTCTGTTGGACGACAGCTATAACGACAAGGAGTTCGCTCTCGAAGATTCCGATGTTTCGGACTTAGAAGATGACAAAGTCGACCACGAGTCGCCCGAGGAGAACACGACAGCATCAGCCAGCACAGCTCCAGTTACTCCGCCCCCTCCTCCGAATGGCACGACTTCCAGTCAGATCCCGATCGGTTTTTATGACCTTGAGAGCTCCACCTGGACAGGAGTCGAATTCGGCCCGGCTCAGGTTGATATGTCTGACATCACACAAGCCCAAAAAGACATGTCGATAGATCGACTTCGAAACGCATGGCTACTCATATTTTCAACGATCCGGTCTCTTTTAAACGGCACCCGAAGGCTCTATACATTCGACCAAAAACATCCATTCTTACACCGATGGGGCAATTGGTTTCGCCTTATTCCAGTCGATGTCTTCATGCGCGAGACGCTTGGAAGGATTCCGTTGGAAACCCAAGTGGTCCTCGGGAAACCGGATCTTACAGTTCAAGATTTGTAGGACAAGATTGCGCGACGGCCTATCGAAGAGCTCGTGTCCCGCGGCGCCTACCTCGATTTAGTCGAGCCGACTCAAGGCGATCAAGAGATGGGGATCTACGTCGGTGCCGTATGTTCCGACCTTGGTTTTCTGATGCGCTGGTTGGCTTATGCCCGGGCAGCCCGAAAAGGCAAGCCATATAAAGACTGCCCCGGAACTCACGTCAGCTATATCGTCGAGAAGCAGGGCATCCCACATCTGCGCGCGCTCGCGGTGAATGCATCATCCTCATCTTTCGCGCTCTGCACTGAAAGTATGCTGGTAGTGTTTTTCAATACCGTTCGAATCCCCTCCGAAGGGAGATTTTATCTGCCTCTTATTCTAGAGTGGATGATAATCATACAAGGTCGACTGGCCCAGGCATCTCTCGGTCTCCCGCTCCTGAATTGCATTACCCTGAATCTAACCTGGTCCTGGAGGCGGATGAACAGCGATTTCTCTTAGCGTCGCCCAAAGACATGATCTACCACAACTGCTCGTTCGTCATTCTGAAGGACGACAAATATCTGCTCTAGGACTATGACTCGAACAAGTCTGGGATGGGAAGCGATCCTTTATGTAGGAACTGCTGGCAGTACAGGGCGATATCTCTGCATTCGGCATTTGAACGAAGACATAGGGTAAATACCTTCCAATCCCGCGCCCATCGAGCCGAGATTACCACGATGGACGCCGAAAATGATAAGCGATGGAACCTGGCACAAGTGAGGGCCCAGCTGGCGCAAGCTGGGGCATCCTAAATGATGGTATATCCCCCTTTTCACCAGTGTTGCAATTTGAAAGTTTTTGCCGCTTAATGCAAAAATATTCCTAATGAAAGCTTGTACGCTGATGTTAGAGGCTCCAAACAGATTTCCATCTGTCTGTCGATGCTAGAGCTCTGTACAAGTGGGCTTGTGCGTTGATATATTGTGCTAGACTTACCTCTACAGATCCTTGATAGGAAATGCCGCAAACACATCACAAATGTTCTCCTGCCCTGCCACCAATTCCGTCCATGCTCTTGTCTGTATTCAAAAGATACCGCAGTATCAATCAGCGCGCCGATTGGTAAAATGTGTTCTTGGGAAGGGAAGAAATTGATAGCATTTCACCATTGGCGTCCTCCTCCAGCTTCCGTAGCTCGAGCATTGTATCGACGAACAAAGATGAGTTTTCGACGCACTGGGGATATGCTTCGTCGTTCGGATTCATCATTTGCGTCCATCTCGGATGGTGAAAGCCGATCCTATCTACAATCTAAGAGATTGCAAGTTGCATTCAGTTCGGGAGCTCGAAATAGAGTATTCTAAAAATAGACCCGCGAGAGAGAGTCGTGTTACATTTTACTATGAGCATACCCCACAGAGATATATCTGGCCGAGACAGCCGCTCGTTTCCAACCATTCATCAAGTGAAGATTTCTGTGACGGCCGAGCTATCCATGATTCACGTTGTCCGACAATTCCGAAAGCACTTTACAGCAAGCAAGGGGCTATCGTCGATCACAGATGGGTTGTTTCTATTTGACTTTGTCGCAACACTAGCTCTCCTCGATATTGATGAGGCCAAGGGATGTGGTCATATTGCATTAATCTCCGGATCTTCAGTTCCCCTCATTCCAGTCGTGTTATTTGTAGAAACCGTGTAACATCGGGGCTCGTGCAACGGTTCTCTCGATGTGCTATTCGTTCGTCAGCTTCATCATTCCCCGGAAAGCTCGTTAGAATTACATCACACCCATGGTACCACAATCTCGAGCCGGATTGGGCTGCAACCCAAGCCAGGTCAGCTTGACCCGGTATATAATAGTCCGTTTCACACCATAAGTCGGAGGTTTTATTATTGGTATGACTTGAAGATGAAGACTTCTACTATCTTGACCACTCTGTTCGCCTCTGTGGCACTTGCTGCCACTCCAGAGCAATGCAGCCAGTACTGCCAACCGATATGTCCGTTGGATTTGATATATGTAGGATACTTGTGAGAAAATGGATTGCAGCCGATCTTGCTAACCTGGCCCAGAGCTGCCATTGCGCGAACGAGAACGCCGCCAAATGTCATGAGCAATGTGATGGCCCAAAGCCCGAAATCAAAGTGAGTAGCTAGAGACGAAGTGGATTCCCAATGAGACTCACTAATCTTCATCAGGTCTGCCCTCCGCTTCCAGTACCTCCGGTAGAGGGGCCTACCCCTTCGAAGCCGGGCTGTACATGCGAAACCATCGCATGCCCACTAATTTTCCCTCCTGTTCGTGGAATCGCCCTACGGAAAGAGGAATGCTGACGTGATCACAGCCCTGCAGCTGTGTGGAGGCCCGAGTAAAGTGCTGGGAGAAGTGTGGAGGTACCGAACCTGTCCGCGAGGTACTAACCCTTCTCTCGACGAATTCCCCAGAAGCTAACGTCTCAAAGCCATGCACCGACCTCAACCGAGACCCCTCGCCTCAGGCTCAATGTGGCACACGGGGAGCACCAGGCTGCGCAGACAATGAGGAGTGTGTAAAACGCCCAGGCGCATCGTGCGGTCCAGAGGTAGATTGCGGCGGGATATGTGTGACAAGGTCCCGTCCCACGAGAACGAGAAGACCCTCGCCTAAGCCAACATCAACGTCACCCACTTCGGAACCTACGGCAAGGGAAACTCTCGCCCAACAGTATTGCGGCGGGTTTGCTTTTCCACCGAACCCGAAGTGCCCGGAAGGCCAAGTGTGCCAATTACCGCCGGATTCACCATGCTTCGATGGCAGGGCAGTTGAGTATGACGCCTTGACATCTCCGTTATGTTGCCCATGCTGACCGATTCTGAAGCTGCGCTGGAATATGCATTGGTGCAAAATGCTTGGGATTTACGAAACCAGCCTTCCTTTATCCTCAATGCGCTCCTGGGCAAGTGTGCGCCCAGGTGCCGAATAAGGAAGGGCAAATTGCGACGGACATACCGGGCTCGTGCACGTTCAAGGATTTGACTTGCAACAAAACGAAACCCTGTCCGGAAGGGTACACATGCTCTGATTACCCTAATGACGCCTGTCATGATGGGAAAGGGGGAGAATCATGTCCGGGAGTATGCGTCTGGACTGGAGGAGCACCGGAACATGTTTAGTGGAGCGCCACTCAGCAAAGTCAGTGAAGGACCACACCAGATTGCTGTGGCTTCAGACAAAGAATGATCATTATATTACCCAAAAAGCCGGTTGCCATGCGCCTGTCGTCTGCCGAACGTAGATTACAGAAGTCTATTCCATCCAGGGTATCGTAAAATCATGTCGCTCAATCCATTTGGGCCGTTTGAGTATACCACATGTGCTCCTTTGCCAGCGTTTTCGGGTTGAATAATTCAAAATGAAAGCTCCAGATCTTCTCCGCAACGCTTCTGTCGTGCTTGGCCTGCGCGCCGAAGTCGTCGCCCTTGGAACTTTTCCGACCGACATGTTGGAGGATGCTCGGTGTCAACGCCCATCGCATCTGCCCGCGCTCGTTCGCAAAGTCCTCGGTTAACACGTCCGGGAAGCCTCGGGCTCTCCCTTCGAGATAATTGATGAGCTCTCGGCCCTTCGACCGAGGGTAAACCAGGCCTTGTGAGCAGCAGCCAAATCCATTCATCTCATGCACCCCCTCGGGCATGGGGATCACACTGATGCGCCCGGCGGCGAAGAACAATCCGATTGCAAGTGGTAGGAACACACCCAATACGATTAGACATGATGTTGGGGATAAATAGTGTCTTGTGGCAGGAACAAAGATTCGAAGGCAGGCTAGGACGGCGGCCGACGCAATGGTGAGGGTGACGGACCAGAACAAATATGTTGGCCATTCTTCGGAATTCCAACCCAGAAATTCTTCGGTGTAAAATAATCGGAGATAGAGAACTAAACTTTCGTTAGCATTCCATCGTCGGTGTCATGAACAATCCTCACAGTCTTTCAGGCCTCGTGCCATTGTCATAATTTCGGCCGTCTCAATTGCGGCAATGGTTTTCTGATACCAACCATCAACGGCTACCACATCATCTTCTAGCATCAAGATGTAAGGCATTCCTTGGGACATGCATTGTTTCAGCAGGTATGTGTAGTCCAACAGCGCCTTTTGTTCATAAGCCTTCTCTTTTTCCAGCTCTCGCACGTGTTGGATCGATTCTCCGTATAGATAGTCACTGTACAAAAGGACCTTGTCCGGTAGTTCGTGGAGCCATGTCTCAGCGTATGCGGGATGATCTGAAGGATCGGTATGAGCGATCAAGACCATCAAATAGATCTTGCTTCGCTCCTCGTGCGACAATCCATCAAGGATCGATCCTACGGTACTCCTAAAATATCGAGCGCCTTCACGCGCTACCGAGGGTATTCCCACGCATAATGTGCCGTCCGGGTTGGTGGTGTTGAATTTGGGGGCGTATTCGGATAGATCTTTCGGGGCGGTCTCGATAAAGGCATTGGCCTGCTCCAGTCGAACCGTGGAGTATCTCTGGTCGTATCCATGGTTCGGGTCAAAGAAGACGGAGGTCGGGTCCCGATAGGAGGCTTGACGGACGACAATGATGGCGAGGAAGTATATGGCGAAGAAGACGGTTACACCGGAAAGGATGGGTGAAGCGCGGAGGTGGACGATCCATCGATCCGCACGCGAGGAGAGGGCGTGGTATCGATGGGAAGGACTCAAGGGCCACATGGTTTAGATGATGAACGGTCAAGACGGGCCATCTGATCTGAACCGGATATGCATTACCCTGGGCGGAAACGTAATTCGGAGGAAGATGATATCGGACAGGTTGGGGTACGGTATAAAAAAAGAAGAAGATTGGAGTGATCAGTGATGCATGACGCGACGGGTGGCGTTGGAGACGGACTTGGGTAAATGGTGGTTTCTCCACCAAGTCTGGTCACAAATATGGGTATATTGCTTAAGGTACCACTTTAAACCCTCCTTTATATTAATACTAAGCATGGAATACACGTAAGTCCATTATTTATTTTTCTACTTATTTTAATTTCACAATGCTGTTCAGCAGTTGGCCGCCTGGGGTTCGAAACCGAATGTTTGGAATCAGCTGTTGATGGTCGGGGGCATCACGTGAGAATGTATAAAGTCAAGAGCTGGGGCTGGGAGCCGAAGATTCTCTCACCAATCAATCTTTGAACATCCAAACGGTCTTCATGACAATTCATTAGGATGGACGTGGAGGGAAGTTGAATTGGGATGTACATAGTTAGTAGTATGTTCCTAATTTTCAATGGACCCTTCACAGCCTTGACGTGGACTGTCCCAATGGCTTCCCATCCCCTCCCACATCCATAACACATAAAATCGCCGTATCCTTCAACGTCCCCAACCTAAACTTCTTATTGATCGCTAAAAATTCCGGATCCCCCGACATGGCCGCAAAATGTCCCAGACTATGATTATGCACCAATAGAACTTCCTCCCATCCTTCCTCGCGCCCCTGCCCCCCAATCACGTTTCCCATAAATTTCCTGCTGTTCCCGAGCTTGGGCGTGATGGCCTGGCCGAACGCTTGTCCGTACTGCCTGTACTGCTCGCGGCGGCCCGGGTTGAAGGCCAGGAGGTTGAGCATGCTGATGGGGTGGGTTTGTTGGGCGGAGGGCCGGTGCGATAGCCAGTCGCGTAGTTCGGTGGTCATTTCTGAATCGCCGCTGGTTGGGGGAGGGGAGCGTTTGGATGCTTCAAGAAGTTTTGCATTCTTGGTCGCGTAGTCTTTGACGTCGTTGGGGTGGAGGCTAATCTCCGCGGTCCAGGAAGCGGTGACTTGGGAAGTAGCTTGGGTGGGGAGGACGACAGTCCGCTCAACGACGAGCAGGAGGTCCCATCGAACGTTGTGGGCCAAAAGAGGGACAGTAGACTGTTTCTGTGGGAGGATGATCCATCGGAGCACTTGGGCTTGAACGAGCGGAGTGATGGAGTTAGAGTGAATGGTAGAGAGGAATGTGGGAATGGTGTACCCTGGCTTCAAGGCGAGAAGGTGAAGACTGTATTCTGGCATGACGACTAACAGTTGGTAGCAAACAGACGAAGAGGAAATTGATGTCTGGCAATGTGAGAATGAAGCGCTACACCGTTGCTTTGCATTTTGGTCCCGGCCTGGCCTATATACCGGCAGTCACCAAGGCTCGACTTTTCGGCCATGATTCAAGACCGGACGCGACGTAGGATCAGAGGTAGGTGGTTCTCACAATTGTATATCGGAAACATAGATCCATTGGATATTACAATGCCCGATGCTCGCGATGAGCACATTTACGAGTTACAGCGGAGACTAGGGTATTAATTAGCCAAACGCCGCCGGCGATTGCGCCAACGCTATGCAGCGAGACCGACCAGTAATCTTTGCTGTAGGAAAACGTCGTGCAGCATGATCTGCCCCAAACCGGAAAAGTCTTGCCAAATTCGCAGTTTACAGGTCCATTCATCAATCCCCGCGGTGTTTGGAACATTGGAATATGGCGTGGACGGCCTTTGAGGCTTCGAAGCCTCGGAGCTTCAGTATCGCGTCTTGCTTGCATATATTCCATGGCTGAGCTTCGAAATTCTTCATGGCTCGCCATGGTCAGGCAAAATGGTAGCCGCGAAGAGAGTTGCCATTATCGGCGCCGGCCCAGCTGGTGCCATCACAATTGATGCTCTAGCGAGAGAGAGGACGTTTGACCTCATCCGTGTCTTTGAGCGACGTGAAGCCTCTGGCGGTTGTTGGTAAGTCGATGGTCGGTCGGTCAGATCTAACACGAGAGCTAATTTACTCAGGATTGGAGACAAGCGACCGCTACCACTATTATCGAACTTTGACGCTCTCTCTGCGCGGAACGCTGATGTACCAATTCCATTGCCAGAGAGACTTCCGGCTCAAACGCCAAAAGTGACAACCCCACGCTTCGCAGAGTCGTCCATCTATCCATATTTGGAATCAAACATTGATAGCATACCAATGGCCTTCAGTCAGGAACCGATTCCTGAGGAACGAAGCAAAGAATCAATCGCTATCCACGGCCCTAACACGCCCTTCCGGCACTGGACCGTCATGCAGAGGTACATTCAGAGTCTAGTGGATCGCAACGGCTACCAAGACCTCGTCTCTTACAACACTACCGTTGAAAGAGTTGAGAAAGTCGGTCACGAGTGGAAAGTCACCCTGAGAAAAGATGGCCCGCAAACGGACTATTGGTGGGTCGAGTGGTTTGATGCTGTCGTTGTGGCCAGTGGACATTATAACGTGCCATATATACCATCAATCGCGGGCCTTGAACAGTTCGAAAAGTCTCGGCCTGGCAGTGTCATTCACAGCAAGCAGTTCCGCGGAAAGGATTATTACCATGGAAAGGTAAGCGGCCCACCCATCGAAAGATTAAACTGACAGAACTTAGCGAGTTGTCGTTGTCGGAGCTTCGGTTTCTGCGGCCGACATTGCCTTCGATCTGGTCAATACAGCAAGGTCTCCGGTATTCGCTGTCGTGAATGGCCATAGGGCGAACCCGTACTTTGGTGACGGAGCCTTTAATCATCCGCGAATCTCGAAACAGCCATCCATTGAGCGCATTGAAGGCCGCACGGTGCATTTCGTGGATGGGAACTCCGTCGAGGATGTCGATCACGTCATCTGTGGCACCGGGTATTCCTGGACGCTGCCATTCCTGCCCGACGTGGAGGTCCGAAACAACCGAGTCCCTAATCTCTATCTGCACGTCGTGTATCAAAAGGATCCGACTCTGCTTTTCATCGGCGCTGTGGCAGCGGGCTTGACGTTCAAGATCTTCGAGTGGCAGGCTGTCCTCGCGGCACGATTCCTGGCCGGCCGAGCGACTCTCCCCCCATTGGTGGAACAGGAAAAGTGGGAGCAGGATCGAATCGCGGAAAGGGGTGACGGTCCGAAATTCACCTTGGTATTTCCGAATTTTGAGGACTATTTCGAGACTCTACGGACGTTGGCAGGACCGGGAGAAAATGATGTAGGTCGGCAGCTACCACCCTTCAAGCGAGAGTGGTTCAAGGCATTCCTCGATGGACTGGACCTTCGGAAGAACATGTGGAGGAGGCTGAACATCCAGGCGGAGGATGAGTCGGACGTGAATTTGAATGGTTCCTCGAGAAGATCCCAAAAATTATAGCGAGCATTGTTGTAGGTGATTAAGAGATAGAAGTGACTCGAAAATGGAACGATTAGTAAGTACATTCAGGGCAGACTTTCAAGCGATGCTACGCATTAGCTGGGTTCCCGTTATGTATTCACTTGTGGCTCTCCGACTGCGTGTTGTGCGCTTCATCTGTAGTTTTGACAGGCAGTGTCGAGAACTTCCTATTGTTCTCGCCCGATTTGATGAGTAGAGCGCGTTGGTAACACTAGCGTCTCCATGCCCATGACCTGCGCCCACGTGGCTTGTTATCAAGTGGTTCGGCTTGATCCCGCGGCTTTCATTATCGACTGATGCTCACACGAACAACCAAGCGGCCACTGTCAAAGTAGGCATAACCTTGAACTGTGGACGTTCTAGGGCCATCGTGTAGTCCTTGTGTCGCCATTGGTGATGGCTCTTAGTGTCCGAGATGGTGCGTTTTATGATATTCGAAATTACGAGAAGATGTTATACCACGCCACGGACTTGGTCTGCGTCATGTTAGTGGATAAATGTATATCAAGAAAAATCTTACCTCGCATTCCGCCTAGAGCTTCAAACGCCGTCGCATAGTTTTCGAATATGGTAGAGATCGATATTAGTCCCATTCGCAGGCGCACAAGCAGGCTCTCAACGATAGGATTTGCTGTACCCTTCTCAGAATATGTCGACTGCATCCGATTATGCACCATAACCAATGTGTAAGTGCATTGCATGGCACAACAGGCTAACGACGGCATCAACCGAGGCGCAGCCAACATGGATGTAGGAGCAAGGTAGCACGGTGGCGCGCACATCTGACCTAAGGGATTTGGAAAGGGGAGGTCATTGAAAGTCGCCGCGACATTGAAGGCTGCCTTGAGACAGATTTTGGTAGATTGGTGCCGGCTAAATGGGAGAGAATCGACTGCGCTCGACACGGAACTCGTGAACAACTCAAGTGGTGAGTCGGGGCTTTGAAACCCATTTGTCGTCAGCGAACGGGAACTAGTAGGCCAAGATGTTGAGTTGAGATCGCAATATTTTCCTGAAAAGACCGGACTGTCGAAAAAGGCACAAAATCGGTGTATCTTGATCCTCGCACTGCTTTGGATCAGCATTAGGTTCTAGATGCCGGAACTGTCATACCTATTGAGCTTGATGCGAGCCATGCATCTGAGAGCGCGGGACACCACTTCCTCTGTACTATCCAGTGGTGAAGTAGGCGAGCCTTGCAAGATCCACGTGTCTGCCACTGTAGCGAGAGACTCAACGTAGTGCTCGAGCCCTTGCATACGCTCGCAAACGTGGGATATATCAGCATTTGCCTTTACCGTCTTTACAAGCTCAGTAGCAATTCGAGTGCAAGTTAGAAGAGTTTGCTGTGCTTGAATGAAAAGCTTGAATGCCTAGTAAAGAAGTTAGACTAGTTAGATAATTAACTCAAGGAAAACGTACCTCTGAATCGGTCTGTAAGCTAGGATATTTTGTGGTAAAGCTCGAGGCAAAGAGGTTATGTGTTGGCTCCTATATAATTCTCAGTAGGATAACTTGGATCTCCGGGGTCATGCTTACCGAGTTACTCACGATAGTCGCTTGAGTAACGCAAATGTACTGCGACAATTAGGTTTGGTCTGGAACTGGGTATGGAACTTACAGTCATCCACCATACTCGACTTCTCACTTCTGAATACTCGTCTTGATCGGTGCAGTCATGGAGGGACAAAGCCACGGCTGATACAAAAGCCTGACCTGCCCTATTTTGCATCTTTTTGATGTTTCCCCGCTGAGCGTACTCATAAAAACTGAGAATGCATAGAGCAATGACGTCCTCCAGGTCTGGATGCACTCTTGGATGAAAGCGTTGCCGTGCGAGTTCGTCTCTAGGTTCAATCAGGGCATCTGATGGCGCGACTGATTCGGGAATTTCTCCTTCGTTCTCAATGCTTTCAATGGAGGATTGTGCAAGATATTGGGAATATTTCCGCCTGAACTGGACAGATTCTTGTATCTGATAGTCAATGTCATTAGGACAAGGAATTAGAGCAAGGACTGCTGATATTGCGAGTGCAATAGGGGTGGATGGTTCAAATTCCGGAATATCATCCTGGCGATGAGAAATTGCAAGATCAGAAGGGGTACCGATCGGTGGCGGAAGAATGGGGAAGAACGGGTGTATATAGACATAGTAAGCCTCAAGACTGCCATGGTCAATAGACAATAAATGACGAATTCGGTTACGACATGACCTACATAGCATTGTCACTTTGATATGTCCTGACCATAGGCATTGGAGTTAAAGCTGTCCCCGGGATGCTAGACATGTTTGGCGCAAAGGCGCTCTCAAATATAAAGTCGCTATCCTGGAAGAAATCTGGAAGCCGCTTTAAGCCAGCACCTGGCTCGATGAAGTTCTCAACAGGAAGTTCTATATTCAGGATTAACTGCGTGATACCTATCAAAACAGACTAAACTCACGTCGCTGAGATGTATCTGACTCTTCTGACACCGATATCTCAGGGGGTGATAACTGGGCTTGCTCTAAACCATGACGGTTCTTTCGCACGCGAGCCCCACCCCTTCTGCTCGGTCGGTAGCTGCAATCGCGCTCTCTGATGTGACACTGCGATTGAGGTTAATGGATGCCACAGCCATAACCATCCGCTTACATACGCTGCTACATGGACGTCCTCCATCGCAACGCGTTTTCAACGCTCTGCTAGAAAGTGGTCAACCGTAGTTCGCGATGAGTTACCGGCGAATAGAACAGACACATACCAAGACAGGCAAGCAATCTTTACCGGCGGAGCCAAGCTCTTCCTCTCCGATCCATTTTCGCTCATGGTAAGGGTGAGCTGGGCCGAGACCGAGATACAAAGAGCGTAGGGACTGCGTCAAGACGTCGAACCCGCTCTCTGGTTAGATATAAGGCTGATTGATTGAGGTAGGGTAGGTGTCCCGGGCCGCTTGAAACGCCATAGAGGGTGAAGAAGTATGGGGTTAAGGTAATATAAAAGAACGCGATTCAGTTTGTGGTTAAGGTACCGTCTCTTCGCCCTTGCGATAAAGCTAACTGTATCGGGCTACTGACTTGGCCAAACAACCCTGGCGGGATGGCATCATTCTATCAAAAACATAGCAATTTTTGGCTACCGGAACTCTCCAGCGTCGCCTTGTAATCTAGTTTTCCTTCAGTGTCAATCCATAATAAATATAGGTAAGCAAGAATATACCTGTCAATTTGGACGCTTTCTTGTAGGCTGTCTAATGCATCAACCAATCATAGGTAATGGGATGAACATATTTGACGTTTCAATCATGCAAGATACTCAATGGCCGGACCCAAGGGATTTGGAATTGCCACTCCGCTGTTAATAGCATTCATCGTCATATGCGTACATATTCTGTGACCACATGCTCTCCACCACCCTACTCGAACTCAATACCGGCTTGTTCCCCTAACAAAACCACGTCAATTCTCTCCGACCGCCCCGTCAAAGTCTCTCAACACTGCAATCGTATCATCCATTCGGCCAAGCTGAACGTGGAGTTTCTCCTCAATCTCTTTCCACTTTGCCAACTGTTCCCGCTCCGCCCGAGTCAATTGTGCATCTTCCTTCCCTCGGATATCCAATCGATCCGCTTTGTCAACCACGAGGTTGAACTCGAGTCGTTGCTTCTTGGCCCGCTGCAGACACCGGGACATGCCCTTGAATGTTGCCTGGAGCATGTTTTGTCGGGTGCGAACTGGATCAAAATACCAAAACCAAAGGGATTTGGACGTTTGACGGGAAAGGTCTTTGGGAACCTCCTGAAGATCTATAAATCCGGTCTCTTGCATGGCCGAGAGAACCGGTCGGATATCCTTCGGGCGGAGCAAACCAAATGTGCTGATCTGCTTCTCGTCCAACTTCCCTTTGTCCTTTAGGATACGAAGGACTTTTGTGCCCATGTTGCCAAAGCTATGCGTAACTGTCTCTTCAAGCTCGTGTTGGATGAGGACCTGGTTGAGTCGCGAGAGGTCAACTTCCCATTCTCTTGAAGGGCTGTTTGTCCAAGTGATGAACCCCCGCGGGTCGTCAGCCAGGGCCCATAAGTGTTCCCGGACATCGGACAATCGTTCTTTATTCTCACGCAACGCCTCGCGAGATCCCGCAGGGCGAACGGTATCTTCATCCGAATCGGACTCTTCATCAGAGTCTTGATGACCATCGGCTCCATCGGAGTGCCCGTTCAGCTGCCCATGTACCAAGCCGTCCTTCAAATTGACTTTCGGGTAGAGCTCCGCCAATAGGCTTGCGACGTTCGTCGTGCTTGTCGTAGGACGGATTTCATCCTCTTCGTCCGATTCATTGCCATTGTCCTTTAGGTCATCGAAGCACCTCGGGATTTGATCTTCGATGCTTCGCAAAAGAACGCGATACACTTTGGACGGTATCTCGCCGAGGTACCTTCCAGCGAGATTGGTGAGGCGTTCAGTGCGTATCGCGACGGATATCCTCTCATGGTTGAGACGAACGACAAGTTCCTCCTGGTCCCTTTAGTATGGAGAATGCAGAGTTGATCATGAACTTACGTTGAGCTCCACATCTTCGTCACCGTTCACATGATTTCCGTTGACCCCATTCGTAAATGCACCATTAATTCTCGGGGTTTTGAACTTCCTTATGGCTTTTGCTGCACTCCCGTTACGACCGGTGCCATCGCCATCATCATCGTCATCTCTCCATTTCCGTTTCAACTCATTGACCTGCTGCAGCAATCGCGCCTTGTCCTTGGTCCCCTTCAAGCCTTTAGGAAACTCCTCTTTCTTTACGATTGCCTCCGCCTCCTCATGAACATCGTAAGAAGGTTTGAAGAAGTATTGTCTTTCAGGAAGGAGCATCTGTTCGTCGAGCAATTGCCGCACAATCGCACGAAGATGCTTTTGGGATTCGATAGCGCTAAATGTAGAGGAAGTGATTTCGGTATGATCCGCAGTTGCACCAGCTCCATTCGTTGCGGGGGGGTTTGTTCGCAATCGCTTCTTGCCGCGTTTCGATTTCTGCGACATCTCCGCATTATACTTTTGGATGATCTCCGCGATGGGTACATGGCCTAAGGAGAGCACATGCGCAATCACCTGCCCTGCCCCACGGCCGAAGCGTTCTTCACAGATCTTGACGGATTTGCCGAATCGAACAATATCGTAGGCGCCTTTCCGGTCCGCTTCATAGAAGGTAATGCCTTCATCTCGGCTGGTATTGAAAACGACGAGGTGGTTCTGTATGAGGACGCAGAGAGTGGCTTTGAGTCTCCGAGTCTGCAAGCCGGTATATTGTGCTAGGACTGGGAGGGTGGTTCGATGGAGATGAATGAGGGCCTTGAAAACCGTCTGTGGGGTGTTAGAGGTCCTTTGAAAGGAGCGCCTTTGGAGGTGAGGATGCGGAAGGCACTTACCGAGCAAAGGTCTCCATAGAGGTCCTCCACGAGGAGAATGAGTAGTTCGCTCTCATACTGCGTGTCTATATTAGTCTCCAATGGGCGATATTGAACCGATCCGAAGCTTTCAACATACCTGCGACATGGTGGAATGGTTGAAGAAATTGTGGGCAGAAGAGCGAAGTGCTACCTTTGAGGGAGACAGAAAAGAAAGTGCATGATTTGACTTCCCTCCTTCGAAGTTGAAGTTGAAGTTGAAGTTGAAGGGTCACACAAAAAGTTCAATTCGTAGCAAGCGGGGACAATAACGACAATAATATTAAGAACGATAAATGATATTCCGCGCTAATCAATTGAATCGCAACTCCAGTCATTCCGAGACTCCAGTCCAGTTGAGCTTGACGTGAATCAGAAGTTGGAGCCTGAGACACCAAGGCAACTACACAGCCACCTAGTACTGCCAACCAATCAGCACGACGCTAAAGCATAAGCCATAAAACACTTGATGAACGCACAGACCAAGCCTCCTACAGAACCCGAAGTCACCTGTGTTCGTTGAAGATTGAAGCTCATCTCGAAGAAATACCTCGACTCTCTCTTTCCATCACCTTTCCATTCAATTTCGCCCATCAATTCCCCCCTTCTGCAATTGCATTCAGCCACAGATGCTGTCCAGCTCGACCTTCGGCCGTCGAGCGGCCCTGCGCGCTGCCAATTGCCGTCAATGCCTTTCGCAGCCTGCAAACCGCCGAGGTTTGGCTGCTCCCGCTTCCGGCTCCTTTCAATATGAGTCGAGTGAAGCGGCCGGTGTCAAGATCGCCTCTAGGGACTTTGCCGGCCCTACTACCACCTTGGCCCTCGTTGCAAAAGCCGGAACAAGGTTCCAGACCTATCCTGGTGTGACGGAGGGTCTGGAGAAGTACGCTTTCCGGGTACGTATCATCCAATTCGGAATATCATGTATCGGTCAGTTTGAGTTTCTGACCGAAGAGTAGACCACCGAACGAAGATCTGCCCTTCGCATCGTTCGGGAAGCGGAGCTTCTTGGTGCCGAACTGTCTTCCTACCATACCCGAGAGAATCTGATACTGGGTGCCAAATTCCTTCGCCAGGACCTTCCCTATTTCCTCGAGCTCTTCGCTGAGATTGTTGGAAGTACCAAATACGAACGTATGTCACTTAGGTTACCGAAAAAACCGAGATTCAGCTGCTGATTAGTGTAGCCCACGTCTACGATGAGGAAATCAAGCCTTTGATACAAATGGCTCACAAGAGGCACATTGACAACACGACTGAGCTGGCAATCAATTCTGCCCACAGCCTAGCATTCCACCGTGGCCTTGGTGTTCCTCTAAGACCATCATCGGCAACACCGTACACGAAATACGTCGATGCTAACTCAATCGCCGAGTTTGCTTCCGCTGCATACTCGAAGTCCAACTTCGCCCTCGTTGCCAACGGGACGAACCACGGAAACATGGCCAAGTGGGCTGGTCAATTCTTCTCATCGGCCAAGAACTCATCGGCGAAGGCACTCGAAAGCCCACCATCGAAGTACCAGGGTGGTGAGGAACGTATTGCCCACAACTCCGGCAACACCATGGTCCTCGCATTCCCAGGGTCGAGCTCGTTCACCGGAGGGTCCTACAAGCCCGAAATCCAAGTCCTGGCTTCTCTTCTCGGCGGCCAGTCCAGCGTCAAGTGGTCATCCGGCTTCTCATTGCTGGCCAACGCCGCCGCGCCGTTCCCCAGCGTCAAGGTCGCAACCAAGAGCGCGATTTACTCCGATGCCGGCTTGCTTTATGTCACTCTGGAAGGTTCGGCCAAAGACGTTGCGGGCGCGGCGCAGGAGACCGTCAAGACCATCAAGGCCATCGCTGGTGGTGACATCAAGAAAGATGACATCTCCAAGGCCATCGCACAAGCGAAATTCAAGGAATTGGAATACGGCCAGCAGCTTTGGGCGGGCCTTGAACTGACGGGTTCCGGACTTGTACAGAGCGGCAAGGTGTACCAAATCGATGAGACGGCCAAGAAGCTGGAAGCCGTCACCGAAGAGCAAGTGAAGAAGGTAAGTTCCGTTCACATCTCCCCAATGTCCAAGAATGATGCTAATCGTGTCATGAACGTAGGCTGCAGCGACCCTCCTTGAATCCAAGGCGACGGTATCAACGGTCGGTGATCTTTATGTCCTTCCATGGGCGGATGAGCTTGGTTTGAAGATTTGAAGATTTGAAGATTTGAAAATGGGACCACCCCCTTCATAGAGGACTTCTTGTGTCAAACTAGCTTCTGTATGAATATCTCCTGAATTGTATCTCAGCCTGGATTCCCAAGTTAGTAAACATATTCCAGATGGCGGGATCTTGGTCGGTTCGGCTAGTGGAACTAGGCCATTTAGATTTGTGAATAAATGAAGTAAACATACGTTTTGGCCATGTGACTGCTCTCACTATTAAGATATTATTAAAAGGGTATTAACTCGATTCTCTGTGATGAAGCAACATGGATAGCGAATGTCGAATGTCGGGAGCCGAGTCATGTCGGTGAGCACGTGACCTATGGAAACTCCCGGACCCTCAACTTTCGTCTGTTGAAGACTTGAAGCTTTCTGACGAACAGCATCTCGACACTCCACCCTTCACCGAACGATCAATCCAATCCTCAATCTATCACCATGGCATTCGCGTGGAAAGCCGCAGGGCTCACGTAGGTTCCCATTCTGTCCCCACGCGGATCGATGCGCCCAATTGACAACACCCGACAGCTACAACCGCTACTTGGCCGTCGCCGCCCGCGTCGTCCGTCGATCCTTGAAGGAAGAGAAACGTCTACAAGCCGAGCGGAGAGGGGATATGGATCTGCGATTCGCGAAGTGGGAGGTTCGTGGCATCGAGTCGTCCTGGAGCAGAGGGAGTGTGGCTAACGGCTGTGAACAGAACGGAAAGCAAGGCGACATGGCATCGCTCGCCAAGGCGAATGCATCGGCAATGGCAGAGCATGCCGCTTCAGGATCATCGTAAATGGTAGAGATGTTGGGAGAACGCCCTTCAAGTCCGATTGGAGGCGGAATGGTGGGGAGGAAATGAATCCATCTGTACAATAGAGCCGTATAAAAAGTGACCACCCAATTTCCGCTACCGGGTCCTGTACTATTCTACCAGATATGCCGTTTCAACCTTAACATCATCTTTCAAGTGTGCAAAAGTGACCAAACATGATTTGCCCTTAGGCCAAAATGGAACCCAGTGGTTATGCATCCCGAAATTCAAATGACTCTGATGATGTCGATGTTACTGATGGTAAATGCCCATTCTGTCCCTCCCTTGATGCTGACCGTTAACCATCGCCGATGTTGACTCTTCGATCATACAGCTGTGAAGCAACTTTCCTTGCTGGACACGCCAGAAAGAAATCTATCCACTTCTGATGAACGAGGAATTCCCTGTAAGTCTAGTTTATGCTTCGCCCGAAGGAACCAGCTCTGACCTGCCTGTACCTCAGCCACCCAAGATGAAGTTACACCAAGCCGTTGGACCAATATAATGGCGCAGGATCGGAAAAGGGTGGTAGATGTTACCGATATCTTTCGCTCGGCATCTGCAGGTAAGATATTTTTTATTGAATGGTGCCGTTGAGTTTTGATTTCTCATGAACTGTTCTTAATTCCAGTCCTTGTGCTGTTCAATCTCGCGCAAATTCCAGCTCTCGCTCTGCCTTCCAAATGTGTCCATCTCCATTCAGCTTCCACTCAATACCGATGTGTAATAATCCAGAGGATTTCTATTCAAGTCCTTAGAATACACCGCTGAGGCAAAATATGTCCAATGAACAGTCTGATCGTCGTTGCTTCATACATGTTCCTTATTGTCTCGACGTTTTTCTACTCAAGTGGCTAATAAGTGTCAGCCCTCCCTATTGGAGTTTTAGTCAAGGATGAATCTTTTCCTCTTCAAGAAACGGTGGGGGCACTGGAGGTTCGTCAAGTTGTGGAATGCCTATTTACTTCAGACTATTGACGACTTTGATCAAGATAATGGACACCAAGATGGATAGTGGCGCCCTTGCTCCAGGAGAAGCTTTTGAGGACATATACAACGCTGCTGATGAATTAAGGCCGGAGGAGGTGCTGGGAGTAATGGATCAGCTTCTCCGTGTTGAGGTCTGTGAGTTGAATAGCCCTATGCAGTGTTTGAGTCTTACGCGAAGCAGATGGCATGGCATCAGGGATACCCGTTGTCACAAACGATCTTGACATCACATTACATTGATAAACTCCTTTCCAAGGAAACCCGGCAGCTTCATGAGGTCAGGTTTTCGGCGGCACATCCACTGGATCTCCCGATCCTCCTACAAGCCCTGAGGGCATACTGCCTCGCTCTGATCAAATCCTGCGATTTGGTACTGAAGGCAATCAAACGGTCGCCGTATTACGAGGAAGAGGATTTTTCCACCCAACTATACAATCGGGACCTGCTATCCCCAATCGATAGACATGATATCATAGAAGTCATGGATCGAGTGATACAGGACCTTGGAATTTTCGTCGCCCAGTGAGTTGAACTCGATTATCTCTGAGACCGACCCGGCCCAGGGCTAACAAAAGACAGTAGCTCAAAACAAGAAGTCGTGGAGGCAATACTCGTCCGCGTTGGATTCAGAAAGGATCTTCTCAGTGCAATGCCTCTCCACGAGGATATAGACACGTCCGAATCGACGTGGAAATGTGTTTGCGAAAGTACATATCGCCATAGCTTGTTACATTCGACAAGCAAGCCTGTGCCAGCAGCTTTTAGTAAGAAGATACAACGGAAGCTGTACGGAACGGCACCACCGAGGCCGATTGTCGAACTCGATTTCGAAACGGCCATGGATGTGCTCGTCAAGATCTGCAATGATTGCCAGGAATCCACAAGGATACAGACCTATAGCAACTCCAAGGTGGAAGGCCTGAAAGTAAGTTGAGCGGGTTGGGTCTTGTACCTGCTGAATCTAATCGGGAGACAGGCTTTCATGTGGTCTTTCAGTTCGCGCAACCCTCCGCCTCTCCCGTTCTCACGGGCTTGTCTCTCGTCCAGACTCTTTGAGAATGGAAATTTCGAAAGCATGCTCCGGCAAGACCTAACGAACTGGGTGTTCCCACTCGGCGACGCCCTAAATCCGGTCGATTCCAGTTCAAGCAGCCCGGCACGGTATGATGATGCTCCTTACCGGATCAAGGTCTCCCAGTGCATCAGTCAATTTACTCTAGCTGCAACGGCGGAGTCCATGGTGAGCAACAATGCTGCGCCCACCACGATTTTGCTAACACAGGGAGGGATACCTCGATATGTTCCGAGCACTATGTCAAAATCGGTGCAGACTGCGGAGGCTGTTGCCCCACGTGCTGAGAGACCTAGATGCTCTGGAAGAACGGGTACGGTCTTTCGATGGTTTGGCGGATCACGCTAACGTTCTCCCAGTCATTTTTCCTCGACAATGTATTGGCCGACCTCATTCCTACCACGCTTCGGAACCTGCTTTCTACGTGGACCCTCTGCCAAAGACTTCAAGTCGCCCAATGGGTGATTCAACTTGGCTTCGAGCAAGACGTTTACCTACAACATGAATTGGCGGGCATGTACTGGTAAGTATTCGGGCTCCTTACGTGAAAGGAAGTAACCTAACTCGCAACAGGTTCTTATCTCGTATATGCCGAAGCTACGTTGGATTCCTGACCGAAATCTCAAAGCACACTCTCAAGGTGCAGCAAAGTAGTGGTCTCCGGCCGGAGCAGCGAGAACAATGTTCGGTGTCGTCGAAATTCTTGGAGAGTCTGATCCTGAGAACGCGCGCGACAGCTTTCGTTGCCGAAGGTCTACACGCTGTAAGTAGCATTTCTATTTCATATGGTCGCCGGGGTATGATTGTGAATCGGACAATTCTCAACAAGCATAATAGCCTGTTCCCGTGGGGGGATTGGACGTCGTTTGCTCTGGCTAACTGGGTTCTAGGTCTATACACATCTGACATACCTTGGACTGATACACGCCATCGGACATCCGTATGGACAACCGAACTTGCTTTTCGAGCTGCGCATGAGATCCATTCTGAAAGGGTCACTTCTGGCCCCTGATTTCGACACGTTCAACAAAGCCACCCATCCACTTGGCAGTTTCGAGAAACCAACACGTAACCCATGCGACGCGACAGCGCAGATTTGCCAGCATGTAACGCGCGTAATCATGAACGCGAAGAAAGACTTTCAGCAGATGATAAGCGAGAAGCTTGGCGCGGAAGCAGCATTTGCAGATGAGGTCCAGGGGTGGTGGCAGGAAGATGTTGAGAAACAGATAGCGGCCTGCGATGATCTCCTGTTATCTATCAATGTCATGAGGGAGACCGTGGATGGAAAGAGTCCGGATGGTCTGAGCATCTCCATTCCAGACCCTGGAGCACGACGGCACGAGTGGTGGGTGGTCCCTAATCTTACTGCGTAGCTTCGGTGGTACGGTCATGAGGTGGTGTGTATGCTGGAGAGAAAGTCGAAAACAGCTCGATTGTAGTGATCCTAGAAATACCGGACTTCCCAAGCAGGATGTTGTATACCCCATAGAGTCCCCATGCGCTAGTGATTCCAAGACGTTAAAGATGGGTATATCCGCCGTTGTACATAGTCATGACTTCGTTTCTTCGAGTGGAACTAAGGAGTAGGGTTCATCCTTTGAACTTTCGTAGGGTATTCTATCAAGGCTTAGCATCAGGGTTCATTCATCCTCAGAAGAACTGTACGCACTTCCCTGACTTTCCGAATGGACCTTGAAGATATGCCCTTTTCACCGACTTGACGGGAACGAATCGCTGCTTCGCGCATAAGACTGGAATTGATCAGCATCGTCACGCGGTCGGAGTCGAATCGCCATGCATACTCCTGGAGGAAAAGCGCATAATCGAGATATATCTGCGTGTTGACAGGTTAGTGTTGGGGGTTGGAGCGGAGACACGATGGAGTCCAGCGTACCAAGACGTCGATATTTTTGCTTAGCGGACGGTTACTGTGCGCTTTGATGATGCGCTTGAGCGTCGCTCTTGGGTATAACGGTGTAGGACGTGCCATGGTTGATGGTGTTTTGATGGTGTTGAAGTTGAAGGTTTGTTGACAATTTGCCAAACATGGAAATCAGCCAAATACATCGATGCTCGATGTTCGAGGGGGCGTCTTGGCATGGATTACCACTCCACTGCTATGCGACTACAAACACAATCTACTCGATAGTCTACAAGAAACTTGGATAACAATTATCAGGTGTAAGAGGTCGTACTATTTTCGCTTCCATTAATGAGCAAGAACAGAAAAGGGTTGCCATGTTTCGACTCTTTGGTGAGGGTGCAACCGCAAAGGTTCATGTTCATCTCGATGATCCGATCCCGTGCCGATGATCTTGGGTCAACGACATGCTCACCCAGGTGAGTCTGAAAATGGAACTGCACGGCTCGACCAGGGATATCGTGACCGGAAATCTACTGCAGAAGCTAAATCATTCCGGAGCAACCCCTCCTCGAAACTCCGGTAATGCAATCTCGAAGTCGAGAGGTCCGGCCTTTTCGTATCAGGACCTCGCTCCCACTCATGTATCAACCTCCATAGACTCTTCTCCTTCTCCTTCTCCGAAGGCGGATGCCAGCATAGGAGAAACTTCTTGACCTTCGTATAGCTTGAAGAGATCCCCACCACCCACCACCCCAACGCTTGTGTTATCCACCGTCAACTCCTTATCTTGACTTAGACTATCCTTGAGCGCCGACAGGGCATGCTTGATCAACTCCTCCTTCGTCGCATCGGCGAACTGGTCCAGGTTCTTCTCAAGATACGTCCTTGCCATCTGACTTCGCGCGCCGATCGAGGTCGCAAGCATCTCGTTGACCATGCCGCTCGGTTGGAATTCGAACAGGTGCGGGCCGTTCCGATCCACGCCGGAGATGAGAAGTCCGACACCGTACGGTCGTCGGCCGTATTGCTGGGTGTTGATCTGCGCCCTCTCACCGATTCGATTCGCGATTTCGGACAGGTTCATGGGGCGGCCATATGTTAAGCGCTCGCGAAGAGATTCTTGTCGCATGAAGTTGGAGAGGACACGGGCGTCAGAGGCAAGTCCTGCTAATGCCACGCCATAGTGCGTGTCGATTGGGATAACCTTCTTCTGGTATGAGGACAGCTCTTCTGCGTTTCTCTAGTAGGATATATCAGCGACCATTCCAGAGCATCCGACTCGTTGGATAGGAGCTACCTTCAGGGCTGCCAGAACAGCGTGTGTTTTGCTCACGATACCGACCACAACCGAGCCTTGCTTAACAGCTTCTCCCGCATACTCGACTTGAAATATACGCCCTTGTGGAGAGCTGGATGGCGGTCAGATGCAACCATTCAATCGGCGGCCGGCAAGGAAGGGGAACTTACAAGGTGACGGAATCGTTGTCGTAGTTGTTGCGGAACATTTTCGGTTTTGAATCCCAAGTTGCTTCAAAGACGATAGACAGCCGGTTGGCGAAGATAGGATTTCAGGTGTTGCGGTGTGGTAAGAAAGCTCCTTGGTGAGTTGGTTTGCGTTGTCTGGTTGCGTTGCGTGGTGGAAGCCTTCAGAGTTCAGAGCTTAGAGCTCCGAAACGCATTGCAGCACAGCGGACGTGAGGGACCGGACCTGCAGCTGCTCTGTGGCTGTGCACATCCATTGTCTAGCGCTTAGGCAACAACTAGGCCATTAGGCATCATATTTAGATCCCTCCCCCAAACTCCGGTCTCCAAGAGTCCAAGTCCATCTTCATGTCCATACTGGCTTCCGATACTGCAGCTACACCTTCCCGCCGCCTTGCAGATGCGACGATTGCTATACCGGTAGTACCTAGAATCGGTCCGACGATATCGCCTTTCCCGTCTATCCCGTACCCTTCAAAGTCTACCCGCGCTTCCCCATCAACCGTCGTTGCTCTAGGACATCCTCCGTCGTCAAGATGACGGCCGGCTTGAAGACTATCATCGCCCTCTCCTTCGTTCGTAGTCACTATACCGGCCTTTCAAACCGTACCAAGCTAATCATATTCAAAGGTCCTTGCGATCGGTTTCCTCCTGGTCATCCTATCCTCCGCCCTGTGGAAGAACTACCTGCCCTTGCTCGTCGTCGCAACATACGTAATCGCGCCCGTCCCGAACTGGTTGTGTGGACGAGCCGCCAGCCATGACGACTTTATGGAGAGCTCCGGGAGTGCAGTGGTCGACTTTGGGAAGTTCTTGACCGGGTTTTTCGTTGTAATGGGAATCGGTACGGACCTGCTGTTGCCTATCGAGGCTGCTCTGCGCCAAGTTCTATTGAAATGCTAACTCCTGATATAGCGCTACCCGCCTTGCTCGCCCACACTGGAGATATTGTCTATCAGGCTATGGTCATGTCCATTGTCGGCGGTCTCCTGATTTACGGCACCATCATTACTTTCACCATGTTCTTTCAAGAAGAGCAGGACTTCTGAAGCGTTGTGACAGACTGTAGTGTTACATTACATATATGGATTAAATCGGGTGTTCCAGTTGGCAGTGCGTTTGGATCAGGATCATAGCGTATCGAATTATTCGAACAGCACGGATTTCAATATCAAGGCGTTGTATGTCACCGTGTATCATTCGAAATGAACGGTAAATCTTTATAATGACCAGCGCGCAAAGCCAAACGCCGACATATGTCGCTAGCAAAGGTATACACGACTCCTGTTACTCCATGCCAGTTATCTGTACACGTAACGGTACCAGCCCCCTATTAGACAACCCAAGCGGACATTTCCAGATTGGTCACAGGGCAAGATTATAGGTATACTCGTCTTCCATATTTTGAGCGACCCATAGGACAGCCGAGCTGCGAAACGTAAGCCTGGTGCCTGTGGAATTATGTATCCGATAACATACCTCAGCATGATCATAGAATTGGCAAGGACATTGGCCACGCCAAACCATAGGGTCGGGAACCCGTAGTCTGGAACAAGGTACTTCAATACCATGACAGTCTGCCAAAAATTGTCAGCGAGTGTACCAATGTAAGGCGAAGTCATTCAGGAGAACGTACAACACTGCCGGCCAGCCCGCCAGCCATCAGCGCAAAGCCCATGAAGAGCACCAGCCTTGCTTTCCAGGCCACGCCATTCCCACTGTAGCTGAAGCTGTCTCCGGTCAACCGACTCTTATCGATGCTGTTGATCACCAGCATGCCCAAAGCCGAGCAGATTCCCGGGATCCAGTCCACGAAATTGACGTGCACATCAGAGCCGTTCTTGGCCGACCTCGAATAGGCGGCGGCATCGATGAAGAAGAAGAAGCCCAGGGAGAACTGGAATCCGCGATTAGTTATTGCATCCGGAAGTCTGTCCAGCGCACCAAGGTAGGGAACGCCTAGAGGAACTAGTAACGTACGAGAGCTCCAGCGGAGTAAACGCCTGCAGCACGCGCATTTGCGCTGTTCATCCACTGCGGCCTTCGGAACCGGAACAGGCGGTTTTCAGACATGATGTGGTCGAAAAAGTGCGGGAGTCGGGACAATGTGTGTCGAGATGGAAGCAGGAAGACTCAAGCTGTATGAACTTGGGAAATTATAAAGCCAAACCGGAAAGGCAGCAGTGGTCGACTCGTCGTAACTCGTACACCAGCAAGCAGCATGCGACCCTCTGTAACGCTGACGACCGATGGAGGTCGTTCTGGCTGCGGCTTGGGGGATTCACCCGAAGTTCTTCCGTGCTAAACCAGAGCACGTGACAAAGAATATCTGCACGTGACCGGATTGAGAGAGTGGCGGTGTAGTGACAGGGATAAATAGGGCCCGTTTTAAAATTGATCCTTGCACCGCAGGATCTTGATCTGGAATCTGGATATCCTGGCCGTGGCCGTACATTGACACGGATAGTTTTTCTGTTCTCCGATCTACCCAAAACAGCACACCAAAAATGGCGAACACCAAACCATCAAACATGGCGAAGTCCAAGCCATCAAGTTCCAAGCCATCTTCCAAACCGGGTTCCAAGCCAGGTTCCAAGCCGTCAGGCTTGGGGGAGAAGAAGCGGACCGGGAAGCCTCGTAAGGCGAAGGAGGAGGTGAAGACCTCCCGAGAGAAGCAAGGTCCCAAAAAGAAGCGAAGAACCTACACGGAGAAAGAGTTGGGGATTCCCACGTTGAACATGATCACCCCCGCGGGCGTCCAGAAACCTAGCGGGAAGAAGAAGGGCAAGGTCTTCGTGGACGACCCGGACAGCCTGCAGACCATTCTTGCTATGGTGAACGCAGAAAAAGAAGGTCAAATCGAGTCAAAAATGACCAAAGCGGTGGGTTTATTTAGTTTATTTGCGTACCTATACATCGTTTCTAATTGCGGACATATCCAGAGACATATGGAGGAGATTCGTGAAGCCCGCCGCAAAGAAGCAGAAGCTCGCCATGAGAGCAAGCGATCCAAGCTGGTAAGTGAACATCTATCTACCGCTGAAGTGAATATGTTGTTGACCGTACGAAAGGAGGAAACCAAAGGCGAACTGAAGCGCCAAAAGAAAAGACCCTCGGAATCTGACTCAGTCAAGCCGGAGGGCGAAGACTCTCAGGCTCGTGGGAAAGCCAAAAAGCGGGTATCCTTTGGATAAAAGAGCTGGACTTGTACATTATGCCCGAAGATACCACCGGAATGGCAGCTATATGGCCAACTGCAGTTTCCGTCGCATTGGGTGGAATTCAGGGGACCCATTTCCCGCATGCTTATATACTGGATCGTCCGATTGCACTGACTGCACTGAGTCCAAATCGATATCCTTGGCCATCGTCTTGAAAAATTTTCCGACCTAGAGGGATGAGTCAGGACGATCAGGCAGAACGGATAACAACTTACAGCTCGTGCAAACCACCTGCTTCCTCCAGTTTCAAACCAGGCAAGGTGGCCTCCGAGGGACGTTGTACAAAGAACGGCATATGGGTTGAACTTAAACTCCTCGAACGGAATGGCAGCTCGGACGGCAATCTACGGCTCCAGTCAGTGAGTGGGTTCCCTAAGGAAGATATGGTCTTACAGGATCATCGGTTGCATTGATGGCTAGCAAAGGAGTCCTCACCGCAAGCAATGCGTCGGAGGAGGAAGCGTCCCTATAATATGCGCCCTCTGATGGGTACCCCCATGTGGGCCCTTGCACATGTCTGAAGAGGTGTCAGCTTTGAGCGTCGCAGTCCAAGTCTGTGTGAAATACCTATCGAACTCATAGAGATACGTCGAGTTTCGAACAGCATCAATATCAATGCGGGGGTTTTTTGCAATTTGCTCCCAGTGTCTAGATCGTCAGTGGACTGCTTTTGCCAGGTGTTCGAGATTTGCCTCACTGTTCGAATAATCCTTTCATGTTCGTACCCATAACTTTTGAGTAAACGTTCAACCCCAGGAAGGAATTTTGGAGGACATGGTTGCTAACATCCAGATTCCATGGATTTGAGCAGACCACCGCGGCTTTGATGACGCTGTTGTCTCCCTCTTCTCCCAAATAGTTGGTCAAGATGTTCGCACCCAATGAGAACCCTACGGCAAACAGCGGGCGATTGGGAAACGTCTCCCGGAGCCACTTCACCAGTTGCCGGACATCCCAAGTGGCTCGGGCATTAAACAGCACCTCGCTGGTGATCTGCGACCTGGCGCAGCCTCGCGCATTGATGACGCACGCTTCCCAACCGCCCTCGTTGGTCACCTCTTCCAAGGCATGCCGCAGATAGACCTCGTGGGAGCCGCCGCTCAAGCCGTGAAGGAGCACTAGCATCGGTTTGCCATCCTCGGAGCCGATACCCTTGAATTCTTCGTCCGTAAAGAAGGTGGTCCTCGGGGGCAGAGACACGTCCGGCTTGTCTGCTTTGCTGTCCACCACGAAATCCACAGCGAAACTGCCCACAAATGCCGGGTTTTCGGCCTGGAATACCCTACGCCTGTAGTGCGTCTTGGGAGCAGCCTGGTTCACGGCCGTCCAGCAGGTTTGTACATGACCATTGAAAAGGAGTGGATTCAAGTGGCAAGGCGGGATAACTTTTCGAACAATCTCCGCGAATTCCGTCTCCTTTCCCCCGTTCGTCTTGAAGTTAACCGTCCTTTCCGGGTAGATAAAGGACATATCCGCATGTCCAATCCATGAAGCCATCTTAAAAAACAGGCGTTAGCGGAAGTAGTCAAAGCGAGAGAATAAGTAGGTCGGCAGAATAGATCAGGTTTAAAACGCTACGCCAAAATCTAGGACAGGACATAAAAACACTATTCTTAAACCTTTTCTCTCTAATTCCCTCCCAAAGATGAACGTTGCAGAATCTCCCTAGTGTTGCCAGTTGCCACCTTTCGCGGTGGTTGTCTACCTAGTACAGGCCCTACAGGGAGAAAGGAACATGAACCGCGGTCCGGAGTGGTTGTCCAATCAAACGCGTCATGTCACTGGATCGCGTTCTGCGCCACATTCAACGTCTCTCCGTCATCCTGTCCGTCTCATGGATCTGTCCAACACTCCAACTTCAGCATCAGGACGGCTTTGTAGCAGTCTATATTCATTAATACCGTACCATCTTCATTAATATTACAACTGTCTACAAGTACTGCATTCGCCAGTTGTGCGTCAACTTTGCACATCCAGAAGGAGACCATCTATTTGCACCACCTACCACGGTGCTTATGACCATGTGCCCATCATGAGTTGGCAGAACTATCCACCGACATACAATGGGATTCCTCCCCCGTATGGCACACCAAATAATGCCAACTTGCCCCCGCCTGATCAGTTTACACAGTCATTACCCGGACAGCCAATGCCATATGGCAGCCCTCACAACTTCCAACAGTCGGAGTACGCGACTCCAAGGCAGAATGCGTCCAGCCATCCCGCTGGACCCTATATTAATATGCCCGGTCCGCAACAGCAACATGTGCACCAGAACTACCAGGCCGTGAATCATCCGCAACCTCCACAACACCACATCCCCCAATTCCCACCCTATGGGCATCCTCAGGCCTATCATCCCCAATATTATGGACCTCCGGTTCAGAACCAGCAACCTCCACCCCCCATGCGCCAATTCTCACACTCCCAACCAGTCCCTCAACCAGGCCTACATGGGCAACCACAAGGTCAGCCACCGCGTCCGCCGCCTTCTAACCCCTCCCCTCAGCCCCAAGGGAGGAAGAATGTTGCGGTCGTGGTGCCTGGCCATTCAACGCAACATAAAGCTCCTAGTCAGACAAAGAGGAAGAGTTCAACCCCCCGGGTTGATGACCAGCCTGCAGTTGATCATCAGAAGGTGCTGCTCTGTCTTGCCGAAGAGTACATCGCCGCCGCCCATGGGATAGCTCCCCGTATTGCCAAAGACCCCGACCAGCGCGGGTTGGATGAGTATTCAAAACTCATGTCCACTGGTCTGGGGTGTATGGAGGCCGTGTTGAAGAATTTCCGCCTTCATCCACGTCAGGAAGCGAGTCTCCGGTTGAGATACGCGACGATCCTTAGCAAGGAGACTCAGAACCATGATTATGCTGAACTGGTTCTCACCAAATCCATCACTCTTTGCGACAGAAACAAACTGCTAGATCTCAAGTACAGCTCACAGCATCTCTTAGCGAGAGTTCTCTTCGAGACGCAACCGAGGGCAGCGTTGAAGTCACTGGATAAGTATGTTCAAGACGTCGAAGCGTAAGTATTCCTCTCTATCCTGGATTTCCACTCTCATTATAGACAGATATCAACATGTTCCATGGATCTATGCATTTCGTTTCCTAAGGGCGACGCTTTCGTTGCAGTCTACTAGCCACGTTGACATCTCTGCTGGACTGTCCAATCTTCGAAGCGTCGTCGAAACGGCGAGTAAGTGTGGTGACCAATTCGTCGCCGCAATGGCAGCGGTAATGGAAGGCCTGGCCCACTTGATGAAAACTGGACCCGAAAGCGTACAACAAACACAACATGCAATTGCTCAAGCCAGGAAGTTGCAGCAGCAATGCGGCGGTACCAAGGCGCTACCGATCTGGCGGCTGCTCGACTGCGTGCACCTAGCCTCTGCGCTTCAGAGCTCCGACCGCGACCAAGCAAAGGCGGTCATGCAAGACATGCATGAGTCCATGGACGCCGAGGGAGAACGAGACATGTGGTCCGACGATGGCTCGTTCGGCGTCGAGATTCGAACCGCTCCTGGCAATGGACTCACGGACGATACAGGCGGCGTGTTCAGAAAGACGGCCGATGGGCGGGATGCTTTGGTGTTCTCCTGGTTGCGCCATGATGAGGTCTATCTTCTCGCTTATTATCTCAGCGGGTTCACGATGGACCTGCATCTGATGAACGACGGGCGGGCCCAAGAATTCTTAAAGTCGGCCTCAATCAAGCTGCAAGGTAATTTAAACCTCTAAAAACCTTGATTTCTCGGCTGACGAAAGGCAAATAGCAGAATCGGCCGATAGCAAGGCATTCGGGGCTTTGAGCGACCAACTTGCGCACCAGAGCAGCCATAATCTCCTTCAATGGCAGATCCGCCTCCACGAAGCATTCACCGCTAGCACCAGGGAAGACTGGAATGCCGCCCAACGTATCCTCGAACAGCTCTTTTCGTCCGTCCAAAACCACCAAGTGCCCCACAATCTCTTCCGATGGGCAACCTATCTCTCCGGGCTCATTGCCCAAGGTCGCGGTAACTTAGATGAAGCGCTGTCGATCTTCCAGTCCCAAGTCTTTTCCCTTCCGTCGAGCCAAGCGGTACCCGATCTGTACGACCCGTACCTCACCCTCCGCATCCTCGCGAACCTCCACTCCCTACTGATCATCCGCGACCCGGCCCATCCGAAACATCACGAATGCGAAGCGCTCCTCACGCACTTGGTCCCCTTCTGCGCGTCGCATCCGAACCGCAGCATCGTGTCCCTCTACTACATCGTCCGCACCGTGGCCGACTCCTCCACGTCCGGCGGCGTAATCGGCCCCAAGAAATCCCTGCAGCAAGCGCTGTTCGAATGCAAGGCTATCTCGAACAACCAGCTGCTGCGCGTCTGCATGGGACTGGTGTGTTTGAAGTTCTTCCCCGGGATCGTGAGCGAGCAGTCGGTGAAGAGCGCGCGTGTCTTTGAGCGGCTGAGCAAGGAGAGCCTCTTGTGGAGTTGCGTCGCGGCGGGTAATATGGCGAGTACGTTGGAGGTGAACAATCATCGCGCCGAGGCGGATCAGGTGCGACGAGAGTCGGTGGCGAAGGTGGAGAGGTTGCCACAGGTATTAAGGAGGAGATGTGAGTTCTGAATCACAGGTAGTGCGGAAAGATGGCGCTTCATTCAATGTGAAATGTATTTCAGCCAAGGCGTCTGGAGGCTCGGGGAGAATCGGTTCAAATGAATAATTACAGTAATAGCAAAATGATCCTGCGCCTCTAAACCGTGGGTATCCCAGGTGCCCATTCCAGTTGGTCTGTCCTCTGCCAGGGGACCATTTGTGAACCTTCAATCACTCCCATTCGCAAACGCCAGAGATCATCCAATCATACTTCCTGCATAACAGCGTTATAAACAGAACCGCCGTCATCACCGCTTCTGGATCGCCGATACCCAGCAACCATTTCACCATCCCAACACCTTCTCCCCCTTCATATCCTCCCCCTTCCTCCACTCCTCCACCATCGCCACCGCCACCCTCACCACATCCAACGCGCTCCTCCCAACCGGGTTCCCCGTCCAGAAATCCCCCGACAAGTCGATTGGCCCCTGCGGCCCGCCTCCGACGCGTGGCTCGTTGCCCTTGCCCGCATCCTCCGGCACCTTCAACCGGTGCGCCCTGTGCGTGAACCACTGCGACGCGCCCATGGGCGGCTCCCGCTTGCTGGCCCGTTCCACCGTCCTCGGAAACGCGGCAGCCACGTGGTCGAAGAGGATGGAGGACGCTTTAGCGGACCAGGACAGCAGGCTCTCGTGGTTGTCGTGCAGCACGTGCGGGGGGGCGAGGTGCGCGGTCCAGGAGTTCTTGTCGACCGGGGCGGATTTGCCGGCGGTCCCGTTGGACGTCGACGGACGGTTCCGTTCGTTCTTGCTCATTTCGTAGACCTGCTGTGCTACGTGGCCAATATGACTCGCGATGGCGACGCCGAGGGCGAAATGGATGCCGAGGAGCGGGCTGTACTTGCCGCCGTCCATCCCAATGACGTAGAAGCGCGCTCGGAACTCTTTCCAGAGGGGGAGCAGGCTTTTCCATTGTTCGAGGTCGCCGGGGGTGTTGTTGCGGAGGTACCGACGGTAATCGGCAAGGTAGAAGGAGAGCATGAAGGCCATTATGCATTCGAGGGATAGGAGGAGACTGGCTGCATGCTCACGGCTCGACGGATTGAATCGATTGGAGTTGAACATGTCACCGGAAGTCCGTTTCAGCTTGCGACCGAGGGTCGAGTATTGTTGGGCCAGGAGTTTCCAGTACTCGCATTCTTCGGGTGAGCTGGTGTTGCGCACTCGGGATCGTGGCCGGGTAGACGAAGATGGGCCGATGGAGGAGGGTGTGGCCGCGTTCGACGGCGCGCTGCCTGGAGTGTGGATTGTCGGGGTGATAAGTGCCGGCGGGGAAGACTGGTTAATGGCTGGAAGGCCATTACTTGGGGCGGCCTGAGAAGGCTTCTCTTTCGTTGGCTCTAGCACCGCAGAATCCTTAGACCGCCTCGTCGCAGGCGGATAGCTAACCGAAGTAGAGTCCGATCGCTCCTTAGAATTCTTGGCGACTTTCTCTCCTTTCACCGGATCCACTCGGTTGTTAGTTGTGTTGGTCACGTTGTCAGCGTCCTTCAACACGGACTGCAAGCGAGCTCTACTCGCTTTGCGGAACTTGAGGGTCGATATAAGCGATCGACGCCTCCCCGTCCCACCCGCCACTTCATCTGCCTCCCGAGGTACGTTCCGAGGTGGATCGTGATCAACCGAGTCTCCATTTTTAGGTAAGCTTGGGCTTCCCGAAGGTTTTTTCATGGAGCGCGCAATGGCTTTTGGACCAGCCGAGGGATCGGGTGAGGCGACAGCTGGCGATTTGGGCGGAATCTTCTTGCCCGATTGCTTTCCTCCGCTCAGTTTCCGCAACTCAACTTCAATGGTTTCGGGAAGGTCGTCGTCGAGCATAGGTGGGAGACCCCACGGTGGTGATTGACTTTTGGAATTTAGAGCAGAGTCACCATTCGACGGTGGCAGGGTAGGGGATATCATTGGGGGTAAGCCATGTGGTGTGAGATTCTCGGGATCGTGACGCTCGGTTGCAGATCCGTGGGAAATACGTTTTGATGGTTCTTTTCCAACGCTCGGAGGCGGCGGAGAGGACCGTGATTTCTTTGCTGGCTTCTGCTCTTCAGACGGGCGAGAATCCGCCTTGGGTTTGTGGGTGGACTTTGTCCCGATCGCTTCCTCGTAGGACCTTCGATTGTCAAATCAACAGAGTATAGTAGCAGCTAAATTCGACATACCTCTTCCGGCTATGAGAATACCCTTGCTCAGATTCGCTTACATTGCGATGTTCTGAAAGTACATCATTCTCCGGTGCATCCATCGGTCGCGTCATCGGCATCGCCGATAGCTTCGCTACCACTTGATCGAGATTGATTTCAGGAATACCCTTTCGAGCTTCGCCTCCAACAATCCGAGTTGGCCCAAAGGTTGGCGTTGGAGTGTTCGAGAGTTTGCCTTCTTTTTTCGCCTTATATTGCCCAAAGGTCAACTTCTTCCGGGGAGCGCTGGTGGCTGACGTTGTGGGTCTCTCTTCGGCGTGTCCGTTCCTCTGTTTATCCTGAGCGCGGCGTTCTCTCTCTTGATCGAGTTTGGACTGCAGCATAAACAGAGTCTTTTCATGGTCCCTCAAGACGAAGGTTGAGTATTGGAGTTGGGATTCGTCGTATTCGAATAAAACGCCCTCGCAATGACCTTCCAGCCCAAAATGGCCGTCGAAGTATCGATATAGTGGAGGATCGTCGGGTACGGTAACTATATATGGATCGGTGGGAACAGCTTTATTGATACGTTCGACCGCAGCGTTCAGATGCTGTAGCTCCAGTTCTTCCTCCTGGTTCATCACGTATCGCGAAATGGAAGACTTAGAGCCAGGATGTGTCGAAAACGCGGTCTCCGAAGTGCGACTGAAAGGCAGTATGGACATGAGTGCTCCACGCAGGCGTCAGGTGAGGAGTCGAACGATTCCAAGCACAGGTAAGTCTCACTCCCAGTGAGCCGATCTAGCGCTCTACGCGGTCTCCACGAGCGCATATATTCTCGTGTACTTCGGTCGAGTCATCAGCGTGGTCGCTTGCAGATGCGTGCCAGGATATCAAACGGTTCGGTCGAGGATGATGTTGGTTGAATGACAAGCAAAAGGAGGCTGCAATCGCTATTGGGAGCCAAAGGATCGGAAAACAGAGGGAAGGTGGCTTAAACGAATGTAAACAAAACAGTCGCTGCGGTGTCGCTGGAGCGTTTGCGCTCATTCACGTGGGATCTGAACCAGCGACTTCTGTTCAGCGCATTGTTGCCCAGTGGGAGTATTCATTCGCGTGGTGATCAACGCTCGTCTTATGGCCCAATTCAGCGTTCCGACAGCTTGTGTTCTTCGATATGGATGGCGAGGTCCAGACTGGTATCCGCGTAGGGGTATGAGGCATCCAAAAGCTCAATGATCGACGTTGTGTGTGTACTCAGTTCGTCTCGAAAACCGACGGCGCGAAAACCAATGTTAAGCTCAGTGTCGCAAGTCGGGCACCATGTCGGACTCAACCTGACTTTGCGCTCAGCTTGGTAAGGACGGTGAGGAATCAGTCGCGAGGTTTCTTGGTTGCGCCGTGAAGGGATCTAGTGGAGTGATGATGCGCTCTGTGGATGGATAGAGGGGACGGAGGCATGACAGCAAGATGGAGGAGGTAGATAGTGTTAATGTGGCTGGAATTCTAAGGCCAGTGGCATCTGTGATCTGATATTCTGATATGGTTTATGGTATTATATTAGGTAGAGTAATAAGTGCAGTACCGGTAGGTACGGTAAGTAGGGAGTACAGTGTGGTATGTACAGTAGAACCCGAACATATAAATGAACGTGATGTAGAGGATGTGGAGGACAGGATGGGATGTGTGAAACTCTGCTGTGAATCAATCCGATGAAGTCAGGGAGGGAACACCACGTGCAGGGATCACATGTGGCGGTGCAGAGTAGAATGATCACGTGATACTATTGACCCAAACGAATGCCTTGGCAGCGGAGCAGGTTTGTCTCACACGCAGCCAGGCTTGCAAAGGCAGCTTAAGCACTGCTGCAGCGATGATGCTAGACGTCTACCCCCATTCCTGCAGCCGATCATATCAGATCAGATAATTGGTTCGTACATCTTTGGTGAGATGGATCGGCAGTATGTAATGCAGTTTGAATTACATGTAGGGCGTATGGCACTTGAGGCATTTAAGGAACCGTCAGCGGCACAATTGTAACACAAACTCGACTCCATCCCTAACATGTCCAGTCTCCTCCCGACCGATGAGATCGGTTGCTCTCAGTTTATGGTATTGTTGAGCCTTCGCACTTCATCATAACTAAGTACGCCATGGACGTCACCTCGAAATGCCTTTGCGGCTCTTCCTCGTTCACTGTTCGAATCGAGCAGTATCCCATCGAGGCACACCTGTGTCACTGTGATACATGTCGCCATGCCCACGGCGAATTCGCAGCCTTTCACGCCCCTTGGCCGGTGCCGCCGCCCGAGTCGCTGAAGACCATGACGGGGTATCAATCCTCCAGCTCTGTCACGCGATATTTCTGCAGCAAATGCGGAACGCAAATGGGGGATGCCGGCGCACACGGCCACCAATGGACGACATCGACCGCCACCGTCGACGAACCGGAGAAGTTGTTCGAATATAAACACCACATCTTCGTGCCGGACACGAAGGATGGCGGCCTTTCGGATTTGCTTCCGATGATCAATGGGAGGGAGATGCGGCTATGGAGAGGGGAGAAATATCAAAGCGAGGAGCTACCGAAGAGCTGGAAAGGAGCGCCCCCAGCTCCGGATCCTAGTGAGAGGCTCGAAGCACGATGCCTTTGCGGAGGAGTCAAGTTTTTCATTACCAGACCGGACGCGGATGTGGGAGCGCCAATTCCTCCACGAGAAGATCCGGACATCAAGAAGTACGTGTCGCGCAAGGGAAACAAATGGATGGCGTCGAACTGCGTTTGCAAATCATGTAGGCTCGCGTCGGGATGCGATATCAGCAGCTGGTATTTCGTGGCCACTCCCTTCATTACGCTGGAAGACGGAGCTCCGTTCAGAAACGTATTTGGGACCGGTCGGGAGTATTGTAGTTCGGAAAATGTGGCGAGAGTCTTCTGCAGTCGATGTGGTGCGACGGTCCTCTACCAAAATTTCCAACGACCGAAGATGGTCGATATCTCGGCTGGGATCCTGAGGTCCAAAGCAGGCGCCCGCGCGGAAGATTGGGCTGATTGGAATTTGGGGATCGACTATTCAAGCGAGGCGATAAATGCTTCTATGAGAGACGCCCTCCAGCAAGGGCTCAGTTCTTGGGGGCATGAAACCGGCTGAACGCCAATACCAAGGACAGTTCTGCAGCTTCAGGTTGCTTGATGCTTCTCGTCTGTTCATTGAGAGAGTGATCATATACACACGTCACATGATCCACGAACAGGCTCACTACACAGCGTGCAATACACGTCTTAGGCGGTCTTGATCTCGAAACTCAATTCCACTTTCCAAATTACCGGCATATGAGCGCCTAGGGAGCTGAACCGTAATACTGGTAAATATCAATCCAATCTTCCTTGCTGTGCAGAAGTCTCCACCAGTTGGGAGTTGAGACCCTTGCTGCTCCAAAGTCTGAAGCGTTTCCCACTGGACGTCATCCATCACCAACGCTACCACGCGAAAAGATCCATCTACAATTTCCCCGGTTCTCACCACCAATTTCCTCCGATAATCCATGGCGAGGTGCTTGCTAGCATGAAGATACCTGCTCCGTAGTTCTCGACTTTCCTGTGAATCGATCCCACGGCTCGAACGTACGGCCGTTCCACTCCGAAGATGCCGTCCATGCTGCTCGTCATCGCCGCTATCCATTTGATCATTCATCTGGTTAATACCTTTGGCACTTCAGGGGTCGATGAGCTGGTAAGCGCCTCTGCTTGACTGAAGCGGTCCTGGTGCTTTTGCTGACACAATACAGCTATGGATCTTGTACAACAAGCTCCCGACTCCGACATCAAAATCCGCCCAGGAACAACTTCGACTGCGGCGGGAAGTTCTACGACTGAAACGACAGATGCATGCCACGAGTGCGCAAGACGACTTTGCGAAATGGGCCAAGATTCGGAGGCAGCATGATAAGGTCCTGTCCGACTACGAGAAGATATGTACGTGATGGCGAGTTCAGCACCCCCACCGGCTGCCGACGCTAATGAATCACAACAGCATCGAACCTGTCCTCGGCGAAACGAACCTTCAGCGGAACACTCTCCACCGGTCGTCTTATCGCAACGAATGGCACAAAACTCGGGATTCAGTGGTGGTATGCGAAGCTGCCGATGTTCTGGATGCCGACCGGATGGGTTCCTTACTACGCGGAATGGATGCTCTCGTTCCCTCGAGCCCCATTAGGGAGCGTGAGCATCTACATATGGGGACTCGCGTGCGCCAGCGTAATCAGTCTCGTTAGCGAAGCCATCGTCGCATTGTATGCTCTTGCATTTGGTCAGGCAGTGGATCCGAGCAAGCTGAAGGCACAGAGTGAGGCCACGGAGGCTCCTCAGGAAGACAGAAGAAAAGAGCTATAATTTGTCTCTTGCATATCAAGCGCAGTATCCTTTCGCATATAATGAATCCAGCGGTGGAGAACCTTGCGCATATGAATGCGATATAGATATGTAGGAAGTATGTTTCTCAGCATCTGACGCGATGTCTTCAACGCCTTAGCTCAGACTCTGCAATGCGCATGAGATGGACCTTTGAAGGTCCAATGATTTACTTTTGGCGGTCTTTTTGAACCCGGCATTCATTTAAATAGTGTGAATCACCGGGTCTTCGAAGCGCCGTTCTTGGTGTGATGTTCAAACAATGGGGGGGGGCCGGGAAACGTATGTGGACCGATAAGACGGTGACATTCGCTATTCTAACAGCATATCCTACATTGGTCAAACATTGAATGATGTACTTATGGGGATCTTGGTTGTGGCTCCCCTAGGTCGGCGTTTTGGAAGGGATCTGGTTGATCTGGGTGAAGGAAATCCACTATTCGCCCATCATCTAGCTTCAAGCTCCATTCCAGCGTCTCGAACTAAAGGATGACAATGTTAGCAGCCAGATATACACAGGGGATATACACAGGGTCGAGATGACATACGTAACCCATCCTGGTTTTCCTCTCGCTTCGAAACCTCATCCACCCTCGTCCTTTGGTGCCCTTAACTGAAAATTGAATGTCTATACGCCCATGAAGCTGGTCAATGGATCCCCATATCCACGGGATCTTGCTGGCATAGAATATCTCATCGCCAAGGATCTCGCGAGCTTCGTCATTAACCCGCAGAGCATAGAGGGTACTTGACACCGTGCTCGACGAAAGCTTTTGATAATTGAAAATCGCCAACGTCGAGGCTCCGACGGCCAAGGCGAAAAGGGGGAGTGTTCGCAGAAAGCGGCGCGAGGGGGATACGTCTGGCAAGGCCCGATCGGACCGCCTACTCATCAGCGGCCCCGAGTTGGGTTTGGGTGCGGCAACCAGTGTTCGACGGCTGGCATTATTGCGGATCAGTCGTGAACAGACTGAGGACACGGGTCGGCCGCTCCTTGAGAGCATTAGAGCAGATCAAGTGGTTGGAAGGATGCTAGGTGATGAAATCCATCCACCGATGCACTTCAAGGACACGCGAGAATGTGCGAATTGGAAGTTTGGAGTCGTTGGACAGAAACTTAAAGCACCAGCTGCTAGTTCGGATGGAGCGAGGAGAGAATCCAAGAAATTGATGGGGCCCTGGTTACACGTGACTTCCCGATTTCAGTTTCCTTGCTGCCTGACTGATGCCTGATTTTCGCTATCAGTAATATCAATCGCAATTCGTAGGTTGCACTTCCTGTCACTTCTCCACTTCACATCTGGATCGTTCAATTGCATGCTCCCACATCTGAACATCATACACGGTTGTCGCAACGCGATTAAACGCGTCAATCGCTCATTCTCCCCTTATGGAAATCGACCCCGGTGGATGATGGGCCGAGCTATTGACCATCGTTGAATACTCGGCGCGTCGATGCTGATTACAGCCAAACCCCCAACCGATCCTCTTCACTCTTCATGAACCGCCCCGATGCCGGCGAATCGCCCCCGTGCGGCTTTTGAGCCCATTCCCCCGGCATTCGACCTCCATCGCCTCGTGGAAGAGACCCCAAACTTCCAATGGGTCGACCGGATTTCATTCGATAGGGTGCAGGAGCAACCCGCAGAGGTATTCGACAAGCTCATCCTGCTCCATGTGATTCAAGGCGGGAAACCTCTGGTTATAGAGGGATTGAACGAGTCCCTGGATGCATGGACGTTTACGGAGCAGTGGCTACGGTCGAATCACGGAGATAAAGGTGTGTGCTGAATAGACAGTATTCTCGAGGATCATGGCTCATGTCTACCAGTCGAAAATGCGCGAAACATCACGTTGAAGGATAATATCCCGCTCACGATAGGCCATTACCTGAAGCACATGGGAATTCTGACGGAACAGTTCTTCGAAAGCGCAAACAATTACCGCGACAAAAACCGTCAACGAATATATTTAAAAGACATCGACTGTCCACCCGTATGGGCCGATAAGCTGAAGGACGTGATACCTCATAGGCTCTTCTACCTAAATGAGAGCACGGGCGATGTCGGCGGAGCCGGCGCGATAGACGAATTCTCCTCTATCGGCGTCCGCAAAGGGAGAGGAATTGCCACCGCCGGAGACCTGATGAGTAGTCTCCCACCGGAGATGAGGGCCGAAAATCTTATGTGCTACATTGGACATGAGGGGACCTACACGCCTGCCCATCGCGAGATGTGCGCTTCGCTCGGCCAGAATATCATGGTGGAGGCGTCAGGCAAAGTTGGCGACAATGGGAAAGCGGAAAGACCTGGGAGCTCCATCTGGTTTATGACCGAGACCAAAGACCGTCACACCGTCCAGGAATATTGGCTGTCGGTTCTTGGGCACGACATCGAGGTGGAAACCCACTTCGCGCAGATGATGGCCTGGAAAAAGGCCCCCTTTCAGACCTACGTGGTCGAACAAAAGCCCGGCGACTTCATTCTCATCCCTCCGCTCGCGCCGCACCAAGTCTGGAATCGAGGGACGCGCACAATGAAGGTTGCCTGGAATCGGACCACGGTGGAAACGCTCGAATTGGCCTTCAATGAAGCCTTGGTGAATTCCAGGATGGTTTGCCGCGACGAGCAGTACAAGAACAAGGCGATTGTGTACTTTACCCTGCTGAAATATTCGCAACTCCTCCGGCGCGTGAAGACACAGATTGAACGGAATGATGCGGACGCCGAGAACCTTTTTCGTTCGAAGAAGGTCAGGCAAGTCAAGAAAGACTTTGTCAAACTGTTCAAACTCTTCAAAAGCATCGTGATATCGGAAATGTTCTCCCCTAATCGACCGACGGAGAAACCTGAATATATCCAATTTGATGGCAATGTCACATGCAGCTATTGCCGTGGAGACGTCTTCAACCGCTTCTTGACTTGCAAGACCTGTATGGATGTTGGCACTGGTGTTGATGAACCCTACGACATATGCATGGAATGCTACGTCATGGGCCGCAGCTGTAAATGCCAGTCTGGCTACCAATGGGTCGAGCAATGGAAATGGAAAGAGCTGACACATCGCTACGAAGAGTGGCGCCGGCAAATCATTGAATTTGAGGGTGGTGTTACTAGAAATACGCCACAGAGTTTGGAAGAGGAGCGAGAGTTGTATCACCCGCGAAATTTGGCGGAATTATGCCAGGAACAACTGGAACTACGCCCGTGGGTGGACGTCAACAGTCAAGAACCGGAGCGGGTTCTGGAGGAATTGTCGGACGAGGAGATACCGTTTGGAGGCGATGGTCGCGTCAAGAAGCGAGTGAACCGAAAGCCGAACCCTGGAGATTACGATGTGCGATGCCACGTCTGCCTTCGCTTCCATCCGCGCTGGATGGTCCAGATTTGCACTGGCTGTGAACGTCCGTGGTGCTACGGGACCCTCTGGCGGGCCCACGATAAGATGCCACAAGAAGTGATGGAAGACAAGTTTTGGGAGTGTCCACATTGCAAAAAAGAATGCAATGCGGGAGCTTGCCGTAAGGACCCACGACAAACGCCCTATGAGCCAAAGGGAACGCTACTCGGTCATGACACAAAGAAAATTGCCGATATGAGAAGCGTGGAGGTCTTGGTTGACTTCTCAAAGGCAAATCTTAATTGGTTAGGCGAGAAGCCGGCTGGGACGCCGGGCAATAACATTCGACTCGAGCGGAGACGAGAAGAGGCCGAAAGAGCTAAACGGGACGATCCGTTGCAGGACGACGATGATCATGATTTGGCCGATGGCACACCTCAAATCTCCTTTGAACCCGACGGAGACACACTGATCGATCCTCGCCTTGAAGGGACCGCGGCAATATCAGGGGAAAACAACGGGCTGGTAGACTCATCGCTTTTAGCCAATGACTCCTATCCTCCTATTTCAGACGTAATTCCTGACGATGCCTTCGACTATCCGTTCCATTCCGATTATGTCGACCATTCGCATTTGATGAATCAAAACGATCAGCCAGGTGAAGGAAATGGGAATAGCGATTCCTCCCTCTTCCCAGACCTTCTAAATCCGAAAAGCAAGAAGCGGAGCCGGTTCAGTGAAGCTAATGGCGGACTCCAGAAGAAGCGAAAAGCCGACGAAGCTGGATCGAATGGCGCCCCAAAGAAGATTGCATCGAAGCAATATCAGCAAGAACAGGAGAAGAAGCGCCTTGATAAGGCTAAGAAAGATGGCCGTTATATTCAGACGCTTGCGGCGATGCGCGGCAAGAGAAAATTAATCAAATTGAACCTGCAGCCGGATAATTTCAGAACCAAGCTGCTGGAGATTCAAGCGGCAAAACGGAAAGGCGCGCCCAATAATTCCCAACCTTCGACGAAACCCCGGAAGACCACCACGCTTCTTCAGTCCGACATTACCCAAGCGAATGAGCTACAATTGGGCACCCCGTTCGATATGCGGCCCAAGAAACCGGCGAACATTTTCAAAGCTCGCGTGGAGGAGGACGCTGAGTATCGATCTAGAGCTCGACCAAAGAAAAACAAGTTGGATGCAGTACCGTCTGCGTCAAGACCAAGGACGAGGGTTCAACAGTTCGAGGACATCGAAGTCGACTCCGACGAGGAAATGACTGAGGTGCTTCCGAAGAAAGACCGCCGCCGTGAGCGCCGAGGGTCAGGTGACAACGATATCCCGGACGAGCTTCCGGACAACTGGAAGGACGGGATGGCCAACCCACGTCGTAATAAGACCTCCACGAACGGAGGCGATCGTCGTCCCACGATGGCCCAGAAAGCGCTGAGGATCCGACCCTCTGGCACTGGTGCGAGCGCCGATAACATAAACGTGGACGGTACAGCGAGCGATACTGACTCGGTCCTGGACAGCCCAGACCGTAAACGTGGCAACGAGAGCCACCGAGCTACGGCGAAGTCAACCGGCGACCCGTCGGGCACGGCGAATTCCATCGCGCAGTCGGCCGCGAAGATGCTGGGGGAAGAGAATCGACGTGTCAAGCTGCTTGCCGCGCGTTGGGCCGAAGGGGAAGATGTGACCATGAACGACAGTCCCGACGCCGCAAGCGTGGGCGCTCCTGGTCCGACGATGAAAAAGACGCGAAAGTCGGGGAGACCACGGGCGGGCCCGGCGAGTAAAGTCAAGCAGAGCGTGCCGGCCAAAGGGCGGACTGTCACAGAGACTACGATTGAAATCTCGAGCGGCGAGAGTAGCGATGATAGCAGCGAGAATGAGATCCCGTCGGGACTGGCGACGCCGAATGGCCGGGTGGCATCTTCAAAGGTTGTCGATGTATGGGTTAAGCGGCTCTGAGGTTCCTGCCAGAGACGCACGGGTGAAGCGTTGGATTGAGATGGGCAGGGAGGTTGTGATGGATCCAACACTGAAGATGCAAGACATGCGTGGAGTCCTTGCTGGCATCGGGTCTTGGGTTCATTCTGCATGTACTCTCGCATGGAGAACCAGAACTAAACGGTCACACACAGTCAACAAGGTTAATGGACAGGTATATGCACCATTTCCATAGTTCATTGAATAGGACTGAGACCGGTAACCCCCCTCCCAGGTTGTTGTATGAGCAGAGCATGGAGATTCCCGGTGACGTTAACTCGCCCATCCCGCTGCCCAACCTGCCATTTCATCTGTAGTGATTTCTCTGGTTCTCATCGAAATCGACGATCCGAATTCCCCTCGCTCCAACAAATAGCATGCCAGTATATGCTTGCACACCGGTACGGACCCCGTCTCGTCCGCAAGCCGACTATCCAGACTACACCCGCCGTACGACGGAGCGCCAACCTCTCCCGCATCGACGCTATGCACGTGCTGGTTTTGCTCGAAGCCCACTACGTCGACGTCCGGAGGGAACGCGGCAAAGACGAACGCTGGACAGGAGCAGTTCCAGGAGGCGAGACTGACTTCGTAGACCAGTTCCGCGGTTGGTTGTTGCAGCTCCTGAATCGGGGATTCTGAGATTCCCGCCGCCATAGGGGTGGTGCGAGCGGAAGCGTCCGACGGTTCCGCTTGGGCGGACTGGACGAGATACGTAGCGGCCGACTGCCACGGTTCTAGATTGAACGTCAGCCATGATGCAGATAGAGGGATACCAAATCCACTTCCACGTACCTCGGGAGCCAACGCGTGAATCTGGTCGTTGTTTGCAGACGACCTTCGTGATGAGTTTCCGATCCATCAAATCCAGCGCGGCGAGAAGCTCGGAAGGGAAGATGGAATGGAGGGTCAGGAAGGCATCTCGTTGATCCTGTTGATGGAGATCCAGCGGATTGTCCGCATTGCTGGTCCCAAGCTTAATGGAGGCGCAGAGAGCGGTCACGAAGGCGCGTTTGGAGGGGAGGTCGGACGGCATGTTTCCAAAGGTTGTGAATCCATCATCACCGCTAGCGAGATTGACTGGCGAGGGAATTGTCTTGACCACGATTAAGGCTTAAGTTGTTGGGCGGCGTGACGGAAGCAAATACAAGAACTTGTTGCAGACGGTGGCAGATGGACGGAAGTATTCCGTTCCCAGTATGGGAATTAGGGCCCTGTGGGAAGGACAGTGTTGGATTTGGTTGAGTGAAAGGAAGTACTTCTATCATCTCAATACCTACGTACTTATGGAGCAGATTTCACACAATTACCAACTCACAAATTCACCAGATACCAGGAGGGATGGATGGAGGTTAGAATAAAGCCGGATTGACTTGCATTGAAGCCTGCATTGAAAGCATTGAAGCCGTCAAGGATGAAGGGCGGCGGGAAGCATCGCGAGAATTCGGAAATCGGACCTCCGAACGGGAGACAAGGGGTATTAAACCCTTCCGAATGATCGGCAACCCCTCCCGACTCCCGTTCCATTGTATCCGAATTGATACGGAGTATTATTACTTGATCGTCAGTAGGAATGCTCACAGCCTCCATCATGGGGCCAAGAGTGGTACAAACTAAACTATATGCATGTCCATCATCATCCATCTCCAAAGATCGTATGTTTCTTACGCATCGCCACCATCCAAGTCCTGGAAAGTGTAATTGCCCCAATCTCCGATGCGTCGAAGTCGTCGCACCATAACACCACCATCCACACCTGACGGCTAGGACCTGTCGCAAGCAAGCCACTCTGCAGCCATCAGCGATCGGGTCGCAACGAGGGCTCCCGTCATGCGTTGCTCCTGCGCTAGGTTCTTCATCAACCCGCGACCACCCCATCCTTGTGACTGATTCCCGGGAGACCATCCGGGATGTGTCGATCAGAAGAACAAGAAAGGTGCAGGGCGTGACCATTTCTCCTCATATTCACCCCACCCTTCCAGATTCAAGGTAACAAACAGGAACGTGACCCCCGGGGAGGGGGGGTGATGATGAAGCGGAGGGTGGTAACCAGGGTGTCCTCGTGTACATAGTAAAGGTACTTTGGACTGATTGCAGGCAGGCAAACGATTGCTGGAGGATGCTCACATCCTGCACGATGTCACGTTGTTTGCGATTCTGTGGATGGGGACAGTTAATGAATGGATTGAATTGAGGAAGGCTGATCATTAAGATCTCAACTTCCAGGGGCGAGTCAATCCCTCAGTGGAAAGCGCATGAAATGCCGCATCAATTGATGAATGGCTTGGCTCAATGCCTAATCCTCGAATGACATTCCTTCCATTGGCGATTCCATGCTTCTGTCCAACAAGGGCGTATAAAGGGAACTAACTCTTCAACCTTCGCTGTTGTCTAGGAGGTGAGGGTCTAGAGCATTGTCCTGTCAGAGGCAAGACTACTTTGTACCGTACCAGCTGGACACTGGTACTCCATATAGAAATATGGATGGAGGTACCTCAATTCCGAAGCGGGCACGTTTGTTCTCTCCCGCAATGGTACTAAAATACTGGTGACAATTGCATGTCAGCCTGACTGACCCAGTCGGCAGACCGGAATAATGGCGAGTTGCAAGGGTTAGCCCAATACCAGTAGGATTTAATTGGTGATTGATGGCTCCATTCCACCCTTTGACTCATCGCTCCCCCGTATACCGAGGAGGCGGAGGTCGTCGATTCACGATTACTATCGGGGACCAGCAATTGCCCAATCACTCCACCCAATCGACTCTAGATCGAGACCATGGGTGATGTCGTGGCATGTTCGCAACTCAACAATTGATCAACCATTGATATGATTCCCATCCCATTGCAGGAGCTGAGGCGATGTGGCGCGGTTTGTTGCGAATTTCATGACTGGGGATCAGATGCGGATAGGATCCACGAAATATTGCAGCGAAAGGCGGCCAACAACTGGGCTCAATTGACCGAGACAGCCTTGGGACACTGCAGGATGGACATGCTAAACAAAGAGGGAATCCTGAATTCAACCCGATTTGCTTGGTCGCCTCATGGGTCGCCAGGATGCATATCGGGTTGTTTTCAGAACAATGCTGCCTGGCGATATGCCTCCGACGGTGACACGTGGATTCCTCCGCCTCCCTTTCACGGGTTTCATCATTCTGAAAAGCCCCGTCTACATTCATACATAGTGGTTCTAATTGACACCTGGGTTGCTCATTTGCCTCAGGTTTGGGACCGTTCGAATCAATTGAAAGCAAGTGATGGGGGAGCAAGGGGCCATGATTGACGTGTACAAGTTGCAAGGAGGGCGAATATTTCTCAATTGCAGTTCTTTCCTCAGTTCATGTGTCGCTGCTAGATTAGGGATGACACTGCATTAATAATGATAGTGAGAAGGAGGAGGATGAACCATGAACCAAATGAAGTCGGTATGAAGTATGAAGTGTTTTGCCCTGTCCGATACTCCGATGGTCGAAATCGGGGTAGTGGGCCTCCCGTCCGTTGCCCACCTGGCCACCCCCGCCACCAGTCCGTGATCCACATGAACGACCAGAAATACGGCAGGATTGATACAGTATCCAGTAGAATACTCCGTACTAAAATGTATCGTATGAGATCTAGTGGATACCAATTCAGGGTAATCTGACCCCCCTTCACTCAGTGGCGGAGCACGGTGCGGGCGGGAGCATTCGCTGGGGAGTCGGAACCAGAAGACTCACAACCATCGAGATAATGGTGCCCGATCACAAGCGCGGGCAATTCTTCATGGGAAGAGTCATACTAGTGCATAATGTGGAATTGAGTCCTCCACAAAGCCATTGACCAACAATTGATTAAGAATTCGAAAAGGCAGCGTGGCCGTCACTCATGGCGATGGTGGGCTGGAGAGTGATAGATCACTGATCAGATGCCATCAGATGCCCTCATCCTTGGCTCATACCCCCCTCTCGGTTCTAATACGGAGGTTTGTCATTGATTGGAAATCCAAGCGGAATCAGGCTATCCACATCTGACACATGACGCCTGACGAGTGACTCCTTGGTTGATGGTTCATGGCTGTTTCTCCCCGTCTGTTCGCCAGTGGTGTTTTTTGGTTTTGCCATCCATCACCAATTCACCATCCATGCATCACCTCCATCTTCCCTCCCCTCCTCCCCCAATTCCCCAATGCCGCAGCCTGATTGACCAATCCTGGCTCCTCTCCATCCGCCTCCCAGACTGCACCTTCACACTGGTCCATTTGATTCTGGCTCCTCCCGAGGGGGAGGCATGGGGACTGGGGGAGGTGCTGCAGTTAACGGGGGCTATTATTTCTATCAGCTATTTCTGTCGCCCTCCATTATGGATGGCGTTGGTGAGATGCGAGGGACAAGGCCAGATGGATGGATCATGCGCAATGCCGTCGGCCTTCCTGCAGGCAACGACTCAGGCGCGTAAGACGATACTTCGCAATTGGATTTGCAATTCGCTTTCAATCCTCCCTCTCTCGGTGAGTCGGTAGTTTTCCCTCTCTCAGCCCTTTCCCCTTTCAGGAACCTGACCGGCGGCCTTCGTTCGGATTCTTGCGACATCTTTACGTGGTGCGCGGTCGGCGGTTTATTCGTCCGCTATTAATACCGGTATTTGGGGGATTCCTTCCCTTAACCGACTTACTCACCTACTCATCCATCATCCATTGTTTCAGTGTTGGGAACTGACTGGGGGATGACCTATGGGTAGGGAGGAGGGAGGAGTCATCTGGACGACTGAACCACATCTACTCCACGCTAAGTCCGGTCGTATGGTACTATGAGTTATGATACGGTACTCACTTGTCCTCTGCAAGACACACACACATCATCTGCAGTCTGCATCCCCCCAGTCACTCCACAGTCCACGTCGCCCCCCTCCCAGTGCCCAATTCCATCATCCATCCGCGCCCAAACTCTCCCCCCCAAGTCCAAGTCCCATCTCGTCAGATTCTACCTAATTCTTCGCTTCGCTGCAGCCTATTCTTGATCCAAAAGGCGGTTTCTAATCGGGCTGGCCCATAAAACTGCTTTTGTTTCCCCCATTTTCCCTTCTTCTTCCTTTTCGGGGCTTTCCTTGTGTCACCACTTTCGCTCCTCGCCGTGTCGCGTGTGCTTGGTTCCTAGCAACGCCCTTCACCACCACCACATCCTCCGTTTGCACACGAGAACATTGTCGATTGTGAGTGTGACTGGTACTCTTCACTCGAAGAATGGTCCAGTCAGTTTTGCTGTCACTGAGAACCGTGGATTTGGACGATTCGGTCCAATATAAACTCCGTCGGACCTGCGCCTTAACACCGTTGCCACCCTTGGTCCTCATCGCCGTTGCCTACCAAACCGACTATATCCAACGATAAATACCACCTTCGACGAGAACCTTCGACGAGAACAGTCACACCTATTCATTCATCAATAGCGACACTGCTTTATTGTCGCTATTCACCATTCAGCCAACGGTACCAAATTCACCGCACCGGACTGCAGTCCATCGCCGACACCATGGCTGCCCACCGCTTTATAACCCCCAATTCCCACGCTCCACGAGGCTTCGACATCCATTCAATTCTCTCTCCACCCGAATCAGGGCGCATCGAATCTTTCTCTCCAACTTCCGTCTCAGCGATCCGAACGCCCCGATCTTCATTCACATCGGACAACGCGGTGATGCCGTCGAAAGATATCAACGCCAACCGGGTGATGGGCCCGACCCTCCGGGCTCCTCTCCCCATCTCTCCTCCCATCTCCCCGGCTACAAATCTCGTCGACAACTCCAAATCTCAGGCCGTCGAGGGCGACACGTCCAGGGACCCACTTCTCTATCCGGTTGATTTCCCAGCTACCGGCACCGTTCTCCCTGCAAGTGAGCCTTTGTTTCCAGATGGGCAACCAGACCCGTCCATGGATGCTGTGGTCGATCAGCACATGAAGTCGAATTCCTTTGCTGTAGCTGGTACCGAACCCCCCTCTCGAGCCGAGTACCTGCTGGTCGCATCATGTTGCTCCCGAATCCACCAGCTGGTGGACAAGAGTCCGGGAGGTTACATGGCTTCCACCCTCAAGGACAACGATGTGTACCGGAAGAGGAAGTTGGAAGACACCATCGTTTCGGCTCACCGGAGACTTGCGCCCGCACCGAACAAACGACCCCGCCTCCATGCTCCCCCTTCCGCTCCCCGGACGCCGCGAGGTCCTAAGCGAACCTCCTCCATCTCGACCAAGCCTGTCTTCGGGAACGATCGTCTCTCCAACCCGGTCCCCAAGGCACCTCGCGCTCCGACCTCTCGCGATGACGTGGAGTTCGATTCCCTTCCGGACTACTGCCCGCCCCTTGCCACGCTCGGCAGCAACAGCAAGGCGTTGAAGGGCGACTGGAAGGGCCAGGCTCTCGATCTTTCGCAGGACAAAGACCGCGAGCTTCTTCACGAAGCCGAGGTGGCCATCGCCGCCACGCTCCGTCTCTCCTGCGCGACCTACCTGTGCAGCAAGCGACGCATCTTCCAAGGCCGCCTCGAGGCTCTCACCAAAGGCAAGGAGTTCCGCAAGACCGATGCCCAGCAGGCGTGCAAGATCGATGTGAACAAGGCGAGCAAGCTGTGGACGGCGTACGACCGGGTGGGCTGGTTCCACCCCGAGTTCTTTCGCCAGTTCCTTTAAATGGCCATTCAATTATGACTCTACCACGACATGGATGACCAAGATACCTCATAGGCGCTAAATTGGAATTGCTTTGCAATCCTAGGTTGCGCATCGGGTGTCAGCCACAACTCGTGGTCTTTTCGATGGAACAGATGAATCCCTCGTTGGGTACTGATTTCCTATGTTCTGTTCTCTCTCAATATGATTTGCATGAGCACCGTGAGCCTGGACTGTTATTTTCCCCCATCCCTTTTCATCCCCACGTGGTGTTTTCGCATTGATGGGTTTCTTCATGCCGACTAGACGTCATGGGTCTGGTGTTTTCTGGGATTCGAATTCGAATCATGTGCGTGCCCCAATTTGACGACCTTCGGCAACTACTCGGCGTTTGGAATGGACTCAGGGACAGTCATGGTTTTCGGTTCATCACACATACCCCTCTCAGTCAGTCGGGGGCAGCGAAGGATGCAGTGATGCAGTGATGCAGTGGTTGGGTACGGTTGGGAAGTAGAGCAATCGTTTGGCAGGCTTTGGCCTCAGATAGGCTAGTCATGAGAGTCGTCCTCGTATGGGGACTTGACATCCGATCGCTCAGATATGACCAATTGAAGATAGAATAATCCACATCATTCTCTCATCGAGTGAACGAGAGCATATAATGCTGGACTATTTCGTGCACCGAAAATCAATAATAAATAATAAAATTATGTTCAGTTGTCAGCAGAAACTTGGCCGTTAGTGGCGGGTGGCAGCGGACGGAGACAGCCAGATTCTTAGCCCCCAGCCAAGGCGTAGGTAATAATAACTAACACTGCTAGATCGGACCCCGGCGCATGCGCTCCAGCAATTCAGTATCAACCTCACATCCTCACTCCGTGTACGTGTACAGCCGTAAACTCCTTGTCACTACTCTCGTCACCCAACACATCGATTCTTCGTCATCTACCCTACTGAACCGCTCTGTCGTTCACTGAGTAGGATATCAACCGATCATTTCCCGGCGCCTTCCACCGCGTGTTCTTGGGACCATTTTCCAGCATCGCTCGGTCGATGCTGGTGCATTAACCATTGCCAGGAACCTTCTCCGCCATGTCGTCCCAGGATGCTCCCAAGCCAGACTCCATCAGGTCGGAGGAAAGGCAAATCGAGGATAGCAAGAAGAAGACCAAGAGCAAAAGACCGGCCAGTATGCCGACCCCTTCAGCATCAATCTTCGTAGTTCCACCGCTGACGGCTTCTTTGCACCGCAGACACGGCCTTCCGACAACAGCGGTTGAAAGCATGGCAGTACGTGACGACGCTCGTGGTTGGACCATTCGGATATATCTAATCTTGCCCTTTTAGACCGATCCTGACGCCCAAAACCGTTCTCCCGCTCTTCTTCATAGTCGGCATCATATTCGCTCCCATCGGCGGGCTTTTGTTATGGGCGAGCAGTCTGGTACGCAAAATCGGAGGACTGAGATATCATGGATTATCATGCTGACTACAACGCTCGGTTATCTAGGTGGAAGAAATATCGATCGATTACTCCCCATGCGTCTTCGATGCGCCTGATGCCCCCGCATGGGCGGATGTCCCCTCCGACAAGGTCTCCAAATATTTCAAACCGTCCGATTACGGTGCGGGAACCCCGCCACAATGGCAGAAATCCACCGTGGAGATCAAGTACGATGGGGTTGGTCTATCTACCCCCGTTTGCTCCCTTCAATTCGACATCACGAACGAGATTGGGCCTCCAGTTCTCTTCTATTACCGATTGACCAACTTCTACCAAAATCACCGACGATATGTCAAGTCATTTGACGTATCCCAATTGAAAGGAGATGCGGTACCCCAAGGCTCCCTTGCCTCGGACTGCGACCCCTTGCGAGTGAACCCGAACGGCACCGCCTACTATCCATGCGGCTTGATTGCCAACTCCTTCTTCAACGATACGTTCACCACGCCCGTCCTGACCAATGCCGCCAAATCTTCCGACCCGCGCGAGGCATACAATATGACGGCCAAGGGCATCGCCTGGGCGAGCGAAGCGGATCTGTACGGGAAGTCGGCCTACAAAAACGACGAAGTCGTCCCTCCTCCCAACTGGCACGATCGATTCCCCAATGATTACACCGATTCCAACCCGATGCCGGACTTCCACCAAGACGAGGCGTTCCAGGTCTGGATGCGGACGGCCGGTCTTCCCAACTTCAGCAAGCTCGCGATGAGGAACGACCAGGCGCCCATGAAGGCTGGCAGGTATCAGGTGGAGATCAACGACTGTAAAGAATGCTACCGAACCACGAAACCGACACTCCGTGGCTAATCGCTTCTAGACTTCCCGGTTACAACATATGGCGGCACCAAGTCCATCATGATATCGACCCGGACCGTCATGGGGGGGAAAAATCCATTCTTGGGCATCGCCTATGTGGTGGTGGGCGGGCTATGCATCCTCCTCGGTGCCTTGTTCACGGCGACGCATTTGATCAAACCCAGGTAAGATACCGGACACCCCGCGTTCTGGAGCAACAAGAATGACATGCTGACTCGGCGGTGTCATAGAAAACTTGGAGATCATACGTACCTCACATGGAACAGCGACCAGCAGGACACGGCGACGGCGACCGGCCGGGCTCCACGAACGAATGAAGCGGCATGATGAATCCACGGATCTAGATCGGGTCTTATTTATGTCTCAGTTTTTCCTTTAAGGTTTCCTTCTGCATGGAGGGCTTTGGCGGCTGGAGTTGCCCACGGTCGAGAAGAGTCGATAGTTCGATGTATGGGCGGGGTCCTCTTTTCTCCCGGTTTTTTGTACGAAAGTTCATGTCAAGTTTCCCCTTGGCGTCGTGGATTCCGATTGTTCTAGAATCAAATGCGTTGTTACCATGTGCTTGTTTCTCTCTTCCACCAGATTCAGATCTCCGTTCCCCAGATGTCCCCTCTTTGTTCGCGAGGATCCGATCCGATCCGAATGTGTGTCGATCCTCCATTGTGGTTAGGTCTGTCTGTTGCACAGGTTTTGGAGCAAATTGGTTGTTTACGTTTGGCTGTCGAGCAACGGAACCACGATGCCCAAAATTCCTGTTCCAAAGACGATGAAGCATATAAGCCCGGTGATCATCCCTCTAGTCTTCAAAGGAGAGAAGCCCGGCAATTCCATTCAGTCTGTCCTTTTCACTGGATATTGTTCTTCCGCCTAGGGAGAGTCGACATATGGTTGTTTAGTTTGTATCCATTCATCGCTTCTTAAATCTTCCTGAAACTTAGTACCCATTCCTTGTCCTCGGCATGCGCAACCCTTCCTCCTTGCGCCCCTGGCCCTGCTTTTGCGCATCCCTTACTGCAGCTTCTAGGGACAACCGGACAGTTCAACATCTTCGCTGCGGCTCAACTGTCGGTTAAGGCGCCAGGGACTACATCAGGGCCCTCAACGCTAGCATGACAACAGTGTCGGTTCCCTTCCACACGAACGCGGGCCGTCCTCGCCAAACGCCAGTCCCCTATCGCGGTTCCCGCCGTCTTCCATACCGTCGCCACCACCGCCAAAGCCTGCAACTTCACGCAGGCGATGGCCAACGCCCAAGTTGCACAACTGAACAAGGCCTAAAATCCCTACGGCATCTCCTTTATCCTTGTAGACACCACTTTCACTGTGAGCGACGTGAGAACCGTCAGCGCCGGCGTCGCGGACGATGCCATGAAGCGGGCGTTACGGCAGGGCACGTATGCGACCTTGAACATCTACTTCTAGACCGACATAGATGGTGGGGTGCTGAGACGCTGCACGTCGCCATCCGCGCTAGACGCGCCACCGCCAGCCGACCGAAGTCTCTACTTCTTCGACGGCTGCAATATCATGGCATCCACGATGCCCGGCGGTGGCGAATTGAGCTATGCCCAAGGCATGGCCGCCGTGCATGAGACGAGTCACTGGATGGGGTTGCTTCACACATTCGAAGGGGATTCGTGTACAAGCGACGGGGACTTTATCGCGGACACGCCGCAGCAGTCGGTCAGCACTGACCAATATCCCAGGAGTCCGGCCAAAGACACGTACCCTGATCAGCCTAGATTGGATCCGATCTATAACTACATGGATTACAGCACGGACGAATGTTATGAAGGCTTCATGCCGATGCAGCATCAACGAATGATGGAGATGTGGGCCATGCATCGGGCCGGACACGTTGCCGCATAGTCAGCTGTATCCTGGACGCCGAGACCGACGGCCAATATGTTTCGTGTTTTCACTTGGATAATATTTTGTATATAGACGGATTGGATACTGAATGGGCATCGTGTTCGGGAGGATTGATTGCCGCCTCGGTTAATTTGCATTGTCGATGGCCAGGTTTCCGATTATATACCACATACTCCATCCGTACCTTAGCAATAACCCAAAAAATAAACAATACTTAAACATTGTCTTAACGAAGTTCATAGATATCATCAACTGCGCAATTAACTTGCATGGTATCACGTACGGCGATTGAATTGGGAGAAGTGGACTGTACCTTTAGTTAATAATACGGAATATGGCGTCACTGCAATCCAAAGAATTGCGCAATCGCCAAGACCGGGGTCATCAATAATCGGTCTAAGTCGGATCGGAAAATTTTGAATTACTGTTCAATTAATGGGGCATTTCGAATGAGATTGATCTACAGATTTCATCCAAGTCCAGGTAAATCAGATCCTACCGGTTGTCATCTAACTGCTGTGTCATCGCGTACTAGATCCTGTCCTCGCACAAGCGTCAATCAGACGAGACAGTGCCCGATATCCTTGAACATCATCCCTTCCAACGCGAGAAAGCTTTCTGCTAGGCATTCAATTTCACGCACTAGTTAACAATGGCAAATTCTCCTCATGGTATGGCTCTATCCACAATGTAATCATTGTTCTAGGCTAAGACAGGCTTCTAGGCGGGATCCTGAAAGATCTCATTGCGCGAGACGCACCACGTCGCGAGGAATTGTACCGGGAAGCTGAGACTCTGCCAGCTATTACGTTGACAGAGCGGCAATTATGTGACCTCGAGCTGATCCTCAACGGAGGGTTCTCTCCTCTAGAGGGTGCGTATTCCATTTGGATCCAATTTCCAAGACTCGCGCTGATATCATGACCAGGTTTCATGTCCGAAAAAGACTACAATGGGTAGGGACTGAGGAATAGAAGTGTTCGACCTATGCTAACTTATCTAGTGTTGTGGAAAACCTTCGATTGACGGACGGCAATCTTTTCAGCATGCCAATTACTCTGGATCTTACCCAGAAGACCATTGAAGACCTGGGCATCAAGTCAGGGGCTAGATTAGCTCTACGGGACTTCCGTGATGACCGCAATTTGGCCATCATCACTGTCGAAGACGTCTACAAGCCTGACAAGTACGTATTGTTTGTCCTGAGTCCATTTTCTAATGCGCTAACGACCCACCAGGGACCGAGAGGCCAAGCTGGTGTTTGGCGGTGATCCGGAGCACCCTGCGATCAAGTATCTTCTCAACAGCGCAGAAGAATACTATGTTGGAGGCAAGATTGATGCTATTGACCGCCTCATGCATTACGACTATGTAGATCTCCGCTACAGCCCAGCAGAACTCCGTCTTCACTTCGACAAGCTCGGATGGGGACGTGTGGTTGCCTTCCAGACCCGAAACCCGATGCATCGCGCTCATCGAGAGCTCACCGTTCGGGCTGCCCGAGCTCGACAGGCCAATGTGCTGATTCATCCCGTCGTGGGGTTGACCAAGCCCGGTGACATTGACCATTTTACGCGGGTGCGCGTTTACCAGGCTCTTCTGCCTCGGTATCCCAATGGAATGGCCGTCCTCGGTCTTCTCCCGCTTGCTATGCGTATGGGAGGGCCGCGGGAAGCCATCTGGCACGCCATTATCCGGAAGAATCATGGAGCTACACATTTTATCGTTGGTCGCGACCATGCGGGACCGGGGAAAAACAGCAAGGGCGTCGATTTCTACGGCCCCTATGACGCTCAAGAAGCCGTGGAGAAATACCGCGATGAACTCGGAATTGAGGTTGTACCGTTCCAGCAGATGACATATCTGCCGGACAGCGACGAGTACAAGCCGCGGGATGAGGTCGAGGCGGGCGTCCGCACCTTGGATATTAGTGGAACTGGTAGGTGAATTGGTGACCTTACCATGAATCATATGCTTATTCTGAACAGAACTCCGTCGTCGACTCCGTACCGGTGTAGATATTCCGGACTGGTTCTCATACCCAGAAGTCGTCAAGGTGCTTCGAGAATCCCATCCACCCCGCGCGAAGCAGGGTTTCTGTGTCTTCCTGACCGGCTTCCAAAACAGCGGCAAAGATGCCATTGCTCGCGCACTGAACGTCACCCTAAACCAACAAGGCGGTCGGGCTGTCAGTCTTCTCCTAGGAGAAACCGTCCGACACGAACTGAGCTCAGAACTGGGATACACTAGAGAAGATCGCGACAAGAACATCGGTCGTATCGCCTTTGTCGCTTCCGAGCTCACAAAATCCGGTTCCGCGGTCATTGCCGCTCCAATCGCTCCATTCGAAACGGCCAGGAAACAGGCACGAGAGCTGGTTGAGAAGCACGGCTCTTTCTACCTGGTTCATGTGGCAACGAGCTTGGAGTTCTGCGAGAAGACTGACAAGCGAGGCATTTATGAGAAGGCAAGGAGAGGGGAGATCAAGGGGTTCACTGGCGTTGACGATCCGTACGAGGTTCCTACGAAAGCGGATTTGGTGGTCGATGCCGAAAAGACGAACGTCAGGACTATTGTTCATCAGATTGTGCTCTTGTTGGAAGCCGAAGGATTGCTTGACCAGTTCTAGGGGGACGAAGAACTGGCGGATGATGGAAAGTGATGTGGGAAATATACTAGGTTCTATGTGACGTCGAAAGTTATGGCGAGCTGTCATTATCGCTTGTTGGCGACTTGATATAGATATTACACATGTACGCAGCTGAATCCGACAGCGCGATTTTCATGCCTCTATTTGAATACACATTTTCGACGATCCATCGAGTGCGGCAAATATCATCCAATCCGTTCTTTCAGCCCGAGTCACCGAAGCGAGGATCCACCAGTGCGCCCAATTCCTTCTTTTTGTCCATCGCCAGGTCATTTCCCGCCTTCACCTGATCCTTGCATGCATTTAGCAACGACAAGGCCTCGGTATCGACTCGCCCTCTTAACGATCGAATTAGGCGGGGAACACATCGTCCGGTGGAGTAGAGGACTCCCATTGAACCTTCCATTTGCGCATGAAGAAGTAAAAGAGTCAGCAGAAGATATCGCGGTCCGTCCGTATTCATATCTCGAAGTTGCGCCCGCATCTGCATGAGCATTGTTTCTCTTGCTTCGCTCAGCTCATCAGTAGTGGGGACAGAGATACGCAATTGTCCCCTGAGTTTGTCGGTGGCGCTTTGCAATTTGCGCATGGATTGGGCCGAATCCTCTCCGTCAGCCGGGAGATTCAAGTTGAAGTCTTTGATCGCCTTGGCCGCCTTCGGGGAACGCTGAAGGCTAGAGGGACCGGCAGTCTTGATCTTAGGCCTGATAACATCCGCAAGCATGTATGAGGTCAAGATCTCGGTCAACTGTTCTCGAAGAGACTCGTTGGATGGCTCTTGCAGATGTGATGATCGGAGCGAAGACGACCTCAGTTCCCACTCCAAAACAACCTCCTCCCACGTTTTTGCGAGCTCGATCATCAAGGATGACTCCAATGAAGAAAGTTGGGTGCTGAAAGAACCTCTCGCTCCCGTGGCAAGGCACGGTTTATAAACGGAGTTAACCATCTCAATCGGCACATCGTGTTTCGACGAGAGTGACTCAATCAAACTCGTAGAATTGAGAGTGAGCGCAGAACGGGAAGAGTGTTCCCACTGTGTTGCAGCTTGCGCCGCTGCAGCTGTTTTCGCGGCCTCGACCATGTCGTCTAACAGTTCGTCTCGGACGAGGAAATTTTCATAGAGTTTTGAACCGGACCCTCCAGAGATAGATTCCAGAGCCTGATTCGTGATTTCACCCCTGACTTTCTTCGGCATGTCTTTGAATAGGTCCTGTGGAGTGTCAGTAAAGAAGCTTACAATACTCTGCACAATGCACGGGAAGTTTCACGAACACTAAGGTCGGCATATCCCAATTCTTCGAACGATTTTCGGGGTGATGACCCTGCATTTGATAGCCATCGAGAAGAGACAACGGTATTTTGGGTAGCAATGAGATCTCCCGAAGCCGAGTGTTCAGCAAAGTAACTCTTCGCAGCTGGCACGCCGTCAAAGACAGCAGGGAATTGCAAGGAAAGAGAGGAAAACTCCAACCACGGGACCTGCCCAGACAGCAGATCCCCCACTTTATTGGCTAATTCGCCTTGAGGAGTGACTATAGGCGTAAATATGATGGTTTTGCCGTCACCCATGTCTTCGAGTTTGCCGTCGTTCTTTGCTGTTAGAGGACTAGCATACTCAACGAAGCTTTCTCGGTCCAAACCATATAGGTCCTCTTTATGAAACTTGATAGACCTGTGGACCGTAAGCTTCAGATAATCCAATCACAGGATGTACCTACTCGTGTTTCATGGAAGCTTGCAAAAACCTCGTCTTCAGACCTTCCGTTGTCCTCCGTGAGACCTCGTCGTGGAAGATATAGGTCTTTTCCAGACCACCTTCAGGAACCCACTGTTTGAGGATCCAAGAGCCTTCCTTCAGAAGCTTTTGAGCAAGATCTGAGACACAAGTTTCGGCGATATTGGACGAACGTGCAAAATTCCCCACGGAGACAAACCCGTCCTTGGCCCTTTTGCGTAAGGAGTCTTCGATCTGCTTCATCAGGGCCAAAGGGATCAAATCCTCACCATGGAAAGACCGAGGCCCCGTTGCATTTTGCTTGACGAATTCCACATCAACATCAATCTGTGCAGCCACCGACGCGATGCTCCGGGGTTCAAGTGCTCCTTCGCTTTCCAACGCGTCCGTTATGGCGTTCAAACGGCTCTTGGTGCTGTAATATGCATTGCCAGACGGTGACGGGACAAGAAATGCTGAATAATCTGGCTCTGAAGAAGGATCTGCCCCTAAACTCACCACTGATGTCGCTGTCCCTTGACGGGGAAGTGCTATCAGAACCTCTTTAAAGTCTTTGACGGTAAAGATGTCGGAGCCATCCTGAGCTTGACTCCCCGCAAGATGAGATAGCATGATATAAGGGGCCCGATTGCCGTTTATAAGATTGCGAATAGGACACTACGCACTCAGTTGGAGTTAATTGGCTTCGAAGTTCAAATGCTTGAGACTTGCTGTGGACCAGGGCAGCTGAATTTGCGGTCTTGGACCTACAAAAGCATTCGGACAGCCGAAGATGCACCTGGTCACTTTCGAAATGTATTGATCCCTTACGCTCAAGCGGTGCCTAGCGATCGATACAGTAATTGGTATGAAAGAAAGCCTGTAGGTAATGTTCGTGATAGACTTGGAGTCGGATCTTCAGCTTTGTGTAGTAGTTACGTCTTACCATAGGGACCAATGCTGCCATGGAATTGTTGTTGCTGCTGCAATGCGCTGCAGCTGCATACCTGAGGCAACTAGGCAATAATAACTATTCTCATCCTGTCGTGAATTCCTGATGCTGTCTCAATCGACTCAGACCCCGCAAAGTTCGTAGCAAACCTCATTGAGGACCTCAACAGGCAACAACACCCTCCGAAACGCTCAGTTTCCCTAATCACCGCTATGGCAGACGCAGATTTGGAAGAGGTCAGTGCCAGTCTCGATTTACGAACCGCTCCTCCAGGCTGACCAAGCCTAGATCCGCCGGGCAAGGCTTCAACAGCTCAGACAGGAGCAAGGTCCAGAGGGCCAGAGTTCGGGGGGTGATGATCAACAAAAGTAAGACTTTCGCGAAGCCTTACCTTTAGCAGCCGCTCATCCTGGATGCATCAGACAGCGCGAATCCGAAGCTCGATCACACATTCTCGGCCAAATCCTGACCCCGGGCGCGGCGGAACGTCTGGGACGGATTCGACTGGTCAAAGAATCACGAGCCACCGACGTCGAGAATCGATTGATCATGCTGGCGAAAAGCGGACAGCTTCGGCAGAAGGTATCGGAGGATCAGCTCAAGGACATATTGAACGCGCTCAGCGAGCAGCAGGCAAAGGAAGGGGAGCAGAAGGTGGTAGTCTCGCGGAGGAAGGGCTGGGATGACGACGACGATGACCTCCTCGATTTCTAAGTTCACGATCCGACATTCTACACGCCTCAATGTCGATACGGCTGCATTTTCGGGTGTCGATTGGGCTGGCGTTATAGCTTGGAACAAGCCGGGGTTTGCATTCAAGGGATAATTGTTTCCTCCGCTGCCTTCGCTGCCTTTCTCTTGTCTCTTTCGGCCTTTCGTATGGCCCGCAGATCGGGAGGCTGCTCTATACCAAGTCGATTTCTCAGTTCCTGGACATCAGTTTCCAGCTCCTCCTCCCAATATACGTTGATCACGTCATGCGAGTGTGTTCCATTGCGAAACGCCCAGGGCCCGTACGTCTCCCAAAATCTTCGCTTCTCGGCCGGCTTGAGCGTGAACACCGAAGCAACCGCGAGACCTGTCATCGGGAGCCGAGTGTTCGCGAATTCGAAGGCTTTGAGGGCCACCTCACCCTCTCGCATCGTTGGTAGACCCGTCACTGCGTGGTAGAAATCGTGGGACTCACGATACCTCTGCATCACATAGGCACACTCCTCGTCATCTATATATCTAACCGCCGCTCGTGTATCCTGTTCCAGGTGTTCTCGTTCCAGCCAGGTGTAGAATGCGGCGCCGACGGTGTTGGACGGAAGCTTACTCAGGTAAGAGAGCGGAATGGTGGAAGAGGACATTCGCGGACGATCTCGCAGAATCCGGCGGCCTGTCGTGTCGGCAAGCATGATGTTGCGGAGTCGGTTAATAAAATAAGGCTGTGCAGTGAGTTCACCGAATGCAGCTATCATATCTATTGCACGACCGTGTTAGCGTTGCTTCTCTGCGAGAGATGGCGTCGCCCGTACCGCCGCGTCGCGGATTTAAGAATGACAACACCCCGGAGCCTAAGGTAAGTGCCGTTCGCTCGGCAAGAGTAAGGGGAACGTGAGCGTCATATTTTGGAGGAGGTCGATTAAGGACGGAGAATCTTCGACAGCTCGCGCAAACAAAGGGTCGGGTCGACTTGACGTCGGTGACGATGCTTGGTCTGATCAACCGTAACACTGAACTGGTTCTCAATCTCATCATTGATCCTGCTTGAACTCAAAAATGTATGAGACTACAGGACACACCGCTCCAGCGTTGGGATTGGACTGGAATAGGTGTGAAGGGTATTCCGTATGGAATTGTACATTCAAACTTCGGAGGTGGAAAGTCATCACGTGACATGGCCTGACAAGCGGGTGATATCGAAGCAACGACAGATAGATTCCCCATTGATTCACTCTATGACCTCGACACATCTCCAACCCTCAGCAAAATGAAGCGGATGAAAACTTGCCATGGAAATACACAAATGACAAAGACTATCCTCCATGCACTGAGGGTCTGGTAGCGATTCACGCTCAAAGTCCGAGGAGCTATGCAAGGTGCAGCTCTGCTTCCGACATGAAGACCACCATCTACCACGACTCCAGGAGCTATCTGGAAGAAAACGAACCTCAGCCTCGCCTTGTCCGGAGATACCTAACCAGGACATCCAATTGACGGCTGCTGCTGGGATGATCTGCAAAACTGATGATGCAAAGTTCCCGACCCTAACTATACTTCCACTCTTCCAGGGATGCCAGTGGCTGGGGCGAAAGTTCGAAACTGCACACACATGCTGTCATTGATACCGCCAGGACTAAGGACGGATGCCGGAGCAACTGTTAAATCATGATCAATACACCGCAAACAAGGGCTTGTAGTCAGTGGAATACGGTTGTAACTTGTACATCAATACATCATCGGGCGCCACAACCCCGCAATGACGCGCCCTGGAGTAGCGTATTCTAGACGCGATTCACCAACCAGAAGTCAGACTTCACTGGAATCTGGATGTCTGGTTCCATTGGGTGACGCTATGCCCTATGGGCCTGGCTGCCAGCTCTATACTGTGTCACTCTGTGCCCCATCTCGCGCTGCCTCGTCATCCTGCAGTGCTGTCGGGGATGGTATGGCGCCACCGAGAGTAGACAGGAAGTGTATTTCGTAGAATGGAACCAATGTGGAACAAAGCTAACAGGGACACAGGACAGTGCAACAGAGAGCAAGATCTCCAGCCACATTCTCCAATCCCCATGTCGCTTTTCCACCACTATCGGCTCTTTTTCTAGAGTCCAGATGCTTCCATTTTCCGTACTACTGCGTGTAGTCCATGTTCCTTTACTGGACCATAATTCTGCTGGAACAGACTGTTGATCAAACAGAATTCGATGAATCCATCACAGCACGATCCACTATTTCGTTTCGTTTTCTCCATCCCGATCCCTAAGTCGCCCTCCTACAGCGTACCGTATTTTTAACTGGACGGGATGATGTCATCGGTTGAATTTTCCTTTCAACGCCATACATCACCGAAACAAAACATTTCACTGCAAGCATCAGTGCAAGCATCAGTGCAAGCATCGATGCATTACCATAATCAGTACAAAGTTGTCAGGTACCCAAACGATACAATAACGGATCCCTGATGTCACTCTTCCGATTCTCCGGGCCAAACCAGGAATTACAATAGGCTAGTAACCAATCTGATTCCTTTATTCAATGTCTGTCTACACTTCTGTTAACTTCACTTCCAACTTTCTACCATTCCCCGGGACCAGACCCTCTAGTAAGGCGGCTAACCCACACAAATGACCAAATCTGCCGTCCGCAGATGGGCAACTATGGGTACCGGTACCTACAGTATGTACATACAGTACCAGCAGAACCACAGTTTACTTCAAACTGTTCTGTGTAACAGTCGCCTCGTTGGACTTCCTTGTTGAGAACGAAAGTTTCGAAAGCGATACGTCGCCGTGACGTAATGCCATCCATTTCCTGCTGGAGAAGGGGCATGCACTGAGAATCAGTCCGTGAGAGGTGCCTGCCCTGTGTACATATAAACCCCATCTTGCTCTCCTGTTTCAATCTCACTTCACTTCCATCAAACCATCGATATCCTACCATCTTATACCACATCATTACTATTACCACTTCAACACAAACACCCTCAAAGACTTATATACAACACCAACATCAGACCTCAACATGCAACCCCAACACCATACCACGACCGGCGGGCCGCACTCCAGCAATTTGGCGAACAAGTTGGGTAAGTGAACTATATGCTTGCCTTGCTGTTCGCACAGCTAACACTTCTCTAGACCCCCGCGTTGATACAGATCGAAACGGCCTTGGGGCTACGGGAGCTCCGGGTGCCTATAATGATGGCACTACCACTGCTGGCAGTGGCTTGACCGGCACCGGCCAATATCCCGATGGCACCACTGCAGACACTGGCTTGGCCGGAGCTGGCCATCACACTGCCGGTACTGGCTTGACTGGCACTGGCCATCAAACTGCCGGTACTGGCTTGACTGGCACTGGCCATCAAACTGCCGGCACTGGTTTGACCGGCGCTGGCCATCACACTGCTGGCACTGGCTTGACCGACAATCGCCATCAGACAGCTGGCACCGGGCTCACCGGCACCGGCCATCACACTGCTGGTACCACCGCTGGCACCGGGTTGACCGGCGCCGCCCATCACACGACTGGTACGACCGGCACCGGCCATCCTGCCAACATGACTGCCCAACACCCCACCGGCCCTCACTCCAGCAACTTGGCCAACAAGGCCGATCCCCGCATCGATTCAGACCGGGACTATAGCTCAAACCTTGGAGCTACGCACGCCCCTGGTGGCTCCCACACCGCTGGAACTCACACGACCGGAAATGGGTTGACAGGCGCCACAGCCGGAACTCACACGGCCGGCACTGCCCAACACTCCACCGGCCCTCACTCCAGCAACTTGGCCAACAAGGCCGATCCCCGCGTCGATTCAGACCGGGACTATAGCTCAAACCTTGGAGCTACGCACGCCCCTGGTGGCTCCCACACCGCTGGAACCCACACGACCGGAAATGGGTTGACAGGCGCGACAGGCGCCACAGCCGGAACTCACACGGCCGGCACTGGGTTGCCAGGAACCGGCCATCATACTACCGGAACCCACACGACCGGAAATGGGTTGACAGGCACCGGCCATCACAGTGCTGGAACTCATACGACCGGCAATGGGTTGGCAGGCACCGACCATCATACCGGAACCACGGGACACACCACCGGAACTGGTGTGGGAGGCACCGCTGGTCATCACGCGAAAGGGACCACTAGCCATCATCACACCGGCACTTCAGCCGTTGGGCCAGCGCCCCACACCGCTGGGCCTCACAAGGTACGAAATGAAACACTCGATTGCCTCAACTCGCGCTAACCGATCGCAGTCCGATGTTCTGAATAAGATCGACCCCCGCGTCGATTCCAACCAGGACGGCAGCCGCACCGTCGGTGGGAACAAGACTTATTCTGCGTAAGTCGCTTGATGGGGAATCGGCGGATGGATGAACATTCGCGGTGCTTTGAGACCCCTTAATTTGCATGGCACGACTCATGATATCCTTATGACGCTTCGTCAGAATCTTGTACTCTATAACTAGCTATATGCAGTCAATGATATCCAACTATATGACTTACTATATCTATCCAAGCAATGTTGCTCAACCCATAACATGTCCCTCTCGTCTAGCAATGTGGTAACGTTACTTGAATGCTTATGCGGTTCAATAGTACTGGCCATCGAAGTGGTATGGGAAGCACGCTATCCCATCACTCTCACCACAAAGGCTCGACCCCGGTCCATCGGCGTGACAAGAGCGATACATCTCAAGTTCCCCCCTCGGTCTTTCGCACGGGGGGTAAACCGGTTGAGGTTGCTCACGATGGAGATCCCCATGATCATCGCCGCCGACACAGCTCGCGACAGGAGCGCGTCAGTGAGACGCTGACGAAGTACGGCTCAGGGCAGAAGTAGAAGCCTCCGAGGGCTCTGCTGCGAATGCTTTGTCTCTTCTATCTCCAGACGAAGCCTTGGGCCAGGGGATTTAGGAGAGGGCTCAATGGAAGCGGGGGGATGGAAGATGTGCCGTCATTTCTTTCTTGGGCGCCAGCGCAAGGTGTTTTGAGGTTAGGTCATGGATTAGCGGATAGTAATGGATCCTCATTCAAGTCTTCATTCAAATCTGGCTTGAAATCCAGGCGGTCTGATTTCCTCGAGCTTGTTCATGTTGTTCTCGTCAACTTGGCCCTCCATTAATTACCCCGCGTTCCCGTGCCAAGTCATTCGTGCCATATTCCGCTCTTCCAATGGAAGGTTAACGAAATCATCGGCAAGATGCAAGTTGCAGGCCTCGTCGAAGGTCCAAGCACCATAAAAATACACACAGTATGACATTCATGCCGTTGCACCGTTGAGATATGGAGCATCACCAGGCATCGATCCCACGACCCAGTCTCTCACATGCCCCTTCCAATCCGATATCCGCCCGCCCTCCATCCTAACCAAGACGACCTTCGTCTCATCGTCATTGATATAGCAATCCGTCCCGCCATCCTCCTCCAATCTCTGCAAATCCTCCCCCGCGGAAGAAGGCGTATTGTTCTCCAAGTGCTTCCGCCTCAGCCACCCCCCCTCCTCCTCCGACTCCACCAGCCGCGCCGTCCCATTCAACGTCACCGAGATCGACGACAGCGCGCTCGTGTTGAGGTTCAGCAGCAGCGCGGCGAGGCCGGTCGGCCGCTGCGGGCCGGGTGGGGCCGGGTCGAGCGACGGGGTGGCGGTGGTCGGGGGCGCGGGCTCGGACTCGGGGTCGCCGGTGTTGGAAGAGAGGGTCGGCGGGCGGTGGGAGACCCAGTCGTGGACGAGGAGGGCGACGCGGGGGTTGTGGAGGAGGTTGGCGGTCTTGGTGGAGGAAGGGGTGGTGGTCATGATGATGACGGGGTTGGGGTCCCAGGGGGTGGAGGGGAGGTATGTGTAGTTCATGAGGGAGATGTGGGGGATGTTCTGGTGGCATGTGGAGAGGTGCAGCTAGGGCAGGCGGTTAGTCAAGCATATATAAAAGGTGGGGGTCTAGCCTACGAATCGCGCATTTTGTAAGCAGGTCACGACCTCCGGAGGGAGCGAAGCTGCAGAGTGGCTCGATGTGGAAGGCATCTTTGTGATGTTGGGCTGAAGGATGGAGGGACCGAGTGGATGTTCACCCCGGCAATAGGACCGTGATTCGTCGGTGACGGGGAAATGTCAATGGGAAGGATGTGGGGAGGTCAATGGTCTTTGGAAAATCAGGGACATGGACTTATGAAGGGGTGAATCTTCGGACTTCCTTCCGGTGATTAGATGTGAATTGCAATGGAGGGGCGATTGGAGAAGTCGAGACTGATGTTCACGGGGTGGATTGAGATCACGTGGGGGGGTGGACCGAGCACAGCGGGGTGTGAAAGGAGCTTCACCCGCGTTCCCTCATATATCACGAGTCACGTGTAGATCATGTGCTAGCGCAAGCCACCATGCAAGCCACTGTAGCCACAGAAGGAAGTTGCACCCGGACCCTGTGGCGCGGTTACCCGCGTGGCGTTGCTTACATGTGGTGCCAGCGGTTCCGATGATGTAAACGTCACAACAATTGCAAGTTATAATAGGTAGAGGGTAGACCCTGCCCTGCTGTAACAATATAACTGGCTCGATAGTGAATTACCGTACTGCTTATTGTGTAGGTGGCAAAGTCAGTTCGGGGTTTGGTGCAAGTGTGGCGGTGCGACCCTTTAACCTGGAGATCCATTCCGTCCTCGACAAAATCACGTTCCTCCGCTGTTCCCGGCTTCCCCTGCAACGCATTAACTCACATCTGCGAGATTGCGACGCCATCCTTTTCTCGGTCTTCTCAGTTACTTTCATTACTGCACTTGGATTTCTCCTACTGGCACTGCCACTGCCACTGCTGCAGCTCTCTCCATTGATGACCGTCCCCCTTACCTTGCCGATTCGCGCGCACTTCCGTGCCCCGACCAGCGCCCAGAATGGCGACTACCGAAGCCGACGCATACGTGTCGGAAACCAAGGAGAATGGCCGTGAGAATGAAGGTGGTGCTGTGCAGCCCGTCGAAAATCTGGCGGCTTCTCCACCTACCGTCAACGACGCGGTTCAGAAAACCGTGGATGCGATTTTATACTCCGATGTAAACACGGTTCTCGCCCTGCTGTGCCAACAACTGACGGGACCTAGATCGGCGTCAACACATTGCTCAATCGGCTGAAACAGAGCGTGGCTTCTGCTAGGGTACGTTCAATACATAACCCATGGCGCGAAAAGCAGTTATTGGGGCTCGTATAATTGACCATTGCCAGGATTTCGCCGGTTTCCTCAGAAAGCGTGGAGCCGCTGAAGAGGAGCACTCCAAAGAGCTCCGAAAGCTGGTTCGACACACCCAAGGCCAAATCCGAAGCCCGGACTCGCGCCAGGGTACATATGCGACACAATTCGAAGAATTATCGCGCACTCATGAGCGAATGGCGGACCATGGAATGCAATACGCTCTTTCCATGCACACGATGCACGAGGACCTGACGGAGCTGGCCAACAACATGGAGCGTGGTCGCAAACATTGGAAACAGGTTGGACTGGCCGCCGAGAAGAAGGTACAAGACGCTGAGGCGCTGATGGACAAAGCGAAATCCAAGTACGCCTCGTTGGCGGAGGATTACGACGGCGTGCGGACTGGCGACCGGAGCTCCGGCAGGCACCTGTTCCGCCCCAAAAACGAAGAGGATATGCTTCGCAAAGTCCAGGCGGCAGACTCCGATTATGCCTCTAAAGTCCAACAGGCGCAATCCGACAGACAGGAGTTGATATCCTCCCATCGGCCCGCAGCCGTCCGAGCGTTGCAAGACCTGATCAAAGAGTGTGACTCCGCATTGACCCTTCAACTGCAGAAATACGGTATGTCCATCTGCGACATGATTTGCGACCGGATCGACTGACTCTTATAGCCACCTTCAATGAAAAATTGCTCGTTGGGAACGGCATGCTGATTGCACCTATCAAAAGCCAGGAAATTCACGCAAAGAGCATGAAGGACATCGTCCACCAAATCGACAATGAAAAGGATTTCCAGACCTATATTGTAGGTTTAACAAGTAAGGTGCCTGCCAAGCCCGTGGAAATCAAATACGAGAAACATCCTGTAAGCTTCGGCCAGCCCCCAGCGACTGCATCCTGGATCGTCAACTCACAGAACCCCATAGTCGCTCCAACCAACGCAACAGCCGCCTGCAAACAATTCGCCAGCGCCTCCGATCCAGACTTCCCTCCCCCAGGCTCAACCACCCGCACAGTTTCCGATGGGCCAGCAAGGGTCCCGACCACCGCCTCAGCAGGGTCCTCCGACGCCAACCGGCGGATTCCAACAGATGAACCCGGGCTATCAGAATCAACCATCTCCCGTTCAGCCTCCACAGCCACAGGAGATGCCATCGCAGCAGATACAATACCCCTCTCAGGCCCCACCATATCCTCATGGGCAACCCAACCAACCATACCCAGCCGAGAAAATGAGCGCCGACGGCGCCCGTCCTCCATCGCGAGGCCCTGGTGCGCCTCAACTTGCGCCGCTTGGTTTCGAAGGTGCTCACCACGGCCATCCGAACCCTCCCACGGCGAACGTCCCGACTCCAACGCAATCGCAACCTCCACCGATGGATTACAAGCCAGGGGTGGCCCCTCCCAACCACCCCGTTTTTGGCGTGTCCTTGGATGCGCTCTATCAACGCGACGGCACTCCCGTGCCTCTGGTGGTCTATCAATGCGTCCAGGCGGTCGATCTGTACGGTTTGGAGGTCGAGGGCATCTACCGAGTTCCCGGCGATGCGCGACATATCCAGCAGCTCAAGTCGCTGTTCAACCACGATTCCAGCCGCGTGGACTTCCGAAATCCCGAGGCGTTCTACCACGATGTGAACAGCGTCGCGGGCCTGTTAAAGTTGTGGCTTCGCGAACTGCCGGATCCGGTCTTGACCTCGGAACGGGAGTCCGATTTGATCGGGGCCGCCCGCATCCAGGACTATGCCATGCGCCGCGACAGCATCCACGCTATCGTCAATGAGCTACCTGACCCGAATTATGCCACGCTCAGGGCTGTCGTGCTGCATTTGCACAAGATCCAGGAACGCTCCGCCCACAATCGAATGACCTCGGAAAACCTTGCAATCTGCTTTGCGTAAGTGATGGTCGTCTTCCCACGATGCGTGGACTAACTAATCTCTTTTCCACAGGCCAACGCTCATGGGCAACTTCCGCGGCCCGAACGTCGCGGACGCCGGACTCCAGGCCACGGTCATCGACACGATCTTGCAGAACACGTTCCAAATTTTCGATGAGGATTGATTACCGCTCTTCCGTACCCGTGTTCGTCATGCCTCCAACGGCATTATCTAGCAGGAACTAGACGAACAGTATCACAGATGCTTGGGATCTGGGATACATGATAACCGAGCCGTTAACGACCTTCCATGGTCTTTCTATACGCATGATTCGGGGAGGTCAGCGCTTGCATGGTTCGTATGTACATGTTGGAGATACCTTTGATGATGAGGACAATTTTCTGAATGCTGCCCGCGCTCATTTGCTGCGAGACGGGCATCCAGGCCGCGGTGTTAGTGTAGGCGGCGCTTATAATACAAACATATCCAAGAATCCATGGTTAATAAGATCAGAAACGTCTCCGTATCTCGGGGCCGGCATATAAACCAGTTGATCGCGGTCCCATCGCTCTTAGGCCATCCGGAATGAATCCATTTAATGGTGACACAATTGCTCTTGAATCTCAACGGCATGAAAGGCTAGCCAAAGTGTAAAGGAGATATCAGTGCTATTATAAACGTTCGTGAATTGTGGGCGATAAATATCCTGACTGCGTATCCCAAACAACTACTCCACATAGGCGATGCCTAACCCCTCAGTTGAGAACGCAACTTTGCACCCTATGCTTTTCTCATGAAACAGATGCCACAACCAACGACGCAACACCCTCCTCTTCTGACCTCACTTCGATCCTCATGGCGATGCCGCTCTTGGGATTCGCCAGCCGCACCAGCGCGGCAACTTTGCCGCCTAGGATCGTCTTCCCGTACAGCTTCAGCGTATGCGAGACGTTCGAAGCCACGTCCTCGGTTCCTTCGAGCGGCTGCAGCGATAGGCTTCGGACGAGCTGCTCAGTTGCATCTACACGATGGGAGTTAGAATGTTCGAATAACGGGGGGGTAAAGTACGACTTGTTCATCACATACCGGCAATTGACTTGGCGTTGCTGAGCTGCAGCGTTTCCACGGCGGAGTCATGGCCATCGACCTGCCCCCAAATGACATCGAAGTTGCCTGCGTAGGCGGGAACGACATAGTCGCCGCCCGCCAGTTCCAAATCTTCCACCTGGTATTCGTCCTCGTAGCCTGGCTCCTCGGCCTCTTTAGTCGTCGGGTCGATTTCCTTGCTGGTGAACTTGAGAACATTGGTGAAGCTGGTTGCCAAGAACGGCGTGGTGTCGTCGAGACGTTTGAATGAGACGTAGATTGTCCCCGGCTCGTTGGTCTGCAATGAGGCGGCGGGGATGATGAATTCTTCCTCGAGAGCAACATCCCCGTCTTCCTCCGACGGGGTGGACACGACCGTGACGTCGCAGAGCACCGTGTCTGGAAGAGTATTCTTTACTTCGAACTGCAGCACAATGTGGTCCTTGAAGACGTGCTTGATCGCAGAAACCACGTATTCTGTTTCCGATTCGGTGAGCTCGGTAGGCACCGAGGATTTGAGGACACCGCCGTACGGAGCAAATTCCGGGATTTCCTGAAGTTGGGAAGCATATTTCTGCGCCGCAGCCGTGGCAGTGGCTGCTGCTTCCGCGCCTCCCTTCGATGCCGCGTGCGGCTTGGGTCCGGTGCTTGGAGCCTTGAGCGTCGGCGTGGCAGTCGTCAATTTCCTTGTTCGGTCTTCTGCATCGGCTTGCTCTCTCGTGACGACGGGGATCTTGGAGAGATCGAAAGGCGAAGCGAACGTCTCTTTGCTGTCTGCCGTGACATACATTACGAGCTGGTGCTCAAGCACGGGAAGAGAGAACATGGAGTCTATCACCACGGTTAGTCTCTCTTGATCCAAATATTCTTCTCCCGGACGAAGCATACCGTTTCGAATAAAAGCCTCTGCCGTCTCATCATCCTGGTCCATCAATCTCAAATTCAACGCTGCTCGATCCCGCACTTCATCATCGGTATCGTCCAAGCATCGGGTAAGAAGAACACGGACACTGCTCTTGACCTCGGGCTCTTTTTGCCCGACTCCAAATTTAGCGAGGGCCGTCACGGCGGCGGCTCGGACAATGGCATTCTCAAGTACGACGCGGTTATAGATATACCGAATGTACTTGGTTGGATTCGCCGTTTTTGGGCCTTCCATGCCCAAGAGGTGTAGTATCCTCACAGCGAGCTTGGTATACTCGCAATCTTCGATGAACTCGCTCAGATGCCCAAGTGCATCCTCTTTGCTGTCTGGAACAAATTTGATAAGATCAAACATGCTCTCGACAATGGCTCTCTTGTACTCGTAGCCGCCCTCGTCGCGGAGAATCCCACTCAAGAACGACAGCATCCCTGCTTGCTTGCTTGGGAATTTTATGCACAGGGTCCGGATGGCCTCCACGATGGTGACTTTGAACTCGTCGCTCATTTCGGTCATGAAACTCGATATTTGCTTCATGAGCCTGTCAACGCTGGATTCGTTTCCGGTCTTCAACAAGGTCGTTATTGCGAATGTCGCGATCGAACGGTTGCTGCTTGTGATCAGGGCTTCAATGTCGGGGTTACAGGGGCGGACGGCTTCCGGTTTCAAGGAAGCGTATCGATGAAGGATTCGAATGGCGGCAAACTTCGTCACGGCCCTCGGTGCAGTAAGGAAAAGCTGCAGGGTGTGTATAGCCTGGGAAATTTCTGCGTCTGTAATGTCCCGAACATCACAGATTGCTTTGGCGGCCTCAAAGTTGACCATTTCGCTCTTGTGGCGCAGCCATGCGTCCAAGAGTCGCATCATCTCTTTGCGGAGGCTGGGGTCGTCTTCAGCCAACTTCGCCGCTAATCGGACAAGGAGAACCGCGGCTGCGGGGCTCTTCACAACTCCTGGGGCGCTGTATTGTTGGACCATCTTCACCAACGCCATGCGATCGTGAGAGCGCATTTGATAGAGAAGCCCAATAGCATGATACTGTGTCATTGCATTGCTGCCCGCAAGCGTTGGCACGTTTGAGCTGCCGTAACCGAGAGTAAACCCTCCTGATTTAGTTCCGGAGGCTGCTTCTTGGGTCTCGCTTTGCCATCTTCGAACGATATCCCTCGCAATGGGCAAAAGGTGGTAGGCGGACACCAGAGCTGCGGAAGCTACCGAAGGCACCTTGTCGACTATGGCGGTCTTGATGTTTCGTTCGATCGCGGGGACAGTGCTCGCCTAGAGAATATCAGTATGAAAATCGCACTCAAGGCAGGACGGCATACGTCAATGATCCTGCATAACGCTCGAATGGCGTTCGCTCGATACAGCACATCGCTCTGAACGGACGTGTCCTTCATGATACTACTAGTGACCATGATCGTATCTTCCGCCGTGGGGGCCAGTTCCTTGAGAACCAAGTACACCATCTGTCGCAAGCTCGCATCTTTATTTTGAAAGAGTTTCGTGATCCAGAAAAAGAGCTCCGTCGCTTCATTTTTCGGGAAGGTCTCGCCCGTGAACAGGAGCATAGCAATTTTCTTCAAGTGCATCCGACATTTTCGAGGAGAGATGGGCGAGGTATTGAAGATTCTAGCTGATGCGGAGGTCAGTATGAGGAGACCATTGTTTAGGGGCTCAACTCACCTTCCTGGAAGACGGAAGTCCGATCAACCTTTACCATGGCCCCATCCGCATCCTCATCTCTCTTTCCGTAACTCATGATGGCGATTTAGTTCCGTCTCAGGGCGTTGCACTCAGGTCCCAGAATCAACGGTTCGTAAAGCGGATTGGGTGGTGATGTGGGCTGTCGATGAACTAGGACTCGACACGATCATTTGTGCTTAGCCATTGAGTTTAGACAGAATGACGGTCGAACGGGTAGCCTTGGGAGCGGTATCAGGAATAAAGTGTGCGAGTGTTGTTTAGGAGAGCTGTAATATGCCACGACCCTAACATTGGTGGAGGTGAGCATCGAACGCAGTTGAAGCCATGTGGCAGGGTGCTCCGGTGCAATGCATGTAATAATACACAAGCCACACTTACTCAGCAAAACCGTCTGTTATGTATCTGTGTGCTGTCATATATCGGTCGTCACGTGGATATCAAAGACCCTGACGTATGCGGGTGGCTGAGGAAGCCTTGAATGTACTTCGGACCAGGACTATTAATATTCTGCGATCACCACATCGGAGCATCATTTGAAGACTGTAGCGCACAAGTAAACAAGACCAACAGCAAAATTTAACAGAGTTTACCTTGGTACGAAGCCGCCCAGTTCAAAATGAATATGCCCGATATGCCGGTAAACGTCCCTGTGGACGACCCCAATGCGGACACTGAATGGTAAGTAATCCCACCAAGTTTGATTCCCTTGATCAGACACTAAGGCTTCCAGGAATGATATATTACGGAAACATGGAGTCATCCCAGAGAAGCCTCCTTCTCCCACAGCAGAGTTGGAGGAGGTTTTAGTCCAGGCCCGGGCTCTTGCTCATGAGCACCGTCTCGAGGGCAAAGATCTGGATGAACTAGCCGAGCTTGAAGATGACGAAGACGACGACTTCCTAGAGCACTATAGGTGCGTTATGTACCCTCCAAGGTCATAGGAACTGCTTGTTGTTAACCATCGAGCTAGGAGGAAACGGCTTGCCGAGATGTCAACCATCGCATCAAGCGCCATATATAATCAGGTCTACCCCCTACAGAAGCCAGACTATTCCCGAGAAGTCACCGAGGCTTCATCCAAGTCCTATGTGGTTGTCCTCCTCACGGCGTCCCTGAGTAGCAATGCCGAGTCTCGTATCCTTGAAGGATTGTGGAAAGCAATGGCCGAAAAGTTTGGAGATGTGAAATTTTGTCAAATTCGCGCCGATATGTGCATTGAAGGCTACCCTGAAAAGAATACGCCCACTATCCTTATTTATAAGGACGGTGATATCAAGCGACAGATCGTCACTCTGAGGGAATTGCAAGGCACGAAGACATCTATAAGGGGTAAGCAACATTCCCCTTTCCCAGCCAGTCTTGTAAGGGTGAAATGTACCGGCAAACGCAAAATTTTCCTACTCTCACCTCGGACATGTCAACTGTATTTCCAAGCATATTTGATTGGAACGGTTGGTGAAACGGGGTTTCAATTTATGTTCTCCCACATTCGCTCGGATGCTCAGTTATGGAGATGCTGACAAGAATTCGACAAACAGATCTAGAGAGAGTCCTCGTCAGCGTGGACGCTGTGAAGCCGAATGACCTCCGACTCTCTAAAAATCCAGACGAGAACGAGTGGGCTCAAAATGCGAAGGACTCGGCCGACAACGAGGATGACGGCTCTGACTGGGATTGAGCGGATCGTGATGATAGAAGGAAGGAAGTTCAAACGTCATGCCCTCCTCTTTCGCCGACTCCTTTGTGAATCCCTGCGAGCAGGAAGTTCCATGGAGAAGCAGCTGTCTGCTGGGATGAATCATATCGGGGGAGTGGATATGCCATGTGACATTCCAGGTCTGCGGTGAGGTGTAATCACTGACTGATCATAAAGGCAACGAGGAACACCAGACGTGAGGTTATGACAAGCGAACGGAGGGGAATGAGGCGGTTGACATGTCAATTATGCAAGGAAAGCCTCAAATGATTAAAACATGCCACATGTTGGCCTAGAGGTCAGCTGAGAAAAACCATTCATCTCTCTTAATTCAACAACTCTCCGGGATATTAAACATTCCTTTCCTGCCGTGACAGCACAAGAAGCACAGCGCAACACCCATTGTGACAGAGGATAGACAGACCCATTAGGGACAGTACTACCTTGAGATTCAATTATCCTGTCTAAATGCACTAGAATGTACAATTCACGGCTGACGGACGACTGGTTATGACCGGTTCAGGCACTTCCAGCTCTTACTGGACGGTGATCCCAAAAGTCTCCCTTCTGTACGACACCACTACACCTCCTTAGCTGATAGCAAGGCGGGCTCCCATCGCGGTGTATTCCGGTGGTGTGAATAATGTGTACCACAGATTATGTAACACAAGAGTGGAAGCCGTGCGTTTGTGGACCGTTCAGCTCGTGCTCTATGTAAAGCGATCTGGAGTATCACTCCGACGCTGTTAATGGTGCACAACGGCATGCCAAGGCACCGCTATCGCTTCGCGAAAGGAGGTAAAAAGTCCAGACCTGAAGGCAGGAAGCGCTCGCATTATGTCGCTTCGTCTGGTAGGGTCCGTGGAATGGCTTCTCTTCGGCCACCCAGGTCGATTTGTACTTCGTCAGTACTGGGGAAGTAGGTGGAGGATCACAATGGCGGCGCTCTAGATGGCAGAACTACTGCTCCTCGTGGCCTCTCATTAGTCAATGCCCGCAATATGGCACCATGCAATGATCGAGACACGTTCTGCCGACCCTGGTCATGTGGAAGGGCGTGTTTGAAATGTTCAGCACGGGGTCAGAAACAGGGGATCAGACACCGCAGAAGCAGATACTGGTCGTATGCTATATCAGTTGGTCTCCCCCACCCCGTCTGCAGCCTTCAACTGCACCCCATACTTCCTTCTCCCGAAATCCGGCCCCGACACCGTTCGATCGTGCCGCGCCTCGTAATCTCTCACACACATCCGCAACGTCCACGAGACCTTGCTGAACCAATGGGTGGCTTTGGATAACATCCCATACCTGGCCGAGGCTCAGGAGGGTTTCTTTTCCATCTTTCACCGTTCCGCTGGATCCGAATTTCCTCCGTCGCGCGGCCCCGGCCATATACCTTGTCCCACTGTTTGTGGTATCCTCTTCATGATCGGTACCAGGCGAGCCCGGGCCGTGTCCCACCTGATGGGATCCGGCCATCTGAGCATGACCCGCACGCTGGAGCGCGCTATGACTGGTAGTCGTGCGGAGAATCTCGTTCTCAGTCGTGGCCCGCTGCAGCGCGAGCTTCAAGCGATCGTTATCAATGGCTAACGACGTCGCCGATGTCTCCATCGCCGTCAACTTGGATTCGAGGGTTTTCACGTGCCGCTCTTTTCGCTCGCGGAAGGCCCTCTGCCTGTTTGCCGTGACCCGTCAGCTTGCGTCCCAGGCATCTAGGATGACCCTCACATACGCTGTTCGATTTTGCGCTTTCCGTCGGCTCTGTGCTGGAGTTATGGTGGTTTCTTTGTCCTCCTCACTGCTGCTGCGCAGTCTTTGTGATGTATCTAGGGGATCAGCGTAGGTGTCGTCGGCGTTCAACGGCACCGTGGCGGAGGGCGCAGGAGGTGATGCTGCGGTAGGGGGCGAGGTAGAGTGAAGCGGTCCTGGAGTAGGAGTGAAGCGGAAAGCATCGTAGGCTAGAAACGAGGTCGGGTCAACGGCCTCCTAAAGTCGATATGTAGACATTAGCGCCTCCCGTCACGAGCTAACTCCTAATTCCTGCTCTACCATACTGGGGGTAGGGTCGCGGGATCGACCGGAGTTTCGCAAAGGAGGGCTCTTACATGGACATTGGAGCCCGGTTGCCCATCGTCAGTGGAGAGGGGGTATGTTGTAGCCTGGATGCCGACAAGGGGATAGGGTTGCTGCGAGGATGCTGTGAAGTAGGTACTGTAGTCCATCGGATCCGCTACCCAATCTTTCTAGTACCTTAATCGGTGATGATATCGAATTCAGAACGAAGGCAATAGATCATGACGCCTAGCAGAGGCAAAATAATCTGGTGACATGCAGTCAGCCAAATGGTTGTCATAAATTCTGGAGCCCGTAAGCAGAATGCCAAGAGCGCATGTACTTAGAGTCAGCACTGGTACATAACCGAAACCAAGTACAGGTAATGGTAGGTACTGCTTATTACTAGATACACGGAGAAGCTACTATAAGCAGGTAGGGTCAGGTAAGTTAGTAATTATTATGCCAATGGAATGGCATGTCATCAAACCGAATCTTGGACCACCACATTTTTATACCATATGGCTGGCAGATATAAGGGGCGAGTCGATTACCCCAGCAGAAGGAGCCACATCCGATGACCACGAATCGGGAGAAGGATTCGATAGATTATAGGTGACCATGTGAGGGATGTATTCATAGTTTTCATACTTTCATGTATTCAGTATAGACAGCAGGTGATAAACTACCGAGATGCTACTACGCCTTAGGTGAAGGTCTGTAATCATGGAAGTGGCACCAGTTCGGCCCCTCCCGCTGTCCATGTCCCACATAACCGTTCCACAATCCACCAGTCGCAAAGCGAATCTAGTAATGAGTAAGTAGTGACAAGTCATTCGCGTGAATCGCGTCCACTCAGTGTAAATGGCCTTTCGTCATGTTAAGTGACGGAATTTCAAAAACAAGGCCCAAACGTTGAGTTGAGCGCACTCTGGACTTATAACACATCTTAGCTCCTGGTACGACCAACGATACCGCTACCGTTCACCCGAGTAGCTCCAGATCGCGATATCATACAACCGCAATTCACTTGTCCTGTCAAGAGGCGGTCCGACCTCCGGATCATTCCACCCAGCGACCGAACGTACATTCAATTCCGAGCCGGTGAACGGCGATAGGCATAGCCGAAGCGACCAACCACAGTCCGCATGGAAGCATTTCCAAATCTTGGATTACCGGTTCAAGGGGCCAACTTGTGTAGCGATTCAGAATGCGGCTCGCCGGCGCCCTGAATCGCAACCTGATCCTTCCTCGCTCGCTTTTTCAAGACATTTTCGATGAACGCCTCCCCTGCCTTGTACGAGGAGCGGACGAGCGGCCCGCTGGCACAATACAGGAATCCCAGGTCCATCGCCCGTTGGCGCCAGAGCTCGAACACTTCCGGAGAGACGTACTCCTCGACTTTCATGTGCCGCTTCGTGGGACGCATGTATTGGCCGAAGGTGACGATATCGACGGAGACTTTCCGGAGTTCTTAGCCGACGTTAGCGAGACTCTCGACCGGAAGAATGTGATGTCATGTGAACGTACCTTTAAGAGCCTTCCAGATTTCCTCCTCGGTCTCCCCCAAGCCGAGCATGATGCTCGTCTTCGTAATTAACCCTTCCTTCGCTGCCTTGGCGGCTTCCAAAACCGTTAAGCTTTGCCGAAACGTTGCCCTCCGATCTCTGACCATGGCCGTGAGCTCTTCGACCGTCTCAACGTTATGGGCGTAAACGTCCAAGCCACTCTGCGCGACGAGCTTCACCATGTCCAAATCCCCAGCAAAATCCCCGGTCAATGCCTCGACGAGCATGTTCGGCGCCTTTTGTTTGATCTTGCTGATAGTACTGGCGAAATGATGGGCACCACCATCGGCCAAGTCGTCGCGGTCCACTGAGGTGAGGACGACGTATCCGAGGCCCCATCTCGAAAGCGCTTCCGCGACGTGTTCGGGTTCGTGGGGGTCGAGGGCAAGGGGGGTTTTCGACGTTTTGACGGAACAAAATCGGCAACCTCGCGTACAAGTGTCGCCCATGAGCATGATTGTCGCGGTCGCAGTAGACTTGTCAGATCCGCCCCAGCACTCGGAGATATTGGGACACCGCGCTTCTTCACAGACTAATCACTGTCAACGGATGGTGCAATGAAGGGAATTTGTAAGATCCATACCTGTGTGTAGATTTAACCCTCGCAGATCATTTTGGATTCTCTTGAAGTTATTCCCCTTCGCATCCTTTCCGCCCGGTATCGACGTCCGCAGCCAGGGAGGAAGACGGGTAATCTCCTTCCGCTTCCCCGACCCACGAACGGTCTTCAGCTCGAGGGCTTCTTCAGGAGTGATCGGTTCCTCCTTCGCACCGGTGAATTCCCCGAAAGAAGGCCCCGTATTCAATCGATCTTGGAACGTTGTCCGCGGTCGCTTGGATGGTCGTGGCGAATCGGAAGAGCTTGCTTCAGTGGCTAGGAATCGTGCTGCACCGGGGGAATAGAGTCTTCGGTGGGAAACGTCGAGCAAAGCTTCCCGCAGCCCTTTGAGGGCTATGACGCCCTGACGATGTGACATTGTAGTGAACGTAACAGGTAATACCGAAGGTTGGATGATTCCTCCTGTCAGTTCCTGGCTTCGTACGATAGTCGAAGTGAGGTCCCTACCAAACTTGGCTGGGACCTGGTCAATTGGTCATCACGCATTAGAAATTCAGGGTAAATCTCGGTCCAATTGACTCGATCCCGGCTCCGTCGGCATGCCGGTGGTGCCTTCCCCTGGTGCATCCCGGCCCGATACTAACCGCACTAGAATGTCGGTCTGCATGTAGTCACGTGCCTTCCGACTCCCTCAACTCTCCCTTCTAAACCGAATACCTACCTATAGGTCTCGGTCGTTCGTCGTGTCGGGACTCTACCGTATTTACTGGTAATAGATGGTAGTACATGGTAGTAAATAATTCTTACTAAACCGATACCCATAGCATATCATCATCGCATTCTCCGTACTGGGTATATAAAATGCCGTGAACATGGGTCGCCCTGTTCAACAATATCCATGCTATCATATCATCATCCCGCATCCCACCTTCGTACATGTAATGGCCGAAATGCCCAGGGATATCATGAGTAATGAAGAACGCTACAAGAATATGCGCCGGATATGCAACGAAGATCGTGGACCCCTTCCAAAGATGCAGAAAACAGGGACATAGGAACGCTAACCCGTGCTTTAGGGGCAAATCAACAAAGGAGATGGAGACTTGGTTTATGGGAAGAGCCTGGCGGAGATTCCTCCGCTCGCTACTCTCCGGGTGCGGTCCAGACCCGCCGAGCTCCAAAGAGGGTCAAGCTCAATGCCGTGTCGTTCGCGTTGACATTGGTGCCGACATCGGGCAGGAGCTCCCAGCGCCGGATATGGAAAGGAACAGGAGGAATACCCGCCATGCTTTGGGAGGAAGCGATTCGCTGCATCGAGCTAGAACGCGCAGTTGATACTTGTTGGGCAGCGGTTACCGGCGTCCTGGGAAGGCTAGCGAGATTTGAATGTTGGGGTTGGAGAGCTTGGAATGGTAAGAATGGTTGTGTTCCGCATCCTGATGGGTTCAGTGGCTCGTGGCCAACATAGAGCCCAGGCCAAGTATCGGTCGAACTCTGAGGACCGAAAAGGGACACAATACGTGGGTCGCCGTACTGTCGGGAACCGTCGAGTTTTGCAACGGCGAGTCGCTGCTCATCCGTAATGTCTAGGCATGGAATGAGTAAGGGATACGTGGATGTGCATTGGAGATGCTCACCGTCAGCGAAGATAGCTGCGACGTCAAAGAGTAACTGAGATGTGGCAGTGCAATGGTTCAAAACCGGATGGCTGATCAGAGCACATAAAACGCACAGGAAGCCTGGAACATCGGGCAAGATATTCTTGGTCGTCCGAAGAAGATCCCCATGCACCATGGCGAGGTGCACAAATGTCTCAATCCATCGGCAAATACGTGGGAGCATGGCCTTGGCTTCCACTGGCCCGCTTGTCGTGAGATCCATCTCCGTGGGGAGCAACTCGCCAAGAGCCTTCAGTCGATCAAAAGCTGCCGCCAAGAATTGAACGTGTGCTTCCCTTGGCAGGCTCGAGGCGGTGTAATCGATAACTTCAAGGCGAGTCGGAACGGCGCCTTGGTCGTTTTCCGTTAGAGATGGCATCATCTGGCCGGTTCGCTGCTCGCTGCAACCCTTCGCGAACTTGTTTGCCGCCGTGAAGATGAACGTCTCGGAAAATTCACATAGCGTCTGCGAAATCCGCCGGTCCAAGCTGGCAAATTCCGCCCAGATGGGACGCCCCTGCTCCACGGCGTTTTTCAATGCCGTGATCAGAGCGGCTTGGATCTTCTCGTCGGAGGGACAAGCTGTCAACAGATACTTCGCGCGAGCTTTGCAAAACTCGGCATTGATCTCGTCCGCAGAAAGGACAATGGATGAAATTTGTGATGCGTGATCCGCATTTTGCAGGGAACGGCGCCCATCTGGGTCAAGGAGCCTGCAAAGCGCATTCTGGAAAAGGCCATCGCTGGACGCAAGCAGCACGTCCAGTCCACCGTTGACGGAAACCGCTGCATTCTTCAAAATTGCTTGGAACGCATCACCTTCAAGCAATGAATCAAGTTCACCCGCCTGCCTGGCGCTCGCAAGTATCTTGGGGTCATCAAACATAGTTTGAACGAGTCGAAGAATCTTGAACTGATGCTCCCCACAATATTTGGTCTGGGCCAGTCGGTATCTGTAAATTGTTCCCTCATCGTATAAATTCGTCGATGTCTTTGGCAAAACCATCTCCAGCGCAGTGGTTGCGATGACGGCGGCAAGCCCCGAATTTTCGCTTCGGAGGGTAATGAAGGTCGCCTCCATATGGTCAACAAGCCGGCTCATGCCCAAACATTCGTTGCTGACGAGGACGGGTACCGCGAATCTAACCAGGCCGGGTTGATTGCATGTGAGACAATTGCCGATCCAATCCAGAAGGAGTTGATCAAACACTTTCTCGTCAAAGGACCTCAACTTTACAAATCGAGATCCAACAGCACAGGCAAGTACTTGGGACTCCCGAAAGTGCTCGTCCAGACGTGCCACCATAACGTTGAATACCCGAACCATAACTTGTTCGTCCATGCTCGTTCCGCTGCTGAGGACTTTATCGACCTCGTCATCGGCATCGAGGCAACCGCCAGCAAGGTTCTCGGCCATCAGGTCCGAAACCGGAGAGCATATAGCGATGGCAGCACGCTGTTCGCATCTTGTGATATCGTATCTTAGTTGCTGCACGATGCGCGCAGGGCATCGTACGGTTCTTCCTAGATCGGCGAGGGCAACAAGAAATGTACGCTCCGGCTGCTTCAGGCGAACCACTCGGTGGCGTTCTACGAGGCGGTCGAACAAAGGCTCCAACGCACCGATGGCCGCGAAGATTCGAGAATGGTGGTTCAGCGTATCGGCAACCGCAGCGAGCAATACGGAGTTGGTCGACGTCGAAACCAGGGACAGGATGTCTGCAAAGATCGGGAAGTCTCTCAATTCCTCCAATATCCTCCGCATTTCGTAGAATTGGAATAAAGCTATGGTATTGCCATCTTCTTGAAAGCCGTCCGGCTGCTCCACTCTTGTATCGATTGGTGAAGGTGGCGGCGTCATGCATTCCACCTCATGGCGGAGCCATCCGGAAAGGGCAAACCGAAAGGATGCTGGGAGTTCCGCTAGGTCCGAGACACCGAATCCTTCGCGATGCTCAGCATTGGCTGGTGGTCCCAAATGCAGCGTGCTGGCAATATCCGATCGCAACGAAGTCATTCTCTCCACATCATTCGAGACTTGATGGTCCACAGAAGCGAGGAGGGCGATTCTTAGGTTCTGAACATGGTCCGGCAATCCATCCAAGGGTATCTCGGAGAGTAGGCGGACATGTGTATCTTGCATGCCGCTGGCGCGTGAAGGTGTACTCAGGGACCCCGTCGCAATGAGCCATTGCAAGTATTTGTTAACGGAAAAATGCCGTGAGCGAGTAAGGTGACCGACAATATCGTATGCGTCACTGATAATGACGCCGGACTCAGGTCCGACCGACCGGAGAAACGACAGGATCGAATGATCCACGTCCATGCCAACCGAGTACCACCTACGTAGCAGCCGAACCGCAAGATATTGTCGCCACTGTCCCGTCCGGAACTGGGAACACGCCCACTTAAGTAGGAATAATATCAGCTGGTTCCCGGAAGCCGCGATGGACAAGCATAACTCCGATAACCGGTCGATATCAGAGTCCTGATACGCTTGGTCGAACTTTCGAACCAGCTTATTGTGCCAGCTGCTGGTCTCGGCGTCAGAGAGGTCCTTGGGACCGTGCAGTCGTGCAATGCGCCTATCCAGATCCTCGACGGCCAGCTGGAGCTCATGGACAGCAAGCTTGTGCTCTTCGGAAACTCGGTCCAGCGTTGGTTTAAAGTCGATCCAGCGATAAGGCAGAACCAAACAATCGCGGTGCGAAACCATTAATTTGGCAACCAGACTGCTTAATCGGTCCGCCAGAGGTTTCAACACACTGTCTGACTCTTCCATCCATATCTGTTAAAAAGCTATTGTCAGTGTGATCAAAGCAAAATTTTCAATTCTGCTAACCTTTCTCAATTGCTCCAGCAGACCCTCTCCGAGAGTTCGGCCACGTTTCCTAGTGCATATCAAATGAGACCAGTAGATTTCGACCATGACGAGCCAAATAGGCAGTTTTTCTCGGGACGAGTCCAGGCCAACAAGTATCCAGTCCAGGAAATGGTCCAGATCAAGGAGGCGCTCGGAATATAAGTGCGACGACAGCCGGATTCTAAGACGGTCAGTTGATAACCCGGCACGTGCCTATCCAAACCGGTACTCACGCGTATTGCATCTTATCTTTCCAATCGACCTGGGGACAGTTTGCGATGGTTCCATCCACGAATTGCTCGACCTGTGATGTCCACTCGCGAATCCACTTCTGTTCGCCCCCAAGCGTCGCGGATCCGCCTGCTCCTTTCCGTTTGAAGGCCCGCATCTCATTCGTTCCCACGCATTTGGCAAGCCAGGCGGCACGGGGCGGAGGCACCCGGTTGGTGAGGCATAGTTCTAGAAGGAGCTTGCCCTTGACCCCATGTGGGATTGCCTTGGTCAACCGCCGTAGCGGGACCGCAGGATTCGCGAGATCCTTGAACCACCCTTCCCGCTTCTTTTCATTGGCCGTGACTCGAGGTGGAGGTTTGAAGGTCGATTGCGCGGCCAAGCGTCGTTGTGTTTGCCTCTTCTCAAGAATGGAGACAAACAGGGCTGACAGAGCGGGGAGGCCGCCTTTGGATTTTAGAAGCGGAGAGAAAGAATTCCGAGCACTGCTCGCATCGTTCTGGACAATCGACTGTCGAATAAAGCCGGCTTTAACTACCCCCTCAGTAAGATTGTCCTCGACGTGATTGCCCTTCCAAGGAAAGAAGTCGGCCGATCCTATCGTCCATGTCAGAGAAGCATTTTGCGACTGTGAAGCAGGCATACTCTCGTGAGGATATCGCATAGAAACGGTGGGCGGCTTAGCGATCTGAATATTTGCATCTGTTACTGCTGTTCGCGGGGGTTCCGCGTCGGTCTCTCCGATCGGTTTTGGCCGTGGGGGTTGGATTCGAGGAGCGGCAGGACGACATGGTAGAGGAAGCGTCAACGACGGGGCAGCCATTATTTTCGCAGAGGGTTCAGGCGGCCCGGGACCAACAATCGAGAGCAGTGCTGCTGGCCTCTCGTGCTGGGCCGTCGAAGTTTGGCGAACACTCGATTCCGGAGCCGACCAGCTATCCTTGTTGTCGCCAGCGGAGAGCGGAGTCTGGGGGGTGGAATTCGAGGCGGACGACCGGACATCGATGGTGCTCCATTCCGAGGGATTCGACGATGTGCCGTCCCCTTTACCCTTTGTTTCCAAGTTCACGACGGAATCATGCGTCGAAGCGGGCGGGAGGGTGGTCGCAAGGGTCGAGGACGAGGCATCGCGATTGCTGGGCGGTAGTGGCCTCGTGAATCGCCGCGGGCGAGGAGGCCGTCCCATGGGTCGAACGACCTGAGGAGCCACGGGGTGCATCCTCCTTCCTGAACGGTCCGTCATACCCAGCGTAGTGACATGATTGCGAGGATGAACTTTGACACAAGGGCGGATGATTCGGTGTAGAGCGGAAATGGGGAAGCGGTGGGTGGATTACATCTGGAAGGGTATCGACAATAGAGGATCAATGATACAGGAGATGGGAGGCAAGATGTGATAAACGAAAGACGCATCCGGTAAGGTAGCTGGTAAGTATGTATGTACACGGTATAAAGGCGAATATCAGACGGAGATATGGTGGAGTGGCGAGGCGACCGGGGGATAGGAGGGAATTTCGAGATGGCGATGGTTGGGGACGGGAGGGGGTGGAGTGCCGGAGTGAACAGCCACATGGACTGCTCAAGCCCTGAACTCTGACAGAAACAGTGAGGGCAACTGCAGCCATCCGGGGCGCCACAAGACCCGGCACCGCGGCACAAGACAGCACAGCAGTCAGCAACAGAACAGCAGAGGGAATACCAAACAGGGTGACAGGCTGTCAGGGTCACCCAGACTCTGTCTCTTGCTGCTCTCTCCACTCTGCTTCCTCCTCAATTACCAGATGACTCCGCCAATCCACCCTCCAGTTCCAGCTTCATGCCTTCAACCCTTTGTTCAACCCCTGTCACTAAGTTAATTTCACCATTAATATTAGTTACCGGTACTTCCGTACGCAGTAATTAATCTTCCATCCTCATATCTTCCTCACACTCTACAGAAGACTCCGGACGATCTATACTGTTTACTCTCTGTACAATAACCCTGCCACACCCTCTATCTCCCGCCAGTACCGCCAGTATCATATCTGGGGAAACGACTTGACAGCAGTTGGCATCTCCACCAGGCTCGCTTAAATACTACTAGTCGACGATCGTGTCCTGTTATCTTCAGATGTCGCCATGTCGGGTGACTACTCCGAGATCCGTCTAGCTTTCCCGTTATCCATCCATCGGCTCTCACTCGCTACGGATGACAGGATGTGGCGGATGAGCATCGGTCGATGATTCACCCGCCACCCGCACCGAAGCGTCCATTTGTTACAAAGACGGACCTGTAAATTGTGATGGCGGTAGTTCCCAACCGCCCAAGATAGCCCAACCAAGAACTCCTTATATTTTCGGTAGACATAGAACCAACGAAAGGGATGGGATTGTCGAGTTGACGTTGGAGGCTGGTCGAGCAACGCACGCAATCCGTCGGATCCTGTGCGGACCGTCCCACATCATGTGACCCACCCCTTTCACCTGGTTGCATCAGATCCTCGCACTCTCCACATCATATCCATTGCGATCTGATGCACTCCGGACACGCTGTAATTAGTAAATACTGGTACCTTGCCTGTATCAAATCAACATCTGGCTAGTTTCATCTCGTTCATCGTCCCCCAGGTTTACCCGCGTTTATCTCCCTCCATTGCACCAGCGAAATGGCGTCCAAGAAAGACATGCGGAGGGCTGATCTCAGTGAGTACATGCCCACCATCTATCGTCGCGTTTCATCCACTCAACCGCCCATCCTAGTCGTCCCTTACGTGGAACCCGAGAAAGAGAAGAATGATCAGGATATGATGAGTATGCGCCGCCAATGCTATCTATAGCCATCGTTGCCTTTGTGCTCACGCCAGCCCGTTTTGAAGGTACCATGGCAACTACGCTACCCATGGCTGCGGTAAGACATTAAATTCCCCGTTGTCGTTTGCTGCAGATGACCGGGGGGCTAATTGAACAACCTTAGATATTCATGAGAAATAAGTGATACACCCAAACTCCTTGTTTGAAGGTTGGACGAGTGGACTAATGCACCATGCCCGTGGTAGGATGCTGGGTTGGTACGACACGCGCCCTTCCTTTATCAACATGACTATCCCATCTCAACCCCTTCGTCTTCCTTTCATGACGTCCTTACTGATAGACACCACCTTAGGACTGCGGTGCTTTTTGCACTCCAATCATGGCTCTCGGAAACTCCGGAACAGGCGAAAGGTTCCGGCAATCCGGGGCTTTTCTCCGTAGGCATGGCATGTCAGTGTACATCTTTCTACAAATCATTTCGCTCTCCGCTGACCGCATCCCTTACAGTCATGTCTTTGGGCACGGTAAGTCCATGACCAGCCAGTATAGCTGTGATATGGCGCTAAATGCGTTCAAACAACAGACATATATGCACTTGTTCCTCCCTCCGATCCCGAAACCAGGTTCTAGCTCACCAACAGAGGCTCCAGCAGCGGCCCCTCCAGCATGAAGATCTGGACTGCTACAAATCAATGTATTATTTAACCTGTTCAAGGCGCTACTCCTGGATAAATGGCCGTGGGATATGGTCTCTAAGTAAATTCGTTGACTTAGCTGAAGGAATGAAGATCGATCATCTAATGGGAGTGAATGCCTGGCAGACGATGAGAGCTATTGGACTGGGATATGTACACTCTGAGACAGAGAGGACTGTGAGACGGGACGCTTGTCGTCGTTGGATGACACTCGGACAGAGTTCGGGATTTGAACACAGGGCGATTGTAGCACAATGTACGATACAGCGTATCCCACGGTGATCTGATGTTACTAGAGTCATTGGTGATGCGTACATGTAACTCCAACCTGCCCACAGCTCTCCAGTATGCAGTTAGTCATCACGGGTCACAGTCACGTGAGTGGGTTTACATGATCGATATTTGGTGGCAAAATTCAGAATGTGGCAGGGGCACAGCGGTAGTTTCCTGCCTCACTGCCTCAGAACGCCACTCGGTGGTGCAATCTGACCAATCATATCGCACAGGACACCCCAACCGCCCACCCCTCATGTGCAGTTGTGCACCTTCCACCTTCCACTTTCCTGCTACTCCTCGCCGTTTCTCTCTCACAGTTGAAAAGGTCTTCCAGCCGCATCACCTCCATTTGAATTTCCACCACATCACTTCCCAAATCTTCCAAAAATCCTTTCCGTCCCATCACTCTCGGACGTCTCCCCTGCCATCCACTCCTCTCTACCAAAGGTCGTTTCCCAGACACGGCGATTTTATGTCCATCGAGAACTTGAAAACCTTCGGTGAGCCCCGCATTGATCTCAATCCTCCCACCCCCACCGCGGTCGGCGGCGTTGCGTGCCCTCTGCCATTTCTGCGCAAGGTCGCCACCGCACCGCTTTCCTCGATGGCCTCTGTCTATATCGGTGGAAAGCGGACGCTGCAGATGATATCGCCGCTATCGCTATTCGTTTCGAGTGCTAACAGTTTCGCGTTCAGACCCCTTCGCGGAGGCCGACGAAGACACCGGCGAAAGCAAGCCAGTTGAGAGATATATCCATATCCGCATTCAACGTAAGTGATCCCTGACATTCCCTCCCATGCTTCACTTCATTGTTTGGAGGGCGGGTGCTGGTGTTCAACTGGTTCCCGCCTTATCACGCCTGCAAACCTCTTGCCACTTATGCACGAGGCTGACGGATCCGATGCAACAGAGCGCAATGGGCGTAAGACCTTGACTACCGTTCAGGGCATTCCTGCCAAGTTCGACCTCAAGAAAGTCCTGAAGGTGATCAAGAAGAAGTTCGCCTGCAATGGCACCATCGTCAGCGACGCCGAGATGGGGGAGGTGATCCAGTTACAGGGCGATCAGCGCAAGGATGTGATGGAATTCCTGGTGGATAAGGATGGCTTGCAGATGGACTCCAAGAACATCAAGGTATGTTGCCAATCGGATCGTGCTTTGAAGGGACGGGAGCTAACCGCAACCTCAGGTCCACGGCTTCTAAGCGTGCCATCCGGCCGCCTCGCTTCCTCTCTCATTGTCCATCGCGTTGACGCCAGTGCTATTCGACCGATCATGACAATCAGCAACGGAGCGTTCTACCATCCCGACGTCCGGTGTGCGATTGAGAGAGGTTCAACCGACATCTGGACGACAGGTGTTCGGGGCAATACTTCCGCGGGGATATGCTATACAACGGGGGATCCATGGGCTGCAAACACCCAGCTACCGAAGGAGATTTCATTGCGGTTCAAAGCTGATTGTGCGCATATCTTTCCGGTTCTTTGCATGTGGTCAATCCGATCGATATCCTTTTACAGTCATTACCTGTCTTTCTCCTGCCTTGAGGGAATCTCAAACGACACACCTTCTTTGCAGATTTATGTAGGCGTGTTCCTAACAGAATGGAGAATTTTATGGTTCACCAGCTGGCCTTTTCATGCACAGTGACGTTCTAAAATCTTGCCTCTCCACACCGATTCCCAGCTCGTCCTAACGGTCCAAGACGATAACGCATGGGTTGAAGAACGATGTGAGGTCAATCAATTAACTTCCTAGATATATATGTATGCATCGCCGGATTTGGTTTCTGCCATACCGGTTTGGTGGCATCGTGAGCGCCAGTTCAACGCTAACGATGGACTAAGCAGCGGCGTAACAGCAACCTCCAGGGAGTATATCAACCCTCCTCGTCATCACGATTCTTTGATTCGAAGCTTAGCTAGAGCAAAGTCAGTGAGTGCTGAGAGACATCAAGATTGCGTAATGAGTCGGACGGACCTGATTACCGTTGTAGTACGTCTCTCCTTCATTAGGACTCCGTTGGTCCGCCAATGTCCGTATACGGACTCCAGTGCCTGTATTGGTTGGACCGCCCTCGCCACGGTCGTCCGCCGCGGTACTCCTTCGTTCGTTGGTCCCATCAAGCCCAATCCCAGAAGACCCGCGAGGATTTCCCTCGTCGGAAGTCGCGCTTCCTAAACCGCTGAGATTGCTTGCGTAGGCAAGGCTTCCGGATACCGCCTCTCCGATGCCTTGTGCCACCCCTTGCGTGGTCCGCCACGCCCAATCGAAGCAGCTAGACATCCCGCTCGTATGAGCATCAGCATAAGCATTCGCGCCTCCGCGCACGAGAACCACGATAAGTGTCGCGGAGGGCAAGAGGTCCAGATCTGAATCCCTCAGTTCTCGTTCCTCGAGCTGGACGGGGAGGGAATAGGATTTAGGAGGGATGATGTGTGTGAGAGTATATGCAGGTACAGCCGCCGTAGCAGGCAGGGTAAGATCACTGCGCAAAGCGACATCTATCCATGGACGAACATCGGCCGTGATTGTGCCCGTCGAGGGAAAGGATTTACGAATCCGCTCGCCCGAAGGCAGGCGGACTTGCAAAGGCACTTCATGGGGCTGCGACTTTGGTTTTGTTCCCCTTCCTGATGTTCCAGCCGTGCCCAGCAAAGGGGACGAAATAGAATTCGGGGCCGGAGACTCTCGTGACCTCGCTTGCTCTTCCCGCCGGCGTCGGCGTCGGCGTTCGACTTTGTCGGCCTCGATCGCAGCGAGGATCCGCTCCCTCTCCTGGCGGGCCTCTTGCTGCCGCTTCCGCTGCTGTATTACCCAGTCATTTCGCGCATCTTGGTCGGAACTAGGTGTATGGGGTTCGACTGCCGCTGGTCGAGTAGCGGCTGCTCGTTCTTTTCCTTTCGACACCTTGGGTTGATTTGTCAAGGCCACCGGCCGCGCAGAATCCTCTCCTTCGGGACGCGGTTGGGTCGGAGAGGCTGAGGCAACCCCTTGTGGTCCATCGTGAGGTGTATCGGTCGGAATGGGAACGGAGGTAGAGGGAGGGAGGGTGGCTTCGGAGAGTATTTGGTCAGAAGGATCCGGTACGGCGCGTGATAACGTCGAGTCGGTGGGCGGTGCTGCATCGAAGACTTTCTTGATCCGTGCTAAGAAATCGTCGAAGTTGTTCTCGGATTCAATGCGGTCCAGCAATTGACCGTTGCTACAATCAATCAGCGCTTGGAGCTTCCATGCTCATGGACCCGCCTCACCGTATAATTATGAGGCTTGGATAGGAGGAGACCGGGCAGAATGCGGATAAGAAGCTTTCCTCTTGGGTGCCAGCACAAATCCGCAGGAGGACGGTCCGATCTGACAGAAGGTCGTGAACCTTCACCGCATGAGATGTCTCCAGATCTTAGACTCGCGGGATGATAGATTTACCTCGACGTGCGAGAGCCATTCGATTTCCCAGCGCTGGCTGTCGTCCTTCTCATCTAGCTGTGTCAGATGCAATGCGTCTTCACAAGCCAAGAAGCAGTAGATCTTACCGGAGACGAAGCAGGCTACCAGTTTACCTTGCTGGATGGCGAGCGATATCCCGCTCTGTAGGTCGTCGTGGAACATGATGGCTAGCACTTCAGCAGAAAGCAAGGTCCGAAGAATCAGAAAGAAGGGGTACGGGCGATAGGAGGAGCATGAACATAGAAATGTATATGGGTATCATTCAGGAACTTAACAACGGTATGAATATTTGGCCTGAAGTCTGGACTTACAGCTGGTACGTAACTGTTCCTACCTGATATGGCGTATGCGGTATGGCGTATACAGTCCACCCTAATGAACCGAATCATGAGAACGGCAAATTTATGCCTTGGTGCCTGAACCCTGACAAGCCCGATATCAGTGGGCCGTCCTGAATTGGATAAACATGAATTGGATAGGCGGCATTCCGACTTTCTGAAGTCAACAAATGGAAATTTCATATTCCTTAATTGGTATATAGGCGAACCCGGGATTAGTTCTCAATTCTCCTATTAACGCGCTTAAACGTACTGAAAACAAGAAATGACTGAGGATGAACCACAAGAGCTATGTTTACTAGGAGTCTAGGACTTCGAGGACTTCCTTGCGACGCAAGCCAGGACTCGGAGCAATGCGAACCTGAGGATTAGCTACGCGTCAGTTGAGCATGAGTAATCTGCAATGTATCCTCAGAGCGCGTGGAATCCCATCAAAAATATGTTCAAGCTTCCTGGTCAAGCGTGTCTTCGAGAGATATCAAGGAGCAAGGAGACAACTCACAAGCCTCCCCAGCACCAAAATATACGCCGGCCAACAATTCGAAGAGGAGACTCTCCCCTGGTACAGTCCTAGTCAGTTCTATCCGGTTCGTATCGGAGATCCTTGATGCTACGTACAAGGTTCTAGGGAAGCTCGGGTATGGTGCGTACTCCACGGTCTAGCTCTGTGGACACATCAGGTAGAGTCCATCGCACTTATACACAAAGCATTGCTGTTATCCAGGCTAATACATAAGAGATACCGGCTTTGTCGCCATAAGGGTTTGTGCCCGAAACACCGATCGTTCTGGACGGGTCCACCGGGAGCTACAATTCTACCACCACGTCAGTTCGCTTGGTTCACAGCACTGTGGCCAACGCCTCATCTGTGGTCTCTTTGAAATGTTCGAGATCTCGGGCTCGTCTTCCCAGCACCTCTGTCTGGTTCATCCCTCAATGCACATGATTGTCCAGGAGCTCCAGTACAAGAATCAATCGCATCGGTTGAACCAAGAACTCTTGAAGTGGATGTTTGTCCACTTACTCAACGCTCTCTCCTTTCTGCACGATGAAGCCAAGGTGGTACAAGCCGGTAAGATCTTGCAGTTATGCGGTGTCTCATTGACAAATAAATCGAATCAGATATCAATCCACCGAATATTATGTTAACAGTGGCTGACCAATCGATCCTCGATGATTTCGAAAGACCGATGCTGAGGATCCCTCTCCCACGAATGTCATCGACAATGTCCGCACCATCTATGGCTCCCATAAACTCGGCCTTCCCAAAGATACCTTATAGGGCCAACCAGCACTGTGTGGTTTTGGAGAAGCTCGAATCGAGGGTTCTCACAGAGGTCTAGTCGTGCCCGAGCTATACCGTACCCCAGAGGTGTTGTTTGAAATGGAATGGGGCGCCAGTGCTGATATCTGGAACGTTGCTGTCTCAGTGAGTACAACCGAAACATATTTCCGCGTATCATAGAAGTTAAATGGCAGATTTGAGACCTGTTTGAGAATCGGCATTTGTTCGCCGCAGTAGATGAAAACTTGGAATCGTTGGCAACCCACCACTTCGCGGAAATGGATCGATATCTTGGGCTACCTTCTCTGGAGTACATACAAATAAGTACAATCACGAAGAGCATTTTTGACGAACGAGGTCAGGAATGAAACATTCACATCACCGCTCCAGTCACTAACCCAAGGTGTCGTACGATGCTGGAAGGGTGTTGGAGGCTCGGTTTTCCTACACCTTTCCTTTGATGCCGCCGTATCTGTCCTGGATAGTGAAACTAAAGAGCAGTTTCCCAATTTCATAGGCTCAATGCTCAAATGCCTACCAGAGCAGAGAAAGCAAGCCTCAGAACTCCTCAAAGATCCATGGATGGCTGTACCATCAAGATAGATAAGGCGCCTTGAACGGCATGATATTCAGTTCCGTACTTCGTCTCAAATACCTCCGGATCCTTCTTACGTCGAAGGGATAACAGTATGATTAAACAACTCGTAACTCTAAAATTATATAAAAAAAAATATAAAACTATAAAAATAAGAACGATACGATTAATGCAGTAGCATATCACACTTTTCACCCAGGTATCATGAAATTTGGTAGGAGGAAAAGTGTTCCGTGGTTCTAGATCGTTTTTCTGTCCTCCGCTGGAAACGGTCTCCCCAACATAATTTTCCAACAACTTTTAAATTCGCTAATATGCCGTCATACGGCACGAAGGTTGGTACAAGGATGTTCAATTGAAAAATGAATACTGACCGGATCAATACAGAAGCGCAGAGCGGAGGAGGCGTTAAAACATTCTCACCATGAAGAATTCGATACGTCCAAACCGGCAAGAATATTTCAGCGCAGAGCAGAGGACGCGTTAAAACATTCTCAACATGAAGAATTCGATACATCCAAACCAACAAGAACGTTTCAGCGCAGAGCAGAGGACGCGTTAAAGCATTCTCACCATGAAGAATTGGACACATCCAAACCGACAAGTATATTTCAGCCCGACGCAGGGCGTTCATCGACCGTGACCATTGCCATCCCAGGAAGCATTGTTGCAAAGTAGGTCAATTAAATCCGCCAATATGCCTCTCATATGCATTGTATACTCATGCCGTCTAGTGCGCAAACACATGAATCGAAGACAGCGCTCGTAGGGCAAATAGCAAGGGCAGCCGCCGTCTTTTGCATCGATGAAATTGTCATCTTCGAAGATGGACAGGACGCTCAGGTCCGTGAAAGACATCGGAGTTGGGTGGACGATCGCCGAGTCTCGAACAATGCGGCCGGCGAAGATAGCCATACCGGGTGGTCCGATCCAAGCCATTTCTTATTCCATCTGCTGTCCTACTTGGAGACTCCGCCGCACCTACGGAAGTCCCTTTTTCCCCTGCATCCGAACTTAAGGACCGCGGGGACGCTGCCGAGTCTGGACATGCCCCATCATTTGCGATCCAATGAATGGGGTCAGTACCGCGAGGGCATGACTGTCCCTTCTGACGACCAAAATAGTGGCTATCAACCAAAGAAAAAGCCAAAGCGCAACGTTGCTACCGATGCCACGGATGGAGCTGGCAACGACCTGAAGTGGACCACCGTTTACACCGGCCTTCCAAGCGACGCGTCCATCCTCCTTCCCAAAGATCTTCCCCCGAACAGCCGACTGACTCTCAAATTCCCGACCCATGACCCACCCGCCTCGCTGTACGACCCTGGCTCCGCGGAAGCGGTCGACCCGGCCGCACCGCGAGAGGAAGCCGGGTACTACTGGGGCTATCAGGTCCGCAAGGCCGGGACGATTTCCCAAGTCTTGACAGAATGCCCCTGGCCAGGCGGCTATGATGTATCCGTGGGCACGAGCGAGAGGGGCCGCCCCGTATCCGAAGTGCTACCCAGGGACCCAACCGGCGAGGGTCAGGAGACGTCGCCAGACTGCCTGCCTCGCACGTTCGAGCACTTGCTCGTTGTATTTGGCGGAGTGGCAGGGTTGGAGACCGCGGTGGAGGCGGATCCGGAATTGGCGGCGAAAGGTCTGGGGAAGAAGAATACGGAGGAGTTGTTCGACTTCTGGATCAACGTCTGCCCGGGACAAGGAAGTCGGACGATCAGAAGCGAGGAGGCTGTGTGGGTGGGCATGAGTGGACTGTGGCCATGGATCAGACCCGGTCAATGAGTTTGAAGACAGGGCAAACACGGATTTGCCATGGTGGATTGATCCATGGGGTCCAGCTTGCTTTGCAAAGATGGAGGAAATATGTTGGCTTAGAAATGTGCATGGTCTGGTCCATGGCAATGCAAAACGGTTCTAGTCCAGAACAAGCGGTTAGATCTCCAACGCGTGATCAAGGTCCTATCTTTAATCCCGTGAAGTTTTGGAGCATTTCAGGAAGAGATTCTAGGCGTCTCTGTTGGCGGCTTCTGGGTGGCGTGAACGACCATGGGTATATAGAGAAATACATTTTGAGTTCATTCTTCTATGACATATAATTCATCAACGCTATGGAGTACCCCAACACCAAGTACATAGTAAAATATCATTTGCAAAAGTTTGCCATTGCCATGCCATCCCGCCAAATATATCCAAGACTTCGCAGTATGTATCAAGACTTTGCAATCCAAGGGTATCGAGGAGATTAGAACCAATCGCCTTGGTCGTGCATAGCTGTGGAGAATCATGAGTTAACGAAGATCGTATGCAGAAGACGCGAAAGTTAAACGTACCTGCTGCAACCTTACTAAAACCGGCAATGTTTGCCCCGGAGACGAGGCTGGGGAACTCTCCCTCTGCTGGGGTGACGTATTCTTTGGCAGTCTCCAAGCAGTTCTCGAAGCAGTTCTTCATAATTCCCTTAAGCTTATCATCGACCTCCTCTGAGGACCACGTCATGCGCTTTGCAAAGAGTTAGCGACTGCATCATGTCTACTTTGCACAGGAAAGAGCACTTACCGAGCTATTCTGGGCCATCTCAAGACCGGAGACGGCGACGCCACCAGCATTGGCAGCTTTTCCCGGTCCGTACCATATCGCCTCGCCCTTATTTTCTCTTCGCTCTTTCTCGAAGCAGGCGATCGCTTCCAGGGTGCAGCCCATGTTGCTTCCTTCGGCGATAAACTTCGCGCCCGCAGCCACCAGCGCCTCGGCCTCGTCGCCGGAGACTTCGTTCTGGGTCGCGCACGGCAAAGCAACATCAACCTGACCAACCTCCTTCCACGGGCGGGCGCCCGCAATGTACCGGAATCCGGAATCGATAGAGAGCTCGGTGAGGGCCTTCCGTTCGACCTTCAACGCGGCGGTGGCCGTGATCATCTCCGGGGTGAAGCCCGCATCGCCAGTCGCGACAATCGAGCCTTTGCTGTCCGACAGCGAGAGCACGGTGCCACCCAGCTCGATGACCTTCAGTGCTGCGTACTGGGCCACGTTTCCGGACCCCGTGATGGCCACGCGCTTGCCTTTGAACGATTCCGTGCCGCCTGAGGCGTAGTTGATCATATGCTCAACATAATAGACCAGCCCATACCCCGTGGCTTCCGGTCGGATCAAGCTGCCGCCCCAGCTCAGGCCTTTCCCGGTCAGGACGCCTTCCCATCGGTTTCGCGCGTTTCGGTAGGCGCCGAACATCCAGCCTAGTTCGCGGGACGAGACGCCGATATCACCGGCCGGGACGTCTGTGTAGGCTCCGATATGTTTGTTCAACTGTCTCATAAAGGAAACGCAGAACTTGCGGATCTCGTTGTCTGACTTGCCCTTGGGGTCGAAGTCGGAACCGCCCTTTCCACCGCCCATGCTGACTATGGACCACATGTCAGTACCGTTCTCCGGGTTCCTTGCGGCAAAGTCCACTTACGGCCGGTAAGCGCATTTTTAAAGATCTGCTCGAATCCAAGGAATTTCAGCACCGACAGGTTGACGGTCGGGTGGAATCGAAGACCGCCTTTGTAAGGTCCGAGGGCGGAGTTGAACTGGACTCGGTATCCACGATTCACACAGCATTCCCCTTGGTCATTCTCCCATGGCACACGGAATTGAATGACCCTCTCAGGAATGGCCGCGACCTCGAGGGCTTTTTTGTATTCGGGTTTCTTATCGAAAAGAGTCGAGTTCTCCAGGGTCAAGGCAAGCTCTGTGGACGATTGAAGGTTAGCACAATCTCGTCATTGATTCATTCGTATCGTTTGTAGTGGCAATTGTGGCTTCCTTCTCGAGCCGCCGCCACAGTCCTGTCGGTTCAGTGATACTGCATGTGAAAGAGGTAGGGTTACCTGTGTAGGCCTGTTCGAACTCGGGTTCAGAGGGAAGGTTTGACATGTTGTCGGTTTGAGGTGGATATTTTACAGGTATTGGGTGTTCAAGAAATGTTTAAGAAATGATCGGAGGGTATTCAAGAAGGATAGGAAAGCAGGTCAAGCGCTTCGCAACAAGAAGAGGAGAGACGGCTTTTTAAAGGTCTTGTTCCAGCCTGTTTCCTGATATGTATATGGGTTGTGGTGCAACGGTTATGAGCTCATGATGGTTCCGGCCACAAAAAAAGTAGAGGGAGATTGGGCGTGGGGAGCAGGCAAAGGCGAAAAGTCCGGTCGCGTTGCAAGATTGGTGGCAGATTGGAGAGGATGGCTTCAGGATGGAGATGTTATTGGGTTGGACCAGGAAGCAGAACAGAGGGAGGCATCAGGTTAAATGGGTAGGATCACACTTGGATGTTTTTCTCACGACTAACATGAGATCCTTAATTCCTTATCAGTTGGAGGGATGGCCGGAATGGGAGGTGATTGGATGGAATACGGCTGGATCAGGGATGGGATGGCAATTGATGGGATGGGATGGGAATAACCTGGGATGGATTTGGTAATTTGGTCGTCCAAGATGTAGCGAGCCCCAAGTCTCCGAGATCGCTTCGGTTCAACCAATGTGTTTTCCGTGGGGCAAATGCCAGGGACAATTCCCTTGGACAATTGACGGTTTGGACCCCTCCGTCAAGAAATCCCCCTCATCGCCTCACCCACCCATCTCACGGCCATAGGTAGTACTGATTGTCGGGCGCTTGGGTATAAACAGGTTTACCTACCTAGTTGACTTTGGATGCTTGGACGTTATTATCAAATTGAAGAAGTCACCCATGACAAACATACCGAGCCCATCGCCCTGTTCATACTGTTCATCCTGCCTCATCCCACCCCGCTCCGGCTGTGAAGTGAGTGTCCGCATTAGACTACCGACCACTACGGACTAGTCACTAAGGAGTAAGGACTAATTACTGCAGTCACGGTGTTGCCCGATTCTCGTGTGGCATACTGGGATTCAAGGATGATCTACTTACTATTACGTACTTATCTCTAAGTGCCTCTGCGGAAATTAGAAATCGAATTTATAATACCCAGCGACACTAGAAGAATGGCAGATGAACACCCCGAGTCGCCCGGCAGCCCGACACTCTGCCCGGCAGAGCCCGATTCCCGATTCCCGCTTTCAGGCTTCCATTTTCATCATGTCTTTGCAACGGACTCACCGCAGTCCTCAATAATACCTACGGGCAGAACTCAGAAGTATCTTCAGTGTTCGAGAATCGAGATGGTTGCTTGTGAGGTACGGGCGATTCCGGGAGCTTGGAGATTAGCCCGGTAGCTCTTCGCCACTCGCCAGTCGACAGATCACCACTCACCAGTCCCCATCTCGGACATCTCAGGACTTCGTTTATTCTGTCGGCTGAAGTACATCCTACATAACTAGCCACACCAGACTGCGATATGCGCAATGCAGAGATGTTTACGGCTTCAGGCAGATAACTCCCGGCAAGCGGCTCAGGGGGTGGCCGGTGCGAAAATCCGGGAGAGTGGTAAGTTTTTGCAAAGTAGCAAGTCAGGAACGACAATTTAGGAATTAGGATGCGTGATCGAGAGAAAAATCTGAAATCTGGTTGCTGTCGTGCCCCCTCCATGCAAGCTACTGTACGATTGCAGCAGAGACTTCATGTGCATCGATCTAATCCACGGAGTTCGTCATGTCGAACTATCACTGCAGTTCATCAATCCATGGCTTCATGCACAGCGATGAGTTTAACTCCAAGGAGCCCTCCAACTTCCAAGCCACCATTCAACCCCACGCATTCCCCCTGTCGTGTTGACGCTTGTTTCGTGCTCCCTCGCCTCTTCCGAGCACTAAACAGGGATGGTCGACACTCAAATTCTCGGCTGCCGGCTGACTCCGCGTTCAAGTCCCGGGAAATCGGGAAGATGATGCATTTTTTTGCCCTCAAATTTAGTGTCAAGGTTGGTGTCGTTGGCGACACAGTCCGAGGTCGATTTACGGTTCCAGGATCCCATTACTTAGCCCACGATCCTACCCGTGCCGTATTCCGTGGTTCCGAAGCGGCATCAACTGCTGGAAATCTTCGAGGGCGGCAAGTAGTACCGGTAATGTTGGGGTTCTGTAGAGACAGCACAGTGCATACAATCCACTGGTGCACCCAGCAATGTTTTCGTCTCAATAGATAGAGCAGGAGTTCGCCACTCTCCCTCCTATAACCATAAACGGCATTATTATATGGATATCCCTCTCCGTCATATATATAGTCTGAATCGCAACGAAGAGTTCAGCTTGGATTGTACAGTGGATCCAATTTCCCCCGCTCGTGAGTGGTCAGAATGGCTGAATGGGCGGCGCGGACTCGCACTGGGCGATGAGCCAATGTGGTGTACTGTCCATGCAAGCTGAGATGTACTGAGGTACATCTCGGATCAGCAACCTGATCGCGATGAATTCCACTCTCCTCCTGTCTATCATTCCTTATTTCCCTAGTCCCTCGAATCGAAGCCAATAGCATACATACCAGTACACCTGTCCTTCGTGGACCGATGCTCCGATAGGTACATCGGACTGGGTACCTCCAAGATGAGGCGCGACTACATTAGTCCATCGCGAGACTCCACTATGGCACTGCCTTCCCCGTGCTAATTTTGATATTATGATAGGTACAGTAGTAAGTAAGTATTAATAAATGGTCGGGTGCTATGGATTGAATGGTCCATTACTGACTTGGATACCGTTGATCGACTACTTTAGTTCTCCGTACTTGGTAGTAATATGAGCAGTTACAAGGATGGACCGACCATTCCGATCAAGGAAAGCTACGCAAGCGGTATCTGATTTGTATACTTAACATAGAATGACAGGAACCTCCCGAGTCCCGGTGCTGATGGTTCGGATGCGCCCGCAATAACTGGACGATCGTGGTCGCTCGATCCCCTCCCCAAGTCCCAACAGTCTGGTGGTGTCGCCGGCACCCCTTGCACGATTTATGCAGCCACCAAGCCAACCAAGCCACTGGTTTGCGACAACCCCGATGACTTTCTTCAAATCTCTGCTTGGGTCGTGTTACATCCACTCCTTCTCCTCCACAAATGCACTATCGCACTATGTGCTCCATGTCTTTGGTAAGGGATGACGACCGTCAAGCAGAGATGCTCCATATGGCGATCTATTATATAGACGTGCCGTCGGGCTTTCCACAAGATGAGCGAATGTCTTTTCTATTCATCGACTTCCCCGCTCCTCAGGCTTCGTGGGAGCAATCAATAACTCGCACCTTCTCTGTCCAAACCTATTGAGCTATCACTGCATGTGTATCTGCCTTTACCACATCAATTCTGTTATCCGCTGACCACATTGCTGCTTTCTCCTTATCTATTCGGGTATGTCGCGCAAGGACTGCCTTGCCTTTTGCGCTTTGCTGTCTTCCGCTCTTCGTACCAAGTTATTAACCTGGTTTCTTAGTCTAGACGCACCGCTGTCTGATACTAGTCAATACGTACCCAGCCCGATACTACTCATGTCATACAAGGCGGGCCCTTCCTCCCGAGAGGGTCCAGTTTCGGCCATGGCAGTTGACGTGAACTTCGAGATATTCGAGTGGTACCCTGCGTACCAGAGCTGCCTGAAGTTCTTCCTCAACAACGCCCAGCATGAATACCACGTTCAGGCTGTCGCAGCGTTTGTGAACATTTGTCTCCCCTTCCAGTGGGCTCCAGATCCTGTGGTGAACTACTCGGCTGCCTCGCCGACTGCACAGACAGCATCCGGCACATCGCAACCTCCGCACGCCAACCCTTGGACACAGCAAAGCGCACCATTCCAACCAGGCCGGTCCAGCCACTTCGTGTCGCTAATCCCATATATCAAGCGCCTGGTTGTGACCGCCTTCGATCAAGATGCCATCCTCCATGGGTTCTTCGGCGATGACTGGCGCAAAGGGATCGGGCCCCTCCATGAGTCGGAACGACGCAACTATATGTTCGCGGCGAAGAGCGTCGGCTGGGCACGAGTCAAACAACACTACGATATGTCGCCGCGGGAGAGCCTGCCCTTCATCAAGCCGCTTCAAAATGTCGAGCTGACGGAGATTGAGGCGGCCGAACGTTCCTGGAGCGGGTGGCTGGCGTTTGAGGATTGGATGATCGGGGAACGGGCGCCCGAGACCATGCGAGATCCAGGCTTTTCCGAGGGCGGCGGACCGAATATGAAGCCCAATACCATGATTTGATATAACGACCCGAATATCCTTCATCCTGGGCGCTCTGGGAGACGGCCAGTCGTGGCAGGAGTGTCCAGATGCTCCATTTTCCTGGCAAATGTTCTGTCATAGCAAGAGTTGGCTTGGTTTAAACCGTGCGCGTTTACTTTTTCTAATAGGGAGTTCTTTCTTGGTATAGGCTGGAAAAAGCTTTGCTAGAAGCTCGCATTAGATGTTGCCGGCATTATCCAATGCATCATTGGGTCTGGGAGACTCGATGGATCTGTCCTGGAATTGGAGACAGAGGTCGCTTGGGACCGCATTCAGAGTTATCATGCTGGCGACGCTTTCAGTCAGCATGGAACTATCGGGATCAGATTTTCATCCATACGACTACGATAAGCATGAAATATTGCATTATTCATAGTGCTATGCTGCTATCTTCGATGCTACCAATGTTATTTGCAGTATTCCCCTCCACGCCACGTGAGAAGACCAGGGCCCTCAGCCCTAACGGTTAAATTTCGGAAACGCATTTGTCCGTGTCACGTGGAACCCAACCACACCCAGCATTCCAACAACAGGAGATGCGAACCCGCAAGCGGGTGTCGCTTAAAGAGAGCCTGGAGGAACGAAGCTAGAGTTTATAATTTTCGAACGTCCTAAAAAAAAGCTCGAATTATATTCACATAGCCGCGCCGCCCTCCTTTACTCTCTAAAACAACCAGACGGCAAGAAGACCTCTGTTTTGGGGTGTCTATTTGCCTATATGACTCACACGGCGCGACCTCCATCGATGCTCACTCCTCCACACGACGCCAGCTTCAGATGCTCATGCTTTAGACCCTCTCAAATGTTGTACAAACGAGTTATACCCATGGCCCATGCCTCGAGATTAGCCGCGCTTAACGAGACGTCCTGCTCAGCGGCCGCTTTAGGGCGCCGCATGATCTTCTCAAAAGGCAGCACAAATGGCGCACCAGTGATGATTGGGGGTGTCGATCTGAGGTCAATCGTCGTAGCTGCCATGCACATCGCGATATCTCGAACTCCGAGTGGCACGGATCGCGTTCGATTAGTGTCAGCAACGGTGACGAGCTCGTGCCGTTCAAGGCGGAAGGTACGTTCGGATTTGTTAAATGAAGCTAGAACCACCATTCGAGTATTGTTTGGGGGCAATTGAGCCGATAGCCACCATTGTGCATCAATATAAAGATGCCCTAAGCACTCTGTCCAACCGGCCTCGATAACTACGGCGGGCCATGGCGGGGGGATAGAAGGTGTTATTGAGCTGTCCGCCTCCTTGAATGAATGGCCTGAGCGATGGTGGCACCGGCCTGATCCGGAACCCGTAAACTCCAGATTAAGCCGGAGACCCATAAGCCTCAACTGCATGGTTATTTCGGAATGCAAGTTGACGTGCATGTTCTCGTGTACATGGGTCACCATCCTGACGATTAATTTATCATCATCAAGTTGTAAACGAACTGGGTAACGGAGTCGGTCGATATAGGTGAGCTTCGAGTGGTCAAAGGCCAGAAAAACGATCCATCGCTGTGTATTGCCTCCGCCGTCACCGTCCAGAGCTCGCAGACGATCTGCAACAGCACGCTTGAAATTGGCAACGCTGAATCGCAGTACTTGGGCTTGTTCGAGTCCTGCAACTGGTAGAATCTTAGGAGTCATTTCATCGAACGGTGGGGTTTCTGTAGTTCGAGAGGTTGGAGAAGTTGGCGAAGTTAGAGAAGTTGGCGAAGTTAGAGAAGTTGGCGAAGTTAGAGAAGTTGGAGAAGCCATAATGGTGAGCTGGGACTTCTCATATGCGGGCAAGTCCGTTCGTTGAAGAAGTTGCGTTGGAGATGAGCGGCTTGATTTCAGCTAAAGGCGTACCTTCGTAGTCACGGTCCTAACTAGTGGTCAGGGCGGGCCGTCGCTTTCCTTGGAACCAAAGGGGACCCTTTCCTTTAGCGCGTGACAGGATGGAGCTGATCATGTTCTCCCGGTAGAGGATGTCTCGATCAATGTGATGAGTTAATAGATATTTCTAAAGAGTGCCGGTGGAAAACCCTCGGACGATAGGAGTGAGCTAATGACCGGGAGGATCGAGGGCTGTGGGCAACGATCGCTACGGCAGTGAGATCGGGTATACCAACAACGGAAGCCTGCAAAAACGGCGGCCAACTTGCCGTCATTTCTTTTACTCTATTGACAATCATGATGCACCTACGGGTAAGTAATACAGCTTATTTGAAGGTTGAATCTATCTTAATCGGTGTAGGACTTTTCGAACGACACCCACATCGACCCTAGTATCACCACTGATACAAACTATGTTGAATTTAATACTACACCTATCGACGACACTCGAGATCCTGTAGAGGACTCCGAGGGCTCTAATGACGGCCTTGACCACCAAACCGGCAGAGTACGACAGTCAAACTATCCCGAGGATTATTCCGATGATAACCATGCTGCTGCGGATGGCGTAATGTCATAAACCTTGTTGCGGTTGAAGCGCCTGCTCAACCTGAGGCTGCAGCACCTGGAGGTTACCTCCATGTGCCTCGAGATGCCCAAGGCAGAGTACTAGGACTGCCGCAGTCCTATTTCAGGCCCATTCCGGACTTTATAGGAGAACACCAGCGTCCAGATGTGCATCTACCGTTTATAGACAACCCTCCGAGTCCTGCTGCCGACCTGCGGGTTAATGACCATTAATGCGACAGCGACGAATGTTTTTCGTGCGCGTATCTACATAGTAATGGTCAAAATCTCGGGCCGATGCTTGGAGACGTTGCCCCAGACACCGACGAACAGCTCCATAATCGGTATAATCTTAGCCTTCTGCTTTTCAACCGCGATGTATTCGAATATATTGCCGAGTCAACCAATCAATATGCACACCTACATGGAGCGGGTCAACCTGGACACCGCGCATGGCGAGATATACAGCCTGGCCATATCATGGTGTGGATGGGCACTAGCCGATGACATTCAGAGCCGTTTTCAACAGTATTATCAGCCTTCAAACTATCTCTCGATCGATGAGATCATGGTTAAGTTTACTGGTCGCTCAAATGATATAATCAGTATCAAAGGCAAACCCATTCCGGTAGGATATAAGATATACGCATTAGCCGATTCTGGCTATGTGTATTCTTATCTCTTTTGCCTGGGCGGCAGGCATACCGCAGAGAACGCTATCGACTGTTATGGTCCCAGGCCTGCGGCCTGTTCCCTTGGTTGTGGCTGAAGACGTGGCTGGTGGATTATATCAGAGAAGCAAACAAACATGGTAACACAGCATTAGGGCATTGGAGAGGAGAGTCGCTATCTCGCGCACAAAAGGTGCCGGGAGATTTCTTCTCTCTCTCTCTCTCTCTCTTCAGTTTAGATTAATGGAACTTGGTAATCGCAGACCTTGCGCATCCAGACCGTGTCATCGACATCACTTAAATCTATGGGTTGACCTATAACCCTCCAGAAGACACCCCATTATCTCTAACATCTCGCGCGGTTGTTCAACTGGTCTTACCGCTTATAGAGAAACCTGGTCGCTTTATTCTCTTTATGGATAACTTATTTGCCAATATTCGGCTACTATCAGTTCTTCGGAGACTCGGTATCGGTGCATGCGGTACGACCAGGGCAAACTATAGTGAATATCTGCGGCAACATGCTATTATTTCGAAGAAAGGATGTACCTGGCCCTGGAACAAGCAGGAGACACTCTGCGTTCGAGATGTTGCGTCACTCCTCTGGAAGGACAGAGTACTCGTACGCTTTCTATACACTGTTTTCCCATCAGAATCTAGCGATGCGGTACATCGCCGGCGCCCTCGAGTCACTGGTACCAGGGAGGCTCGCGAGGTTGCAGAGATATGGGGGGATGAACCAGAAGCAATGATTCAACAGCCGCTTGCCCCGATCTATTATAACAGCTTTATGGGCGGTGTTGACATAGCAGACTAGAGGCGATCATACTACACATCGCACGTTCGCGGGTCAAAGAACTGGCAGTCTTTGCTATATTTTCTTATCGACACCGCAATCACCAACGCATTCCTCATTGCCAAAGTCAAATGGACAAGATCGAGCCGCAAATGCGTGCTAAATCTTAAGGATTTTCGCAACGAGCTATCGTGGTGTCTTGTCATCAAGGGAATCTCATTGATTCATGGGAATAACTGGGCCAAAGACTTCTAAGAAGGTGTGTTACCGCATACCAAAGGCCGCAAGCACCAGCGAGGGTCTAGAGGTTCTTATGTAAATGACAACGCCGTATTCCCGAACGCCGGCGACAGCAGAATGGAGAATAGTACTAGTATATACTAATTAGGTTTAGCGGGTTCTAAATTAGGATAAACGCAGTCACAACGCTCTTAGTGTTACGCCATTATGAAATTGACAGGGATCAAAGTGTTGTAAAATCATGGTAAGGGATAGAGGTGAAAACGACGAGGATCACACCAACGATCCCGAGGAGAATCTAATAGTAGTGTACGCATAACGCAAGTGTCAACGCGCAATGGTCGACGTTTACAATAAGTAGACATGTGTCTGTGCACACCCCCGAAAATCACCAATTCACCATTCACCAAATCTGATCGCCATACACCGTATCTTGAGATACGCTGAAAAACACATACAAATGCAAATTCAGTCTACTTTTTTGATTTCTTAATTGGGAAATATCTAATATTTCGTATGCCACC